GAGAGGTCGTGAGGCATGCCTTGCTCATGTGTGACGTTAGCTTGATTCTGGACAGTAGTTGATTGTGCTCAACTCGGAGAAATATTGTATTGTGATAACTTGAATGTGCATTTGTGTTTGCAGAACGTGTTTGTGAATTCTGAGTTGTTGCAAGTAGCAGAGGTTCGAACCCTTTGGCTTGTCAATACTCTTTGAGGGTTTTTGGTTTATTCTCAAGTAGCATAGGTTCAAACCCTGTAGCTTGTGGACATGTTTCTGTGTTTTCTGTGTCTCTGGATCACATAGGTTTGAACCCTGTGGATCTACGAAAGGTTTCTGAAGTGTTTTCTGCTTAGAGCATGAGGCTTTAAGTCATGTGTAATTTGTTTGACAGGTTGTGGCCACCTGTGTGTTGCGTGCAACGTCAATTGAGGGTTGTATGTTCTTGTGAGACGTTGATGAGCCTCAAGGCTCTGTACACTCAGAATTCGCAGATTTTAAGCATTATAATAAATGCCTTGTCCACTTAGCGAACTTTCACTAAGTCAACGATTGCAATCACGGCAATACCCACTTTTACCGCCAACTATCCATCCCAACTCATATTCCGCATCAATATGCGCCACTTCATTATTGCCGCCAGGCACTTGATTGCAGATCTCATGGAATTAGGACCATCATTGATCGCTCAGCACAGCCATCACTGACATCAGCATCAAGCATCACTTAATAGAATGCCGCCGCCAAAGTACCTATTCCATGGCAAAAGACTTAATACCGTGACCTTTCCACCAGCTTTACTAAGGCTGTTACAATGCCAAGACAATGCCACACACATCTACTTCAGTGTACTACCTTCAGTGTACTTTGCCGCAGCAACACAGCAGCCCAAGAATCCGTATGTCGGCGGAATTCTTTCTGATCACTAAGTCTATATGCGGTAAAACCATGTGGGTGCTGTTACTTTAGAACTCTGGGAGCACGCATTTTGTATCATTTCTTACCAATTGATATACTAAGGACTTACTAAGGACTTGTTTCAAGTATTCTAATTTTATTCCGGACTTGTAGTATAAAAGCTAGTGTAGTAGTAGTTGCTACACAAGTTACTGGACACTAGCCATCATCCATGTTATCGACCACCGTTATCGCTTGTACTCGCTAGGAGATAGACAATAACAACATAGTCACTCCAAGTTATACTCTCTGTCATGGCTTTTCTTCTAACGGTATTGGTGTACACTCATATTGCACCAATACATGGAATTTGGTGTCCACAACTCACTTTTATCTTTTAATCCGCCAGCATCGTTTCACTTTCACCAGCCAGGATCGTTTTCATCAGTTTTCACCTTCTACGTCACCATTGTTTTACCCAGCTCAGTTCAGGATCGTTACATCCCTGTGTGGACTCAGATTAGTATCGTTATTGCCGCCAGTAGCATCTGTCACAGAATTTTGGTCAACAGCTTCAGTATAGGATCATCAGTCATGGTATTTGGTATCTTGCCGTCAGTTTCAGTGTAGGATAGTCTCCGTGTAGACTCAGGATTAGTATCAGTTTTGTTTTGCTGTCGTTAACCTCAGTATAGTTTCAGTTTCAGTCCAGCCCAGTCCCAGCCATCGTTTTGCCGTCACTAGTTCCCCCTCATATCATCGCCAGTCCATCTTATCTTCATTTTACTGCCAGTTTCTCGTTTCTTGACTACAGTCTTCATCTCTTGCCGTCACGGTATTTGTTATCTTGCCAATGGTATTGCTCTTTGATGGCATTTTCTCTAATTCCATCAACATCACCCACGGCTTTTACTAGTTAAATTGCCGTCACTTCATTCACGGTTTGCCGGTATTCCCAGTTATACCAGATTCCGTTCCTTCTCGTCTATCGAGACCCCTTCCAGCTTACAGCCAACGTTTTCTAGTACTCAATCGTTAAGGGTACTACTTCGCTGACTGAAAAGTCGCAGTGTATACTTGCGTTCTTGAGGAATTCATCACACAGAGGTGCACTGAAACACTCACACAACAACAAAGCCTTTATTGCCACTACGCACCATTTGCCGTGAACTCCTCTAGAGTTTTGGTTTTTGCCGTTGCCATGGAAGTTTAGGCTCATCAACGTTTGTGGGCTTGTGAAATATTATGTTCGCCTCAAGGCTGAGTGATACATATCGCTCACCTCCTGTCCTAAAAGCATTTGGACTTAGAGAATTCTTTTGAGCTAGCGCACTATTATATCTTGAAGAGCACAAGACATCTTTTAATTCTACTGTTATTGTGTGCTTGCATTGCACATCTCCCCTGAACTACTGAGATTCTGTGTGTGTGTGAGTGTAAGAGTGGGTGTGTTTAGTGTATCTACACTATCGCATTTTGAGCTTGGCATGCACAGAGCCTCTTCACCGTTGATGAGCCTCTAGGCTCTGTGTGCTCTAAAATCATGGGAACCAACTACAATTTATCAACTTAGTCCCTCTAGCAGACTTTCTCTAATTCAACAGTTGCAAGCAAGATGCAATTTAAACCAAGTCGATTTGTACACAGCACATGAAGTTATTATTTCATGTATGATGTCATCAGCATCAGTCCTATTGATCCTGCCTTTCTCTCTGTGGACATTGTGCTTCGCAGTCTAGAACTAGCACTGCCACCCCACATGAAACCCCCCTGCAGTCACAAATTATCCATGTGTGGCCTTACAAAACACGTCGCATAGTTAGAACTATGACAAGTCAGCTGCAGCCATAGAGAGTTAATCATTGAAAGTATTGGAAAGCTGATTAGTGAGGACTCTTGGTAATATTAGTAGAGCCTTAGGCACAGTAACTGTGCATACTCACAAACTTTGCTGAGTAAGAACTTGAATAATGTGTGCTATAGTAATACTAGCGCTAGAGTAAGGTAGCTTAGTTAGTCAGTATAGCGAGTATTTAAGTTCGCAAGCTGGTAGCCAAAGGAGAGGGAATCAGAGGAGACCCCAGATTATTCTCTACACTTACCTTCGATACCTAACACCTACACCACTCACCATACACCCTTCGAAGTAGTGCAATAAAGACATTTTGTTGCTAACACTTCCTTCTGAACCTTTAATTCTCTAAGCAACAGTTAACCCTGAGCAGTTACCTGTGCTTTTACACTTTTCCTACCTTCTATGTGAAATATTAAGGAGTCCCACCACTAGGAACTCTTTAATTATTTGCTTTGCCAACCCATTTGCTTGTTTCCGCAACTAGGAGACAGCATTTTCATCAACCATGCCAATGCCTTTGTCTTCTCACAGCCAGAGAAAAGTCTTATTGAGTATCTGACCAATTCTCATTACCTCAAACCAACCTTGCCACGTGAATTAAGTTATTCACTAACACTTCTAAGTTTGTAGCCAGAACTTGGAATGACTGCCCATTTATTTAGGAACCTCCACCATTGCACTCACAGCCAGAGTTGCAATAACAAGGTATAGTCTTTGTACAGGTACTAATTAGTCTTTAGGGCTGCTTCTAGGACCCCTTTCCTGATTATTTCCCTTCTTGTGAATCTAATAGTTCGCTACTGCCCTCTACGCTACTAGTAGGGGTAATTCCCTATCATTCCGAACTTAGGAGGCTTTAGTTGCTGCACAGAGGTGCCTGACTAGACTCACTAGAACCATCCTTCAGATTCCATGTCTGTTAGCACATACCGCACCTAGGTTTTGTGTTTCCACCCATGGGAGTATATAGGTTCATCACCGTTCAAGATGAATACATAGCCTGACACAGCTTTTTGTGTTTCAAGTGACATCCCATCAGCATCTCTGAAGATGTCAAGACCTAGGGTCTCATCTGATGCGCCATAAGTTAGGCAAAGGGTCCAAGTACCCTTGAGATACTGAAGGACACATTTAGCTGCATTCCAGTGTGGATGACCTGGGTTATCAACAAAGCATTGATGAACCTATAGACCCCCGTGGGCAGAAACACAAAACCTAGGTGTGGTATGTGCTGACAGACATGGAATCTGAAGGATGGTTCTAGCGAGTCTAGTCATGGCACCTCCATGCAGTGACTAAAGCCTCCTAAGTTCGGAAAGATAAAGAAATTTCTCTACTAGTAGCGTAGAGGGCAGTAGCAAACTATAAAATTTGCAGGATGGGAAGTAATTGGAAAAGGGATCCTAGAAGAGGCCCTAAAATGAATCAGTAAACGTACAAGGACTATACCTTGTTCCTGTTGCAACTCTAGCTGCAAGTGCAATGAATAAGGACTCTAAAGAGACTGTCCAAGTTCTAGCTGCAAACTCAGAGGCTGTAGTGAATTATTAAACTCATGTGGTAAGGTTGAATCGAAGTGATGAGGATCGGTCTGATACTCAACGAGACTTTCTCTGGCTGCAAGAAAGAGAAGGTGTTGATGGGAGGGATGAAAACACTGTCTCCTAGCTGTGGAAGCAAGCAAATTTGTTTGTGAAGCAAAGCAATAAGAGAGTTTCCTAGTGGCAAGACTCCTAATTACTTTGCATAGAAGAGAGGGATGGGTTGTAAGTGCAAGTAACTGTTAAAGGTTCACCATTGCTTAGAGAAATAAAGGTTTGAGACGAAGTTCTAGCAGCAAAATGTCTTTATTGCGCTACTTCAAGGGTGTATGTTGTATGGTGTAGGTGTTAGAGATCGAAGGTAAGCGTAGAGAATAATCTGGGGTCTGCCTTATTCACTCTCCCTCAGGCTACCAACTTGTGAGCTTAAATACTCGTTATACTGGCTAACTAAGCTACCTTACTCTAGCACTAATATTACTATAGCATAGATTATTCAAGTACTTAGAGACAGAGGCTGAAGATGGTGAAATCCCTGGCAGCAGAAGCAACACAGAACAGAATGATGACCAACCACGAGCAACCCCACCCATAGAAATATGAATAACACACCAACCGATAACACCGATGACCCAACGAAGCTCGCACTATACCAACTCAATGTCAACAAATCCCTACTCGCTCACTCATGCCTCATCAGCCAGATACGACAGGATGACGATCTCATTCTCATACAAGAACCATACATCAGCAAGCAGGGGAAAACGAGGGCAACACAAGGATGGATAGCAGTATACCCCACACATCATGACCAAGATCCCCTTCTAACAAGAGCTGTAACCCTCGTGAACAGGTCTCTATCTACTAACTCATGGTCTAGTGTCCCCATGGATACACAAGATGCAGTGGCAATCAGCCTACGCACGCTAGCAGAAACAATTATTCTCATCAACATTTACAGTGACGGAGAGACTACGGCAACATGGAAGCTCATTAATGACATGCTACAGACCTATGCAGCCTGTCGGCAGGATGAGCGAGGTTTACCATACCGCACCATATTGGCTGGAGACTGGAATGCACATCACCCGATATGGGATGAACCCCGAAACTCACATCTCTTTACAGATCAGGGTCTCCGCAGAGCAGAGCAGCTGTTGTCTCTTGTGGGACATCACCGGCTCAAAATGCCCTTGCCAGCATACATCCCCACACTATGGGCATTCTCAACTGGCAACTACATACAGGTCGACAATGTATTCTGCTCCGACGAACTCTTACCAGCATTCATCAAATGCACAGTTGACCATGCCATGCAACCACCCCGTACCGACCATTTCCCCATCATATCTATCATTGACATCACTCCTCCATGCAACGACTTCGAACCATGCCGGAACTTCCGAAAAGTGGAATGGCCAAAGTTCCATGAAACGTTGGAGACCAGGCTCAAAGATCTGCCATCACCATGTGAAATCAGAACCAAGCAGCAGATGTACGAAACCCTCAACAGACTAGACACCATAGTACAAGAAGTCATTGAGAAGCATGTCCCTTGGACCAAGCCAAGTCCATACGTCAAATGTTGGTGGACCGGGGAACTCTCAGCTCTACGAAAGCGACTGCGCCAGGTGCAGAAAAAGGCGTACGACTTCTGAATGTTTGACGACCACCCTATACAGGAGGAAAAGCGCAAACTACACAACACATATGCCGAGGCAGTTGATCTAGCTAAGACAAAGTGCTGGATGGAATGGCTGGAAAATGCACAGAGCAGAAGCATATGGGATGTATGCAGTTTCATATCCCAACCAATGTCTGATGGGGGGAGATCTAGAGTGCCAGACCTTGTCGTCAAGAGAGAGGGACAACCCATAAGACGGGTATGAGATAATGAAGAAAAGAGTAAGATCTTTCAAAGTACATTCTTCCCTCCCAAACCTGCTATATTGGCAGTACCACGAGATGTACAATACCCACCACCAGCATGGGAGTTTCGCCTCATCACGAATGAACAAATTGAGCGGGCATTCATGCAAATGAAGCCGCTCAAGGCTACAAAACCAGGAACAGTACCAAACTGTGTCCTGTCGCATTGTGCTAACCTTTTAGCCTCACATATAGGCCCAGTATACCGAGCTACATTCATGCTCAAAGAGTATCCTGACATACTCAGTGATACCAACACGATAGTATTGTGCAAACCTGGAAAACCCGACTATGAAGACCCAAATGTGTACCGACCAATAATTCTCTCCAACAGATGGGGAAGAGGACTCCACGCAATGATGAACCAAGACTTGGTAGCTTGGTGTGAACACAAGGGCCTCCTACCAGCATGTCACTTTGGTGGAAGACCAGGGCATTGCACAACTGACTCAATCCACCTACTAGTGTCGACCGTAAAGGACACCTGGAGGAGAGGCGAAGTTGCTACTGTTCTATTCCTTGACGTCAAAGGAGCCTTCCCCAGTGTTGATGTAGACATACTCATCCACGAGATATTAACGTTGGGAATACCAATCCAATATGCGGAATGGCTTCGGAGATGGCTAGGCGGCAGAAAGACAGTCCTAACCTTTGACGACTTCAAATCTATCATAATTGATGTGGCTAACAGGCTTGACCAAGGAGACCCACTTTCACAGGTCCTATACATAATCTACAACTCAAGCGTCATTCAACGTCTCCAGAATGGGGAGGAAAGCTTCCTATTCATAGACGACAAAGCAATCCTAGTCCAGGGCAAGACTTTTGAGGACACCCATCAACACATCAAGGAGATTATGGAGAGGAAGGGTGGCATCCTGGAATGGGCACAAGATCACAACTGCGAAGATGGCATCACAAAATTCCAGCTAGTTGATTTCACACCCAAGACATGAGAAATACAGCCCCAAGAGGACAGGAACAAAACACGTCGACAATGCGAACCTGCAATGGGCCTTCCAATCCACATTGGCCAGCACACAATCTACCCAAAGCCTGTCACCAAATTCCTGGGAGTTTACATCGATGCCGGGCTGCGCTGGAAGGAACAAGGTGCTTCTGCCATGAAGAAAGGCGATGACTGGGTTATCCAATTTCGACAACTAGCACGAGTCAGCTCAGGTGTCTCCAGAGAATGCATGAGACTGACTTACATCTCTATTGCGATTCCTCGCATTTTATATGCTGCTGATGTCTTCTTAAATCCACAGAGAAGAATGAAGAAGAAACGGAAGGACGGCAAAAGCAGTATTCGGACAGTGAACTGCCTAGCAGCTATCCAGAGAAAAGCAGCCATCTTGATCACGGGAGCTATGCGCACAACAGCGGCAGATGTACTAGACATACATGCCAACCTGCTCCCTATGCAGAGACAGGTGGAAGTGTATCGGCACAGAGCACTGGCATGCATGGCGTGTCTACTGCCAGAGCACCTGCTTCACAAAACAGTATGGAAGGCGTCCAATCAATATGTCAAGCGACACAGATCTCCAATCCATGAGATGGCAAGGGACTTCAGTGTGTATCCAGACAAACTGGAGATGATCAAGGCAGTACGATTCCCTCCACACTGGGAATCAAAGGTGGAAGTAGAGGTAGCAGAATCCATGCACGAGGCAATAGCCATGGAACGGACTGACAAGAGCAAAGTCAAGATGTACGGAGACGGATCAGGTATTGACAGATGCATAGGAGCAGCAGCTGTTATCTACAAGGGTGACAGAAGGGTAAAGACATTGCGGATGAGAGTAGGGGAGGCAAAGGAACACGAAGTATATGATGGAGAAGGAATAGTGCTCTCTCTATGCCTAGAGCCACTATGAACGATGAGGAACATTGAAACAGCAACCATCAACCTCAACAACACTGCAGCAATCCAAGTGACAAGACTGGCATGGCCAGCACCATCCCATCATATCCTCGACCTCTTCCACAAATGAATCAACATGGTGTTACAACGACATCCAAGAATGAAGATCAAGATCTGGTGGGTTCCAGGACACCAAGGAATTGCAGGAAATGAGGCAGCAGATGTAGAAGTGAAAGCGGCAGCCTGAGGTGATGTGAGCAAGCTGCAAACCCTCCCTGCACCACTATGTAAACCAATCCCTCACAACAAGACATCGTTACTCCAGGAGTTCTATGCTGAGCAGAAAAGAAAAGCTGACAGAGCTTGGAGAAAGTCACCCTGCTTCTCCAAGTTCTGAACCATCGACTCAGCATCTGCTCAGAAAGCTGCATGCCAGTACAGGAAGCTGGCCACCTCCTTACCATGCAAAATCACCAGTATATTGGTGCAGCTTCATACCGGACACGTCGGGCTAAATTGCCATCTCTTCAACATACGCCAAATCGAATCTCCCGCATGCCCTAAGTGCCTGCATCCCAACGAGTCTGTACACAACTACCTTATCCGATGCCCTGCTTACCAAGCTGAATGCAATATACTGCAATATGCCATGGGTGTCAGAGGTACAAGGATGACAGTAAAACACATACTGAACAGCAGAAAGGACATCCTGCACCTAATCCATTATCTTAACGCCACTTGTCGATTCGAGACAACGTTTGGATCCTTCCCAGATGTTGAGATAGAAGATGATGAAGAAGAACGATAACCTAAAGGAGGAAACAAAAGGTGATGAACAACAATAGGTGATAACGGATGCCCATCCACCCCTGATACATGATGCAATACAGCAACATCGGGATGGACATGAGAAATCTCGCAATGGACACTGATGTGACCGTTAGTTGTGACAAAACAATATGCAGACCACAAAGCGCAATGTATAAATACATAGCACGATCCAACCATACATATACGTGTAGGATATAGTACAAACAGTACAAATACAGAACAAAAAAAAAAAAAAAAAAATTCAAGTACTTACTTAGCAAAGGTTGGTAAGTATGCACAGTTACTGCACCTAAGGCTATACTAATGTGACTAAGAGTTCTCACTAACCAGATCTCCAATACTTCGATGAATAATTTTCTATGGCTGCGGCTGACTTGCTGTAGTTTTAGCTACGTGACGCGTTTTGCAAGGCTGCATGTGGATAATTTGTGACCACAGGGATGTTTCACATGTGGTGGCAGTGCTAGTTCTAGACTGCAAGGCACAAAGTCCATGGGGAGAAGGGAAGGATCGATAGGGCCAATGCCAATGACATCATATGCAAATCACTAACTTCACGTGCTGAACACCAATTGACTTGGTTTAAATTGCATCTTGCTTGCAATCATTGAATTAGGGAAAGTCCGCTATAGGGACAAAGGTGATAAATTGTAGGTTGTGTCCATGATTTCAGAGCACACAGAGCCTAGAGGCTCATCATCTCCCCCTGACTATAATTTTTAATTGCACTGTCATCATGTTGTCATTGTCATGAACTTCTTTTCATTTAGTGAGTCAGAAGAAGCCAGTTCAGAACTGATATGCATGGTTTTTGCCATCAAATTGGGATCGATATGTGCCTGGTTGTTGCACTGATGGCGAGATAGAAAACACGCTGACTTCTTTTGTCGCGAAGTTTCAACTTCTCATGAATAGTAGGAATGTTGTATAACTTCTCTGTGTCTTGTTCATGTAGTCTCTGTCAGTGTCAGTCATGGCTCGTGCACACTGGTTGAAGTATAAAGGTCACGTAGTTCTCTTCCTCATTCTTCACTTTCGCCGTTTGCGAAGTTTTTAGTAGTGTACCATGTCAACTCCTTTTTATAATTCTCTCTTTCTCCTTGCTTATCTCATAGAAAACCCTCCCAATAGTTCAGGGAGTGCACCATTGACCAATGACTGGGCTAGTGAGGCCTTCACTCATTGGTCACACTTGGATACCACGTGGCAAGAGAATGAAGCGGGGTTCTTGTCTGAGGAGGAGTGGGCACTGTTAGAGGATAGCTTGTGGTGTGTCCTGATGGACGTTGATATGGAGGAAGTCAAAAATTCGATTGAAGACTTCAATTCTCTGGCGGCTGAAACGGTGAGTACTTTTCCCGACTTTTCTCGTTCTCGACTAATTTTGACTTTCTTTTTAGACGGAGCATGGGGTTCAGGTCGACTTGATTACAATGCCAGGTTCTCCACCAGCTAGTGATGATGAAAGATCGCGTACTCCTCATCCTGCAGATTATCTTTCTCAAGAGCCTGGCCTCCTTTGTTCAGTTCTTGAAGGTAAGTCCTTGCGAATTTTTCTTTCTTCTCATTACTCATTTATTTTGTCAGCCTCCAACTCTCCTCCCCTGCAGGACTACGTCTTGGAGGGTATCGCACCATCCCTTTCCACTGAGTCTATTGTAGAAGGTATGTTTTGTTTGTGACTTCATTTCCTTTATTGATTAGAATATTTCGCCAGATACCCCCACTCGTTCTCTTCATCCTCATGTGCAAGGTCATGCAGTTATGGCTTTGGAGGTGTCAGGTTCGACTGATGCAATTATTTCATGTGCTTATGGTCTGGGCACCAGCACTGTTCGTTACGTTGATTGGCGCTTACTTGCTGCAGAAGGAATTCCTGAGGAAGAAGTCGTTATTCCTGCAAAGCATCGCCGTGTTGAGGATTCGCCTCCCCAGTTGACTGCTGAAGAAAAAGGGAAAGGTCATGCCATGGCTAGTTCGTGTAAGTGTTTCTTTATTTGTTGCAAATTTATGACTGATTCATATTTTGTTTAGCTACTCCTGGCCTTCGCAGAGGTTGTCCCCATAATATTCACGAAGAGTCTGCCTCCGTGACTCACAAACATGGAGGTTTAGGTGAACCTATCCCCAAGAATGCACGTGAAATCCAAAGTCCGGATCTTCGTCCCATTGACTTGATCATTCCTGATCAAGATTTTGGTGATTACCTCGGTTGCCAAGGCACATATTTTAGATGCGATATTGCCCACAAGTTCGGGCACTTTGTAAGTCTTTAGTTTTGTGCATTGTGAATTTTCTTGGCTGACCCTTGTAACTGTTTTAGATGAGTACGCCTTGTGATGCCTGCAAGAAGGCCAAGGCCCAGTGCTGCAGTGTTCAGTCTGCCTCTACCAAGTGTGCGCGATGTGCTATTCACAAGCATGATTGCTTGGTAGATGTTAACCATGAAGTTAACATTCTGGAATGGGTCTTTGTCCCTCAACCTTGTAAGTCTTTTTCTTTCTTTTAACGGGTTTTTGTTAACTTCGAAACTTCGCTAGCTATCGTTACTGAAATCTGTGAATTTCTTCGTCGCATCCATCAAGAGGCTTGCAGAATCAATGCTTCTGACAGGCCTATTCCCTCTTTGCATCGGGCGGCCCATCTTGACAATGCCAATTTAGTTTCTGAATTATTTGAGAAAGCCATTGTCCAAAACGAGTCTCTAATTGATGACGAGGCTATTGAATCAAACGGTGAAGGTGAAGAAGGCGATGACAAGGCCAAGGAGTCTAATGGTGAGGGGGAGGACTTGGATGAACTCGAAGATTAAATTCGTGACTTCTTGGGCCTGACTTTTCTTGGGAAAGATTGGACTTTTGTAATATATTTTATATTGTCATCTACTTGTAGCACTTTGGAGTGCAAACCAATTCACATTATATTATCTTGGACTTTTTAGACTGAGTTGTGAATTCAAGACTAGGTGGTGATTATACGGGCTCGAACTTATTAGTTTGTGTGTGGTCATGTGATGATGTAAGTAATCATGAGTGATGACCTTCCATCTTTGGAAAAGTCCGAGTTTATATTTTTAGAAATGATGAGGTGGTGTCATAGGCAAGGCTGCTGTTTGCTTTGCCTGTTCCTTTTGTCATCAAATCGGCACCTTGCATAGTCATAAGTTCTTTACTAATGTTCGTATTAGCAACTTCTCTTTCACCAGTTATTTTTATCTTTACTGGATTGGGATTTATCGTGTGTTTTCTTTGAGAGTAGTGCTGAAAGAAATTTCGCATTTTCTCATTGATTTTCTTTCATAAGTTCGCGAAATTTTGGGTTCAGAGGGATGTATGGTATGCCACATGTATTATTCACATGTCACAACATGGTAACATGTCCCCTCCCCCTGACTATGAATTTTTCACTGTTTTGACTAGTGAATTATTTAGAACTCAGAGGAATATTGTTCAGGAGCCGGTATCATGATGGGCTTGCGAATATTCAAGGCATAATGCGACGTGATTGGTGCTGGGGCTGTATTCTGGTATGATACGTAGAATTTTCAAGTCCACAATGAATGTTGAATCAGCAGATTTTTCCGCCACCACTAGTTTTTCTTGTATAAAAGGCGGTTCCCTTAGCGAATTTTATTCTTCGTCAAGTCAATGACTGCTATTTCTTTCCCTCCTAAACCTCCCCCACTTTCCGAGGTTATTTCTCGCCTTGAGGACCTTGTTTCCATTCAAGTCCCCAAGTCTGCATCGCCTGAGAAGGTGGACGAGTGGTTCAAGGCCGCATGACAAGTCATTGTACGTCGTTTATTGCTATCGCAAATTTTTAAAAGCTAGAGTGCCTATTTCCAGGACCAGATTACCATTCACTATAACGATATTCGTGGGTCCCAATCTCTTACTAGGTTGACTCGTAAGATCACCATCTTACTTCACATTCATGATTATTATAATGCATGGGCATGTTTGCAACTACACTCTCGATGTGGAGGTTCCACTTTTGACAGTTCTCTGTCTCCTCTCTCTCTCCTGCTCGAGGGCTTCTGTGAACTGCCTCTGCGTTTCCCATCTCCACTGCTGTCTCCTTCTGACGACGATGACCCTATGTCTGGCCCCAACCCCTCTCCTTGTGTCATACAAGGTTCGCCATCCTGGGGTCGTTCCTCCTGGTCCACTACAACTTCACATCCCTCGTCCGATGACAAGAATGCTACTGTTTATGGAACTACACCTTTGATTTCGAAGGGTCCGGGTTCTAAGATGAATGGATCTGAAGCTGGTGGTTGGGTAAGTTTCCCTAATGTTTTAATTCGCTTCTTTACTTAATCAACTTCTTATAATAGTTTGCTACTGGTCCCGGTGATTGGGATCCACTACCGACTATCGAAGATTTGGCTGCTAAGCAAGGTACCTTAGGTGATGCCCAGGCTATCGCTGACAAGATTTCTGAGCGAGTCGCACCTCACACTATGTTTGAGGGTCAGACTTGAGGGTCTTCATTCTGTGCCTTCTGCAGTGGCACCCCTCATCATGCTGCACATGAGTGTCCAGCCAGGAGTACCAAGGTTATTAACTTTTTTTTTTTTTTTTGCGAATATTTCTTTTACTTATTATGGATTATTTAATGCGCAGGCTTTCCGTCCTTGCATTCCTTGCTTGTCCAAGCACGAAGAATGCACCTTTGTGAGTTTGAAGGTTGATTGTACCAACTGCTCCCACCACTGGGGAAGGACTTGCATAGGAGGTGTTCCCGATTGGAATTCTCTTGCCTTTCCTTTCTGTTGTTGCGACTGCAGCCTATTTACGCATGTAATTTTGCAATCTAGAGTGTTTTACACGCATACTGAGAGATAGTGAGCGAGCGGACTAAAACTACGCGTTGACACTAATGCTACATGGTGCAATGATATGGAATATAACTTATGGCATAAGAAGCAACAGGATTCTAAACAGGACTTAGTCACAGCACTGTACCTGATGGGCATGTGTGATGAGAAGGCCAAACCCTATACCCAATGCCTTAGGCTCTAACTTACAAGCACACTCATGGGAGCTAGATAAAACCTTGAAGATTGCACTGACACTGTGAACACTTAGCGTGCTCACTAACTGTGACACGCTATACCTGAAAATCCGGGGAAATCCTTAAGTGAGCTGACAGATATCACCAGCACGAGCTTGGGCAATGGGCTTCGGCCAAAGTCCACGAGCCCGTGTTCCATTGTTCTGAGTCCCATTGTTCGAAGACTCACTTGTTGCTGTGTCTACGAGAAGCCTCTGTGAATCCAAGAAAGAAGTCCTGAATGACATACACCAGAACTGATAGTTTCATGCACCTAGACCTGTCGGTCGCTAGAGAACAAGCCTGCGGGTGTCGGGAGAGCACCTCTTGGCACGCGTTTAGCGAGCTCACTATAGAAATGAGACTAAAACTGGGAAGTCTGACTCGGATGCTCAGTAAGGCGGCAGTGGCAATGTGCTACGCATGTAGGAGTCTGGGTACTGCGCGACGTTTGTAATTCTAATTCCCCTGTAGTATAAGTAGGTTGGTTACAGTAGGTAGAGGAAAGTTTCGAGCCCCCGAGTTCCCATGCACGCGTTGAAGGCGGTACTGTAACAAAGGATCAGTTTGTGACTTTGAGCTGTGCATAGAATTAGCGAGCTCACTCAGAGAAATACGAGATACCCTTTTGATAAGACTTTTGAGAACTTAGTCAGAGTGAATACGAATCAGTGACGCTGTTTCTGTTCTGTTAAGTGTGATAAGTCTGTTCGGAGAATGTGTTGAAGTGGAAATCTGAGATCTGTTCTGTTCTGTTCTGTTCTGTTCTGTTTCAGTCTGTTCCATGTCAGTTCTGTTTGGAGTTCCATTTCTGAATCTGTTTTCCGAGTGCTTCTGAAGTGTTCTTGAGTTGAGATAACCTGCTGGAGTTAGTTGGAGAACCCCTACATACAGTTGTGTAGCGAGCAGGCTAAGTCAGTGCTTGCCTGTGGTGTTCTTTTAGCGAGCTCACTAAAGTTTCGGCATGTATTGCCTCTGTTTCTGTTGGGATCAGTGTCCCTTGTGTATTATAACTCAAATCTGCCTTGAAGGTTGCGTCGTGCCAGTGAACGACCTTCCTGTAAAAAGTTCCTAGACTTAGGAATTCATTAGAGAAAGCTTAGCTTTGCTAAGAGCACTGAGAATAAGAGAAACTCTTCGAGATATTGAAGTATAGTTGGGTCGCATTAGAAATAATCGCTCCCCCTAGAACTTACGAGGGTGATTGTAGTTTGTGTAGTTGTGTGAGTGTGTGTGTGGGTTTTTGAGGTTCGCCTTTTAGCCCGCTCACTATTCCACAGGTGCCCACAGCCAGCCTCTTCACCGTGGTGACTTGAGTGAGGACATCGATGCCCTTTCTGAACAGTTGGAGAAGCTTAGCCTCGCTGCTACCCCTTATGGTCCTATCAGAGGTGAGTTTTAAGATTCGCATCTCCGATCTTTATTTAACTGTCACCCTTTTTGATAACCAGGCGTAGTGATGGTACCTATGAGGCGCAGGATGTCGAAGACTCTGCCAAGGCCTATGTGGCTCTTAACTGGCACCAGCTCACATTTAATGGCCCTGAGACCCTTGCTTCATTAGTGGCCTCGCACGACTCTTTGTTCAGTCGTATCGAGGTGAATTCTCATGAATTATTTGCTTTATTAAAGGTTTGCCAGACATTGATCACCGAGTTCTGTGTTGTCAAGGCCAAGTTGGACAAAAAGTGCTCCAATCCCTCTAACACCTTCAGTCCCGCTTCCGCTCACTGTGCTCCTGGCGACAAGAAAGGGAAGGGTAAGGCTGAGGCTTGGTGGTAGATTTCAAACTTTTTAAATTGTGATGAATGATTCAGGCCAAAATGGACCTATTAACACGTAGTATCCCATATTGCACACTCCCCACTCTGTGCTGTTCAACCAGCGATGTATAATTATTCTGTAACGACTGTAGTAGTCGAGTACCCCACTGACCCCAAATAATTTTACAAGGGTTCAACATCCAAACACATGGTGTGATCAAATGAGTTCAGCTTCATTGTGATCTTCCTCTTGGTCCAGTAAGCCTTCCAAAGTATCATCAAGATCAGATTTGAATAATTGTTTCATGCAGGCTTCGGGTACGTCAACTATCTTTTCAATGTCAGGGAGATCAATCTTTTTACGTGCAAAATACGGGACCAATCTAAAGGCTGCCACTGGCCTGGCAAACATCGAACCATCTAATTCGCAAAGGACATATGCTCCTCCCTTATTACGGCCAAGAACCACTAATGGTCCTAGGTATCTAGGGCGCATTTTTCTGTTCAAGGCTTTTTCAATCTGGGTATTCCTCATTAATACAAGGCTACCCTTTTCAAAATCAAAGTCCTTGATAGAGTATAGATAGTCCTCTTCAAATTTTAAAGCCGTGCATCGTCTGGCTTTATAGACTTTGGATCTGATTGTCATGAATTCACCCCTATTTTTTGCCTTATCTTATCTCATCTTATCTTATCTCAGCAACTCGTCATTCAACTCTTGTCATCATTCCTCATACCTGACCTGCATCATTCATGACCTGATCAATCACACGCATGATCCACCACTCACATGCATGATCCGTTTGATGGCCCATGGGTCCGATCACACTCCTATGAGCCTAACCCTCCTTCACCCAGTCATGCTTCTTTAGGTCGACTCTGATCACACCCTAGGGTGGATAAGCTGCCATGAACACTCCTTAGAAGACCATGACCTATGGACGCTAGTCTTCTTACTCGCAGGAGGACTTCTCCTATACCAAACACCATACGATACAGAAGACAGTGCTACACTGGGACCATACACATTGAGACACAGGAACAGTACATACTAGTAAATACCACAATGTATTTAAACGAGCCTTGCTGCAGTCTTACACCCCAGCTTCAGCTAAAGTTATACACTCCTAACTTTTCACGCAGAAACTCACTGCTTCCAAGACTAAAGACTATCGTTTCTGACCCAGCGATTGCAATACCCTCTTCACAACTGAATCACCAAATGCGAGTGACAGTTTAGAGGCAAACGTTGTACAATCCAAGTTAGTGCATTACACTGATCCTTTCTAAATCTTCTGCTCGTTTCTGAAGACTGATAGCTCTCCGAACTATTAATGATGTAGAATTTATTATATTCATGGGGGGAGGCATTAACCAAGTTGATTCCACGATGTCTAAAGGTAACACCAGTTCTGTTCCAGTTGCTGCGAAGTAAGGTGAACATCCCATGTGTTTTTGCGTAGTAATTCGGTCTGCCCAGAAGACTGAGTATGCATTCTGACTCCACTTCTTCTGGTCACCGCCTGATGCTTTGAATAGTCCTTGTCATACATCAAAATGCAGTCTTTCAGAAATTCCATTGGCTCACGAATTATATCCCGAAATTCTGATATGATTAATGTGGTACTTCTTGCTCAAATATCCTATTGCAGCAACGAATGCCTTGCCATTATCCGTAACGATTTTGCTTAAAGCACCCCATCTGCACAAAATATCTTCGAAAATCCATTCCCCAATAGTTTGTGCAGTTTCTTTTCGCAAACATCTGAACTCGGGATAATGGCTCAAGGAGCATCTGCCTTGTATGATGTATTTGTACTGCCTGACATAGGCATTATCATCATATCCATGTACATTTTTGAGAATAGTGGTGCAGGGATGGCAACCATCGGTGGAAGATATATTTGTCTGGTCTGGCGTACTTGACAAATGTGACAAGTTCGCACATACCATGCAATATCGAACTTCATATCAGGCCACCAATAGTGACATTTGATTAATTCGTGAGTTGCATAGAATCCTTTGTGAGCTACTTCATCGTGATAGGCCACTATTGCTTTAATTCGCTGGGATTTGGGAAGTACTAGACAATGTTTCCCTTGCGAATTTTTATGCCAAAGTTTGCCATCTTTCTCGAAGAAGTTTACCACATATTTCATAAACTTTGTATAATCTTCATCATCATATCCTAAGGGATGCTTGAATTCTAGGTGCCAGGGTAAGATGTGGGATAGTCGTTCATCTAGCAAATTTTGCTGTTTGCTGTGGAGAATATCATTGTATGAGAATGATTCTTCTTCTTCTTCTTCTTGCGAATTTTCTGCTTCGCTGAGTATTAATGAAAGCACAGGGGTCTTATAGGAGTGAAGCGTATTTATTAATCTGTAATGAGTGTGTAAGAAATCGTCTAATCCATCTTCAGGCAAGGGTGGATCTCCTTCCTGAGGTGGTCATCGAGATAATCCGTCTGGGCCATGTCTTGTACCGGGAACATGTACTAAGACGAAATGAAAGGAAAGAATCCCAATAATCCAACAGTTTACGGCTGCAGACAGTGCAATATCAGGGTTCTTGAGCATCCCCTTGATTGCACTCGTGTCTACTTCTACCACAAACATAGGTAGACCTATCAGGTAAAGTTTACAATCTCCTAACGCTCGATAGAGGCCATATATTTCTCTCTTTGCTTGAGAATATGTGCACTCTCTAGCACCGAGTGTTAAGGATCCAAAACACGTGAAGTATCTGATAGATGGATCTTTGGAATCACATTGGGCAAGAAAATACCCAACAGCTGCAGGGCCAGTATCAACAGCAAGGATTACTGCGCCTTTCAAATTATAATCTAATGGCCTGAGAGCTGGGCTGTTTCTGATGGCTTCCTTCAAGTCTTCTTGAGCTTTTATCTCTTCTTCTCCGAATTGAAACTCTACCCTTTTGCGAAATAATTTGGTTAAGGGTAAAGATTGTTCCGTGAAGTTTTCAATAAAATTTCGCAATACTCCAGCAGTTCCTATGAAAGCTCTAGTGTCTGAGAGGTCTTTACATGGACCCCAACGAAGTATTGGGTCTACAATGCTTTCGAGAGGTAGGCGATCTTGATAAGTACAACGATGCCCAATGACCATAATTTCTGGGCAACATAAATACGCTTTCTTTCCTGAGAAAGTCCCTCCACAATATTTCATTCGCTGGACCACTCTATTTAAATTTGCAAAGTGTTCCAAAATGAATCTATGGATACCTGAATTTTCAGGTATAGTCTCATAGCCCTCTGGAATTTCATAGCGAGTGGCGGGTCCTCTGACTGGAACGTCATCAATGTAAGGAATGGTATATTCGGGGATTTCAGGTTGTAAGATAAAAGTAACATCGTCATGGAATATTGGAACTGAATTAGTCCATCCCATGGGTAAGGTTACCAATCTCAAGGCACCGTACGGAGTTTGGAAGGTAGTGAGGTCTCTGGATGACTCAGCAAGCAAATGCTCATCATATCCTATGAAGAGATCTAAGGTTGCTCCACAGGCTCTTCCTGCAAAATTTTCTGAGAGCTGATCTATAGTAGGAGGTAATCCAGAATGCATGATGGTTACTTTGTTGAGAGGTTCCAAACTGTGTACTATTCGTAGGCTTTTACCATCCTTCTTCAGGACAGCAAACCAACGCAAATGATATGAAGAGTTGGAGGGCTCATATACTCCTGCTTCAATCTTGGTCTTGATAATCTTGCAAATTTTGCTATAAATTCTGGGTGGTATGGGCATATTTCGTAACACCCAAGGTGTGTGTTCGACTACTGGAATATTGATGGGAGGGAAGAAATCTTTTCTAAGACTTCCTCGTTCAGAATCCTCCCAGGCGAAGGCCTGATTCTGTAGGCACATGAAATGATGCATAAGTTTCCATTCTTCTTCCCATAGGAAGCCTTCTTTGTGTATTGAGTTGATGTACTCTTTTCTCTCCTGCGTGTATCTTCCTGTAGGTGTATATTCGGGAGGCGAAGTTAATAGTTCGGGCATATCCTTTAAGGAATCACCAGTGATATTGCGAACTATTCAGAATTTGCTAGGTAGAGTAGCTAAGACAGGTTTGACCTTCAAGGCTATGGGCTTGTACTTCTTGCTAGCGTATATTGAAGCAGTCTTATCGAACCAGGGCTCATAGTGTTCATCTCCAATTATATTAGAGCCATATAGATTATACATGTACTCGAGGGGTTGAGAAATGAATGGAGTAGGGGGTGGTTTATGAGTAGGGTTTGATATAGAATATATGGGCATAGTCTTCATTGAATCTTTATTGAAGTGAAATTTCATGAGAGGTCTAGGGGATTCGTTTGTAACATGATTCGAAGCGGGGATAAGAATTTGAGTGGGATCACAGGCTGCTAGGTACTGAGATGGGATTTGCGAGTTTTCAAAATGTTGTGCCTTCACATAGGCAGAAATGATTGGGTTTTGCATATTATCTAATTCGATTATGAGGGCTACCTCTTCCTGGTCATCTAGCTGATCTTCTAGTCAAGGATCAGCTTCTGTCAGGTTGGTTAGGAGCCTGAGGCAGCCGCATTGCAGAGTAGGAATAGTCACGGTTTTCCCCGTATTAGGATCATGGATGATGATGGTCTGATCCTGATTCTCGTAATTGTGAACTATGCTCCTCATAAGCATGTCAAAAGGTCTGCTGAGTAGGATATCATATGCAGGGTCCCTCAGAATATGCACTTGAAGATAGAGCGTAATATCTCCCAATAAGAAAGGTATGTTACATGCCAATCCTAGCGAACTATTTAAAGTTCCATTGGCGGATTGCATTTCTATCAGTACCATAGGATCGTAGGCTAGTCCTAGCTTATGGCACACAGCTTCGGACATGGAGATAACTTGGGATCCGGGATCAATGATGCATTCGACCTTCTGCTGATGGTCTACGACTGGGAAAATAGACCACAAGGCAATAGATTTGGCTGCGCATTTAAGTGGGCCAATCTTTTCACCTCTTTTGATCTGTTGTTCGAAAGGGTCTTCAATGACTAGCGAACCCTTAGGAAGGTCATTGCGAACTTTTTCTATGGCAGACTGTTCGAACGTTTGTACAACATTCTTTGGAGCGCTATAGAGTAGAGTAGAACTTTTCTCATTCTGAGGCAACGATACAGTTATTTCAACTGTCTTTGGACCCATGTATGATAAAGGTATATCCCCTTTGAAATGCTCCACTGTGGGCGGAACTTTCCATCACATAATATCTTCTTTAGTCATATCACAAATCTCAGGTGATAGTGAATAAAGTTCACGTTGAGAGAGGGTAACCGTGGAATCTAAGGCATGCTTGTATACATTGTGAGCCACTAAGGCATCCTCAATGGGAGCTTTAGTTCTATATGCAGGGTCTTGTTCTTTAGCCTTCTTGCGATAATCAGGCTTTGCACCAGTGTTTCGGTTAATGGGTGGAGCATAATTTGTGGGTCTAGCTGAAGCAAATGGATGAATGTCTTCGGGGATAACTTCATTCACAGGTAAATCAATTCTTGGTTCTTCTGTTATGTGGCATTGTGGCATAGGTAGAGCTGGTACCGAAGCCGGTGCTTTGGTAGTCTCTTTCTGGTTTTGCGAAGTTTTTGCTTCGCCTGCAGACGGGAGGTACGACTTAATAGCTTCTGCAGCTACCTTATCATCCTTCTCAGTCTGAGGGGGAACAGAGGTATCATTCTCATCTTCCAAATCAGATACTTCGGTTAATGATGGCATGTCATCATAATCTGGGGTAAGTTCTTGATCATATTCGTCACCCTTTTTCTGAGTAACTGAAGTATCAGGGTCAGCAATGGCATCTGCAGCCACTTTTTGGCTGGTTCGCATAGTCCATCCCATATTTTTAGGTATGGAAGGAGAAGTAGTGGAAGTTTTCTCTGTTGTAGACTTTGGGGGAAGCTCAGCCTCCTTTTGAGGAGCTGGAGCTTTACGAACTATCTGAGGAACACAAACTTCTACCTGTTTAATCCAGGTTTTAAGTGCGTCATCCCCTGATGCTTCAGCGTACTCTTGTAGGCTGCAAATTTCCGATTTGATAGACCCAGATTTGGTAAGGAGTTCCTCAATGCGTTGCATAATATTAACGCTTTGAGTAACCGAATTCACCATTTGAGCAACTGGCTGCGAACTTGGTTGGATTGTAGCAGGTTCCTTGATGGTCTGCATTAATGTGCTAACAGCACCCAATTGTCCTGGGTTCTGACAGTGATATTCCTCGATTTTCTCCATCATACAGTTGCCTGGTAAGCTTCTCGGTGGGTAAATTCCAATAGGCAACACAATGTGGTTAACATTGTTCCTGCGACATTTCCCTGCCCAAATCATCCCTTCGATCTCAGTGCAATTGTTCAAGAAGTGGCCAGGTTTGCCACAGAAACCACAATTTCCATCTCTCGGGGTATTGGAATATGAGGCCTGAGGTTGTGAATTAAAGCTTCAACATGCCTCCTGCTGCTGTCTTTCTTGTTTATCTCATATTTGAAGCTGAGCTAACTGCGCAATTTTATCCTCAATGGCTTGGAGGTGTAAGGCTATTTTAGAAGGTTCAGATTTTATTATCACCGGATCTGGAACCGGGGCCAGGGTAAAAGTGGGTTGCAAATTAATTGGTGCAGGAGCGACATTATAGCTGGAAAAGCCATTATCTGCATAACGAACGTGAGGTGTACTCGTGTAAAGACTTTCACCATGGTTGGTCCCTTGCAGGACAAACTGAGCAGCCTCATAAATCTCGTTTAACATGTACGGGTCGGAAGGATGATGGTCTGGCAGCTTGATTTGTAGACGATGCATAATACCATCCCAAATATGCTTGGGAAAACCTTTACTGAACAAATTTCCAGTTTCTGAACTAGAAAGCCGGTTCTTGGCTTCGAGGAACTGAGCTTTGGGGTAGAACTCTCGGTAATATGTTCCTAAAACCGCCAATGTAGAAACTTCATGAGCATATTTCCCAATGACTCTTTCGAGATCCATATGCTCGTATTTGCAGTTGGTGTCTGCATCAGGGTATTGCTTCAATATGGCGTTTTTGAAGTCGTCATATGTCATATTCGCATTATTATATTCGCGAAGGCTTTCCCAAAAGTCGGCGACAGCGACACTGGGATAATGGGTAAGCCATCTCTTTTTCTCCTGATCATTGGTAATGGAATGACGAGAGAAAAGTGACTCCAAATCCTGTAGATAACGCGAAAGTTCGCGTCCAGGATTGGCTTCATCATAGATAGCGGGTGCACTGCGGTCTCTCCTATAAGGCATCTGCATGCTCATAGTTACTGCAGGCATAGGAGGTGGGTTCTGATTCTGTCCTCCCGTGACATTTCCTGGTGCAGGATTTGGCAGGGGTGCGGGCTGGTTGGCTGCTGCTTGTCCGGACATAGTAGATGGAAGGTTTACTTGGATAGTAGTGCGGGTTGCGAAAGGTGGTCTGGTGAAAGAAGGAGGTAAATCTTCTTCTGGGGTGGATAATGGAGTGGTTAACTGGATGGGCGAATTTAATCTGGAAGATAATTCGCTAGAGTCGGTACGTTCAGTATCGACACTTAATCTTCTTTCAAACTCTGCAAAATTAAACTCTTCGTTCGAGTCTGGTGGATAAGCAAAGTCTGATGTGGGAGTCTGTTTTCCTGTGGTATTATATGCAGTAGGAAAAAATTCGGTAGTGGTTGGTTGTAGACTAGAGATGACTTCGTCTTCTTCTGATAAATCAAAAGATTCAATGGTCCAGATGTCTAGTCTGTGATCATAGAAGTCTCCTGGAACGATAGGATGATCTTCTTCGGTTTTAATAGGAAGTGTGGAGGTACTGGTGACTGGTTGGGATACAACAGCAGGTTCAGAGGATTCTGGTTTCAAATGCTCTGTATCTCATAAGGGTCACGAAGTAGTTAGTTGATAGGGTTTGTTATGACCAAAACTCTTTGGGGGAGCAATGGTGAAGGCAGGAAATTAGGATGCAAAGTCAGTTTGACTATTACACCCTCGCAGTGGGCTCCAAAATGATGAACCTATAGACTCCTGTGGGCAGAAACACAAAACCCTAGGTGCGGTATGTGTTAACAGACACGGAATCTGAAGGATGGTTCTAGCAAGTCTAGTCAGGGCACCTTCATGCGGTGACTAAAGCTTCCTAAGTTCAGAAAGATAAAGAAATTTCTCTACTAGTAGTGTAGAGGGCAGTAGTGAACTATAAAATTTGCAGGATGGGAAGTAATTGGAAAAGGGATCCTAGAAGAGGCCCTAAAATGAATCAGTAAATGTACAAGGACTATACCTTGTTCCTGTTGCAACTCTAGCTGTGAGTGCAACAAATAAGAGCTCTAAAGAGACTGTCCAAGTTCTAGCTGCAAACTCAGAGGCTGTAGCAAATTATTTAACTCGCATGGTAGGATTGAATCGAAGTGATGAGGATTGGTCTGATACTCAACAAGACTTTCTCTGGCTGCGAGAAAGAGAAGGCATTGATGGGAGGGATGAAAATGCTGTCTCCTAGCTGTGGAAGCAAGCAAATTTGTTTGCGAAGCAAAGCAATAAGAGAGTTTCCTAGTGGCAAGACTCCTAATTACTTTGCGTAGAAGAGAGGGATGGGTTGTAAGTGCAAGTAACTGTTAAAGGTTCACCGTTGCTTAGAGAAATAAAGGTTTGAGACGAAGTTCTAACAGCAAAATGTCTTTATTGTGCTACTTCAAGGGTGTATGTTGTATGGTGTAGGTGTTAGAGATCGAAGGTAAGCATAGAGAATAATCTGGGGTCTCCCTTCTTCACTCTATACATTTCTAAACTCGCGAACTTAAATACTCGCTACACTGGCTAACTAAGCTACCTTACTCTAGCACTAAGATTACTATAGCGCACATTATTCAAGTTTTTACTTAGCAAAGTTTGTAAGTATGCACAGTTACTGCACCTAAGGCTATACTAATATTACCAAGAGTCCTCACTAATCAGCTTTCCAATACTTTCAATGATTAACTCTCTATGGCTGCAGCTGACTTGCTGTAGTTCTAACTACGCGACGCGTTTTGTAAGGCCGCACATGGATAATTTGTGACCACAGGGGAGGTTTCACGTGTGGTGGCAGTGCAGATTCTAGACTACGAGGCACAATATCCGCAGGGAGAAGGGAAGGATCGATAGGGCCAATGCCAATGACATCATATGCAAATCACTAACTTCGCGTGCTGAACACCAATTGACTTGGTTTAAATTGCATCTTGCCTGCAATCATTGAATTAGGGAAAGTCCACTATAGGGACAAAGGTGATAAATTGTAGGTTGTGTCTGCGATTTCAGAGCGCACAGAGCCTAGAGGCTCATCACTGTCACCGTATAGTACGGTTGTATGGGTGCCATCATACGGGTACTGTATCCATTCCGTCTGGTGAAAGACTTTGCCCAGACACAGATGGTAGACGGATATCCCATCGCCCATTAACAACCATATAAAGACGGCCATTATACGGCACTCGATGGCCATGTGGGTTGTCTAAAAATAACCCTCATCAGAGCATGCTATACGTGTGTTTACCATGTGCTCAACATCATACCACAATGCACTAGCACTGCGATCTCTTCAACACTACAGCTAGCTCTTATTTTGCTCACTCACATGAAGCTCTATTTCTTATGGCAGGCATAAATACTTGCTCTTCCCTACTTCTGCTGCCTCTGCCCTACTCCTGTTCATCCCTTTACTACTCGCTCATGTTTCAAAATACATTGCCCACGGGTGGCTGGTGCACCTGTCAAATATGGCAAGTAATACATTTTCCCACTACCTTATGGCTGTCTATATACCCATACCATACCATCAGCCTAGTTCTGAGAGCCTTGACGGTACGGTATACGGACCAGCCATCGCCCGTCACTGTACCGTGGCTATATGGCCGTATACCGTATACGGTACGGTGCGAAGCCCTACTGTGTGCTTGTAAACAGTCAGGAATCTGTTTACAAGGATGACAGGAAGGGCTTATTCAGATGGCGCTATGTAATATGTCATAAGGCCATATGTTTTCTGAATTCATTTCTGGATATCACCATTGAGAGTAAGCAGTGATTCAGAGGAAGACATTCAGTTCAATAACAGACGAAAGGTCTATTGGTGATCAAGCCAAGGAAGCCTGCAGGGGCTGGAAGAGGGTGATGCAACCCTCTGCATGTCACAGGAAAGCAGAATGAACAGGGCCGTCGAGGATGAGAAGGGAGGTATTTTGAGAGGGGAAAGGCACAGGCACTGATGCATGAGTATTCGGGATCAAGATTTGCACAAGAGATCAAACCAGCGCAACGTGAGGCCAGGAACACAACATAGCTCCACTATGAGGTCATAGCCTGCGAAATGGGGTGCAGCAGCAACAATGACAAGAAGGGCAGGAATTGAGGGATAGGTGGGTACGAAAAGCCAGGGGGCAACGAACTGAATCACATGACCTGATGGATTGCTGGTGCCACTGGCTTTGCTAGTGCTCCAACCCTTTACTTTTCCTTTGCCGGTTCCAGCAAAATAAATGGAAAGGGTTCAAAAAGGTTTATAAACTATTTATAAACTCTTTATAAAGGGTAAGTATCATGTGATATGGCACTCTGGCGCAGAGCAGGCCAGTAACGACCTTGAGTTACCTTGAATTGAGTTTCTGTAGTCTAGTATGTGTATTCGTGACAAAATTTATACTTACTTATACTTCTCATGACCAAAAGCTTGTAAGTACATGAAATTGAAAAGCGCTGACAAATATGGGTCTGCCTGGACTGACACTACCAAGCTCAAGCTGAGGTGGTTATGCTGTTGAGATAAGCGGTAATTCTCCAGCCGCTCACCCGGATATAGCAGGGAACCCTCGCAAACAGGCGAGGGTCATCGTCGTTCGTCTACCTATTTATCTACATGCCGTGTACACTAATAGAAGCAATATGATGTAATAAGGAAAGCCGAGGAGGAGAACAGATGAACGGTGCTTCCTACTGAAGATCCCGACGTCGACTGCACCATGATGCACGACACTTGACATTCCAACATATGCCCATATCTAGACATACACACAGACTGTTACCATATCATCACGGTACGAGTTCAATACTCAGTTTCACCGCATCATACAAGTGCTGTTATTCAGAATTAAATTATCTGCAGCATGCATACTCTTTACTGTTTGTTTACCCTTTCCTTTACCCTTTACCACCTCATGTAAAACAAAAGGAAAAATAAATGGTTTAAAACCCTTTATAAACCCTTTTAAAGTGAAAGGGTTGGAGCACTAGGCTTTGCTCGATTTCGTGGCAGTTTACAATCACATCTCACACTCTTGTATACAATGCATTTTGTGCAGTTGCACAGGGATTGTTTACAATTTTGGCTGCAGGGACTCAAAAAGCCTAGATTGTCGTTTCGAGCCAGCAGACAACACGAGCTTTTTCATGTGGTGTTGCACTGTATCCCAATCTTTGTTATCTCCATCTGACCTGCACTCCCATATCATGAGACATGTTCTGTCCCTCCAGTCTTATCGGGCTTCATGTTCACGACCTCCCACCACGATCTCGTCCCGATGCTATTCAGCTAAGAAAAATCCTCGAGTTAGCCAGGATACGCTTCGAGATTTGGGAATGTCTGGGACTATATATAACACACGATCATATTTGTATTATCGGCACATTAAACACCTGGATTCGTGCTACATCAAAATATGCTGTTTATCATACACATGAATAATATCTCTGGCCATCATGGAAGCACACGACTCTCGAATCGTATTCCTGATATCCTTAACAACTTCCCCCAGCCCTCGCCATGCTTTCACCACAATGTCTACGCGCCTCAATGCGCCCATTCGGTCATGATCTAGGACCTGGCTCAGAGCGCTCCATGACTCCTTGTCCAGGAATACGTTGGCAACACTACGATGCTCCACTGCCAGTGTCATATACTGGATCTTCGATGTTTCCTCCCTTCCTAGTGCCCCGACCCACCAACGCATCAACCGGGGAAAGCAATCCGATGATAGCGTTACCGAAAGTGATTTTAGATGGTGCACATCCAGCGGCGGGCATCGATTAACTTTTGATACCAATTAGCACGTACTCGGAAGGGAGAATGTCAAGTACATACCATGATCAACCGGCAATACACAATCATCGACCGCCAATTCCTCCAACGAACCCCTCGACAAATCCACTAACACCCTGACCAGTTCCATCTGCGCCCTGTAGCACCTTTTCACCCTCAGCTTCTTTAACCTCCCAAACGACATCGCCCACGGACTCGCCATCAGTACTTCAACCACTCTCGCGCTTCCCTCCATGTTCGCCTCCAGCTCCTCAATCTCCAACGGCTCTGTCGTCTTCCCCGTAAGCACCACCGGATACGGCGGCGCCATAATCACACCCAATGCCAACTTCTTCATCCCTCGAAACGTCGACAAAATACCCAAGAGCCCTGGGAGGCTGTCGAAGTGGACGTAATCCAGGCGGAGAGAGGCTACCTGAGGTGCTATAGCGGCGAGTGTGTGCTCGAACGACGGTGTGCATTGGTGTACGCGCCAAGGGTTTCTCCAGCGGAGGGCACGTATTTCGAGGGAGGTTAAGTTCGGCAGCGAGGTGAGGATGGTGGGCAGAGCAGGGTCGTGTGATACCCATTGTTTATCATGCGCTGTCTTCCATAAGAGCTCGTCGATGAGGTCATTCATCATCATAAAGTCTCCCTCTGTGTTGTCCTTGTCGCGAAACCCACATTCCGCTTCGATCCGTAAGGACTTGACTAAATCACCGACATATGGGAGGAGAGGAAGGAACTGTCTGGCTGAGTTGGCCCGGGATGGATGTCCGATGGTTATTCTGCTGAAGAGGTGTGTATGTGAGCGAGGGAAGAAAGTTTTGCAGACCAGAGTGCAAGAGGCGAGTGTGCGAGGGTCGTGTGCGAGGTGGTCGATGATGAGGTCGGTTAGTTCGGGTGGGACGTACATCGTTGCTGCTATGTATGGGCACCTGGCATCGTGTCCATGAAGATATACCTCATCGTAACGGACCCTTGGCGCAACCCATTCGCGTTTTCATTTCAATTGGTGATTGATCGACGTCCGGATGCGGTCTAGAGGTCGTTGATCCTTATGGATACGTTTACCTTTTTCTTCATATCAGTGGGCATCCCTGGTTTGCTGAATGGTGGTCCTTCCCGACTCGCACTCTTGGCTGGCGTAGACCTGATTTCCGTATGCGGAGGTGTTTCAGGCGATATGGACGGACGACTGTGCCGCGCCAACATTGAAGGCACCCGCATCCGACGTGTATCAAACGCCAAAGAGTTCGATGTCATGTCCCAGTCCTTTCGTCCCTGCATCTGGTCATTCGTCTCGTCAAACGGTGCGCGCTTTCGAATCAGGTCGAGTTAGGCTGCCAAGAATTACTCTGGTCTGTGATCGACGTTGTTACTTCAAGCTACAAATATCGTTAGTCCGATAATCAACCTCCTGATCACACTTTACTCACCTCAGTTGCCTTCATAGTCCGAGTCGCATTGATGCACATCAGTCGAGACCGTAAAAGTGTTGCGAGACATTAAACCGATGCATGACCAGTGTTATCCCCATAAGCAAAGGTGGATCAACGACGTCGAGAAGCCTGGGTTCATGCAACTTGCATCACTTTACTTCGGCGGCCGTGTTGGCACCGCAACTTACCGTAGCCCATCACTGCTCCTCGCCAGTATCGAGCTTACCAGTACACCAAAGATTTCATTCTCGCCTTTGGCTGTACTTAACCCCTAACCTCGTTACCCCGTGTCTCGAGGGCAACTTCGAATCATGATGGCCATCACAGCTTCATGGTATAAAGCTCATTCTCCAGAACCAACGCACTTCAGCTAGTCTCGTCTCCAGGACCGCCAGCGGTACTATCCAATTGGTTTCCCGTCCTCCAAGGTTCGCCTCCTTCCTTTATAGCGTCTTGATGATGTTTTCCAGTTGCTCCCCTTCGAACTCTGCCCTCTCTTATCTCTTCTCGCTTGTGTCAGTCAGCGCTGTTTCGATGAACCTGGCACGCCAGCAAGACCCGGGGTCCCAGGTTTGGCCCCAAACTACACAAACCACTACGACTACCCTTGGTATTGATCCCAACACCGGCCAGCCCTATACTACCCCAGTCACCAGCGAGACGTACAGTTCTAGTACTTCGACAAGTACTGCTGGTAGTCCAACCGCCACTATTGCAGTTGAACCACTAGACGGAGAGCATTCCGGAGATGGTGAACCAAATACTTCCCATTTCCTGCCCGAAATAACCTCGAAGTCTTCTAGGAACCTTTTACACCCCCGGTTTGGGTGCTTGCGGACAGAACAACACCGAGGCAGACCCCATAGCGGCTGTTTCGTACTTACTTTTTGACTATTTCCCGTATGTGTCTATCCTACATGAGACCTGATCGTTCGCTAATTGCGTTGTTGACAGTGGTTCGACTACTAGTAATCCTAATAAGTACGTACTCTTATTTATCGCTCAATAGCCTTATTCTGACTAGCTCTTGGCAGAAACCCTATCTGCGGGAAGAAGCTCGTAGCTCACTGTCCGTACCCGTTTCTCCTAGATTATTTCTTCATTCACTAACTCTCTCACCAGACACGGACCCAGACACCCAACAACAAACCACCACCCAAGAGGTAACCATCGTAGACCGCTGTGCGGGCTGCGAGATCCGATGGAGCGTCGACTTCTCCCCGACTGTGTTCAGCACGCTTGCTAGTAAGACTCTAGGGAGGATCAATATAACGTGGTCTTTTGTGGACGAGATTGGTGGGGAGACGTTGGCGGTGCCGAATACGAGTCCTGTTCAGCGCGAGTTTTCGAGAGAGGAGGGTCGTTCGCCCGAGGTTGATTCGAAGAAGAAACAGCGTGCAATAAGGTGGCATAGAGATGTGCCTTTAGAGATTTCGTAGACTTGCTGGTGTTCCCGCATAATGATACGTCCGTAGCCTGGTAACTAAGCCCTCTAACAAGGTTCTCCTTGTTAGCTTGGCTCATAAGAAGAGGGACCGGTTCAGGTCTAATACGTCCGCCGGGGATGTTGATCCGAATACAAACGCCTCTCTGCTCCAATATGCAGCTTGTGAAATACGAGCTGTGCCGCGGGCACTTGAGTCTGGCATCAGGTCCAGCGCCGCTCACAGTAAATACAACAAAGCTGCAAGTGGTAGCTATGCAGTTATGTACACTTGGAGAGAAAACAATAATAAGATAGACAAAGACCGTGATTATGTATCGGACATCAGGCTGCAAATAGAAACCACAAACTATCATTAGGGCTACCAACAACATTCAAGTGATTCTGAATCTCATAACAGTTCCTAAGACTCGTAGATAAAAAATTGACTTTCCCGATATAATGCGACTTGACGACTTGTCAAACCTGGGAGTAGATTAGAAACTCCTACTAGTCATCAAATCGAATGTGTTGTCGAAAGGGTGCAGATCTCAGTAACCGACGTAGCCAGTTTGGAGATCTTTCTCGAGATCCTAATTATAGGATGACGGTGTCGTCACAAAAAATCTTGAAATCAGTAACAAAGCTTGGCTTACTACCGAGAACGTTAATTTGCCCTTGTGACCGCGAAGCACTGGGAAGTGTAAAATACATATTGTCACTCTCTCGGATCTCCCATCAACACGTCTGTACCGTCATCTTTCTATGAGAGACTAGAAGTGCAATATTATTCACTGTCACATAACAAGTCCTTAAGTCAACCGTCGGCCATTTTGTTGCGACTTGTGAATAGGGTATACCGTATATGATGCCTTGCGTGCAGACATGTAACTGCATCTGCCCCAATTTTTCCTCGCGAAGTCGGAGAAATTTGTACGCTACGTTCTGTGAATTTTCACATCTGTAACACGTAGAGCTCTGAAGCGCAAAATCTCACCTTGAAATTCAAATCACCGGCAATTGCCAATGCTCGACGCGACGCGTCAGTCACGTGAGTCTTTACCATGCCGATTTGCCGTAGTCACCTCCATACTGCGAGGATGAAATTGTGAAGTCCTTGCAATTTCACGGATCCTCCTTGGATTGTATCTCATTCCATTCTGCGATTGAGAAAACTCTCCTCCAGAGGTGATAACCGGCTTTTTAAGTTGCTGTCGCTCACTAAAACTCCACACCCCCAGATGCGGCGACTGCGGCGCCACGATCTCGTGGACAACTCATTCGCGGATCGCCTTCCAATGAATACAATTTATCCACGACTACAAGTATCTTGTTACACCCAATGGCCGTAGCGGAAGTTTTTTCGCTGTCATGTCATCCTTTGGCTCAAAACATGAGCTTCTACTCCGATAGTCGTCACAATTACTAGGCGCATGGACTCAAACCCTGTCTTCGAAGCTAACGTTCATTACGGCTTTTTTTCAAATACTCCATTCAATGCAAGTAATAACGGTCCGACTGACCTTCCTCGGCGATTCATGCCCACTGCTCCGCAAACAATGAATGGCATGTGCTTGTAGTGTTTTGATCCACAGATACTGGAGCAGCCTATAGGTGCCTTGACTTCTCACGTATTTGAACACAGCAACAACTCCCGACACCTTAGTTGATAACGACCACCATGACCTACCTTGACATTCTAGCTGGCTTCATCTCTATTTCTCTCGCTGTCCTTTGGTACTTGCGCCGGGCCCAGTCTTGGCAACTCTCCTTGCCCCCTGGTCCCAAGAAGAGATTCCTTATTGGGAATCTCAATGACATGCCCACCTCATTCGAGTGGGAGACATATCTTAAATGGGGGAAGGAATACGGTAACATTGTTTTCTGCCTCCGGAAACGAAGCGTAAAGCTGAACTCAGTACAGATTCCGATATCATACATCTGGACGTGGTTGGGACTTCCATCGTTGTCCTCAATTCGTGGGAGGCTATTTCCGACCTTCTCGATAAGCGATCGTCAATCTATTCGAGCAGGTAAATATTTCTTTTGTGCTCGCGGTCACAGAAGTGGCTCAATGGGTTGATAGGACCCGTCTCCCGATGGTTAGAGAATTGATGGGATGGGACTTTCTAGTAGGCTTGATGCCCTACGGTATGTCGGTCTCTCGTCATTGACTTCGGCACCTCTGAGAGAGATTCTAGGAAACGATTGGTATTTTACTTCTTCCGTGACCTATTCGATGACAAATTTGATGTGCGTTTCAGGCGCGTCCATCGCCGCTTATTCCAACAGACTTTGAATGCCAACGCGACCTTGCACTTCCGTCCCCAGGTCCTCGACGCTGCTCGCGAAGTTCTGCAACGGTTGTTGGACAAACCTGAAGAATTCATGACCCACCTTCGTTAGTAAGTGATTATCAATAGTCGTGATGCACTTATAGTAATAGTCGAGTGAATAGTATGGCCGCTCGTGTCATTATGTCTATTACGTATGGCATCGATACCCTTCCAGAGGGAGACCCTTTCGTTGCCGCTGCCGAAGACGCACTGCACACCGTTTCTATCGCTGCAGTACCGGGAACATTTCTAGTGGTATGCCGGCATATTTGTTCTCGGGATGTCGATGACTCATGTGTACCCGACAGGACTTTCTACCCTTTTTGAAATACGTACCAGGTAACTTCTGCTCGTTGATCCCCATCTAACATGTGACTAAGTGCACTTCAGAGTGGTTCCCAGGAGCAGGATTCCAGCGGAAAGCTAGCAAATGGAAAGTCTTGGCGCGAAGGATGGTCGACATACCATATGCAGAGGTCATCCGCCGCTTCGTCAGTTGTGTATTATTACTGCAATCACATAGTGGTAACAAGGCTCCTATTTCTAGGCTGATGGTTCATATAAGCCGTCCTTTACCTCATCGAATTTGGGCAGGATAGGTCCCGGCCAAGATGTGGCGTCTCAACAGCGAGCTGTTAAGAACGCAGCTGGAACTATGTACGCCGGTGAGTTCCTTCACCCAAGCTGATGTCAACAGTGCTGATTGTTGTCATTGAAGCTGGATCGGACACAGTAAATCCCATTTGTTCGTTGCCTAACAGTATGTCTCATCCTCCTACGCGTAGACCGTTTCTGCAATCGCGACGTTCGTTCTTGGAATGTTGTTTAACCCGGAAGCACAAAGAAAAGGTCAAGCAGAGATCGACAGGAGTTCTTAATCAGGGAAGACTTCCTACATTCAAGGACGAGGAATCTTTGCCTTATGTCACAGCAATCGTTAAAGAAGTGTTGCGATGGAAAAATGTCACTCCTATTGGTGAGGTTGCTTACCATGCAAGCGCTTAGTTGGGTATCTCAATACTGTCCGACAGCAATACCCCATCTTCTTGAAGTAGATGACGTCTACAGAAGCTATCGGCTTCCTGCTGGATCTGTGGTTGTTCCTAACACCTGGTACGTGAGCTTTAGATAAGCGCACTATGATTTATTCAACAAGTATCTAGGGCCATTCTACACGACGAGGTTCGTCCTTTGCCGTGATTGTTGCAGGGCTGGCATCTAACTTTGTGATCATCCGTAGGTGGCGTATCCGGATCCCTTTTCCTTCAAACCCGAGCGATTCATGAAAGATGGGCGACTGGATCTTACGGTAAAAGATCCCGCGATAGCAGCATTTGGTTTTGGTCGAAGGTTTGACGTATTCCCTCGGCTATTCAAATAATTCCCTGAAAGAATAATCTTTGAAGAATATGTCCAGGAAGGCATTTGGCCTACTCATCTATATGGATTACTGTCGCTTCGATACTTACCGCTTTCAATATCACGAAAGGAGTTGATGAGGATGGGATGGTCATAGAACCCAGTGACAAGGTTTGTACAGGATTGGTTTGGTACACAACTTTTTCATCTTCAAGATCTCAAGTGGGCTCATGATCAACCTGTAAAAGCATGCCAGAACCTTTTAGATGTTCGATCAAGCCCCGATCGAAGGAGGCTGAAGTCCTCATTTGCGGCTCCTAACAATAGTTATTGGACCCGGTGACTGATCTATGCGTAAATATGAGCGTATGGACGGTGTCCAATCAAGTGAACTATCATTTTATCTGGTTTTAGACCATCGAAAATCGCTTAAAGGCTCACAACCCTTACGGTGTGATCCGTGCCATTTTAACGTTACCTCCGTGTGACGACAACGTTGACCTAGCTATGAGGGTCAAGACCATCAAGACTGCTCTACACCGCGGAGTAGAAGGCAATTCCATGACCCTTAGCGTCCGTCCTGGGTTGGCGTCACTTTACTTCACTTCCCGAAGGTCAATTTACGTCGAGCTATGGAGTTTACTACTCCAACTGTTTATGCCGCATCCTTCGATCTGCTTCTATTTGTTCTTCTCGACTTTTCTTTCTCAGATACAGAGAGATTTGTCGCCTTCTGTAGCCGTCCAAGGTCCCGTGGCTCTATTTACGGACGGATGCTTGACGACAACCCCCGAGTGATGATACTTCTTCTCGTCCCAACTCAGATCTACCGAAGGACCGTGTCTGCATGCGGTGATTCTCGCGACTAATGATTCAATTTCTGGTATTCACCATGCCTTCGTTTTTTTTTACCTTAGTGCTTTAAATATGCTCTATTGGCTGACTGTTCAATACTTAGATGGCCATTTAAAGCAGGCTCTTCAGTCATCGTTACCTGCGGCCATTTATTGACTCTCTCATGCTGTCTCATTGTTTCGCGACACTCCTTTATGTCGCGCCGGCATTTGCAGCGTCTGCCGCCAATTGGCGGTCGAGGTCGATATACCAGGTGAGCCGATCGCAACAAAAGGCTTGCCTGTAATGTTCATTCTGCTTCGAACAGGTCGTCACCGATAGATTCGCGATGACGGATGGCTTGGCTGGTCCTTGCGATCCCAGTGCAAGAAAATACTGCGGTGGTACATGGCAGGGCCTCATCAATCGTCTTGACTATATCCAAAACATGGGCTTCGACGCTATTTGGATCTCTCCCGTCTCAGCAAACGTTGAAGAAGAAACAGCATATGGAGACGCATACCATGGGCAAGCATGACAGTTTTATTCACTTTAGTAGTATGCTGATACTTTCAGAAGTTATTGGACCCGAGATTTGAACACCCTCAACTCCAAATTCGGCACACCCGACGACTTGAAGGCACTCAGTTCTGCGCTTCATGATCGAAATATGTATCTCATGGTCGACGTGGTTGTTAATCAGTAAGTTCATAATAATGATGTTACTCAAGACTCAATGTCTCAATTTTGGGTATTAAGCTACGCGGCTCCCCCGACTAATACTTCAGACAAAATTCCACAATCCTTTAATTTCACTTCTCTTGCTCCATTCACATCGGAGAATGATTTTCATCCTCAATGTTTTATAACGGATACATCAAACCAAACCGAGGTCGAACAATGCTGGCTCGGAGATACCAGGTATGATTGCATCTGATATAGACAATCGACTTCTAGGTGCTAACTCCTGTATGCAGTCTTCCACTCCTTGATATTGACACCGAAAACCCGACGAACTTTGAGATCCTCAGGAGCTGGATCGCGGACCTAGTGCTGGAGTATAATATTGATGGTCTGAGAATCTCCGCCGCTCGGTATATTCGACAATCCTTCTGGCGCGATTTTACTGGGGCATCAGGTGTTTTTGCCATGGGCGAGGTATGTAACCGACAAAACCCCCAATGAACGAAAAAAATCAATTTGATACCATTGCTATAGATTCTCAGCGATAATGTCAGCTATACAAGCGATTACACTCGTTCGTGGTTTTGTGATTGTTTTATTCACGCACGGACCTAAGTAGCTGGATTAGAGGTCCTCGATGCTGTACTCGATTATCCGACCTGGTTCACACTTGTGGAAGCATTTTCAGATGCGAAAGGAAATTTCGACAGCCTCATGAGAACTGTCATCGAATCACAGGGAAAGTATACTAGTGGTCTATGCATGACCGGGTCTTTCGTGGAGAACTACGATCAGCCTCGTTTCCCGTCTTTTACAAAGGACGAGTCTTTGATCAAGAATGTTGTCACTTGGCCGTTTATTCACGACGGCATACCCATCGTTTACTATGGTATGTCACCCTCTTGTAGAACGCATTGCAGGATTAATTGGTGTTGTAGGACAGGAACAGGGTTTTCAGGGTGGTGCTGTCCCCAATAATCACGAATCGTACGTACCAGCTATCCCATTCAATGACCTGAGCTTATTGGACCACCCTGAAATAGACTATGGTCGAGTTACTATCACGTCTACCAGAAGCCGCTCGTGCAGCATATCACTGACTTGAATGCCGTACGAAAGCTTGCCATCAATTCGAAACAGGATTTCTTGACCACCCAGGTAGGACAAAACCTGACAGTCCTCCGCATTTGAACATCACGCTGACGGCTTGTCAGATGACCTTCGTTCCTCAGCTAAATGACAATACGATAGCGATATCCAAGCCGCCTCTCCTTGCTCTTCTTACGAATGTCGGTAACTCCAGTACGGCTACGTGGACCATACCCGGAGATGCGGGCCTTTTTTTGAAAGGGCAGACTCTGATAGATGTATTGACGTGCCAGTCTTACAACGTCGATCCGGTTACTGGTAGCCTGACCATCGAGTCGAGGAATGGCCTACCTCAAGTGAGTTCTTCCGCTGTCCAACCGTGCAAACACCTTATACATTATGGTTAGGTCATCTTACCCGCACGATATCTTGATAGCAAAGGGACTCTGTGTGCCAGTGAAGCGCAGAACGGCACGCGCAGAGTCACACTTAACCAAACATTTGTGTTCGGCCTTGCTATACTCGTCGGTTTCATTGCGACAATCCACTCTTTCATCTGATTCTTTCGTTTAACTCTCTTTTGGGCTCTATGATTTAAATTATCTATTAGTGTTCGTACTTGTATGAGTGAAAGGCACCAGGAATTACAGAAGGAACACGAGAACTGTCGGGATTTCCCCGCCCACCGCCGTGAACGCTGAAAGCAGAAAAAATGGTCCGTTCCTGAAGGCTGTGCCGCTGCCTCTTTAAGTACGTTGTTCAAGACCATGACGACCTTTTCTCCATTTCTTTACGCTTCGTCGCAGATTCCAGCTTCAGATAGTATGAGTTCCTCTCTTTCCATATGATAGCCTTGCTATAGTTAATTCACGCGATTCGGTTCGCAACCACTCCTTCCTACCTTCAAGTTGAACACTGGGCAGATAAGCACTCGTATCCCGGGCTCTGACATCTATGTCGGTGCCATGTGGCCTTATCTGCGGCTCCAGAGATATATCAAGGGCACATATGCACTCTCCTTGTATATGGGATTCTTGGGGTGCAACTTCTCCCGGAAAGAGGAACCAGCTCAGGTGCATCCTTCGCACAGCTTTATCCCCCCCGACTATCATCCATGGAATTCTACAGCCTCGGAAGTGAGCCATTTTCCCCTACGGTGGATGAGATTTGTTCCGCCTAGAAGCTCACGATGTTGCGACAGTGCGGTCACGCAACTGTTTCATCGGCCACCGTTCGGTGTTTTTATGCCCGTTTCTTCTACCAAAAACGACAGGCAAGATTATATCTCCGTCGAGAAATTCAAAGATAATTGACTGACAAGTTCAAAGTCCCGTAGGAGAGACATCTGTAACCTGTTCACTCTTACTATATGCCTCAGCTTCTCGGTCGACGGTAACAGGCTCAGGAAATCGCTAGCAATATCTATTATTCAGGTCATGGGATGTTGTCTTCGATACCGACGTGTCGGCTAGGCGGTTGAGCTGAATTCATGGGCGAGGCAAGCCCAGACAACCGCCAGAAAATCCTGCGCAGCTCTCATTGTGATTTCTCATGATTTTTGTAGCCAGTCCCATCAGCGTTGGCTGGATTCGTGTCATTTATCTGGGGGTCGCAACGACACCGCGTTTCAATCTCGGCTTTTACCATCTTTCCAGCAACGCAAATGACGATGATCAGCGATTGATCGCGCTCTTGGCATACGCAACAAGGTAGAACAGAATGTTCTTTTCCTCCCCTCGTTAAGACGACCAATGAGAAAACACACATTAGCGGTCTTCTTCCCGACTTCATCATGTGGTTCAAAGCGCAGTTCGGAGGCAAATCAAAGCAATCCCCGCAGTGGCGGCGCGACTCTTTGTTTAAAAGCGACATGGTGAGTCGCTGTAATTCACCAAAAATTGCATCTCACCCTCCTTCTCTTGTCTAAAGATGCGTTCAGTTTTCGCTCTCGCCACTCTCGCACTCTCCCTCCTTTCGTCGACTTCGGCGCACCCACACAAGGCGTCGTCCACAGTACCCGCAGGTATTTTGACGCGTATTTATCCTCCAAGCCATGATCCTGATCTTAGGGCCAGTCCGACGTAGGGGGGTAGGCAATTGCGCCGACTCCATCTCCAAGCGCGCGAGCGGCCTCGCGGATGCCCGTCGTCGAAGTCTCCGCCACCGCCTCAGCGAGGATACCACTAAACTCGCTGCGCGTGGTCTGGAAGAGAGGGCTAAGTACCCTACCATTCAAAACGACACTTGCATTCTGTCCCCAGACACGATCTTTGGACCCTACTTTGTTGACGGTCCGTGGTTTTTGCATTCACAGCAAAGAGTGTCGCCGCTGAACTCTTTCAGGGGAGCTGTACCGTCGTGACATTCGCGAGGGTGCCGATGGTATCGATTTGTACCTGGACATCGGATTGAGTGTGTTTTACTCATGGCATTGAACTCGCGCATTTTTCTAACAGTCATGTTTATAGTTGACGTCGATACCTGCGAGCCAATCGAGGACGCCTACATTGACTTCTGGGTAAGGTCGCTCATTGACTTTCCCCACCCTTGTTTACCTTTCCTTCACTAGCACTGCAACGCAGCTGGCATTTACAGGTAATCATATCTATTTCTTTTCGTGGTCCCTGAACCTTTTAAATTGAAATGCTTTAGTGGATACACCGGAATTAACCCGGATACTGTCGAGCCCTTCGACGGTACTTTTGACCCTCCCGCAATCTCTACTAAGTAACGCTAACTTCCCGTGCATTCATTAGGCGTCACACTCCGCGCAGACGGAACCACTGACGACACCACCTTCCTCCGTGGATTTACTGCGACCGATGAGAATGGTATCGCCGAGTATGATTTCCACTGATATTTCTCTCCCATTCGCCAGTCATTTATTGTGACCATCAGATTCCTCACCATCTTCCCGGGATATTATGCTTCGCGTACGACCCACATCCGTAAGCTCAACCTCTTTTCTTGCGGTTTCAATATATTCTGACAACTGTTACTTAGATATTGCTGTACAGTTCGTCTTTTTCTATTTGTATTGGGTATCCTCGATTCATCATATCATCCATTTAGTGTCAATGGCTCCATTTCTGAGGACGGCACCAACACTCTCGCGACCTCCAGCATCCAGCATGTCGGGTGAGTACTACGAGCCCTTTAACAACTACCATCTTTCTTACATTGTATCTCCAATTAGCCAATTGTTCTTCGAAGAGTCACTCATTAACCAAGTGTATGAAATCGGGGCTTACACTGCTCACTTGAGCACCCTCGATCGTGTCACCAATGATGTCTGTTGTTTCCTCTCCCTTATCTTCTCCAGTACTGATCCCCATCTAGGCGGACACCATCATCGGCGGAGCCAACAGCGACGGATACAGCGCCTTCGTATCCACCGAACTTCTCGGAGACAGTCTCGAGGACGGTCTCGTTGGATACATCACCGTCGGCGTCGACACCACTGCCATTTTCGACACCAGCAACTCCAACCCCGTTGGTGTCATCCCCACTGTGTCTTTAGCTGAGGGTGCCGAAGCGTCCGCCAGCGCTGTCGATGCTGCTGAAGGTCTAACGGTCTGAAGAAGGGAATAGAATGCTGCCGTCTTGCTCTCTTGAAACAGTAATGTTCGAAAATCAAAAGTTATTCAATAAAATGTCATTTTGTTTTATCATCTTCCGTGGAAACAGACCCCGCCGATTGTCCTTTCGAGTTCGTATCCCAGGTATCAACAATCGAGCATGTGTCGCAAGATCACCATGGTTCCACCATCGCATTCCGGCACTCTGGTTAAGTTGAAAACGGTGTTAACCAAGGGTGCCATCCAAGACCGTTAAACAGCATAGAGCAGGACCCGCTTCCCCCGAGCATGATCTCTGCCCCGATGTTGTCAGATACGGCGTGGACAACTTCTCATCCTACGATGATCCGTCTGTCCAAGGTCCGGCACCAATTCTGGCGCTAAGAAGTGTGGAAGAGGATCTCCGGCCGGCACCAGTACACGGATTCACCCTGGGCTATCGATCGTCATACTCAATAGTGTACGTCAGAGGGGTTGAGAAGGTTGGTAAGACGAAGTCGAGATGTAAAAAGTAGCGCAGTCGTTGAGGGGGAAAGATATGGAGTCAACTGGCTCGTCAAAGGAACATCTACTCCCTGAAAGCTCGCGCTAACTACACGGATAGCGAAGAAAGGACTAGAGGTCTGTCTCCGGTGGGAAGCCCCGTGGAGCGATCCAGCTGCAGCGATTAAGAGTGCGCCATGAGCGGAAACTTCTGCAGGAGAAAGAGTGGGCGAGAAAATGCGTATCAGCACCATCCTCCAAAGTGGGCTGTGGTGGGCTAGCAGGGCGATGAAGCCAGCACTGAAATGAAAGGAAGACTTGTACAATGGAGTTTGATTTGCCAATTCATCGGCTATGATAGAAAGAGGCGGGAGGTACTCCTTCATGTAGTAGCTTCAACCTGCGAAAGTGCCTGAGAACTGCAGTATAGTTGTATGGTTAGAACCGAATTGATAAGGAAATGCAAGAACCTTACCTGTCCAACAAGTCGACGAAAATCGAGGTTTTCGGCTGAAACATCTCGAGATACTCTTCAGGCAACAGACTGTTCTCCAAGTTCCTCTGATAAACCTTTAACACCTTGTCCTCATAAATGAGCGTCAGCCTGCCTCGTAATCCCGAGGCGACCACCAATTGTTGGATGTTCTCCAACGCTCGTCTGAGCAGCCGAAGCTTAAACTCCATATGGCCATGTACATCGACCGGGTTTCCCTTCTTCACCACTTTGTTGAACACCCCATTCCGATGGATGCCATATATCAAATTGGGTGTCTGCGAGATGCACATCTGCATATGCTTGTGAGACCACCTCGAATCTCTGGACTCGTGTTTGGTCGTCAACTCCACTAACGCCGACTGCGGGATTTCCTGTGCATAGGCAGCCTTGCCATCGAGATCAGGTAAACACGCGTCCACCTCGGCTCTTACGACCATCTTCATCCCCGCCAGGTCATACGTGATCACCCGATGATGCGACGTGGTATTCTCACACCCAGGCGCGGGGCGCGTGTGCATGCGCTCAAAGTTCCGGCCGTATCCACCCGGGTTGGCATTCATGAGGACCTTGGGCTCCCACCGAGTACACAAAACGGTTTTTGACCCAGCGAGCTGCAGGTCCATGCGAAAGTCACGTCGCTGGCCAGCTAGCGAAGGCGATAAGGCGTAGGAGGTTGTGACAATCTGCGACGACGTCTGCAGAAGCCCAATCAAAGGTGTCGATGGCGATGAAGATGGGTAGGAGAGGGTAAGGGGGAAGCCGGTGAGCGTTGAAGTCGCAGGCTTGGTAACCAAAGTCTGGGGGCAAGGTGAAAGGTGTCTGTCGGTGGGTCCAGATACGGGGAGCACCGGGGACGAGAATTATAGGTTTTCGAGCTTTCAACCAGCTGTAAGAGCCGAGGTACCGAGTACCGGTTATCTCAACTCTCTGCCCATCCTCGGTAGCGGCAGGAGGGTGCATCGTCAGCAATGGATCTGGGTCCAAACCGTGCATAATTTTTCGCAGGAACTTCCGAGGTGCATTATAAACCCATCCCCCTAGGTTGATTTGATCATGACACTGTCCTTTTTTCAGTGATATATCTTTCGCGATATGTCAGGACCGACCTTGGGAGCCACAATTTTTGTACTGGACATTCTCACACCACTGTGAAGATATTAGAACCAAATATCCAGCCTAGACAACAAGAGCCACCTTGGTGAATTTCCTGGCAGCGTTTTGTAGCGTGACCATAATATACAGTTGCGCATAAAACAAAAATATTCGCACTATGGCACATGAAGTATCTGTAACTGCTGCCGTCTTTCTTCCTAAGCTCGAAGTTGTGTCGGATGCAGAGGTAGAAGAAGATAGGAGTCACAGAGAGCCGATAGTCGTGGCGGTTGAGAGCAAAATGGCGTGGGAAATTCTCTGCCGCCTCTCTTGATCCCAGTACATCCATGTGGCTGTCGGCTTCTGTTCTCGCTGTTGCAGCATCCTCCAACTTACGAGTCTCCCAGATACCGGTATGAAGACTACTCAAACATACGGGCGTTTCCAGTATTACGGCTTTCGAAGGGCAATCTCGAAGGCGGGTTGCAATTCTTCATAGTTTTGGAAATCCCGCAGGTACGCCTTTTCTGCATTGACGAAGTAGCATGGCCTAATATCACTTGTATTGCCTAGATTCTATTGAAGGCCTGTGATCAACTCAAGAACATTGTCGAATACTTTGTCAAGATGCTGGATCGGCTGTGGAGAAGAAACGGTCGCGCATTCAGCGGTCTACTCTCCCAAAGTACCATAAGACGATTCAGAAAATGGATAATTGCCATCCAGTGCGTGTCTCCTTTGCTTCATGGCGGTATCGCTGTAGCCAACGTACTTTACAGACTCCTGATAGGCTCGCACGAGATTTAAAGGAACAACTTTCTCAGACCCTTGCCTTCAAAGTCAAAAGTACCATAATCAGCCGGTTTTGAATCGAAAACGCCTGGGATAATACCACTGGATGCATATACGCACCTTGAAGTGCGAAACAAAGTCCGGATTCTCCAAGACGAGCTCCTTGGGGTCCTCTTGGCAAATTCACAACTTCCAAGAAGTCTTCAGTCTTGGAGTTAAATTCCGGAATCTACCCGAACCCTCCTCTTGACTCAACGCTGGCCACGTCTGATATCCGATATGCCTACAACCCACGAGCTCCTTGTTCATTGTCGTCGGTCGTTCCCTTTCCCTCCTTTCGACTGGTTGCAAGAAGTCCTTAATGGGCAATCTACAAGCAACCTTTCAGGCAAGTGTCTGCTACTGTCATTCTCCGTTGAAGTGCTTTATCCTCACACTCGTCGTTAGGAGGGCCACCCACCACAATCGGAGAGTCGAGATTCCGGAATATTTCCTTGGTGTAATTGGCAGGCTTGATGCGAAACGCAAGTCACCATCCCCCATACCACGTTTTCCAGGGGCGAGACCTACCTGTATTTACGGATAATGCCCCTGATTCGCCTGGCTGATCACTGAACAAATGGCTATCCGGGATTATATCCGAAGCGGACGAGGTTGTAAGGCACCGATTGCCCCATGCCCATTACCTTCGGTCCGAGCTTTGACATCGGGATTACGGATTACAAGGAGAGGGAGCCGTCATATTTAATGACATACACGGAACTGAGTTGGTTAGCCCTCCCCTTCCGAATCTGGTCCCAACTGCTACACGATAGTCATCTTCGTCTCGCTGGCTGGCACCCCGATGTCCGTTCAGACACGCAGGCTGGTCACTGTCTCGATTAGATTCCCCAACCTTCGTAGGATCTACCTGTCCCGATGATCTTTCTTTACGTCGTTCAGATTCCGATATAATGGCCTGCCAAGGCCGTTGCATCATGACGGGGACCGGGTTTGCAGTATCTGCCCTCCTGTGACCTTTCGCCCTTTCTCAGACGTCAGACCGATCTGCGTGTAATTACACGCTTTGTATCCGTTGCTATGGTATTGGAAGCGCCTACTGTTGTCCGCGAGTTTTCGGGTATAGCCATTCAGGATGCATATACACGGCCCTTTCTTTCACAATTTCGAAGTATATGACGTCACGCGTCCTTAATTGCAATATCTCCGGGTAGCATTACGGTGGCTCTTGGCAAGTTGGGGCTATCTATGATCGAAGCTTCGAATATTCCAATCCATGGTTCGGGATCAAACCAATGGTTCTCAGATTCGATACGAGGAGTTCGTATCTAACTACTTGATTGTGGTGCTGTCCCAAAATAGCTAACTGTGTGGTATTCATTTCCACATAGAGCGTGAACTAACAATAAAGCAAGCCGACAGTAACCGCGTTCTTAATCTGATTCACCTAAAATCCTAGCAGGAGATCCACTCCGAATCATTCCGCGGGCTGAGTCACTTATTCCTGATAATCCCCCTTACTCCATCTTCTCTCCCTTTACTCTGCGCTCCATCCTTGTCGGATATGAATGTTCACTTCTTTGATTTCAACGCAATAGTGCCTGTTTCAATGAATTTTTGATGTATACCTGGAGGATAGCGCGTGTCGGGAGAGATTGCTACCAGCGGTGGGCACAGATTTTTCCGTTAGACGACTCCGCTCTTCCTGCTTATCGCCCCCGACGTTCAGCGTCGGACCGACATCCTGTTCTCGACGCGGTTAGACGAGGTTGATTACACTTGACACTTGTTCACTGAACAAACATCTTGAAATTAATCAAAATTCAACTCAGCTCCTTCCTCGCTCAACTTCAGACTATGTACCATCAGGCTTCGATGTGCAGACTATACATAATACAAAGTGCTGCCTGTAGAGCCGACGCGTAGTACCAGATTTAGGCAGTGCCTTCGGCTAGCTATGACGGAAAAACATTTGACTTGGTAACCGGTAATTCTCCTTTTACATATTACACGGAGGCAAAGTAGAAATACGAACACGTGAGGTTTTCTTTCCAGTTCACCGCTATTCACCGTCGGCGACGATAGCGCACCGCTTTTCTTAAGCAGCTAACGGGGCTGATGTCGGGGAACGTGCCTCGATGGCACCAGGCATGGTGAGGCTATTAATAAGCGGCTGGAAGCAATGCCGCAGCCAGGAGAATTCTTTATCGAGTTTGACTTCTCCCACCCTCTTCCCACTAACCACCACACCACACCACTACCTCACTCTGCAATGGCTGATATCCACGACCAAGCTACCCTTGCTGCTGCCATCGCCAACTTCAAGCCTACATCCCGTGAAGTCATCAGCGGAATCGCGCCGCATGTGTTCGAGGATCGGAGGTACCTCCAGCGGAGGAGAAGTAGGCGCAATGGGAGCCCCGTTAGGCGGCAACGGAGCCTAGCTGCTCTGAATCGTAGTAATGGGGGGACCAAGCGGTCACCACTGAGGATATCGGCTGTAATTAATTTGGACGACCCAGGTGTGTTCGTTGCTCGCTGCAAGTCGTTATCGCTGACTCACGATGATGATATAGATGAGCCAAAGGCGACATGTACGCAAGAGACGGTACAGGTGTCCAATGCAGATACCCGCAATATCAAGAAGTCGAGGAGGCGGACATTCCTCAGCATGGAATTGTCATTAGTGATACTAAAGTGCGTACTAGTCGTTAGCCTTATCCTCTATCGCTGACGGGCATTGCAGGACTCTCACTTCTAAATTAAAGTGACTATCTTCTCTTCCATTCCTGTTCTCTGTCACTCATCATCGGCATCTTCTGCAGGACGCGACACCAATAGACGTTCATCCACATTCTTTCAAGACACAAATTTATCTTATTATTTTTTCTTCTTGCTTCATTATTAACATTAAACGGAGTCGCCAGTCCTTCCATTCTAGTTCTGCCTATTGTTTTCAACTGGTCAACTGGATACCCTTGCAATAGATAGACGCAAATTCAATGTACCATGTATTTCTGCATACCCATCCTAATCCCGCAAGCGACGTCGGGACGAAATGAAGTAAATGACAGCTGTCGGAGCAATGAGATTCCCGATTTCCGCGCTCATGATAAGGAAGGAGTCGTGAGAGCGTGCTCAGTGTCGTAAAGATTGAAGAACAACAGCTCCCCTATAGGCCAATGCAAGGAAGCGAAGAGCGAATTTCGCCTCCTGTAACATGGGAGAACCGTTACGATTGGTCTTTCCACCGCTCAACGCTCGAGCGCGTAGGCGGTATTTCTGCAGCATGTGCATGCGAATCCTTCGTGGATATCTGGAACAGCCAAAAGGAACAAAAGAAAAGAAAAACGGACGATGCCGAAATCCTTATCTGCAAAGCCCGAGGAGCGCATTCTTTCCACCATCTCAAAGAACACGAAACCGATATCGGGATAGCCTTTTAGGAACGTGCGTCGCAACCGTAATGCTTCTGAACTCAAAGGAAGCAGCCAGTCAGGAATTAGACTTGTCAAGAACCAACGAAACCATGCGAAACCATAAGCCGGGTATGTTCAAGTATTAGTATATGATCGTGAGGAAAACTTCATTCCCACACAGCCTATGCTCTAGGCAACGGGTTTGTCCTTGCTCGTTTCGAAGAACATGTCCGCTGAGCGGACGTTTGAGTTCGGGGCCGTCCTCACTTCATTTATTTCGTGCCTATATAGAAGACGTCAACGTTTGAAGCACGTCAACTGTGTGTTTACGTACGTACCAGCGGATAACTAATGTCGACCTCGTTTTGAGATGAAAGAAAAGAACGGAAATTGCATTGCCCGAAATCCAGCCAGGTAGTAGGGACCAGAGGGCGGAAAGAAGAATCACGGATGAGGATTGTGAAAAGTCAAAATCAAATTGAATCGGCGTCACCGTCGCAGGGATAAGTACCCTAATGACGCGTGACGTCATTAACCGCAAGGAAAGCGATGCTTCTATAAAATATGTTCAGCAGCAAGTTCACGGAACACACCCGAAAATACGGGTGTAGTTTGATTAACCATGCGTGTATAATATTAAAAATATGCAGAAAAGCATGCACCACTGGGATGCAACAAAAGTCAGGCCTTGCCGTCCCACGCTGCAAGACATACAGGGAGGGCAATAGTTTCGGCAGAAAGGTCAAAATGAGATTCAGTGCCGGTGTCCACATCTGAGTTTATGCGGCAAGCTCGGTGGTTCAATTTTCGAATGAAAGAATGGCGCCTGCCCGGGCCGAGGCAAACAGGCACATGTATAGGGCATTGACCGCCTGCTCTAGACTAACGGCTACTGCTTCAAAAGAGTTTCTGAAAGCACAGCGTAGCAAACGTTACGTGTCGGCATTGAGGCCCGAGATCTAAAATCTCGAATCGTACAGTCCACTCTGTCCCCATCTACAGTGTCAGGTCTTTCCCTAGGGAATCGGCCCATGGGGAACGAAGCAAACCTGAATTGCCGGGATCTTGAGCAAACATCGCCGCAGGACTACCTGCTTAATAAAAACTATCAAGTTCAGTTGGCTGACTGGAAAAGGTGGCCCGCCAAATGATATCCTCAATCCAGGCACGTGTACGAGGCGCATTGGTCCCTCCCCGCCTCCCCAGACGAGGATCTACTGTACTTAGTCTGCGGCGCAGCAAACGTAGATTCGAGGGTGATTATCGTTGGTCGGCATCTTGTTGGACCGACGGGTACTTTTTCTTGGTCCGCTTTGTATACTCTCGTGTAACGCCTTGACGATGTGGAACCCGGAAGCTTTCTTGGTCCGCTACTGAGTGAACAACGCTCGAGCTCGGTTGTCACTGTACGAGCTGAGATCTGGGTGGTTTCTTCCGGTGTCTGCGGATGAACATCATCAATGCCGAGAAGAGACTGAGATTAATCAAAGGAAGCGTAGGTGCATAGAAATTGGACCGAGAGACACGAACAAACCTCGGATGAAAGCTGCCGAAGTGCGTATATCGGCCATGGAATACACGGCTGAGATAGTGACCATTAATCCTCTCGACGTGGTTCTACATTTGTATCCGGAATGGAGGCTTCTAGTGTCGCCTTCCCTCAAGATATGTGCACCTATATTGGAGAAGCGTCTTCGTGAGACACAATCGCATCTTTGGAAGCGCTGATATAGCGCATATACGCAGGTTTTGTGAGGACCTCGTGAATGGACGAGGTAATTCAAATTCGGCTAGATGTGGACTGCCTTCGAGAGATTTGCTCGCCGACTTGCACCCTTATCTTGACGAGATCGTCCCTTGCAGCTTTCATGGATCTATAGAGTATACGGGTTATCGGTAAAGGGCACTGACAGAGAAGTGACGGACCATGCATGAAATCGCGTTGCTCCGCTAGACAGTGTAGACTGTTCACGTCGCCGACGCGTTTGTTCCTCGAAGGCGTGCTATGACCTCGAAGACGACCTTGATATAGAATAGTTTTGGACGGTTTCTTATCGATCTAGGCGGTGTGCAGTCTCAGCTCGTGTCATGGTCGCAAAGGGGTATAACACGCACCTTCAGAGGCCTTATACTGACAACTCTTCGACAGGCAGTGGTCGGCAGGATACAGTTAGTTCATGTTGGGCAGTTGGAAGTAGGAGCTCAAGCGGGACGATGGATCATTTCCCACACTTGCTTGTTCTCGGCCGCCATCACGAGCTCCTATGTCTACAAGCTCTCTCTCCTTGCCTCTGAGTTCTGCGTCACCAAGAAGCCTGGAGGCAGAGACGAGCATAGCGACGATGCTTTGTTCATTTGGCTATAAATGCAAAATTTTAACTGTGCGTCGTACGCGAGCAGTTTGGATTGCAGCCAACTCGCTCGTAGCCCTAGTATTAAGATCAAAATACAAAACAAATAAATGGGTATCGTATCCATCATCCATTGAGCATTACGAGGCCAGTCACTTGCCTGACTTAAAGATTGCTTCTCTTTCATGCTGATTATCCTGTTCTACAGATAGTATTCACAGTAAATTCACGGTCAGATCCAGCCAGTTCAGTCTTACCAAGTAAGAGTTTAATGGACATTTTAGTCACAGATCCTTGCAGCAACATTTCTCGTGCTTAGGGCGCTCCGTCATTCTCAGGGAAGGCCAGCCGTGTGAGATATTCCTCTTTCCTGGCAACCATAGTGTGAGGAGCGAGTTTTTAGTACGCGGTTACCTGTAGTACTCACTGCTATGTATTGTTTCAGAGCTACACAACAACTGACAATATTTATTCTTTATATGCACCATGTTCCGTCACATTCTCGGACGGGGGATTGAATATCCATGGCTGCATACTCGGTATGAGGAATGATGGGCGCTTAGGATGTGCTCGAAGAGTCGACGGACTCTCACGGGTTGCCTTCGCTTCATCAGATGATATAAACGACCCATCGATGATCTGAACTCTATGGATGACCCCCACGCACACCCGTCCTCATCCCGTGCCCATGTTAGTGGTTGCTCCACCACGACCAAGAAAAGTCACAAGAAGAAGAAACGAGAAATCACTAACGGCCTAAACGCTGAACCCATCGCTACTCTAACGGTGCCCCCTGTTGACGGACCAAACGTCGCTATCAGAGATCCCAAGTACATCGGGTCATACAACTGGGTAGATAGCCCTTCCCCTACGATCTTAGTTCCTGGTGAGTAGAAATTCTGCCATCAACCCCACTGGGTATCTCCTGACGACCCGCCTGCCCAGGATCGCCCCGAATTTGGCGAAACAAACCGACCCCGTTCACTATTCGTCATGATACTGGAAATCATTTCTGCGACCAAAACGGTTATCGCCTTCCCAGCACACCACTTCTGCCCATCCTAGTCGCTGTAGACAAAATGGTGGTGAGATCTGACGTCTCTCCAATTTCGATTGACTGGCCCTCGGTCGATTACATCACCGACCGCAATGGGTTGCGCAAGCTCTTGGAGTGGGTGAGTGGGAAAAAGCAGAGTTTCAGGATCGACTTGCAGCTTGCGGGGAAGAAGACGGTGCTGTGTAATAGATGGGAGCCACAGTCGAGGCTGAAAGTGTTTGATGGATATGGATATAATTTCGAAGATGCAGTGACGAGTGCTGCTCCCGGGTGCGAAAGGAGTTCAGGAGGACACCACAGGGTCATCACTTACGTGAGCCCAAGTCACATACCAAACATCCTTTCGTTATCTGATGGTTCGTCCTAGGACCTTTGTGGCCTCACGATGGTGGTTCGTTTCGAGGTCGACGCATGTCACGTCCCTCACGATGCTCCTTCGACGTCTACCGACTTCCTGTCAGCCCAGCTTGCATCAATGGCCCTGTCCAAGTCCACTACGTCGACACATACCGTAGATCAAAGAACATCCTTGACCGTCATTTCCACCGGAAAGCCCATACCCAATGAATCTGTCATTGAACTGACGACAAGGAAGGGCAATGACTCTGGTATCCGCTTGAGGAACAAGTATCCACAGTTGTACTTCTCCCAGACGCCGGAGCTTATCATTGGTTTGCACCACAATGGACGCTTTACGGATGTGCAGCGAAAGACAATGGAAAGCCTGACATCTCTCGAAGACAGCCTTCAACGGAGGTTGGGAGCGCTGGGGCAGGCTTTAAGTGATATCCAAGATTTGGTTGTCCAATCTGGGACGGAAGGACGGTTGAGCTTAGTAGGAAGGGATAAGGAACTGCTAGTTTTTGAGAGGGTATCGACTGCCAGTTGCTTGCCGGAGACTTACTTGAAGAGGTTTGTAGCATCTGGATGATAGTATCTCGCAGCATCTCGTCACTTTTGTAGAATCGGAAAGATTCCACGGAATCATGTAATAGTGTTTTGTCCAGAAATCACCAATGATAGTCTCCATTACGATATCAACACGTTAAGCGGCGGTTGGCCATACACATGATCCCTGCAGAACAAAGATTTCAATGAAGGCCACAAGAAACGGTTTAATTCGCGCTTTATTAGCCCCTAGCTAACCACTACGGCTCGAATTTCTGAAAGTACAACATAGCCAACGTTACTCTCCAGTATCAGGGTTGCCACCCGAGATCTAAAGTCTCAGCGATTGCGACTCCGGGTGAAGTCCGAGCTTCCTATCTAAAGAGATCTTACGCTCTCCTTGGAACGTGGAAAGGGCCTATATTGCAGATATCTTCAGCGGATACCGCTGCAGGATCACCTGTTCAAAACATTAATTCAGTTGCTTGACTGAAAAAGGGAGGCTGTTACCGAAACGATATTCATAAAATATATCTCGTGTACGAGGCTAGTTATCGCCCCAGACAAAAATCTGCTGCAGTCTGCATCGGTACTCCGAAACGTTCGAAGAAAGACGATGGTGGACGATCTCAGCTTTCGAATAGCCGTAGCACCTGGATTGCGCTAAATGAAGGAATAGAGCATGGTTGTTAAGTCCGTTCATGATTGAGTCCATGATACGAGTCCATTCTTTTTTACGAGAGCAATTGCTTTATACAGGTCGGAAGCACTAACCACTGAAGCAAAGTCCGTACATCATCCCAACATTTGTCGAGAGGCCAGTGACCCAAGGAGGTTTTGTGCGGTCTTCCCTACTTCATCGTCATCCTCGACGCGAACAATAAATAGCACAGGCTCTGTAGTTCTTTTCTCTGCCTTGAAAAGACCGTCGGAGAGGGGACCGAATCTCTGCGAAACTTGTCTCATGAGATATACGGGCATGATGGGCATGGTACTGTAGCTTTCTGGTAACGCTTCGGGCCGCTGCAACAACAGTTTCCAAGAATGATCACTACAGAGAATAATGAGATTGATAGTATGATCCTGGACCTAGGCGAACATACCCATGTAAAAGCAGATGTTCTATGTACTCGTAGCTAGAAAAGGGGTTGTAAGACTCCTTATAGCCATCATCACATAAAAAGCTTACCCTGGTGTGGATTTGCGTGCATGTAAAGAAGCCAAAGAGCAGCCCTTTAGACGGCGACTAGGCACGCTCTGGGTTGGTACGTTTTCCGGCTTTGTCGATGCTGGGTTCATAGCGTACTTATGGTGATCGCGCTCGAAGGTAAGATCGACGTCATGCCGATTTCCGGCGCCAGAAATACTCGCATCACATAAGCACATTATGCCGTCCAGCCGTGTCAGTTGCCGACGTGCCGTCCTTTCTTTCAGATATGTTGAGAATCCCAAGGAGCGGCGTTTCCTGGTGAGTTTACTGATTCGCGCTTTATTGGCCAACAGCTAACAACTACTAATACAATGTAGTTTTATCCTACTTTACTCGACATCGCAACGGACCCCCTCCAGTCAAAACAAAGGCGAAAAGGCGAGAAAATCAAGACGCGGGAACTTGAAGGACTACTGTACACGTGAGTCTCAAAGCAGACAATAACGATGTCCATGTTAGTAAAGAGGAGAGACGGAAGGAAGAGGAACTATACATATACAAGTACAAAACAAGAAAGAATAGAATAGTATGCATGCATGGTCTATCCAGATATGCGGAAGAAATATATATATCAAGAATATTAAGAAAGAAAAGGGATGGAGGAAAGGCTTTTGAGTGTGCGAGAAACGTCGGCGGTGATGATGGTATACTTATATAGCTGGGCATGGTTATTGTTCGTAGCTACCTCCGGCACCGCCTTGGAGGGAAGCCATCCATATCCTCGTTTTGTACAACCTGAAACAAGGTCGTGAGCAAGATAATCAACAAAAAATGACGATCCTGGCTCACCGGAACAGCTCCCTGACGAGCTCCCTAAAATCAATCCTCTTTTCCGCAATAAAGTAGAACGTCAATTTGCGTCGGTCCCACTGGTACTCGGCGTCGACTACCTCCATCGGCAGCTTCTTGGCGCGCACCTTGCTCTGGCACAACTGCAGAGCCTTGGCCTCGTCTTGCATCTTGGACATTAACAATCTAAGATGATTGTCAGATGTCATTCGGAGGAAAAGAGAACCAAACGTACTGAGCATCATGCGTGGACGCCTTCCCATATATCATTTTTGGGTTGATCTCCTTCTTAGACGAACCACCACCACTGCCACCGCCGCTTCCTCCAGGACTCACAGGACCATCCTCTTCGCCCCAGCCCTGTCTATCTCTCTGGAATGCCTCTACTTCCTCCACGGTGATACTATCGTTAACCACCTTTCCCAAATCCTTTCCCCTGTCGGCCTCAACCATCACCAAATCACCCACGCGAATCTCTTGCGACAGATCCGTGAGGTAGAAAAGGTCTGTTCGACCTGCCTTGAACTCCACGATGAATAAGGGCCACGACGACGGCACAGAGTGAAGAGGTAGACCCTTCCCGAGCTCATGTTCCGAAGAAGGCAGTCTGTGGTGAATAGGCTGACTTTGCGGGGGTGGCCCTCGAGTCGAGGTCGGCGAGGTTGCAGCGTTAGAGTAGGAGGGGGCCCGTGCACGCGTGGGAGAAGAGAAGCTGGTCGTTTGCGGATAGTATTGGATCCCTTGCCCCGGAATGAATCTAGCCGTGTGAAGCTCCCGCGAAGGTTGCTGCTGCTGAGTCGTCTGCTGTTGCTGTTGCTGTTGCTGTTGCTGTCGATAATGTGATTCCAATTGGTCTTCGCTTGCATCACTAGGCGACCGCTTACTCAAATTGATCGGTGCATACGCAAAGTCATTGGAGGGAGGACTGCGAGACAAAGGCGCATAGATGGGAAGGGAAGAAGGTTGGCTGGTCGGCTGCGATGGGGACTGATTATCATTAAGATTAAGCATTCCAAGGTCGCCCGCGAGATCTTCATCAGACAGCATGAGTCCGCCGTGGCCGTAATTGGTGGCCGTAGAGAAGGGTGGATGGTCGTCGACATCTTCCACGCCTGGTGCGTTGAAACCAACAATTGCCCCTCGCCTTGGCTGTACGACGCTGACGCTATGCCTTCGACTGGTCGTCCCACTGCCACCGCCGCCATTCTCGTCCCTGGGAGGGTTCATTCCAGACCATAACTCTCTGAACGCAGATCCGTCATCCAACAAAATCTGACCCACGTCACGGACGAACGGGCTCATATTTGAGATGTCATATCTAACAAACCGAGAAGGAGAAGAAGCGTTAATGTCGATAGGGGATCTACCCATTGAACCATACCGGCTAGAGCCTGGTGGTTTCATGTCGCCGTATCGACCGGGTATGTTGACCGGGTTGGACAGCATTGACTCGTTCCAGCTCGCCATGCTAGGAGTGGCAACATATGGGCTGCCTATCGGAGTAGGTCTTCCTGCCGCAAGCGACTGAGAGCGACTGCGAGATATGTCCTGCGCGTAGGTCCTCCCCCTCGGTAGCGAAGTCGGGATATACCGCTCGTCAAAACTCTCGAGTTCCGACTCGTCGTCCTCGAAAGTCGAAGGAAAACTTCTCTCCCTCATCGTAGTCCCGAACTGGCTCTGTTGAGGATTTGTATTGGAGAAGGACGAACTCCGGGTAGCCATCTGACGGGTCGGACTCAATAGCCGCTGGTTGGACCAAGGAGAACTGGCGACGTTAATGCTCGACGGAACAAATGGCGGCTGCGACGGAGACGAGAAGAAATGCTGTTGTCCTGATGTACGCGGCGGCTGACTGGCTGCACGTTCTCGCACAGAGCCAGAACCAGCATCAGAACCGTTGGCACCCAAGAAGCGATTGGTCCTGTCCTCTTCCTCCCTCGACGTCGGTCCCATGTAGGTGCCCTGTTTATGTTGCTCGTACGCCAGTTTCTATTTGGATCCGTTTTCAATAGGAGAGCAAGAAAAAAAACGATGATGCCACGCACGAAAAACTCGAACCAGTACCACTGATCTACCTAAATATTCTCTCCAAAAGTCGATCCTGTGACTGGAGCCTGAGAAAAAGCGCCTTTTCAGCGCACGAGATGATGTAAAAGGCCAGAAACATACCAATGCACGAAACGTGGATGTAGTCAGGTAGGTCCTCGGCGACAACCACAACACAGTATCCGGTACTCTAGAGATATTCAATTCTTTTTCTTTCGCTGCTGCAGAAACAACGCCTTTAGTCCGAAAAAAAAACCAAGAAAAACTCGTGAAACACGCACGCAGCCGCGAAATATGGGGTATCCCGTGCAGTTCCGCCTTTTCGTTGTATGAATGGATGCTTGTCGGCTCTATTTCTTGACAAAATATAGGAAGTAGGGAAATCTAGTCGTAAGAATCTAAGAGTCGTCAGCAAGCTGGTGGTGGTAATGGAAGAAGGGTCTGAGTCCAGCCTCGACTCAGCTGACCCCATTGACAGGGGCATGTGACCTAAAAGGCATGTCCCTCTGACCGGCACAACTGACTGCTCCTTCCGTTACATTTTACGGGAGTCAACATTCCTGTCCTTGGTGGTTATCTGGATTTCCCTTTTGTCTAGCTACAAGCTTGCCGTAAAATCAGTGCCACAATGCCCTGCTCTAGTACCTGTCCTCGGGACCGGCTTCATTCCGGATCATCCTTGGTCACTCATCTCAGTTTCCCGCCTGCGGCGACAAGGTGAAATCTACGTCAAGACAATGAATAGTCGATAATTCTGGATGCTTCTTTTCGCGTGGTCGTGTGTAAAGTAATAGTTCACGCGACATTAAATCAAGCCATCGCGCCACTGTCGACGCGCTCTGATCTGCGGACATTGCAGGTTCCCTACTATTTCGGAAGTTCCGATCTAAGGCGGGCTTGCCTCCGAAATGGCCTCATCCTCATTAGCTCACTAGTATCGGGCCTGTTCCTGTGTAGGACAACAAGTTGTGAGGTATCCACAGAAATAGCAGGATCCAAATTTCTTTGCTCAACGACTGTGAGTGGAGGAGGTCGGTGGCTGGATAAGCAACTAGGCAGCACCGCAGCAATCAGGGTCATCACGCAGCGATGAATTAAACGGGCTGAAAGCAAAGGTTCGAGACGAGTCCTACAAACTTGGGTATCTTGGAAAATGTTGTGAAGCTAACCGGGCTGTAGAAGGGCCTTGTAAAATCTCATCTGATAGAGGCAAAGGGGGATAATTGTGAGCGGTAGAAACACTGTATGATTTACGGAAGACAGTAGCGGCTGGGATCCGGCAAAAGAGCGGTGGCCCGGGCACTTGTTGATATGAACAATTTGAGCACCTCGGAGCTGGCCAGTTTAATAGTCGTGCCTTGGGGCATTATCATCCCCGTCCAACAGGTAGAAAACGAGACGCGCCCTGTTTGGCACCTAAACGCCCCACACTGGACAGTAAAAGCATGTCGAGGCATTGAAGAGACGTTTCAAATCTCCTCAGGAACGGCATTGTGCAGTACACTAATGAATGACTGAAGCAGTGCCAAATCGTGGTCGGGGATCGGTGATCATGATCCTATTTTCCTGTCGGAAAGGTAGTCATCACATAGGGCCGAAATTTGAGCATGGGATGAAACTGAGGCAACTTACTATGATAGCGTAAACGCAACTCTCGCCATGAACTCGCAAGACTCCATCATACGTTGCGCATGGTATGATATACAATCCCATGTCGTAGCCACGGCTCTGAAAGTAAGCCTGTGAATCATGCCAGAGTCTGATATATGACGTAGCTCACGCATCCGTACGCTGCGCGCTCATGCAGAGAACCCTCATAGCGCAGGCCGTCAGACAAGATGGGCCCGGAAGTCTTGTAGGACATTCTGGAAAAAATGGATCAGTACATTTCCATCAAGACGACGACAGCGGCGCGTACTAGTTCCCATTCTGAGCTCGGATACGCGACAAACGACGTAATGATGGCATCCATCATGCCTGCCAGAGTTAGAAACCAAATCAACAAAACAGTTGAAATAGAAACGACCCTGATCATAGCCACCCGAGACCCAGCGTCCCTTCCGTTTTGCTTCCGTCTGCACGGCGAAGAGTAAAGAATAGAAGTACATTGTATCATTACCGTATAAGTGTAGGTCAATAAACAACAAAGGTAAACCAAGAACTCCGAGATGGAATGATTTTGAAAACCCTTGAAAATCCGCGGGGGGTATCTAAGTACATACGCGAAAGGCGTAGGTAGAAATGGCTGAGATGAAGCGAGGGAGGTAAAACGTCGATAGAATACAGTGTATATGGATACAACGGCAGGCTGTGAGTGAATGCGAAGGTTTGTGGCGGGTCTTCATGTCTTTGAGGCACCGACTTTACGTTCAGCGGTTACTGCATCGTGGCATGAGCAAAAAGTGATACAAGACAGATAAAGGGCGACATACCCCATGTCCGTCGATCCATAGGGCATTGCTGCTTCGACGAAGACGTTGAGATCCACTTCAGGAGGCAGTGCATGTGGAAAACATGGCTACATTCACCCCATACTGGAGAGAGAAAATGCTCAGTTGAGAAAGCAAAAAAGATGCAAGGGGACATACTAAGTGGACAGTCATCTCCTGGTACCTTGCAAGCTGGACAGCAGCCTTCGTAGGGCACCCTACATATCCCGCATACGTCGCCCTCGGGGTCGTCGTCTTGGTCGTTGCCGGTGTCCCATTGCCATTGAGCAACGGCGTGCCAGGATTTGACGTTGACTTTCATGATGGTGGTTCGAGAACAAGAATGGAAGCCATTCGAATGTTACCGGGACAATGAAAATCAACAAAGCTTACGAGATCCGAGTTTGTTTGTACTTGTGTACGTGTCGCGTTCTTGGTGATTGTTACTCTTCGCGTTTGTCGAGTGACCTTGCCGTCGGCGTTTTTCGGTCTCTCGCTCTGTTTCTTCTCACATCAGCGGAACAGATCGTGTTCGCGGACATGGAGGTCTTTCAGCGTAAGTGCATGGTGCTAATCTTCTAGGAGGCACTGACAAAGCATTGACACCCTTCCCTTTTGCAGGTCTACCGGATGAACTTGAACAGAAACTCGAGGCACTAGTCTCGGTAGCAGAAATTCTGGGCCTCGACGATATGTCTTTTGCAAAGTGAATTTTTTGACGTGCCCCGCATACGAAATACTCACAATATCCAGCTATTCGCGCGCCCTCGTCCAGCTTTCGGAGGAGCAGCTCTCCTTAAAGCAAACACTAATTCGCTTGGCGTTTATCGAGAGGCAGCTCACAGCTCATCTCGCCACAGCCAAGCACGAGCATCATCAGATACGAAAGTGGGTCCATTCTATTTCAAATGGCAACGACCCTGCACTATATTTAATTTACAGGTGGACGGAACATTTTCAATCGGACATTCAGTCCGGCGAGTCAATGGAAGAGACCACCCGCAGACGGGATGCACTCCTACGTAAAGCAAAGGAATATCGCAAAGAACTTACCACGCTCCCGATCTCAGAGCCCTCTGTCACAATCTCTGACCTTGTAGCCCAATCCGACCGTATCAAGCAGCGCCAGGAGCAAATTAAAGTGAAGCGGAACAAGACCAAGGCGTTCAAGGGCGTGTCGCCGGTACGTTGCTCTTTCCCAATATTTGATGACGCTTACCGATGTTTGCAGAACCTGGACCTTGCTCGTACGCAACTCCGTGAGGCCCGTGCAGAGCAGATGAAACTTTTTCAATTGCGCGAGAGGCTCATGGAAAAGATGACAAGCACCGTTTCTTAACGATGACCGGGGATTAGCTGTAGAATCAAATTCGGCAAATAGTGGGCGACGATTGCTTTAGGTCGCCAACTTGAAAAAGGCAGCGTCAGAAAGAGTGCCTTTCGTTCGATCTGATGTCCGGTGTACGGACTGGGAGGCCTAGTTATATCCTTCCTGTCGGCCGGACCTGTTAAGAATATAAGTAGTCGAGTTAATGCACAGTCGGTAAATACCTGAAGTCAAACCCGAGTTGTAGTGAGAATGCCCGAACGCTGAATATAATTTCGACGGCATTTATATACTGGAGTTGAGTCTTATTGCTCTACAAGGTCCCATGGTATTCGGTTATCGACAAGAAGAATACAGGAAGTAAGAGAAAGTACCAATAGGCTGGGGTCAAGACCGAGAAGACCGCGAGCAGGTGAGTGTTGACTTGGATAAACCGGTGAAGACCCGATATTCATAATAAAGTTTTCATATACAAGTAACGATGATACACCTATTTTACATGTACAACGCGTCATACATCGCCAAGCCTGCAAGAGAAAGCGCTCGCCTCTTTAAAAGACGCTGGAGTTAGTTTACCACACACTCGGCCTACCACGAAAAAGATATTAGTATATGACGGCTATATGGTCAAGTCCTTACCCGAAGGTATCCCCCGGTGCTAACGCCTTGACTGGTGTGCCGACCCCACCTGGACCATAATCCGCGCCTTCGAAAGGGACGCTATTTCCCCACCATGATTGTACCGTATCCAAGCCGATCTACATCAGTTAGGAACAAGATCTCAAGGCTAAACGGAAATCTCACTGTTCCGTTCCTAGGATATTGCAGGCTATTTCCGCGTCAGTTACTTCCCAAGTCTAGTATAGGAATCGATTCATACCAAAAGAATATCACGAGGATCGAAACGGTCGTCCCTGCGTCAAGGGCCGCAGATAAGACATCTATGTTTGAATGAATGAGTACTGGCCCGAAGGGCGTTAAGGGGACGCACAATTGTATTTCGTCCACCAGGAGAAGCATCGTCTGAGATGCAGAGTGTTGGCAGGAAAGGAGTTATCTCGGAAACGAGAGGTGCGTACCTTCGAATATAATATTGGAACAGCATTCCCACTGCGCTATTTCGAAAAGGTATGGGATTGCCCATCAGACGGGACAGAACTGGAATCACTCACGCCCAAGGAACGTAATTGATAGCGGTCGCGGGTGGTATATATCCGGTACCATTGAAGATAATGGGACTTTCACGGTTATCAGATATCGTGGAAGAGCGTGGTTTTGATAATGAAGACGTACAAGCTGTAGTCAAGGTCAATGGAATCGTTAAATGATTAGACGGAGAGACATACTTGACGTATCGCAACCAGCTATTCGGGTATCGCCTGCTCAAGAAAAACACGACCAAGGGAGCGATGGCCCCGATTAGGAAGAAGTATACCAAAGCTATAGGAGTGGGAGAGATCAGAAAAAAATCAGCAGCGTGTTCTTCGAAATCTTACGACTATATGACGACTTCGTTAGTAAAAAAAGACGATCAGCGGTATGATCAACATACTAATACGTTTGTCCTTTCGAGAACTGCAACCCCGGGCCGATGACGCCCCACTAAAATATTAACCCAGTAGTATCTAGACAGCGAGCTCTTGATAAATGACAACTTACGATAATACTTGCGGTCCCAAATACCTCCGTACCCGGACATATGAAACCGTCTTTCTGGTCAGAAGAGCACATACCCCTGCTAGGCGGATCAGTAAAATCACAAACGGGGAAGAATCACCTTACTCTATGTTCGTGAACATCCACGACTGGACACCCAGCTGTACAGTACCAGCGACAGTGGTTGCTATGACCTGTGTTGAATGTCCCATGAGAATACGATCAAAAGAATCGCAAGAAATAACAACCTGGGCCCAAAACATTGACCGCGGAGGGATTTTCATATAATGTCCAAGCTTGAAGTCGGACGTAAATGTTAGCGCTTGAGACATAGTCTAGGTACCGGATCAGCCAATGGCGACAATGTGGGAGTGAAAGCACTATACAACGTAACCCCACGTCTTGAACATCATCATAGCGACGGGACGGCCGGGACGAGCATATCCGATGACGAGCTCGGTGATAACACTAAGTGGTGCCTATGAGACTGAGAAGACCTCATTGAAGAAGGCAGCTCACTTCAGTCCAACTTGTTGGTTCGTGATAGCCTGTATCATGCCCACAGGAATGACATATGTGAAAGCTGGAAGGTATGGAGTTGATGAGTCGTCAGCAGGACCGACGGGGAAATGAACGGACCGATAACAAGCGCTAGAAGAAACGCCCAGACCGGCATTTCTCTGTCAAGTAAATGTCGGTTAGAAATGCCGAGAGATTTTAGTGCGCAGTAGACATACGTGGGCCATACTTCGATGCTGATTACACCGAGGGTGAACATCGTAAGGAAAATACCAAGGTACCACCAGTCCGGTACTGACCAGATTGACTGGCTCGTGAGCTGAAATTGGAAAAATACGGGCTTGTAACTTACCTTGTTTATACTTTGACATTAAACGGGCATGGATATCAGGCTGCTCGTGCAAGGCACGGCGAGACTGTATCCAAATTTGTTTTCGGAAAAATAGAATCGCGTGCATTATCGTAGCAGTTATGGCGGCAAACGACAGGCTAAATACAAAGTCAGTCCATCGTCACCTGAAGCAGAAACCTCGGCGTACCCGTAAGAAATTGCGAATGTCGTTCTATAGAAAAATCGTCAACGGGGTAATGGTTGGTCGGACCTGATTAATCTTACGATATGAAAAGGGGACTGTACTCGTGATAGGCATCGGCGTTGAATGTCGAGTCTTGACTGAGGATTCGCGTAACATTGTACTCTCGCATCTGATTATCGTAAGAGGATCGTGAAGAAATCCTGTGAGGGAAGTAATGAGCACACGAGAGTGGTTAATAGTGATGACCTACGGCATGTACTTGGCATGCCATGTATTCGTGAACTTTGACAGTAATGAGCTCCTTGAGCGGATGAATGACCACGGAACAATTACATACGTAGAGGATGGGCGTTAGAATCCCTGCGAAGGGTAATCAGCCAAAATTGATTCGTTAAGATCTATATTATAATATGACTCACAGAAAAAGAAAACGAAACCTGAGAATATGTTAGCTTCAGCCCACCCTGGTCCGTGTAGTCAGTGCTGGGGGATTGACGCCACATGATCAAACACACAGGGTGTAGCGAGGGGCGACCCAATGTATCTACGGTCGTGATACTTCATGAGCGGGTGTTTTCTATAATGCAAGAAGGCTACCTACGCAATTTGACTCCAATCAAATGTCACTACAGACATTCCCTATTGATCAACATGAACTTAATGGTTAGACAGCGAGTGATTGTGTAGCGCACCAGGCCATGGACGTAGCCAAACAGCTGAGCCAAGACTGAAAGGATACGATCAGAAGGGGGACGAAAAGATGGCTCCTAGTGAATTGCCTACCAACATCATTCGGTCTGATCCAAGTTATCCAAGAAAAGTAGGAAAGCGCTTGGACTATGACAAAGTTTGGAACACTCGGGAGTTGTTATTGAACGCGTTTTACTCACAAAGATACCCGGGGAAGAAATCTGACGAGAATCTTTCAGCTAAAATGCTTTTGTATAACAGACGTACTCACACCATGCAAAAGACGCTAAGAATGCATAAACGAAGAACCGCTCTCGACTGATACCTCCACGATTCCCGATGCCGGCATACTGTTGTGAGTGTAGTGTATTAAATAACGCGCAGTTGACGAGGTTGGCTGGCCATATCATCGAAGGTGGAGAAACCAGAAATCGTCGCGCCACTCCACCAATGGCATATCCGATGAGTTGTGTTGACATGACCATAAACCATTGATCTGTAAATCACGGTTCAAAAACCAAAAGAGCTCGCAGCAAGGAGAATATACAGCTGAAGTTGTACTGCTGATTATAATACACTTTTTGAACGGCAATGATGTCAGTGGCATACGCTGATCCAGCACCGACCGAAGCCATGATCTGCGATAGGAAGCGTGAATTCATTAAAAGTGCTCAGCCACCGAGCAATCAATGATCGACGTACCGTTATTAAAACATGCTCCTTGACCGTAAATGGTGCTAATTGAAATGGAGGTAGGCAAAAGCGTATGTATGGGGTATTCCAAACTCACAAGGATTTAATGATATTCCAAATACCTTCCACCGAGGAACATACGCAGCCGCAGCTTGACCTATAGGGAACGATAAAAGTTGTGCAATAATTCCCGTGACGTCGATGTTCGGATAGCGAAAGAAAAAGAACTGGTTGACGCCGGGTATGAGGATGGCCCACATCAGACCAATGATCCATGCTCGGAGAGTCGCCACAGGCATATCGGGATCGTCGGTATTGGCAACAGCTGATCGCACCTCTGGGTAGGGGCTTTCGTCGTCAAACGCCAACATTTGGTCCCGGTCCAAGTTGGGATCATCGAACTGCGCACCGGTGATGGCCTATATCGTTAGTTTAGCCGGTATGTAGGAGCAGTGCAACGACAAACTTACAGAAATCGATTCGGCTTCATCATCATCCTCAGTACGAGCAAGGGGGATACCATTCTCATAGAACTCACCGGTCATAGTCTCTTGCTGACATCTCTCCTCCGCATCTTTTTCAATATCGGGAATGGTGGATGGTGCGTACGAACTTGAACGATTAAGTTTGGCGAGCGAATAGTGGGGGCTTCGCACTGGGTGGTCGTCCATAATCACAAGGTTCGAAAGAGTTTCCGCGCAGGAAGATGATATTTTATGTTTCGTATTTTTAGCTTGGGTGCGGTATCGGAATTAGTGTTGATAAGGATAGCACATGTTCGTATACCATAGTCACGGCCTTGGATGTTCACACCGGACGGAGGTCGACCGGAAAAGGGCCGCAGTTTCCGGTGATTTTCTTGGCAGAAAATTGGCAGACATAAATAAAGGTTGCGAAAGAAAAGTTAAAACATCGATGGAAGGGAGCGGGAGCTCGCCTATCAAGAATCACGTGTAAACGAGAGGTCGAGGTGACCATGCGTTTGCGGGAATAAACCACATTGCGCGACAATTTGAGCTATGACTTTCCATCATAACATTCTCGACAGGAGAACATCAGTGGTAAAGATAAGGTTCAAACGTTTCGTATTTGGGTTTCAGAATGGGAAAATGATGTCGAGAAGTCATTTTCTCCCGTGTTCAGGTCGATAAACTGCCTCTATAAGCTAAATGAACAGCTCATCAGAATGTAAGAAGAATTAGCATAAAGCAAGAAAACATACATGCCCATATGCAACGTCCCTTGACAACAAATCAACCTCGAAAATCAGCATCAAAGGCTCCTGGTATCTCCTGGTATTCTTGGCAGCTGTTCCTCATGCTCCAATGTATCGTCAAATCATAGTTATCGCCCTCTAGAAAGATGTCCGCTTACCGGACGCTACAAAGGCAGCGAGCTGGATCCTACGGTTCGGATTCTTGGTGATGACGGCTTTCCGTACCGTTATATCCGCTGACATTTTTTTAAGAATTAAAAGACCAGAATAATGTATATCCTCCGTGCCTTTGAAATTGGGTCAAATTAGGTCCTGTCGACTTAAATCCATGAGAGAAGGAAGTAAGGTGATAACCTAACCAGGCAAGTTGTGGGTCCCTGTTGGCGCGTCCAAACCAAAACATGTACAAACATATTATGATCATCTCAGCCAACCTTTTGGCAGCCGTTTACAGCTCGGTATTCAGCTACCATCTCTCATTGACCCTTAATTGACTCCTCCGCATCTTCATCAATCATTAGGAAATAGGGCGGATGTCACCGGGTGCATAGCCATATGCTGCCGCATCCGAGAACCTTGATGCCTACAATATGATCTCAGTCAATGCCCTGGCCCGGGTCAACATTTCGATAGAGGATATCATGTATGATGTTTATATGCATAGAGAGTTGGTGCTGTATAACCATATCTGGGCATGATGGAGAACACAGATATCAATAATAGGGTATGCAGCTCAGCAATGAAACGAAGAGCTAACATTTATTTCTGTAACAGCTTTCAAATCAGATTATCGTCATTTGCATGCTATCTATACCGGGGAACAGTTCAGTTTCAGTGTCTGAATAGTCCCTGGAGCCACCGAACCAAATTGTTCGACTGGGTCCAAAACCTCAAATCAAATCCCATAATGCGCAAAAATCGCGCGCGCATCATGTAGAAGGGCAAGATTGCTTAACAAGGCAGGGCGCCGCTGATGCTTCAGGAAACTTATAAAGCTGGAAATCTGTCAAGGGCTTAAATGGTACGCTTTGCATGGAAATAATCAGTCTCTTACAAATGTGTAGATATGTACTCGACTAGGCGATGTTTACCGGCCCTTTTCTTCACTTAAACTTATTTCAGAGCACTCTTGTTCCATCATATTGTGCCTCTTCAATGCATCCGGCCTGTTGAACGGTTCGTCACACTGCTTGCGCAAGAATCGCTTCTCCAGACGAATCGCCGCTAAGAAATAGGAAATGCCTTCCCGTATACCACGCCGCTATTCCCACCAAGTCACAGTCAAAACCCACGCAGCGTGTGCTTCCGGCTTTTCTGGGAATGCCCTTGTGGCGTTTTGTATTGGAGGATTGCGCTGTTCATCGACATGTACTCGCTCACAATCAGGTTCAAGGCACCTAACATGGACCTTCTCGACATGGAATGCCAACGGTCCCTTGACATCGCACGTAGATTTGATGTTTATTCCTCCTCGGCTTTCGTTTCGGCACTACTCGTTTTTTGGTTCGCCCGTCGGCATCAGCATCACAAGTGAAGTCGAGATAAGGCCTTGGAATGATACGTCGTGGGAGCCAAGTGGAGCGGCCGGACCTTTCATCTTGAGTCCACGTTCCTTGGTATGCGCCGGTGCAGTACGGATCCACTCGTGATCATCCTATGAGGATTCCCTGGAAGTTGGGTGTTGACACCGGAATAATGGATGGCGCAAGGCTCCTTCGAATTCTGGATCGAAGAGTTTGCTACACCTTTCAGAAATATCTGCAATGCTTCTCTGTCGAGGTCGAGGATCTTCACTTTTCCTTCGCACCAGGCGACATGTTATGGCCGATAATGTGTTTGTAGGCTATGTCGGAGAAACGGCCACCGAAAGATGTAAAAGCAGCACGGTAGGCCTTGGCCAATTTGAGCCATTTCAACACCAGCTCAGGTACACCAGTCAGGACATTCTTCTCAATGGTTACCACGCTGCCATCATATCTAAGATGCCTTTCGAATGCTCATGTTGGATTGCCTTTCTTCATTTTGTCCGGTACGTGTACTACAATGTCATCATGCAATAGATGAACTGAAGGGCCGTCAAACAGCAATTTTCGTGCATCTTCTGTACGGAAGATAGGAGAAGTTACTGACGCTACTTGCCTGGGTCTGCAATGGATACTCAGTTGCGGACTTCTCTCGAACACAGCTACCCTACCCTCCCTCCTTCACGCTCTTGTACACCCCTCTTGCATTCTGTCCCGGCGTGGTGGGCACTTAAATCACGCCGAGCATTGCTTTCTTACAACCCAATCTCTCCGGCGAATCGCAAACTGACATCAGGTTTCCATGGTCCAAAGGCCTTTTATTTGATGGATACATGTCAGGGTCCAGTTGAGTTTATTTCGTATAAGATGTTATCCCCCACGCTTAAACCTCTTCAAGTACTCATCTGGCAAGCAACTGTCACTCGTCGACCTCTCAAAAACCAGTAGATCCTTATCCCTGCCAATCAAGCTCAGCCGTCCCGTTGACCCGAACTTGCTCACTAGAGCCTGGATATCATGCAACGCCTTTCGCAACACCCTCAGTCTCTTCTGAACATTGTCCCCGACGTAGGATAGGCTCTCTATCGTCTTTCGCTGAATGTCGGTAAAGCAGCCATCCTTTTGTTTACCGATGAATAGCTCTGGAGTTTGCGAAAAGTACATCTGCAAGTATTTTTCCCTCCACAACAGCGAATTACCAGCTTTTCTTGTCGCCAGTTCGACAGTGCACTCGTTCGCTATGGGTTTACCAGCAGCGACGACGGTCAACGAAACCATGCCTTCAACGGCACGCGTGGATTCCGGGCGTTCGGATAGAGTTGCCTTCGAGGCAACCTCCGCCGACAGCGTGTCTACTGATACCGGAGGAGGATCTTCTGGGACGAGGCACGCGTCGACTTCGAAGCGGACTACCATCTTGAGACCATTGAAGTCCTACGACAAACCATTTAACGACGGAGTCCACGGTATAGCTACACACATACATAAGTGATGATCCTATGGTGCCCGCCTGCATCTGTCTCGCAGCCAGGAGCAGGACGTGTCACTGCGTTCTCAAATGCATACCCATAACCACCAAATGTCTTCATCCTTGTTTTCGCTTCCCATCGATTACACAATACCGTCTTCTCCCCGGCAAGCTGCAGATCGATCCTGAATTTTTGTTTCCTCTCGGTGACCCACCCCATGAGTTTGCGCAGTCCGTTTCGATCGATGATGAAATCGATGGAAGGCCAGTCGATTGTGGTCGAAGATGGGTCGGACTCCGAAGCTACGCTGTCAACGGCAACGAGGATGGGTAGCAACGGAGTACTTGGGAGTCGATAACCGTTCTGGTCGCAGAATTGGTATCCAGAATCGGCGGGGACGGTAAATGGAACGGGTTTGTTCCTCCAGATCCGCGGCGAGCCTATGTAAACGGGAAGTTAGCGCTGGGCACATGGGAATTACGCGATCTAACCCAACCTGGTACCAAGATCGTCGGGGATGGGTTATCCATCCAATTATATGACCCGATGTATCTCACATCTTTGATCGCAGCAATCTCTTCGTCCTCAGCAGGTACCGCTAGCGTTGAGATGGGATTTGCTGTTAAACCTTCAGTGATGTCTCGTTTCGGCGCCGAGCGGTTAGCTGTAATGGGAATGGAACCTATGCCACGACCACGAGATGGAGAGGATCCTGCTTCGTGGGTATCGCTCATCTTAGGATATGGAGCAATGGCCGTCTAGGAAGAAGGCACGCCGCGCGTCTATCTGATGATGGATCGAAGACGACCGTGTGAGCCCGTTGAAGGATTGAATGCATCTTAGGCGCCCAAGAACACTGTCCCGAATATGCAAAGGTGAATTGTAAATCCAATCTAATCAGTTGTTTGGCATTTATTTACTAGACGAAAACAGCGATCAATAGAGAGCGTGCCCGCGTCATGATACATTGTCCGGGTAATATAAAGCTCAGCAATGGTCAGTTACTTTCGGGTATACGTGCAAGTTGCATGTACAGAAAATAGAACGGAATCTCGCCTACGACAGCCCCTGAAGAACAAGTTCAACGAAAACTTCGATCCATTAGCTATCGGTATAACAAGGCCGCCAAGCTTTGCCGTTTGTAGATTTGCCCCGACGTCATACACTTAAAATCGTAACGACCGAGGTCCATTGATCCCCTGCTATCTATTCTGGCCAGTCGTTTGGAACGATCTATCATTGAGGTAAGGTACAAATACATTCTTAGTGATAAACATAGCTGATGGCTTGTTGTACTTCTTTTAACAGTTCACAGATACACTTCGCAATAACGTCTTGGACACCTCCATCTCCTTATGCGTCCTCCGCGTCCTTGAGCAGCATCATCATCCCGTCTAAAGCTGCTTCCTCGTCCGTCTGATTGATATGCTTCCTTATTTGATGCCGCTTCAACGCGTCCTTCCTCGTATACATCTCGGAGCATTCGTCGCAGGCATACCCTTTCTCCTTATGCTTGATGACTAAAAAGTGCCTCTTCGCGTTACCCACCATGTTACTGGTCCAGTTGCAGTCAGGCCAAGCGCACCGTACACTGTCCTTCGCCCCAAACTCGCCTCTGTGTAAAGGCATATGCGCTACCACCTCGTCAAGAGTTTTGAAATGCTTGCTACATTCAGGTTTGACGCATCGGGAAATAGTCGGCTCATAGGTGAATGACCGGGCTCGTGCTCTGCGATGGGGCTGGTCTGAGACCGGATTGGAAGGGAGAGAGAAGACGTCAGGTTCGGTGTGCATGCTTGGTGCGGTGGCATCCGATGGAGCGACTTTAACGTCGTAGTGGCGGAACCTGTATTCTTTGAGAGACATGCCCTCACGGCTGCCACTGGCGCCGCGGTCCGGTGTCTTGATGCCATGGTTGATGAACCTATAGCCGTTCAAATCGACTGAATTGAGATTGCTGTTCCTCTCCTTGGTACCTCCTGTGCCATACGCTACGATGTCGCGTTGGGTCGGCACAGCATCGCAACGGCCAATCTTGGGCTCAGGGAGCCTGACGACGCGAACAACGGGAGTTGCCTCGGGGCCACTAAAACGATCAGTTTCGCAAACATCAAACCTGACATCACGCTCGAAGTTACGACCATTGTCGTGACTGCTGGCTTTGCTGCACCTTTCATCGCGTCGGGCATCGTTGCGGCGCTCAATTTGGTTATTGTTGGGATCGCCGAACCGGTCTTTGTTGTCAAGGAAACCCGACATGAAGTCGGGGGAGAGTGGACTGCTGGGGATGCTGGAACAGCTCTCTGTCTCGAAGTCGCTAAAGTCGCTTTCGGATAGAGTGGCGATGGGTGGGAAGATGGGGGATGTGCTACGCGGCATTATCTTCGTGACAGAATTTGGACGTATGATGTGGTTATGATGCCTGCGAACATTCATTTATATCTTAGCAGTACAATGTGGTCTTTATCATTTAGCGCTGTCTTTGTTTGAGAAAAGACACGATTTGCTCTATTCCTTTGTGGCATTGCACGAAATGGTAAGAACGTCATGCGAAACAATGTGGCTTTTGCCGCGGATTGTCCAACGCCACTATCGGTCTTTGTTCCTTGACAAATGGAACCTGTTCCGTAGGGAGAATCCTGGCGGTCGAAGCATAGGACGGAGAAGAGGACTTTGAAAACGGCTCATCAGGAATTCAAATTTCCAAATGTTGATGGCACCATGCAGACCCGGCTTCAGCACTGTGCCATGATGCTCATCCAATTATGAAACATAAGCAATTAAATGACCAATATTTAGTGCTATTGGTCCAGTTGTTCAATTGCACGAAAGCTCGCCTTTGTATACTTAAGCTGGACAAGGCGCATTAATTAGTCTACAGTATTTATGTACAGACAGCCCTTACCTTCAGGTCGACTCGGATTCCACGGGACAGACCCGCAGCGTCTAAAGTCGCTCATTTTCTTCAACACTCAACCATCCTTTTCGCGGGAAATATCCCACCCCGAGTATATATCATGAAGCACGAACTCCTCTAGAGCTGGGCAGCGCTTGGCAAACATTGTGGCGATTTCGTCTGGGTTGCTTGGAGCATCGTCGTTACTTGCATCCCCTTTATCGGCACTCTCGTTGGTATCGATCTCCTCTGAAATGGTCCCGGCTAATGGCGTTGGTGGCAACCAAAGCCTCTTCCCGATATTCCACCCAAAGTAGCGAAGGTGAGCCAGAGAAGCTAGTCGAGAAGCGGAAACGATTGGTGGCTCAGGCCAAGTTGCACGGACCCCAAGCGGACTTGACAGTTGGAAAAGGAGTAAATGTGTCAACTGTGGAAAATGTTGCGAGATATCACCGAAAACTTCTGCACTACCCTCTAATAATCCGTCCAGGACTAGATTCTTGAGAGGTTGCGGTGCGAGCGCATCTAGCAAAGAAAGCAGTTCTGCGTCTGTTATGCCAGTGGCAAATCGAACTTTGAAATGAGTAATGTGGTTACCGCTCAAGGTTGAGAACCAGTGGGAAAGAAAACGAACGGGTACAGTCGAGACGCCTTCCATGCACAAACGTGATATATGGGAAAAGTGATATTCAGCAGCTAACGTGCCGAATACAGTGATATCGAGCTGGTGGGAGTGGGAAAAGATGTAAAGAGACGTGATTTTGGTGCAAAACGTGAGGATGTTCCAGGTCCTAGTCCATCTAGCTCCTGGATGTCCACTGAGAGGGCAGATCACTAGCTGAAGATGACGTACATTGTCGAGGTTGAAAAGTTGGGTAGCAGCGAGTTTTACAGACTTAGCGCTCGATTCCACTTGGGTGGTACCGGATGCTGACTCACTCGGTAGATGTATGGCGCCCCCAAAGCCCTCATGTGGTGACACGTCCTTGACAGAAGACGCACAACATCACTGCTCCCCTGCTGAAACACAAGATCCAGCAGCTCATCAGGGAGATCAGGAAGAAATAATTTCTGGATCTTCGGCTCGCCCTTGGACTCTGTTATCTGCTTGACAACACGATCTGGTAACAGCGTAAGATTTCGGAAGTGGACATGATGAACAGTTTCACTGACCGATCCAATCCTTGACGTCCTCGTAAACATATGTGCTAGGTACAAGCCATCGTTCCCGAAAATCTTCCCACATCTCCTCGTTTTGCATTTCGTAGGACACAGATGAGCGGCCTTGGCCTGCCAGGAGAGCAAGTTCACCTTCAAACGCCCATCCACTTTTGAATTCCAGTACAAATGGGGCAAGAGCTTCTACATCGGCAAGGAAGAGAGACCAGCGTGCTGAATAGAATTCAAACCTCTTCAAAAATATAATGAGAACAAGTGCGGCGACCTTAAAAACAGAAAGCACGCTTACGGAGAGGCGTCGACCCGTGAGATCCAGGTCGCCCTACAAAACATAAACTAATTGACTTCACTCTTCGCTTTGCAGCAGGAATAGTGCTTACTGAATAGAAACCTATCATGATGAACGCCTCCAGACGTGCTACCTTGAAATCGCTGTCCTGAGAAATGTCGATAGGCCCGTCTTCACCAAAGTGATTGAAGATCTTGTAGGACATGCTGCCGTTGTATATAGCTTTGTCGAATACTGTAGTCGGTTGCCATGATACAGAATGATAGGTCTTGCGCCTCAACGAAGCCTCGTCCTCTAACAAATATTGAATGTCCTGCATGGCGGTAAGTGTAGAAGACGCAACAAGCATGGTTCCGCCGCCTCGACACGGAGACAGCGGCTGGACTCCCAGCCCTGCATGCCAGTGATGGTTGAGCACCACAACCACCGGGATACGGCCCGACGATCCAGCGACCCATTTCAAATCAGATTTAATATGGACCGTGGGAGTACCCACCTTTTGCGAGCGCAGCAAAATCATTCACACTCTAGGTCTTGAATATTGAATCTCAAAGACGGGTCTGGCAAATGTGACAAGAATGTGCCAAAGACATAGTACTCAGAACGGGAAGCATGATGCTCAGAAAACAACAGGATACGGACTGTGGAACCGTGGAAGAGACGACCTCAGACCAATAACCAGTATGTAGCAGCAAAACCCGAAGGCTATGGCAAGGCGCAAGGCACCTCAGCGGGTAAACAGAAATACGACGACATACTCATTTTCACCCGTTGAAAAACAGCACAGTCATTCTTTATACGTGTAAAAGCAATAATCTCGCGTTACAGAGGGACAGGATAAGAAATGAAAGAGATGCGACTCGACGAAAGAACGGAGACGACGCCAAAAAAAAGCTATCGAGGACCGTAACATTTGCACTTGTTTGGCACACCGCACCGGACGGGTTCCTCACATGCCGGCCAATTCTACTCGCTGCGCTCGCAATTATTTTCCAAAATCTTTTAGCCGAATTTAAGCAAACCGACGAAGTAAAGTGGCCATTATGTATCTATTAGCTCTATATATTTCTAAGTTGTCTAAGCCGTCTAAATATTATCATGCATGACAGGATATTTCATACGGTGAATGTCAGGGAAATATGAAATAGTCTCTTCATATGCTAAACCAGGATATCCTAGGGCGTCCATTGTTACCTGCGCGTCCTCCGGTAAGCACAAACGTAGTGTTCTAAGGAAAGGACCATCGCGATAATATTCGCCTAGAGCAGCGCGTAAAACAGAGTGCCTCTGTACAATCCAATCTAAAACTTGGTGGTAGCTCTTTGGCGAGAGCGAGTTAATCCGAAGGACAGAGAGATGGGGAAGGACCAGAGGAAGTCGGGATAAAGAGTCTTCTGTTTCAGATTGAGAGATAAGAGGGATAGGATAATTCATTGACGTCAAGGTTGCATTATCAGGGGAGATTAGAAACAGGTGTCTGAGCGATGTCAAGGATGCCATGAACTTCCACGACACAGGTAAGTGTTTCTCCCCCGTATAACCTCGTTGAACGCTGGACCATGCTGGGAATCGTTCCTCTCGAAACTCCACATGTCGAAGGATGAGAAAGGTTAACTGGGATAATGGCAGAAGGCGTATCATAGCGTCAAAGAGTCGGTTGATGGAGTGAGTATGCACTTCGTGCGTACGACCTTGGAACGCATTTTCACCGTGCATATTAATTATAACCAGTGCCTTGAGCGCAGGAAAGGCGACATGGTAGAGAAACGGCCGGACGTCGCGAGCGTTGTGAAACCCAAGGCGAAGCATGCGAACGTTAGGCAGCAAAAGACGGTCACTGGGAGAGACTGGGCTCTCCGAGTTTCTTGCTGCAAAGGCACCAATAATCTCGACCTTGTCGAGGGTATCCTTGCTAAGTCGCAGAATTTCGACCAGTTCTTGGATCGTAGGACAGTGATGCAAGGGGAGCATTGCGAAGCTGAGCGATGTCAGGTTTGAAAACCCGAATTCTTGCCACTGACAGGGAATGCTAATGGTTAATTCTTTAAGAGACGGGCATAGCTCTGCTTTGGGCGAAGCCAAGAGTCTGTCTGTAGACACGTCCTCAGTGTCCGCGGGGGAGAAGGAGTAGAACTCTAGGTCTTCGAGAATGGGCATCGAGACGGTCAAGATACGCTCCCAAAGGATACGATGGCATACCCAAGACTGATGGTTCATCATCAGACTCCTGAATCGTCCGACGTGAGGAAGGAGAAGGTCAGAGAGCACGTGTGCGTAGCTGCAAGTCCACCAATCTTGTGGCGATGGCGGTTGGCGGACAATAATTTCGACATCAATAGGGAGCTTGCGAGACCGCTGCAAATAGAGCTTGGTCAGAGGAAAGTTGACCCTCGTATCATTAAAAGAGTCATGAAGATGGCGTGCACGCCTCGTGGCTGGTGTAATGACTGCTGAGGACTGCTGAATGGCAATGCAACTCCACAAGGGAGAACAATCGATAGCGATGTCGCGCCAGACGCCGCAAACGTGGGAAATGACCAAAGGGTTTTTGGCTCTGACGCGCCAAACGTCCCGCCTCTTCGGTTCCAAGGTGGCATGCAGGAAGATCTCGATGAGAAGTTCAGGTGGAAGGCGGTAAATGGGGGAAGATGGTGAGGAGGACCACCTGCGCAAGATTCGGCTCGCAATCTTCAGTTTTACCATGCCTGTCGAGTGTCTGTTCAGTACCCAGCCCGGAAATGGACATAAACGGAGGCTTACTCGACTCGAGAGGATTGCAGCGCTGCATTCCACTGTGAGTATATGCAGGACTTATGTAGCAGCGGCTCTTGAAGCTTGAAGGTTCGAACATCAACAAAACTTTGTCAAAACAAATAACAACTGTCGGCAGGCCCCCACAAAGGCAACAGGACAGAACAATGACGCTAGTTGGCAACAGTAGCAAGCAGTCACCAACGGCACCATTAAACCTCCAGTTACACTGGCTGGAGCCCTTCACCAGAGGACCGAGTGTTGAACCATCATTCACTGTCTAATTCCTCGCACAAGAGGGAGCCGTAAAACAATACGATGTCCTAGTCTCCGAGCAGAGGTCATTATTCGCGTTTCAACACTACTCTTGATGATAAAGACGACAAGTTATGAGGAATATTACGGAGAGACTTACAATACACAGAAGGGCATCATAATCCATAGAATTAATCCTCATCCATTTCACCAGAACCGTCCTCCGATTCATCTATCTCTGCGTTGTCCATTTCGTCCACATCATCTCCCCCCATCTCGGCATCCTGGAGCATCCAAGCCGAACGATGCATATCCGGCTGATAGTCAAGCACGACCCTCTTCGCGAATACCTCTTTTCTTAGAACAAACTCCTCGGCCCTACCCTCTGCGCACATTGGCAGCGTCAGCTCAAGATGTTCTAACATCCTAAAAGCAGGCATGCGCGCGCGCTCCTGCCAGAACGACAGAATATACTCATAATAGTTTACTCCGGGTGTCGAGATTTTCAAAGTCTGGAGCGCTGGAAGAATGTCGGGAGAGTAGTTCATACACCCGAAGGTGACGACGTCAGGGCTGTACAACGAGAGGCTGGTAAGCGACGTGAGCTGCTTGAAGAAGGCCAGTGAAACAGGATCTTGTCCTGATCCTGGATTAGGAAGGTGGTTCGACGGTAAATGGAAGGTGATACAGTCGAGACGGAGGTGCTTCAACTGATGGAGGGGCAAAAACATAGCCAACGCCTGAAATGCCGGAGTTACTGCCAACTGCATATCTTCAGAAGAACATCAAACCATGTCGATTTGCGGTCCAGGTTGTTCACTTCGAGCGATCTAAGCGCCGGAACCTTAAGCTCAGGGAAGAGGCCGCCGAGCTCCTCTGCAAGAGAGAAACCAAGTTTAAGGGTGTGGACGTTTTCCAAGGCGGAGTCTTGAAAAATGCTCCCCGACAGCTCCAAAATTTGAAGCGTATCCCGGCTTAACTCGAGGATCTGTGCCAGCTGAATAGCGTCGGGACGGTATCGTGGCGGGAGATCGTGAATATGCAGCTCGATGAGATTGGGAGGACAGAACATGTCCCATGACATGGGAGTGCTCGTCAGGTGGAGGTACCAAAGATTGGGATATAGTGCAATACCGCGCGACACAAGCTCGTGTGGTCGGCCGGTACCTGCCGTGAGAACGGTTGACTCGAAACGGCAGTCTAGGTTTTTCGCACAGAAACCCTCATTGAAGATCACAAGTGGACCATTGACATACTCGGCTGTCCACTGAATCAAGACGGGCATCTGTACATGAGTCAGACCTTCCGTCAGGAGGCCGTAAAACTCCCAAGAGTCGAACGTGAAGGTCATGGTCCTGATACGGTGTGAAAGACGCCTGAGGATGTGCGATAGGACGCCAGCATGAGCTCTGGTGAGAGGACTATGGTGTCTGGGCATTCCACGAATTGAAACGGATATGTTTACAGGAAGTAGAGAGGAAAATCGAAGATAGGACATAAGTACGGGGAATATGGAACGAGCTCCCATGTCGACGAAGCCATCAGGATTCGGCGAGCCATTGCCGATGGCGATGTTGGTCCATAACAAAGGGAACGACGTGACAATTACTCGCCAAAACTTGCAGACAAGCAAGAGGCGCCAAGGGGTGGCGGGATCGACTGGGCTCAAGGAGGCAAGTTCGAAGATTGACTGTAGAAGTTCCAAGGGAAGTTGATTAATCGGCACCACGTTCTGCGATTTCGGCTGCAACGAGCCACTTGAGATATCGATGTCTGCGTTCGTATTGCTAGACATGGCTGTATATATTGTCAGCTGGGAACCATTAATAACAAGAACATAACTTACCTTACAGGATGAAAGTTAAAAACGTAAGGGGCGGCAGTGTTTTAAACGAGAAGTGGTGTATATCTAAATGTCTCCAGGACGAGGGCTAAAAGTCGGGAAAGTGAGCGGTCAAGAAAATTAAGCCTTGTATAAATACGCCTACAATCGACAGGGCGGCACAACACCACAAGACACGCCTTTTGGGGTATAACAGCCCGCCATAGATAATCCTGAATGCTGTGCACAGAGGCCTTCAATGATACGAACGGTGGTGCTAATCTGACCCGCATCGAAGTGTTGTCGGACCTCTGAAAATGAAGAGAACACCGGAAGTGAGGGAATGAAGAGAAGTAAAAAATTTTAAGGCTATGTACTCACAACGTATTGGCTATCCTATAACGCTATCGATATCCGTCGTAACACGATTCGTTAAGCACTTTAGATCCGCTGAAGTCTTCGTTTCTCCTTTGATATAGTTTGCTGCTGAACGTAGGAAAAGCAGCATTAGAAGACAAGGCATATCCTGAGCACGCGAAAGAACCGCATATCCGCCTTGTTCTCTGAGATAGGAGCATGTTGAGGCGCTACAGTAGATTTGAAAAATGGTTTTCAGAAGAATACGAAATCGCACACCTTTTACCTAAGAGGTAGGACCTGAGACGCTTGTCTTGACTCTGCTGATCTGTTTTCCGGCCCTATGATAGCTCCTGAGGCATTCTGGATACAGTAAAATGATAATTTATATCTAGAACAAAACAGAGATCGCGTAGAAACAGTACGACGAGCGGGAAGATGACAGATGCTTGGGATGATGGAAGTCGTAAGGAAAAGGAAGTCCTGTTTGGATCGAGTAACGTTGACAAACAATCTATAATATCGTGCCACCATGGTCGTGTTGTGGCCGTGCATTTATGACCCCCTTGTAAATTTCATTGGACGGAATATTACCCAGAATTACCCTCTGATGAATACGAGCGGGAACGAGAAAATGTTCTTATCTCGTATCTTCACCGTCCTTCATCGGGCCCTTGGTTACCAAATCATCAAATAACTACTAAGAACAAGGTATCTAGTATTCAGGAATCAGATTCTCTTGCATGTTTTCCAATTATCAGTGCGGAGTTTATTGGTGGTTTCTGTAAAGAAGGCCTTGCGGTTTTCACACGCCTATAACCGTCCCGCGCTTTTACGGGCCGATTTCGTACCATGGGCGTAGCACCGGTTTGCAGATGTTGGAATCTCATCACTTCTATAATTTTCTTATATCAGGATGACCATACCAATTAACAACTGTTCTTACACGCGGGTTAGGGTGGGTAGGCCTGGCCTGGTCACAGAGCCTCACGGCCCTGGCCGTGGTTCCCGTCCCCTAACGTTATGTCGGGCGCCCAGCGAGGGACCTGGGACCCTCGAAGTGATTAATCACATCCGCAGCATCACGATTGCCGGGGAATTTGAAGTACGTTTATGCACCAATTGCAACCTGTGCTTAGTTATATTATTCTTTTGGCTGGACTCGATATATTAAAAGGCAAAGGTCGGCAGGAATTGCCCAGGAAACACGGCAGACTATCGACGCCATAGTACTTGGTCATCATAAGCGCCAGAGTCGGATCGGAAGCGGAGTCGTTAATTAAGGATCAAACACGTATGTAGCCGTACATGCTACCAGGTTTCAATGCCGACTTTATACTCAGTAGGGTTCCATATCTCCTGAGCAGAGCTATAAAGCTTTGCCATTGGAATCGCTTCTATTATCGTGTCTCCACCTTCATGAGAAATACTCCACGAAGCCATGGGGGAAATTCGACCGCTCCCTACAGTCACCGTCTGCAAAGAAGGGTTGTATGCAGCGAAAACCGACGCCAGAAGGTGCTTGCTATCATCGTCATCTGGATCATCATCTTTGCTCTTCCAGGCCTTGTACGGGGCGCCACACGGACCGCAATTGTCATTCCCTTCAAAGGTCAAAATGGACCAACTCGTAACACCAAAATTAAGGGCACAATTCCACTCGAAATATCGTAGCTTTGAGAACATGGAAAAGCACGGCGCATATTCGAAAGGCGGAAGAGGCCAGGAGCATGTGACTCGAGTCTTTTGCTGACGCTGACTTTCTCGCCGATATAGAGACAGTGCGGTAAGGCCAGGGAGACAGCGGGATACGTGCCTAATGATAGCCGGGTTTCCTTCCAGTAAGCCGTCAATGACAAGGTTTTCCATGGGATGCGGCTGCAGTTCGTCGAGGAGCACAAAGAAGTTGACATCGTCGATGGGATGCGTGAATGTGAGCTTGAGGTGTGTCAAATGATACTCCGTTGTATGGTGCAAGAAATGAATGATGTCGGGAAAGGTCTCCCCGGCTAAATTCCCCAAGCACAGCCGCGTCAAATGACCAAGATGATTCAGAGTGACAGAATCGGACAGTTCCATCATGGATCTCGACGTGTCAAAGAATGAGATATTGACAGCATTCGGAAAGAGAGTAAGAATTTCCCATGTGGAGAGTCCCTCTTCGTCTAAGACGTGTACAGCGAGATTTTTGACTCGAACGAGCTGTGGACCCATGGTGCTTTCAACAGGACATCCTGTCAACTTGAGAGTACGAAGGCTTGGTAGTATGGCGATGGCCTGGAAGACGTGGTCTTGTAGAGGAAACCCAAACATGGAAAGGCTGGTTACATTGACAGTATGATGCAGCACTACGCACACTGCATGTGAAATGGAAGGAATAAAAAGGCTTGGTGGGAAATCCGGGTGATAAAGATGGGTATTGCTGCTCCAGTTATTGAACACGTTTATGCTTTGGAATTTGGAGGTAATATCGGGGCGGCTGAGGAGGAAATGTGCATCTTCCAGTGCTCGAATGGAAGCCTTAAGTAGAACCTTGATTGCATGTTCCTTCTGTGCTTCCGCAGAGACATGCTGAGGCAATATCAAGGTTTTTAGTGATTGACGCAGACCTAGGTCGCGAGACTTAAACAGTGAGAGTCAGAACCACAAAGATCTCAGGCTCTAGAGACGACTCGGAAGCCACGTACCGTATATATGAAAGGTAAAGATATGGCACGCATACGACGGCAAGTCGCAGACAAAAAGAGTGCGCCAGTTAAATCTGCATGCCTGTAAATCACGTCGAGCAGCTCATCAGGAAGGTCGTATAGCAAATGCATCTGAAATTTTGGCTGTGTGCCGTCCGAAATCTTTGTACGTACAGATTCTAGATTAGGAGCAACATCAGAAATGCCGCAGCGATAGTTCAATGTTCACGAACCAGCCATATCCACCAGAAACGCATAGTCTACCTTTACTGGAAGAAGCCATTTCTCTTGGAACTTCTTCCATAGCTCTTCATCGGTCATCCTGTAATTGGTGTATTCGTGCTTTTTGTCAAGGTAGTCGACCCATTCATCTTGGTATGGCTCGACGGTGACAGTCAGGGCGTCTAGCTCCACTATTAGTATCTCCCAGCGTGCGTAGAGAAAGTCGAAGCGCTGTTGAATGCGTATTAGATCTTCGTTAATCAAGAAAATGGTAGCGCGATTACAGTACGGAAGCGTCCTGTCAGATCTGAACGACCCTATATCACGTTTAGCCAAGTTCCTTGATTTCCTAGCAGTAGCAAGGTGGACGCACGGTGTAAAACCCCTTCAGCGAACGAAAGAATGCTTTGAGACGAGCGAATCGAAAGTGTTCGTCATTCACTATGCTCGTCTCGCCGCCAGGTCCGCTAATTTCCTTGAATTCTTTGTAGGGTCCCCATCGAGTCTCGCGCGCCCACAGCTTGTCATAGTGGGTAAGAGAAGGCCAGGAATGGCCGTAGGCAACATGTTTCGTCCTGCGTAGAGAATGCTCGTCTTCTGAGAGATAAACGGCGTCGGAGTCCATGACTGTTGTGGGATAAACCAAAAAGGTAAACAAATCAAAAATTTCGCCCCTAAAATAGTAGTGTTCACAGGAACAAATATTTAACTATTATTACTTACACCTTGAGCGAGATTCCAACCTACAAATACTAACTGTGTTACATATAAGCAACTCTAATAAATGCTGCAAATATATTTGGGGTATATCTCCCTTACTAAATCGTCATTTTCGCAGAACGTGAGGTTCTACGGATGGCGACATGATCAGTGCTTTCCAGAGTTGTCTCCATGATATGGGATTTCCCTGAGAGATATTTAGTGAGGATCAAAAACACGAAAGATAACACTGACTTCATCTCTTTGCATGATGCAAAAGCTGCCCTCACTTCCACGGTAAGTAAAACATTCTACCAGCACCCAGCCTTTAAAGATCTCTTTCCTGCGGTCACGACCTCCAATGCGAAGGCGAAGTATACCGTCACTACTATCCGGGGACGGTTTGCATCTGACGCCAAGTTCCTCAAGACTTTCATGGATAAGCGTCAATAGCAAAGAAGATCCAAGAGAGGCATAGAACCGTGTGAGGTGAGGTGTGTAGCGATTCCCGGATTGAGTCTGAGACTAGATGGATATTAACATGAGGCAAATCGCCGTCCGATAAGAAAAGCTGACGCACGAATAGCATCAGTGACTGAGTGAACTGCGAGCTGTGACCGGCCGAGAACATCATCTGATCTCCATCGGCGTCTACTTCTTCTCTGAGAAAGGTGAAGTCAGGCATCCGCGCCAATACAAAAAGGGGACTTACTCTGGTCGTGCAAAATCTGGAGCGGCCAGGCCAAGGTCGCCGTTTTTTCTGAGCGTCTCAGTAAGCTTATCGGCAAGCGCCAAGGCGCCTCTCTGAGCAAGCTGGCTAGGCCTAGATGGCTATGAGTATGACACCCTTGACAGGCAGACGGGTTAGCTACCTGATGCACCACGGGTGCTGGTAAATTTGGGATATCGACATCCTCTCTTCTGGATCTATACAAAGAAGACCAGTGAGGAGAGCTAAAATTCCTTCTTTTAGTTCCATTACATATCGTTAACCGCGAAGCGCTTACAGAGAGCATCGCCTCGGATGTGACACCACAACGGATCATCAAATATTTCGCCATTTACGTAGCGAGAGAACTCTGTGCTGTTCATTGTGGGTTCGTCCCAAGGGGTATCTAGGAGTATCATCAGCTCTTAAGCGGTAGAGACGGGGTTATTGTTCTTACGTACTACCGGCGAGAAGCGTGAAAAGGATAACACCCATACCCCACACATCAATGGGCTCGGCCCTGTAAGGTGTATCGGAAGCCAGCTTAAGACCCACATTAGATGAAGTCGGTGGAAGAAATAGGAATCTGCACGTACTTCCGGGGCGACGTAAGGAAGGCTCCCACACCTTTCTGTCAATGTTCGCGTCTTTCCGGATTCCTTGAGCTTATACACGGCAGATAGACCGAAATCAGATATTTTGAGTGTTCCTGCAATATCAAGAAGCAGGTTTTCGGGCTTGAGGTCTCGGTGGCATACACCTTGGCGGTGTATGTAGTCCTATTTGATGAAGGCACAATTCAACTTGGATCACGGGGGGAGAGCTTAATGAAAGTACCATGCCCGTAACTAATTGGTTGAAATACAGATGAGCTACCTCATCTCCGACACCAACATCGGGTGCTTTTTATTCAATATAAGTAAATAAAAATACCGAGAGATGAGCGTGCGCACCAATCTTATCGAAAAGGTCGCCTCCTGCGGCAAGTTCAAGCAGCATGTAGATCCCAGGATGATACAAATGCTTATGCTTGATTTCCACGACCACCGCATTGTAGAATTCAAGCACGTTAGGGTGCTTCAACGCAGCATGAACCCGCATTTCTTTATCGATGGTTTTACGCTCTTTGTCAGTGGTGGCGTCTGTGAGAGATATCACTTTGCAGGCAGCCACTCGTTGTTCCTCAAAGTGGACTGCGCGAAATACACTTCGGGCACATTATTAATAGAAGAAATGTCAACAGAAATCGATACACGCACGTCGAGAAGCCTCCCCCACCGATTTGTTGCACGAGTTCGTAGCCTATGGTAATCAGAGATTTGGTCGATATATCTATCATATAGCTTACCAGCTACTTTTGGGTACTTCAATGTCGACATTATGAGAAGAGGGATGGGATAATAAAAAGCGTTGAGGGTAATAAACAGAAAAGCGAACGCGACGCGTTGCTAATTATTTGTGTCACGTGAATTTGCGGAACATCGGCCCGAATTCCAGCGGTCATCTGCAAAAAATTCCGTCAGCATGTTTTTAGACTCTCCTTTTGCTGATGACGGTTGACAAAAGTATCGGGACCCTTATATATATCCCCTTCCCAGCTGAAACGCTCCAATTTCATTTTTATCATGGAGTAAATAGCTCCGAGGACCGGCAGAGATGCGGGTTATGTCAGTTCTTCTCAGTTCTTCTCCTTCAAGTGATGTTAGACGGTCTTACCATAGATCTAGAACAGATGTCGGAGCTATGTTCAATGCGTTCTCGGTATTCGTTCGACTTGGGGATACCCCTCTGCTGTCAAGGCCTCTGTTGAATGATTGATGCTCAACATCACTTGATCCTATCTATGATATGAAGGCCGGCAGTTCGATTTTGCCAGCTGTACCGTAGTATATACTTCCGCCTTACCCGTAGATGCCGCTATTTACTCAAAACCCATGATACGGTCGGGTTCGGTTTGCCGATGTGCCAGTCGAAGGGGTATATAACTCGAAACAAGGATGAATCACCCACTCCGGCCAGCATGCCTCTTGTTTCTTATCTCGCACTAGGCTACACCCTATATCTCGTCCTACGCTTTGTCTATTCCTTCTTCAAAAGGTCACCATTTCAACATATCAATGGGCCACCGACTGAGTCTTGGTTCATGGGTGAGCACCATCCACTTTTTTCTCTGAATCCTACCAGTCTGAGCAAAAATTACAGGTAACCTAGGCCAACTCTTCAATGCGAAAGGACTCCCATTCCATCAGCAAATTGTCGATGAATACGGAGGCATGGTAAAAGTCCATGCTTTTTTCGGTGTCCGTCGTTTGTTCCTGCCCCTTCAATTTAAGCCAAAATTTGATACGTCCATTCAGGACGAACAATTATACATTTCGGATCCAAAGGCGCTCCAAAGTATCCTTATTAAAGACCAAGACGCCTTCGAAGAAACTGATGTGTTCATCGAGTGCGTCATCTTTGATCTACACTTTGATCCTGCGCGCTTAATTTCTTTTATGAATCATCTAGAACGAATAAGGTCATCTTCGGACCTGGCCTCGTTGCTACTACCGGTGTGTAGCCTGTAATGTAACCTTAACTCCGCGAACCTTACCTCTGCGATCGTCTCAGGGGACCAACACAAACGACAAAGAAAGCTGGTCAATCCTGTATTTTCTGTGGCACAACTGAAGGACTTGATGCCGGTATTCTACAGAATATCCGATAGGGTGGGTTAATAGCTCTCCCCCTCTTCGTGCTTTGGCTCAATGCTCTTACTTCTGTAGCTTGCGGACGTCATAGAGTCCGAGCATGCAGAGAATCCCGTCCTGGACATGTCTCAGTGGATGTCGCGCGTCGCGCTTGAAATGATCGGACAAACTGTTTTAGGCTACAGCTTCGATCCCCTCAGCTCTAGAGTGAATAATCCGTATACGTCGGCTATCAAGGAACTCATGTGGGTCTATCTCTGCATTAGACCTTCTTTTCTTTTATATTGACACTGCCGTAGACCAACGATCTTTTCCCTGTCGTTGATTCGGCAGTTTGCGCCATTCCTCTCAAAGTTAGGAAGTCCGAGTTTCAGAAGGCGGCTGGTAGAGTGGACACCGAACAAGGCAGTGCAGAAGGTTAAGAGCATTAGTGATGTAATGCATAACACAGCTCGGGAAATTTTGATGGTAAAAAGAGAAGAAATCGGACAAGAGGGAGTCAAGAACAACAGAGATATTATTAGTGTTTTATGTGAGTTATTTCGTTCCAAGGTATTCGGAGCTGACTTTTCCCTGAAGTGAAGGCCAATGAGAATGCTACTGAAGATGCCAAGATGAACGAGAATGAGCTCACGGGTCAAATGACGTTCGTTTATTCACTTTACAAATATTCGCATTTTACAAACGAGTTGTGCAGAGTCCTCATTTTCGGAGCACAAGATACGACGTCAAGTGCTCTTTCACGAATTCTATATCTCCTTTCCGTCAGGCCAGATATCCAGGACAAGGTCCGCGACGAACTACAAACTGCCCTGCAATCGAAAGGCAGTGGCGAAAGGCTCGAATATGATGAGATAAGTGAGCTCCCTTGGCTGGATGCTGTCATCAAAGAGACGCTCCGATTGTAAGACCATTTTCCGCCTTCCATTTTGATTATGGCTTACGCGGTACTTTTAAGATACCCCCCTGTACCTTTCGTTCGTCGCACGTACGTTAACGTTCAAGCAGTACATTCATTCAATAATGACGCTGATTGTCTCGGCCCTGCAGTGCTATCAAAGAACGATCACTGATGTATTCTCCGAACGTACATGATCTAGACTCTTTTGCTTCTGTGACTGTTCCCGTAGGGACAACGTTATTTGTGGGGATCGCTGGTGCGAACAGGCTCGAAAGTATATGGGGACCGGATGCTAAGTTGTGGAAGCCGGAAAGGTGGATCGACCAGCAAGCACCCGGTGGGCGCATATTACCTGGAATTTATGCTGGCATGTGGGTGTATATTTGTGCGCAGCTCTTATTACTCCCGATTACTCAACGCCGCGATCTTTGCGGTTTCTTTATAGGCTGTCGTTTCTTGGAGGCAGCCGATCATGCATGTATGTTCATGACACTATCCATTCTCAACACTTGATCAACGTTTTCTATTTTTCTAGTGGTTATAGATTCGCTCAGATAGAAATGAAGGTTCTGTTGGCGACCCTTCTTCTCAGGTTTCGGTTTTCTTTGACCGACGATGTTATTGTGTGGAATCTTTCACAGATTATTTCTCCATCGGTAGCGACGAAAGGAGACAAAGGGGAGGACGTGGAACGGAAAGGAATGCCACTAAAAGTTGAAGTGCTCTAAGAAAATGAAGGGAGGCGTGACTATTGGTATAATATTACTTTCTACTCGTCTTCGTTGAGGATGGCCAAAGGAGATTAGGAGGGCGTCTTCTGGGGTGAACCACCGGATACCCTCGTTTCCGTGCATCTCGACATAATTACTCAATGTACGTCCAAATATTACTATCGTTCACCAGTGCAAACTATTCGAAGGGGATTTCGGAGTTTTGCGGACGCATGGGGCATGTATATCAAGGGCTGCTAGAAAGGTAAGTAACATCATACCATCAGCTTTACAAGGGACTCTGGGCGCGGGTATGTTCCCATTGTCTCTTAGATCGTAAGCGCTTAGGTCACGACTACCAAACAAGAATTGTAGGACCTCGCCTTCTGAATGTGTAGCCTCAAGGTCCAGGTACGATATCGGTACCGCATGTTTTCTGACTCTCTGAGAAGCACTACTTAGTGAGAGATGAAAGGGATCTCGTAGTTTTTCTGATGAGGCCAGGGGCATGAATTCCGTTGTCTGCCGCTTTTGCTTTTCCATCCGCTGCGTAACCTCCGAGTCCTAAGTGGTACTAGACCGTAGACCCCAGAAAATGTTAAGCCGACGTCAGTTTTTCTATAGAGTATCAAAATAGTCTGTTCTGTGCATGATTCTATTGCTTGTCACTTCATGATCTCAACGTCTAGGAGCAGATGGTGGCGTTGCTGGTGGTTTCCGAGTCCCTGAGTAAAAGGAACGTTTTTGGCCTCGTGTCGATCCACGTTGTAAGTCTTGGAGCAGGACTTGATGAAATTCATCAACAATGGAAGAGCTTTTGATGTAATGCTATCCTTGTGCCTACGGCTCAGTCCTGACTCTCGGGAGACTGGGATTGCCCGGGTTGCCAAAGGGTGGCCTTTGAACGCCTATATTCTGGAGTGGCGCCATCGTACAACTTCTTCTTGAAAAAGGGGGAAGGTTTCAAATCTTGCAAAGCTTTCTTTCCAGTAATTGTCAAGCCCGAAAAACATAATATACCAGGTGGTGCATTAATTACTTAATAATCATGCCTCGAGGTGAAGAATCACGGTGAAGGGATAAAGTAGCGGAGAACCAAAACAGGCATGTTTACATAAGCACATCGAACGAGTCTAAATGCGTCACTTCACGACCTGCTTTCATTTTCTTTCATTTACCACCATCACTACTCTTATTGTCGCCCAACGTAGTCGTAGAGCCATGATGAACTGAGCTGCCGAGGTCCATTGGGCCCTCCCCTACTCAGTAACGTTTACCCAACGTCCAACATGGAATCTACAGAGGAATTACAGAAGAACGAACTCACTGCTCTGCAATCCATCTACGCCGAAGATTTTCAATTAATACCACCCTCGAAGGCCTGGAAAGTGAGCAACTTGACTTCTAACACACCGCCAATCATACCAACATGTCATAGGGCGCGGCCAGTTTACCAGAAATTTCTATCCGAGTACGCCATCCGGAGCGCGCGAACATTGGCTTCGATTTGAATGTCAAGTGCGTGAAAGAAAGTCATGTCTCCACTCAGCTAATGGATACATATCCCCAGATTTCCTAAAACATATCCTACTCTCACATATCCCAACTTCACCGTTCAGAAACCACGCGGCTTGGACCATGATCAAGTAACGAAATTGTCCCATGCTCTCCAGAATGAGGTCAGAGCATCCCCACGGACTGAAATGGTATTTCAGGTAAAACGCGCGCTTATTCTTCCTTCAATAGCCACTAATTTGCTCTGCAGATAGTCACATTCTGCCAAGAATGGCTGAATGAGAACGTCACAGCGCCTGCAGAGGTCATCGGGTCGTTGGCAGTGCAGATGAGACGAAGAGCGGCGGAAGAAGAACGAGTTGCGTGGCTTATCACTTTCCCTAGAGCCCCCACTGACGTTTATCTCCAGGCCAGACAAGAACAGGCTGAACGCGAGGCGAAGGAAAGAAAGCAACGAATGGACAAATTGGCTCAAGAATTCGACGCCGACGTTCAAAAGCAACAGCAGCTAGCTAAAGAGCAGCATCGAACTCGTCAGCGTGCGAATTCTGAGGCCACCGAAGTCCCATATTCCAGTGATACCCCCACCGAAACGTTTGACGAGGACATTGAAATGAATGATATTCGTTTCAATACCGTCAAGTTCTTCCATCCACGAAATGGTATCCGTTTATCACCGTCGTTGCATCCAGCTAACTTCTGTAACAGCTTATCTGGGCACCATATATGGCGCGGATCCCGTGTGCGATGATGTCAACGCTACCCTCCCACTTGAACTCCATGTCATCACTTTCGACTCCCACTATTACACGACAAGCCAAGGTAAGCTATCATATAAATCCATTATCCTTCTCTTCCTACATTCTCTACAGGCAGGAAGAAGGTCAAACAAGTCGAGGAAGAAATTACTAAGCTAAAGTCTGTCCGCCATCCCAATGTCGTTAGAGTATTGGCTGTCAAATTGAATGCCCCACATTCGAGCGGGGCCCCGCAGCTGGTTATCTTGCTGGAACAGAGTCCAGCCCTTTCTCTGAAAGATGTACTAGATGACTGTGACTCTCTTCGGGAAGACCGTGTTTCGGTATACGTCTTTTGATACTATCCGATACTTGCTTTTTGTTCTCATAATCATATCACAGGACTACACTGCCCAAATCCTCTCTGGACTCAATGCTATCCACGGATGCGACTTAGTGCATCGAGGTTAGTCGTTGGTCTACAATGGTTTATCCTAAAGTCTGAGTCATAATGCAGGTATTAGTGCGACATCTATCGGTCTGGTCTCTGGAAGTTGCCCCTCCCAATCGAAGCTCATCAAGATCAGCAAAGTTGGATACTACACGCGATTACTGGACTTGCACCGATCGAATGCTTTCGGCTACGTGAATCCTCCAGAAGAACGTATCATGCCAGAGGCTTGGTGAGTGTCCGTTCCTTTGACGTCTGTGCAGACCTTATGTGAACTCTTCAAAGGTTATCAAAAGACGCCAAGAATGAATCTCTACTATTATATACTCGTGAACGGGATATACATGCTGTTGGTGTCATCCTCCTTCAGATGGTCCTTGGTCTCGATGTGACCGAACGATTTGTTGACGTCCATACCGCCCTTCGATCTTGTAAGAATACCAATTTATTATGTCAGATTCTGTACTTACATTGTCTGAAAGCAACCATACCACCGTCGTTGCAGCGGCATGTCATGAATATGCTTGTTCCTCCTAAGAAGAGTCACATCACTTGTTTGTCCCTCTTGGCTGGTCTTGCGGATTCAGCGTTGCATCGCACGCACCGAAGTCTTTCAATATCTATGTCTGGTAAGTATTATTTAGCCCTGCGCCTTCTTGGCTAACAAGTATTCAGAGCCCAAAACGCCGTTGCATGCATCTGTTTCGGGGTCGCCTGAATTCGATTATTTCAGAGGACCGACGTATCGACAGGCTAGCCGTTGGAAAGAAGATTGGGAGGAATTGGAACTTCTGGTTAGTATTTGCAACTTAGATTAAGTATCGATCTGACTAGCCACCTGTATTTAGGGAAAAGGAGCTTTCGGCTCTGTCGTTAAAGCTCGTAATAGGATCGATAACCGCGTCTATGCCGGTTCGTTTCCAGTCCACCTTCGCAATCTTCGTTCTTCCTGACACTTAACCAAACACAGTCAAGAAAGTCCGCTTACGAACCTTGCAAAGCGACACCAAGATTTTCCGGGAGGTAAATGCCCTCAGTCGACTGAACCACCGCTTCATTGTGCGGTACTACACCACCTGGGTCGAAACTGCTGAATCCACATCAACCGCGGCGTCCGACGAGTCTGGATCCGAATCTGAGTCCTATTCTCAGTCTAATGGCACTGAAAACGGGATGACTTCTGTCCCTTCGAGGATTCAATCCCGTGAGCCTAGTGGGCCAATTATATTCAATATGGACGACCTTGACGACTTGGGTGGAGCATCGAGGGGAAGTTTCCCTAGTATACATTTTACTGGTTCATCAGAGTCGCAGGATGATACGGATAGCGATAATGACAGTCCGTTTGAGGGGTTGTTCAGGAAGGCGGGCGATGAGGATGGCGCAGGGTTGGGGTCGGTGACCCCCCCATTGACTGTGCAGAGAACGCTCTATATCCAGATGGAATTTGTGGAGAGGCAGACTTTGAAAGAGGTATGCTTAATTCTTCGGAAATTTTACATTGCTCATATCGATATCTCTTTAGAGGATCGATGAAGGAGTATCAGAGTCTGAGGCGTGGCGGCTGTTCCAGCAAATTGTAGATGCACTGGTGCATATGTCAACTCTTGGCATCGTCAGTCTATTTATGAGACTTCTTTTGGAGCATGCTCATACCTATGTTCTCTTAGATTCATCGCGATATCAAACTGACCAACATCTTCATCGGTACGTTCCTACCATTCTCGCGTTTGAGTTCGTGTTTTCATGTGGCATTTGTAGACGCGAAAGGCGACTGCAAGGGTGAGCGGGTTTTGTGATGGCACGATAGAAAATGCTGACGCTATTTTATAGTTGGTGACTTCGGTTTAGCCACGTCTAGTCTCGCGGCAGTAGACCCATCGGATGTTTCGCCACGGGTGGTTACACAAGAAACCGACATGACATTGGGCAGGTCTCATTATCAGGCTCACCGTCCACAGTATACTGACAATGCGCTTCCTTTAATAGAAGTCGGAACGCGCTTGTATATTGCCCCAGAAGTCCAATCGCGACGCAGGAGACCAACTAATCATACCAAAGCTGATATGTATAGTCTGGGGGTAAGTCTTTCCCTATTTCTTTGCTTGGTCGTGAATGTCCATATTTAATTGTGTCCTCAGATTGTATTCTTCGAGATGAACTATTCTTTCTCGACAGGCTCTGAACGTATCAGTGTCATCGAGGCATTGAGGCGCCCCGAAATCGTCTTCCCGGATTCATGGGATTCTTTGAGGTTGCCTCAGCGTGAAAGTATGTCGTGGCTCGTCCGTCTAGGTTAAGTATTCACTGAATGCACCTATAGTTATAACCTGGCTGTTACAGCATGAACCTGACGATCGACCTACGGCATTGGAATTATCGCAGAGTCCCTTGCTTCCCTCGAGACTCGAAGATGAATACTTTAAGGGTGCGCTGAAGATGATGAGTAAGTATTCCCGTTCTTCCGTTGCCATTCTCATTGATCACATCTGATCATGCAGCGAAGCCGGATTCGCCGCATCATCAAGCCGTCTTAGCTTCCTTGTTCAAACAGTCGCCTCGACCGGTCCGAAGTTTTCTATACGACCATGAAGCTGAACTGCCGGAACACGCATCGCTGAACGGAATGGTTCAAGATCACCTCACAGCAATATTCAGGCTACGCGGTGCTGTTGATATGGAGCCTCCATTATTGATGCCCATTACATCGACGGAGGACGATAAAGACCACGCAGTCTTTATTGACCGACACGGGGATATTGTGAAGCTACCATCTAGCCTTCTTGTTACGTTTGCAAGACTTGCGGCTCGCGGAGGTATCACCAGGATCAAACGCTTCCATATCGCCGATGTGTATCGCCCTCAGTGCGCTTTTCTCGTTCCAGTCGCCAACGCTGATACTCATGCTTTGTCGTAGAGCAGTGGCTGGACATCCAAGACCTCATAAAGCCGCTGTATTCGATATCATTACGCCTGACCTGATGTCAGGGCCTGTAGCTGCAGGTGCTGAAATTCTTGCCGTAGCGGATAATTGCCTCGACACTTTCCCTAGTCTTGCCCAGATGTATGAGATTCATGTTTCTCATTCGAATAGTGCGTTCTTCTGAAACCTGGAGGCATGATACTTGCTAATTGTGATTTTAGTTGTCGACGCGGTTTTCAGTCGTTTGCCTGCTGCACATAAGAGCGCGATTACGGAAATCATTACTCAGCCAAAGGCATCTGCATCTCAGAAGAGGGCATTGTTCTTGAAGAAGGGACTCCTGAGAAGCACTGCCGATGAGCTAGAAGTTCTCAGCGATACTTGTGAGTCTTCAAGATATAGTTTTATCCCGCTCTTTAATGAGGAACAATAGACGAGGATGTGGAACCATTGCTCATGAGGCTAGACAAGCTCTCATCGCCTCTTCTGGAAATGATACGTCCAGCGATCGAAGAAATCAAGACGGTGGTGAAGACTGCTTCTCTCGCCGGTGTTTCGAGGCCGATCAAGTTCTATCCATTGATGGTGGGAAACCATCTCAAGGACTTCAAGCACGGTATCCTTGTGGAGGTTGTCAGACGAAGCAAGCGTATTGAACTCCTCGCAGCGGGTGGAAGGTAAATAGTCGCACATTCTAATCTCTTTCCGTTCTGACATACGTGTAGATATGACAACTTAATTACGAAGTTCTCCCCTCCCAAACCGACCGCAGAGTCAATTCATGCCATTGGACTACAGATTGCTATCGACAAGATCACTGCAGCTGTTGCATCATTCCAGAGTTCTTCCGTCAAGTCTCTTCTCAAAGAGGCAAAGTCTTTCGGATACTGGAGTCCACGACGATGTGACGTGTATGTGATCTCCTATCATCCTGGGTATCTTCAGGACCGACTGGAGCTTGCATCGTATCTGTGGAGACATAACATCAGCACCGATGTTATGTATGAATCCGCTATCACGAATGTCGAGACTAGCGTTACGGATATTTGCAAACGGGAGGGTATCTTGTAAGTCGCTAGCCACTTTTCGATTCAATCTATCAATCCTACAATCAATTTCTAGATTCACTGTTAACCCAAGGCCGAAGAGAGACCAGACTACTGGTATCAAGGTCACCGCAATCTTTGGCAACTATAACGATGAAGACAGTAAGAGGTTTACGATCTTCCGGGCCCGCTTGTGTCTGACCACTTTGGCAGCCTTGATACCTCGCCAGGAGCTAGTTGCGCACCTGCAAGAAGCGATCGCTGCGCAGAAGCGTGCAGATTCGGCAACAAGTGGAGCGACCACATTCTTCGAAGGGAAGAACCTGTTGGCCAATAAAGAGACTACGACATTGGACCTTCAAGCTGTATTACCAGCCGAGACCGTGAAGAAAACACTACGACGAAACAAGCTTATTGTTCAGGATAAAGGTGTGACAGCCACCTTTCTTCGACATTCTTGTCTAATTGTCCAACTTCGTCTAGCCCATGAGCTTGGAACGAAGATCCACCGAGCTTTTATGAGCAATATGCCCATGATCGTAGTCGACATCCCTCCCGCTACGCTCGTTGCCCTCACCAGGACTAACGCGTGGATTACCAACGACGAGGCATGGAAATCGATTTCACCTGGGTTCAACAACCACACATATGCTCAACAAGTACGTGACGCTGTCGTCAAGAGGAAGGAGGATGGATTCCCGTTCATCCTTTTGTATGCCTCACGTGAAGAACGGGCTTTGCTTCTTCAGTTGTCCTAATTTCTTTCTAATTTCTGTAATATTTTTCTGGGAATTTTGGTAGTTGCGATCTAGAAACTGTAGTATATTATGCGATGTATATCTATGAAGCCCAACCTATCTTATAATACGCATACTCCACAACCTCGTCTCCGATTCCATTCTCTGCATCGCAAACTATAGGTTCCTTTGAAAGAACGACCAGGTCGTCATTCTGGAATATCAATTCTACAGTATTTGATTCTGTAGCAAAGGTCGCTCGGAGGGGAATGACAAGATGGAATACCGCTCCCTTGCTAAGGAACTTTCGGAGGCACTTTTTGATCCATACGGCATGCTGAGCGTCGTAAACGATATCCGCCCCTAGTACAACGTCAAATGGTGCATCCAGTGAAACATCATGATTGTCGCTGTCCGCCCAGTCCAAGAAAGTGGAACTGATAGCGACCGATGCTGGCTGAACGAAGTTATTCCCGATGTTAGCTTTGAGGTTATCCAAAACCGATGGGTAGAAATCCGTGGCGACAATCGTAACGCATCCCTCGAGTAGCTTCCCAACGACGATGCTAACCAGGCCCGTCCCGGCGCCCAGTTCCAAAACACGTATTCCCGATTGCAATCCGAAAGCAGTGGGATCTTCTACGATTGCCTCGGCAAGCACACAGGCTCCACCCCACGTCTGGGCCCCCACGCTACCAAAATCGTGATTTTCCAGAGGCACGTCTGTAAGCTGGACTCGGATAGCGCCTGGGGAGAAGACAAAGTCGCGGTGAATGACACCCGCGCCTGCTGTCCCGGAACAAACTGCAAGGAGCGCAGCTGCCTCTGCGATAAGTGCATGATGCTGTATTTCTTCTTCCCAGAGCCCGGCATGAGAGACAAGGACTGTGAGCCATCTTATGGCGTATGACCGCTCGAATGAATCAGAGCGCCAATTCTCGAGTGCGACGGCTGTTTCTGAATGACGACGGCGCTTTGATCCTCGAACTGGGGGGCTGTATATCGAGCGAAGGTATACAAGAAACTTCAGGAGATGTTCCGGTGGGTAATGTGGAATTTTCTTCATTGGAGGGAGGTGCGCTGTAGGAGGAGTTACCGAGGAAATGCTGTCTTCAGAAGTTCCGGAAAGGGTACTAGCATGCAAACTGATAAAAATACAGAGAGATATAGCAAAGATTCTGTATAACACATACCATTGGATACAGTCTTTACATTCGAAGTCGTGATTTGTTGCTACGTCCATTGAAGGACTTATCTTCGTACGGATCGTTAGGCGAGACTAAATCTGGTGATCTGGGAAGTTGAGAGGAAATTTGAATCAAAGATAGATTGAAAGATTTACTGGACAGTTAGGGTAAACAAGTCAGATAACGACTAAGAAAATAAATCGCATTTATCACTTGCATTGTTGCTAGCAGAGCGGCATCTTGAATAACTAAGATGATTGTTAGAGACAAAGTACGGGCCGGGAAGACTTTGTATATTCGGAGTTTCAACTGAGTTTAAATAGCCCATATTAAGTTATTTTTGAGTTATACATTGGCTGTACGCCAGTACTGGTTCATATGTTTTATGTTTAAATATACACTAAAAAAATCATTTTGCACCTCCTTGGTAGATCTTTTGACACTTCCCTCCCTAGACGTTGAGAGCAGTCCGAGCACGTATTTTTCATTCATTTCCAGAGTCTAGACCCTCGGACGGGCCGACCACGCCACGTGTCTTTATTTACTTCGCTCAGCCATCTTCAATTCGTTCAAGCTGATAAGATGGTGGATGGATTCACTCCGACAATACCTGCTGCGGATCCAATGAATGCAGCCGCTGTATACGGCCCTGTTTTGCCTGCGAACTATTCTTCCAGTTTCAATCCCTACCAGCAGCCACCATTTCTCCCCCTGGCAGCAGAGGCCATGCAAGTTCAAGTTGACCCCCATTCTCCAGAACTTTTCAAGCGGAACATAACTCTCGTACGAAGACATGTTTTAAATCTACAAAATGAAGCAACAAATGCATTAGCTGGCATGTAAGCTCATCTGTCATCCGTTGCTATCACGCATTTTACACCGTCATTCTAGCCAAAACGCCTACCATCCAGGGAGTAGCCCTGCACAAACAGAGTGTACACCTCATGTTTTTCGCTGTTAAGATGTTACGCTAAGCTTCGTTTTCGATAGCGAATATTTCTGCGTTGAAACGGACACTCGAGGTGCTCTCGGATGTGATGCGGCATACGGGCGTGGGAGCACTCCCTCTTTTGCCATTTCCGCAGCAGTCGGCTGTACCACAAGTTGCGCCCACTGAGCAGGAGATGATGATTGACGTGTCGAAATCCGTACAAGTGCTTTACGAGAGGCTCAAACGCAGCCAGGAGAGCGCTGCTGTCGTTGCTAATCTTCTTGGAACTTCAGATGCACCTGGACCCCTTCGGGCGGGCCGTAAGTAAAGTGGTAAGCATCACTTGTCTAGAGTTCATTGTACAGATTTATAACATCAATTTCACAGTCGTATCATCGCTACATGCGGCGATCACGTCCAACAACAAAACGTCGAGACACCATATGGACATTGAAACGCGCAGATGTCTATTTACTACAGTAGGTCTAAATAACGAGAATCGTCTGTTCTATTCATCTCGTTACTTCGCAAACCGATAAAGCAGCTTGAGAGCAAAAAAGAGTGTAAGATATTCGTGCAAAAAGGCACTTCAAAGCCTCTGGGAAACTCTCCTCCGATCTACCGCTTAAGGAGCCTTCTTGGCGTTCCCTCACCTGCCAGTTTTCAGCCCGGATGGGAAATCGTCTTCGCCCGATGCATGATCGTGCTGACAGCATAACAGCCTGCGGATGAAATGATTCTTATCCTAGCGCCGACCCTTATTCCAGTATGCTATAAAAGTCTGTCGTGCCGTTACTTCATAGCTGTTAATCACTGCCATGACTTTTCTCTCCACTCTCCTCACGGCAATACTTCTCCTTCCTGGGAGTATGGCTACTCCAATCCCAAGCGCACGGTACCTCGTTGCGAGAGAATACAATTCATCAGACTTGTATGCAAACTGGCCCACCTACCAGGACTTACCTCTGCACCCATCCTTTCCGACAAAGGCTGCGTGGGGTGTTTGGGTACGCCTCGTTCGCCTTCAAAGACGCGTTGTCCCTTGACCTGACCCTAGGGCCCCGAAGACGAGCTTGGCGCTCTTAATCATATCACTTCAGCTACGATACAAGCTGCCAAATCGGAGATTCGAGAGGGTATTGCGATCAGCTTGAACCTAAGACTTGATCTACCCAACCCTCCGCTCCCAAAGACGCGTCAGGGACTGACCCACGGTACAGTCGTTTTCACCAATGTATAAAAGTCAGGAACAACTCTCATCCTTGGCCTAGCTATCATGCCATTTTCGGGATACCAAGACGATGTACTGACGCTTAACACCCAAGTCTCGACTCAGTTTGATGGACTGAGGCATTATCCTTATTCCACCAATGGGGACGTTTCTACATACCAGTGCGTTTTCTCATTGCACTTCCTTCTAATTGTGCTACAATCGTTTGGTCTATAGGTTTTACAATGACCTCATATCGTTCACAGACATCATGTCACCCGCCAGGGTGAGTACACTTGGGATGCAAAGTATGTCCATTATTAGCTTTCCCGCTTCTCGGCTAAGAATTGTCTAGATTCTGCACAAAAGGGTATTGCTGGACGCGCCGTCCTTCTTGATTGGGCCGGATGGATGGACTCCCAGAACATCACATTCAGCGCGTTCTCCGTAAGGGCTTTCCTCCTATCACATCTTCGCTTTCCCTGATTCTAAATGCTTCCCTTAGGAGCAAGGTATTACCGCCGCCGAGCTCGATGCAGTTGCAGCCTGGGAGGGTCTACCTCCGGATTTCACCAAACCAGGAGATTTTCTAATTGTTCGGACTGCGATGACGAAGCAGTATAAAGAGCTTTCTGAGTATGACCAAGATATGTTGCCGTTTAGAGAGCACTTCGACTTTGTTGGTGTTGAAGCGAGCGACGAGATGCTTGAATGGATATGGGATAAGAAATTGAGCATTGTTGGCTCTGATAATATAGCCTTTGAGCCGGGGGCATTGACCGCGACGATTGACGGAACACCGGGGAGGAACCTGCATCAGGTGTTTATTGGTGGATGGGGTCAAAGTATTGGTATGTGAGGTCGATCTAGGCATTTACGTTTCGTTCTGATCAATTTTCATTCAGTCGAACTTTTGGACCTCGAGGAGCTGGCGGAGACTTGTCACCGACTGGGAAGATTCACTTTCTTTTTTACGATACAGAATCTAAACGTCCCAGGTGGCATTGCCAGCCCGCCAAATGCTTTGGCGATATTGTAGACAAGCTGATGAAGTTACGTTCGTACATAGTATAATTAGGGACATGGAAATCTGACTACTTGCTACACTGCGTCGAGATGATAAATGCAGAAAAAACATCTGGCTGTGAATGCAAAGAAGTAAGGAGACGGTGTTATAGTATATTGTACAATCCCTGAAACATAAGAAATCGTCCCGCGGCATCAAGCCTTATCTCGTTCGTTCCAGCGTCACGTCGTAGCTACCTGTACCTTCTTGAAATGCATCCTCCATTTCAGCTGCTCTACATCTTCCCTCACAGTCAAACCCACACAGAGCGTCGTGAAACTACACCTTCTCTCCATGTACCCGCCACACTCACACTTCGCTACAAAAGATCCTCCGAGTGTCTGTGGATCGAGCCGCTCCCTCAGCACGGTCTGTACTCGTGTCAGCACATTGTCCACCGTGACGAAGCCCAGGGCCTGGTGCTGCATCACCTCAATATTGAACCGGTCCGAGCCGGTGTCGACGAGGATGAATAAGCGGGGGAGGGGAGGCTGGGATGCGGGCTCAGATGCGACAGACGCGTGAGCACGGACACGTTGGGGCGCGAAGAAGTCGATAGGCTCGCATGTTCCTAGACGAAGAGATTTATGAATTGACAGCTTCGACGAGGGTGTCTGCTTAAAGGTATGTGGCGACGGGTTGGTCGAGGAATTAGTCTTCCACGAAGGAGTGAGTACTTGTGGTGACTGCGATATCGGCGAATGGTTAGGTAATGGAAGAAATGTTTGTTGGGGAGGTGATTGACGCTGGAAGGGTAGGAATGTATGTGTTATGGGCGCCTTCGAAGGTACTGATGGGAATTTCTGGGGCGGTGGCTGAGGATGATTTGCGAATGGATGAAGCGCCACGGGTGATATTTGTGGACGGGGTAACGTGGATATGGGGTATGTTAGAGAATGAGACGGAGGTGGACGAGTTCGATGAGCGGTCGGTAAAGAATCAATCCGCCGACGGTGAGACGGCGGTATATTAGCGGAAGAGGGGGGCGTCCCATTATATAAGGAGAGGTCTTGTGGTGATGGAGTTGGCGCTACGTGGATAGATATGCCGGTTATAGAAGGAGGCCGACTGTATCGAACAGGTGTAGTCTGCATAATGGTAGAATTGGCTGGAGGCAGTGGAGAGAAATTAGGTTGCTGTGACGAAACCGGTGATGGTTGATTAAACGAGGTCATAGAGGGTACCGGAACCCGTCGAAGAGGCGTAGTAGTTGTGGGGGATGGAATCGATTTACGACGTTGGGATAGAAACACAGATGCCTTCTTCGGCTCATCCATAGTGGAGTGGTTAGCCACTATTGAATCGTCCCAATGAACATGTTTTCCTGATACCATGGCTAGCTGGAAAGACCACTATGAGAAGAGGTTGTGAATGACAAGAAAGTGACGTCCGCATTATATGTATATTAACACAGTCAGGGCGTCTTTCCGCCAGCCTCGCGGTATCCGTGCGTCGTCTGTGAAAGGAGTGCATCCACAGTCTCACTGTTCTTCAGTATGTTTACCAATTCTTCTGATGGTCGGTTCGTACCGTGGCGCCGCATTTATCCTGCAATGATGAGTAACAAATTTAGCGGGAGCATCACGTCAGTGTCGATGGAGTAGTCATCCGACGTATCATGCGCGATGAAATTGCAGGATCGATACAGTATCTGCTCCACTTCTGTACGTAGAGAAACTTGAGGGTATGGAGGAAGCGGGAGTAGTAACTCGCAGTGATCGCGACGACCCCGACGATTTGGTGTACCTGATGACGAAGCTGTCGGTTAGCAGAAATATGACTCGTGGTCCTACACGTTCATGATTGAGCAGCGCTCTAAGATAAGACCTATACACTCACCCGCAGGGACGCAATCTCCGAATGAGTGGTGATATACAAAGCCAACATCTGGGCTCACAAAACAAGATTGCATCCGACGATACAAGTTTATCGACGGCATTTACCACAACATGAGGCTAACATGAAGCCAAGACGATCATCGACGTCATGATCCGGTGACAATATTCTCCATTTCAGAAGCGGGAGCGACTCGTAAATGTGTGGAAGAAGGATGCTGCAAGAATGCAGACGGCCGGAGCCGCCTCCACTCCTTGATACCTGCAATACCTGCACGAGGTCTGATGTCAGCAATGAAGATAATTCTGGTATAAAGGTACCTTTGGGGCCCTTACGTTGTGGGATGCGCTTAGGCCATAGGCTCGGTTGCAGTGTTATTGCAACAGACGTGACCTTTGCACCCCTATGAATAAACAGAGTGGCGACATCTGGTCATGGGGTTGCAAGGAAGCCACTATTGAGAGAATATACACAAAAGAGAACATACTCACGATAGGATGTGTCGGATCGTCGTTTCGAATCTACCAGAGGTATAATCGGATCCTTGCGAGCTCACAACTGTTCCGTAGACCTGTCAAAATACAAGTCCGCATGGTGAATCGGTAGATATTTACCGTTGGACGCTGTTTCGTACCTTACAAGCAGAAGAAATAACTGTTTTGACGCGGACGAAACAGAGATTTTCCCTCGTAGCCGAGGCACGGCTAGTCTGAAGCTCCAAAATCACGGACGAAGTACACAAGGTCAGACAACTGAATTGCACTCTCTGGCAGCCTCTGGAGATAGGGGGGTTTTCAAGTTAAATTTCAGCGACAAAATGCAAGATATGCATGTGGTAGGCATCACCCTACTAGATACCTACTAGAAGAATAATGAATTGGACAAGCAGAATTCATAGGATAGATTTTAGAGGTTACCGGACGAAACGAGTTGACTTGAAGACAAGTAGAAGTAAGAGTACCATACATCTATTCCTTGAGTATAAGTTCGAGTGTGATTGTCGGCAGACTGAGATTTTCCAGGCGCTTGCTCAGCTTTATCCTGGGTGTTGGCTGGTGAGCTGACTCGGAACATGCCGACGGCCGCAGGCCGCGGCAAACTCAGCAGCTTCAAAGCCAAACAAGAGCCAAATACTGCAACTCTCCTCCTGACTACCATCTCGATTTTTTGTTTCCTCGTATTGCTCCTGTTCTCCCCCCTTCTTGTCCAGAAATGCACCCACAAAATTTCTGTTAATTTTCTGCTGTATGTAGCAAACAGGTCTCCGGGAGAGAGGGAACTTTCCCCCAGCGCAGCCGTCGTTGAAGGTAGTGGTTAATCTCTGAAGGTAGAAGTCATCCTCGTTTTTTCCGTCATTAGGTCCATCGGCTTATGCAGTGTGTATCAGATTTGACTGTCGATTTGTATTATAATATATGCCCGTTGTAAATTCATGAACACCGACCATCCCTTGCGCGAATATCAGTGACTACCTTTCATCGTGCTTGTGCATCTACCGGCGCATCGAAAGCTAGGGAGTGGCAGCTGAACAGCCTGCAACGAAGACGCGAACCAATCCAATAGCTTTTGAAGCGAGGAGCGTATCTTTTGTGGTCAAGTTATTTGAGGAATGCTATCGGGAAGAGATTTTTCTGGATAAGCTAATGTCGCTATTCCGTAAGGTACTAGTGGTAGTATAGGGATTGATAAATATGATATACCCCAAATACAATATGTATTGGGGGGGGGGGGGGGGGTGCATAGACTTGAGGCTTCAGGAAAGGGAGAAGTCAAGGTGAAGGGGCCAAAACACCAAAGTGATCATGTGAGGTGTTTGGGGTAAGTCTTCAGCCTTCAGGCCGAGTGAGGATGTCGGGATTTCGACACGAAGCCAATCAAGTCTGAATGTTTGGTGAAACCAGAAAGTGGGGAATCCTGAATCCGGTAACACCAAACACTGAAGGGAGTAGGCGGGTGGGTCAAAAAACAAGAGTATCTTGAGGATAATTGAGCGCCCATATACATGGTAGAGAAAGTGAAAGGGCGCGAGGATAGACCACGAGCAATGAGCGCTAATAGCAAGTGCTCGATGGTCACGGATTGGGGTTGTTTACACATGTGTGTCTATGACATCTAAATATTGCCAGACTCCATGTCGCTGCCTTAGCTTACAAGTGCCTGCCGCGTGCCGAGGCGAGTACGACCTTGCTGAATCTTGTCCTTGAACCCTATTGCTGTCTCTTTCGAGTCGACCTTTTCATTGGCAATGCTCCCGACTCAAAACATGTAAGGAAACACTGAAAGCGACGATTCCTCGTCGGGTTGATCTACGTAAGTCATACCAATATGTTACGAAGTGTTTGCGTGGCACGTCTGCTTCTTTGAACACCGATATACCAGTCGTATACCTCGCAGATCATTTGTACATTGAAAAATCCACACTGCATAGTGCCAAACGATCTCTAATAAGAGTCCCCGAACTCAGACCCATAATCTATTCCAAAATTCCGACCGGTGTCACGACGCCGTGCGCTCGTTCGCCAGATGTCGATACGTCATGTCCGCGCAAAAGTCGTCGTCCAGGGAGAGGCTGGGGTGCGAGGTGTACAATAACAGCTAGATGCAAAGGATCTCGATCAGTAACGAAGACAGTCGACATCGTGCGACGTGCGTACTATGTCCAGTTTACCCTAGCCCTATACTCCTTGTATCCCCAACAATACCCCGACGCCATGCTCTCGCTTGCCGGACGTCGATACATGGCGTCGAGGTAAAACTAGTCCCTCCTAAGACTACCTGCCGTCCCTACCCTATGCGAAGTTTCGCCGTGGGTGTGTTCACCGGTTTTGAATACATCGTCTAGGCGCAGACGTCTTGCTTGCCGGAAGACGATCCATTGTCTCCAGCCAAAACTCGGACACCTACACACCAGGATGGGGTGGGGTCATATTTCGCGCAGTCTTCAGGCATACTCACTCCCTCCTCGCACCACACAGGAGGCAACGTCCTCTTCTACTTTCCAACAACGCACGTTACTAGCCATTGAAAGACCAGCGCAGCGGGAACAGGTAGACGTCGTTGAGTGGTAGGAGATGACGCAATATCGGAAGGGAATGTCCGACTGAAGGAGGGTCGTGGGGATGGGTCGTTGGGTCGGGGTTGATGTCGATTTGTCATAGTGTGGTGGATACGTGGCAAGTGGGAGGAGAGAATAGCAGAATCTAGTGAACGGATAAGGATCAATGGCGTAGAGCACTAACAGATGTACTCACCAGTATCATATTGGACTGCGTGCATCATGCGCAAACCTGAATATAATATATCGATGGCGGCTGAAAGCTTCATCAGGACCATGAACAGTAGATGGGCGAGCTCATTCCCATATAGGCTTACGAGATAGGTGGTCCAGGCGATCACACCTAGCTCCGCGGTCCTGGTCATCCTTGGCTATTCCCTCTGCCAGAAAAGCATTCAGTTTCCACTCTGCCTCGCCTTTTCCTGTATTTTCCCCCTGGACGAGCTCCTTTAGTACCTCGACTATCACCTTGTGGTCCTTTTACAAGCTTGTACCGATCCTCGTCTTGCGGGCTGATATACGTGATAATGATCTTGTTGGGTACAATGTTCTCGTGTATTGAGCATGGGATGCCAAAGGGAGACTTTCCCTCTGCAAGTGTCCAGAGACGAAGTTAGAAAGTGTGCTTCTTGTTGGTGGCAAGAAGGACAGATGCAGTGTTAATTGTGCTAGGACAGCACAGCGAGTAGTACTAGTCCTCGTAAGTGGAACAGACTATAAAGTGCGACGCATCAGCATCAGCGAAGGGAAAATACGGAGAAGGTATTAGTCACTCACGATCCAATTCTTAAGCAATTCCCCAGATGTTCAGGTTCAAACGTTCAATATTCAATGTGCGAGGCGACTTTTTGAAGCTAGTGCTGCAGGTGCAATAGAGTCGAGATGGTAAACGGCTGAGTACTGAGTACTGAGTCTTGACATGCTGCACGGCTACGTTGTATTTGTTTGGTTTTGGCAGATGCGAGAGTAGGAAGAGGACTGCTGGATTGAGCACAGCCACCTATTTGTACTTAATTGCTTTTGGCAGACGACGGAAAAGGAAACTTTATGACTGTGGGTTGACCTTGCTTTTCAGCAAGGTAATCTCGGATCAGTGTTTCTTTTAGCATTGTTCTATTCTCTATCTCAACGTTTCACTTTGTAGGGACGTCCATTTGTGTCAAAGGGAAAATAACCTTGCATCGGTTCTTTCTCGTGGTGACACCGGCACAGTAGCAGATAATTCATTTCCTGTAGCCGGCCCATAAAGCGCCTCCCAATAGTTCTCGACCGCTAGGCATTCTGATTCCGAATACAGCGGTACTGTCTTCCAATCCAAAGATTCGGATTATGCACGACCAAACGTCGACCTTTCTTCGCCCGATAAATCCGATGTTTGATAGATGACTCGAACAATGACTCGACGACTGGGTATAAAGCCCACTATCACCTCTTTCCTGACTACAAGATATCATGGCCGCCTGGAAATCTGTAGGAAATGGGACCTTGGAAGGCATTTCCAGTGTCCCAGATCTTGATGTACGCTGGCGTCAAACTGGTTTTATATTGTTCTAACTTTCGCCAGGCGTCCAAGCTCACTATCACACTCGCTAAATCTCTCAAGCCTGTGCCTACACCGGAATCCCTAGTGTTCGGGTCGGTAGGTGATGTGTTCCATCTCGCTTTGAACCCCCTTCTCACCTGTCGTTAGGTGGTCACAGACCATATGCTCGTTGTTAGCTTCGACCCTTCCACGGGATGGTCTGCGCCCGAGATCAAACCTTACGCGCCTCTGTCGTTGGACCCGACGAGCTCTTGCTTCCAGTATTGCACCAGCGTCTTCGAAGGCATGAAGGTGAGATTTTACGCACTCCTTGTTTTTCACCAAGCTTACTTCGCACATGTATGACAGGCGTACATAGGTCCAGATGGAAAGGCACGCCTCTTCAGACCCGAAAAGAACATGGTGCGCCTGGCACGGTCTGCAGAGCGCTGCGCGCTTCCCGTACGTTTTTAAGGTCATTGATATCTCCTGCCGTCCTAATAGACTCGAGTATAGCCATTCAACCAGGATGCCGTCCTGGCCCTCGTCAAGCGCCTTGTCTCGGTCGAGAAACGCTGGATTCCAGCCCTCGAAGGATACAGCCTCTACATCCGACCCACCATGATCGGCACCCGCGCGGCTCTAGGAGTGGCAGCTTCTGACCACGCCTTGCTGTACGTCGTCGTCACTCCTGCGGGTCCCTATTTCAAACAGACTCCTGCAAAGCCTATATCCCTCCTCGCTGTAAGCAACAGTGTGCGCGCGTGGCCCGGAGGGACCGGAGAACACAAGCTAGGACTCAACTACGCACCTGGATTACTTCCCCAGCGTATCGCAGTGAAGAAGGGGTACGACCAGATCTTGTGGGTCCTAGACGATGTGGTTACGGAAGCTGGTTTGATGAATGTGTTTGTTGTCATCAAAAGGGAGGGCGGGGATGGAATTGATGTCGTAACTCCGGAACTCGACGGAACCATTCTCCCTGGAGTGACGAGGATGTCAGTACTGGAGCTTTTGCAGAAAGATGGAATGTCAGTGGCGGAAAGGAAGGTGACGATGACAGAGTTGAGAGCATTGAGTGTCCAGGAGAGACTGTTAGAAGTGTTTTTGGTGGGCACGGCGGTTCTTCTGGCTTCGGTCGGGAGGATTGGACTGGAAAGTGGAGAGGGAGACTTGGTCTTGCCTGGACCATCGCCTGTCGCAGATGCGATGAAGAAGAGGCTGTTGGAAATTCAAGAAGGAAGAGTGGAATACGAGAACTGGTCCGTTGTTTGCGATGACCATTGAAGTTAACTATCTCGTTGAGCTGAATGTTACATTCGTTTTTACGTTGATTGGCAAGCCGTCTGCGTTATCATGAGAGCGTCGCAAAGATGCAATTCAAGGTGAATTATCTGATTTCTCGCGATATTGTGTGGCTGATGGTCTTCAGTAAACAAAGCACCACTCAACAGTATGGCGGGTAAAATGAAGTATAATCTTTCAATTGTTCACATATTGACATAGCATTGTTATGTCCAGCGTCTGTGCCGGAAAGGAAATCACAATACAAAATCATAAATGTCCGATCGCTTTGTCCATCCATTGTCTTTGCATATTTTTTATTAATTTGGCCTACGTGTTTTGGCTTTGTCGCAGCTGGAGGGGGTTTATATACTAATGGTTTTTACCACCAAGGTCGTCATACCAGATTCCTTCGTCCCGGAGACGATACCTCAGGCCTCACTCTCACTCTCACCGGTATAACTCCAATAGATTCCTTCTCTTTCTACTAATATCCATTTATCAGTACGTTCCCTTTCACAATACTTTGGTTCTCTATTAACGCATTCAGTAGTCATGTCTGCTGCCGTTCAAGCCACCCGAAACTCATTGGATACCCTCCCCCTTGAACTCGTCCTCAAAATCTTCCACATGGCCACCTTTGACGAGCCTGACTATAACGTTCCACTGGCTCTCAGTCATGTCTCCAGAGGCTGTCGCGCGGTCGTCAGCCTCGAAGCACGTCTGTGGACTACCATCGAGCTCAATAACAAATCTGCAGTCCGGCGTGTGGTTGCAGGCGCCGATCCCCAGGACGTCTTTCCCTCACTCTCAGTCTATCTCCGTAACTCTGGCCGGCTTCCTTTGAACCTCTCTATAAAGTACGCCGGAGCTCCTCGCGATGCAGAAAATCCGGTTCCATTCGGCTACACCGAACCTTGTGCCAACGGCTTCACACTTTCCCATGCCACTCTCCTCGGCAGCATCCTCGCTCGCCATGCACACCGTCTTGCGCGTTTCACTGTCCACACAAAGTCATGGCAAATCTATACTCTGATTATCAACGAATGGGTGGGCCTTCGTTTACCTCTCCTCGAGAGCTGGGACGTGGAATACGGCATTTTCAGCGATGCCTGTTTATTCGAGGAGTATCCCCCTCTGTGTGAACGTGATTTAGATGCCAGTGAGAATATTCTCACGAACAATGGCAACGGTGTTACTGTGAATCAATTGGTCGAGATTGGTCAACACTTTTTCCCGAGTCTGAAGCGCCTTCGCCTCAGCGGGACGCCGAACAAATGGACTTTCTCCGCTAGCAACCTAGTCGAGCTCGTGCTTCAGAACATCCCGAATAACTATCGTCCTACGGGCAAGGCTCTGCAATCCATTCTAAGCAACAGCCAGCACACCTTGCAGGTCCTCGAGCTAAACGGTGTACTCCAAGATAATGTGAATGACTCGACCCAACAATTGTCACTCCCCGCCGTCCACACCCTCAAAGTCGGATTTGCTTACGTCGACGAAATCGTCACCCTCCTCCAAATCGCAGAGTTCCCCGCTCTCACCGACTTGACGCTCTGGCATCTGGAAGACTGCCTCAACGAGGATCAACGACACCAGGACGAGATGGTCGAGATTTTTCAAGCCATGGTTGACAACCTGCCCCTGCGCCAACTGACGACACTTCACATGGATGCCATCTCTTTTCCCAGGGAGGATTTGTACTCCACACTTTGCTGGGCCGCCGTACGAAACGGCGTTGTCACTCAAGCGCAGTATCCCGTTGTTATGCGGTTCACCTCCGAGCTTAACGCTCTGCAGACGCTCACCCTTGTTCGGCCCGACCCATTATTCCTTCAATGCATGGGTTACTCTCCACCGTCTTCGATGCTATTCCTTCCGTCCCTCCGGAATCTCAGATGCGAGACGTCGATCCCGAAAGATTGTCTCTACATTACAAAGTTTTGGCAACGTCGCATCAACGCGCTAGCGCTCCTATCCGGAGGGATGTACCCTGGCCCTGGTCTTGAGAGGTTGGAGTTGTTGCTCCCACAAACGCATGATAGCGTGCATCTGCAGGAATGGAAGGACAACCCTCAGCCGTATGCAATGTGGATGGGCGTCGAGTTTCAACCCGAGCATATCCCCTTTGTCATTGACCAGGATGACGATATATATATGGAATCAGACGAAGACGAAGGTGAAGGTGAAGATGCTATGGCAGAGGATTAAGGCTAGCATTTGTCTGTTTCGCTACATATTTTTTTCTCTCACATTCCTTCCCCTTGAATCCAAGTAATTACCGCTGACATTCTTTGTATTGCTCTGTTATTGTAGTATGTTTCATTGAATAATACCACCATCATCGTTGTTTCCCAATTGTGCCTTCTTCTGAGTACTGGGGCTGCTGTTCACAATTCACTGGGGTCGGTCTTCAGTTTGTCGTTTTGTACTTCACATTCTCCGGAATGGACACAGCGAGCGGCGACCATTGCCTTCAAGTTCTGAACGGCAGAACAAAAAGAGTCATTCATTACAATACTAGTATATGCTTCTTGTCCAACAGCTGAGGACGTAAACTTTCATCGCCATGTCGACGTTAAAGTCTGGGTGGTACCCGATGATATGACGGTAGCCTGCCGGTTCGGATCAGATTCCCATACCACCTAGAAAGCCTTTGAGTATCCAAGACGTCCAAACCGGTCGCATTACCCACCGATCCATCTGTTTCTTTCCTTATAAACTTGTACTGGAAGGTTGTACCCGAAGGAATGTTAACGGTAGCTTTCCATACAGGATAATCGTTCGCCGAAAGAGCGATCTTGCGAAGAACAGATGCGTAAAAAGCTGTAGTAAGAGAACGGATACACAACGCTCACAGAGGATGCAGGCGCCCAGTTCCCTAGCTGGGATATACTACCCACCACGAAGATATTCTAAACACCTGTAAGGAAGCACACTCTTGACGAGAAAAAGCTCACTTCGCCGAATGTCGTAGTTGCAGTTTCGGCAAAAGATACTGCGACAGATCCCGAGCCATCGCCGCCACCCGATCCAGAACCAGTACCTAGACACTCATTGAGCCAAGCTTCAGTTGGTGGAACTTGCGTTACCCTTTGCGCCCGCATGGATAGCTACGGCGCTGTGAGCCGGAACTGTTGCGGTGAATGAACCACCAGATACGGTGAACCTTGAAAACAAAAATGATAGTGCACTGATGACCGTCGTTGAAGTGCCTTACCCTGAGCCAGTGCAAGTACCACTAGTGGAGCTTTTGCCGCTGATGACATCACAGTAAGAACCATCTGATAACGAAGTAGTAAAGTTTGCGGTCCAGTTGGAGGCAGCGTTATTGATGGCGACAAAACCAGCAGATCCTACATGAAGATCAGCAAAGCGATCGTACTCTGAGACTCATAGAAGAGCACCTCGTCCAAAAGCGATTTGCGAAGATTGAGGAGACATCCAGTTAGCCAATGCGGCAGATCCCACGTTGTTGCGGAAACCGACCATGCCGGAGAATGCAACCCAACGATGTTGGCAATACCATCCGTTCGCTCCTCCTGTGCCTGAGCAAGTACCCGCACCTGAAAGGTATAAAACAAGGTTTCTGGAGGACATAGCAAATAAAACGTACCATTATTAGGAGCGCCATCATCCGTCGAAGAAAATTTGTAGCTGGAAAGGATAGAAGGTGTTCCATAAGGATGCGCGAGCGAGAATATGGTTGCAATCTGGGGCAAGAATCACCGCCCGCGTTAAGGCATAACGGCTTGAACGCCGAGAAAAATATACCACGTAGGCATTATTTGCCGAATTGACGTTGAGAGAGTTACCGTTCTGAGAAAGATCGTCAGGTCAGTTATCACACATTCCCAGTATGGCCTACTAGCCCCGCGTACTCTTTCAGTATCATGATTCGCTACGAAGACATTAGCTTGTGATCCAGATACCCATCCTATGTCATCATCAGGCATCATGACCTGTAATTCAATAAGAATACTCGCCTTGATTATCGAGATTCTGTAATCCAGAGATGCTGCCGCCCGTGAATGCATTCTTGAGAGCCGTGGTGTAACGGAATCTATCGAGAAAATATAAAGCTAGTTCTGAAGACTTAAGAGAATGCTCTTACTCTTGTACATCGCCATTTTGAACGTATTCAGAGGGCTGGATCGGTTCGCCAGCTCCCCAGATGACTTCTTGGGTGATATATGGTGACGATGAGAAACGGCTCGTGATGTTGGCAATGTCGTTCGTGGCAATATCTAGTTGTTTATCAGATCGATCTTTGTGAGTGTGAGAGAGGAAGGACTTACGTTTGGCTGCATCCAAACGAAGACCGTCAACTCCTAAAGAAAGAAGATCATTCACATATGCAGCTAGACGCCCTCGAACATATTCAGTTTCGGTTGCTAGACTACAGAGACTTTAGGATACGGAGTTCGAAAGGTACAGAAAATGGAAAATACTCCGCAAGGTTGACCAATTCACAAGTTTGGACCTGGGCACGACTAGTGTAGTCTTGGATGTCGTCGTTACTTGTGAGACCGCAATGATGGAAATCCTGGCAGCGTAAGTAATGTAAGCGAGATAGTATAGGCAGAGAGCATACCTGACTTTGGTAGATGTTAGGGTAGACCTATCAGTGGGAAGGGTGAGAGGTGATGTGAATCGGAAGTCAAGCCGACTAACATAGTGTGTGTAACTATCCCCCGCAACACCAATGCCAGAATCTGAGCCGGACATATGGTTAAGGATGGTGTCTACGCGGCGCTCAGCGTTGGTATTTTAGGAACCACCGAATAAGCCAAGCATACCAGCGATAACCTTGACACCTGCAGCATGACAGGTCGTTACCATGCTGGCGAGTCTCTCAATTGACAGAAGCAATGCATGCAAAAAGACCTAACTTGGCGAATTGGCTCCTGTTACCACGTTTTGAGGTCAAAGTGTAGGAGACCGGCTGGTAATCCGTCCACCACTGACTACCGGTAACGTGTTCTGCCGGCGGACTAACTGTTTAAGTTCAGAGGGAAATCATAATAAGAAATGTTCGGGAATCGCACCTTGAACAAATCCATAACCAGCGGGGCCAATGAAGTCAGTGCATTCGGAAGCTACGCTGTCCCAGGTCCATTCGAACATCTGGATGATAACTGTGCTGTTTCCGGAGGGAGCTCGACGCAGTGGTGGAAAGGCGAGAACGCATGGTAAAAGGATGGGAAAGAGACCTAGTATGAGGAGCATAGTAGGTAGTAAGCGAGGGCGACAACATTATTACGATCCAGTATAGTGACCTTTAAATAAATTTCGTCTGGCTTGTGAAAAAGTAGATCATGAGTACAAGCGGAGCTATCCACACGGAATACTCACCATAGCAAATAGAAATGTACCAATAGTTGGCAGCCATAAGAGTCGTCGAAATCGCTTCCAAGGGCGTCATCAACATACCGCGTCAATATACTGATCTATGTTGCTCCTTTTAAAAACTGTCCCAGCACAGAAAACTGGAATGGACGTTAAATGGTACAGGTTTGAATTTTTTCTTCCGGACCTCACCTTTCCAAGCACATGGCTGTCACAGATGTTAATCATCATATGGTCCTCAAACTAAAGGCACCTAGGTCATTCGGCAGTCAGTATTGCGACCGGACCATCCTGGTGAGATCACGAATGATAATGGGTAGTGCATCAGACATCGCCTGTCACCCGGCTGGTCGTCCAAGAGTTACTACAAGCAACCAGAAGGCTAAGAAAACGAAAAGATTGTTACTGTTATAGTCAAAGCGACAGGAAAAGAGTTACTTTTTTAGATTTATTTAATAGCCTTGGCATGAATTTCTCGGAGCGAAGCCGCTTCTTGTGCTGACAGTATTATGTATCCATGCAAGATGCCAGTGGCGGATAAAAACATTGGCCGGCAGTCAGGTGCCCCCCCTCCCGGCGGGTACAAAGCTTTATATACAGACGAGTTCTGCGAATGTAATAAAGTGTTAGGCTAGAGAAAGGTCACGGTGTTGAATCGAGTCATTGATGAGTCACTGGGCAGTGGGTGGTCGACGCGAGATGATCACGTGCTGATCACAGGGTCAAGAAACTCTTAAACTCATTTTTGACTTTTCTACCACGAGCTACCACGTCGACAGCTCAAGCCCCGACATTAGTTGTTTATATTACAAGAATACCGGGATCTATATATGAAAAAGAGGTAAGGCATGGAATGGCTCCTTGGTGCTCCTGTAATTTATCTTATCTGCCATAGGTTCGGCCAAAAGCCTCTTTTTGAAAATGCTAATTAGAAGGAAGCATCTATATAGCCTCCAGGGGAAATTTTTCTGAGTCCTTCAGGTCGCTCCTCCCTAGATTTGGTTGCATCGAAAGTTTACGTTGTCAAACTTGCGTCAAGAATCAAAATGAGAGCAGTTTCGCTTTTTCTGTCTCATTCACCGACACTTTTGTCTACTTCTACCTACAACTGACTTCTATCTGGTTTCTACTTCTTGCTTGGCTTTTGGCTACGGGCACGAGACAAAAATATCCTTTGCGGGCCGCAGGCGGCCCGATTGGCGCCTGACAACGACTTTAAATAAGACAGGCGAGGTCTTCCTCAAACAACCAGCAGAGTCAGCATTCTCCAAGCGTACTGCTTTCCCAGCATTAGATATGTCCACCGATCCCTTATCGGCCGTAGTCGCAGCCCTCGAACGAGAGCAGATCATACCGGATGTTATTCCCGAAGCCTTCACCCCCTCAGTTCTATTCACGGTCATCTATCCCACCGGCAAGGAGGGCTTGCTGAGCTGCGAACTCACTCGTGAAGAAGCCTTCGATGAGCCTGAGATAAACTTCACTCCGATGCAGAATAACATTGGCGCGGAAGGAGAGCCTACCTATACGCTCGTTATGGCGGATCCAGATGCGCCATCGCGGGCGGAACCAAAATTTAGGCAGTTTAGGCATTGGGTGGTATGTTTTTTCAAGTCTTATCTGTTCTAGGATCTGACGTGCTTTGTAGATTGCCGGTATCAAGTCACCTGTGGAGAGCGCTTCTGAGACCACTAATCTCACTGGAATCAAGACGAAGTTATCGACGACGCCTTATCGGCCTCCTGGGCCTCCCCCAGGTACCGGTCTTCACAGATACAGTTCGTGTTTGATTACAAGCCCTAACGAGATGCTAATAACCGCCCATAGCATTTCTCCTGTTTGAAGAGCCAGTCGGCTTTTCTATTCCTCATGGCGCAGTTGAATACGGGGCAGAATTGGAACAGAGACGTAGCTGGAATGCAGTCGAGTTCGGGAAGAAGTATGGACTGAAACTTGTCGGCGCCAATTATTTCTTGGTCCGATCCACCGAGTAATTTTGTACCAGGGTAGGTGGATGATTATCGATAATTTCCCTTACATCAGTTCCTTGTTCAATGTGTTGTGTTTCAACCTTGGCTCTCGCCTTTCTATGAAATTGGTATGATTCTTGGAAATAACAGCAGCACAGGCATATGAAAACTTGACGCCCAACCGAAGTCGGGCACAGCCGCAACTTCATTCCGCTGTTTTGACAACCTTGCGGTCGTGCGATTTATCGCCATCATCCAAGTATGGCGATCTATTGATTACGACCCTGCCGTCATTATCTGCCTGGGAGTTGGCCTTCGTCCGGCCGTCCGTAACCGAAATTGAGGCACCATAGCTACTTCAACAATCTTATCCCCCTCCGGTGTGGTAAATTTCACTTCTGTTTCCTTCTTTTTGCAAAATCGGAAAGCCAGCCGCCGGGATTCCAGTGAGGCTGGTCATTTGTTTCAGTATGTCCCTCCTTCCACCCCCCCGCGTCCAGTACTGGTGGCACGGTGTGGCACAAGGCTATCTATATTCGATGAAACCAACTAGCGCAGGGGAATGTTAGAGAGTACGTTATTTTTGTCTCACTTCTCCTTTTGCTCTCCCTAGTTACGATGCGGCGTCCAGAGTAAATCCTTATCCTTGACCAAGGAGAGGCTGCATTAATTTGAACTTCGGCTCGAGCAGGGATATCATTCATAGGGAGGATCGTTCTCGGTGGATCCGAAGTAGTACAAGGGGTTTGAGGTAAGTAAGTACTAAGCGCATATCGCGACTTTCCATTTTGGTTAGATGTACGATACGTTTTGCACACCGAAGGCTTCATCTGCTCATCCAGCAATATATTAGCTATGTGCCGATGTCCGGGAGCAATCGAATGGAACTGGCGTGGGTAATTTAGGAACCAGCGCCTAAGTCTGAGAGCTGTTACTTATCCTTTTTATAGGCTCGCATCGATGCGGTGGTTGCTAGTTTCCTTCACACCGTCTCCTCTGACATCCTCAACTAGCAAAGTAAACATGCAAGGTGTAAACATGTTTTGTGCTCAGGCACAACTTCTAGTATTCCATATAGTACAGCACCGGCGGCGAGACCACTCAGGTTTTCCGTCCATTTCACTGGGTGTCGCACGCTCCGAAACGAGAAAAAGAATAAAAAAAGAAAGACTTCGGGAGATGATCGGGGACCCAAAAACCGGTGTCCCGACCTCGATTTTGAAGCTCAAAAATGGCGAAAGGAGCGCTCTTTGAGCTTTCCATTTCATATTTTTCGCTGATGGATAAGTTTATAGCATTAAAGCTAGCTGGGACTATGCTACAAGGCATGTATTTCTATTGTACATATCATGAGAATAGTAGGCTTGGGCAATGGGCAGATGGCCCTGCATAAGAAAACTGCGGGTTTTATTCAACAGTTTTAAGTGTAAACATTTTTTCTGGTCCGTTCTTCTGGTTTAAATGCTGTCTGTGACTTGAAGCTCAATGGCTGAAGAGGTTATGGGGGTTGTATATGCTTAGTACTGGTGCCCAGCACAAAATCAATGAACATTTAAGGAAGGAAAGTGCATCTAAAATTTATCCATGGCATCATTAGTTATATATGCGAGGAAGATACATTCTGGACGCGAGCGCAAGCGTCGTCGCGGCAGGTAACTCGGACCCTTCGGACCGGTGGCAGATAACATAGGGGCTTGGCAGATAACTTTTGGCAAGAGATTCACTTTTTCTTGAGTATTGTGCCGCACAGCGCTTCGGGCTTCTCACAACTTTAACACATCATTAATTATTATATTTTTCATCTACTGGCAGATTTCCAAGCCCGAACGTAAAGAAATAACGCCAGGAAAAATCAGCGAAAGCGTGGAATACTACTACCCATTATGGGCATGGCAGATAACTGGCAGATAACTACCGTGGGAACCCAGTGAAACGGGCGGTAAACCACCACTCAGGGCTCAGGGTCCTCAGTTACCTATGGCCAAGGCCGAGGTTCTCCCGCTAGAAGTGATCCTGTTCGACCCTGTTGGTTACGTGTCCCAAACTAGGAATGAAACGAGGCTCACGCTTGTTTTTGGATCCTGTCTTCACTTACGCTCCTTCAGTGCTAGCCAGTCATCAAATGCTCAAACGTCACCAAGACAATGCAATTTATATATGGCGTACGTTGAGCTTGCTCTCTTCGTCGAGACTGTGATTCATACCTGGGTGCTTATTGCTGTTTCCTGCTAGATCCACCGCGGCGTCCGTGATAATCTGGGGTGTCTGCCCTTGTGAGGTGATTGTAGGCGATAAATGTGAAACACAATATGGTTTTGAGGCAGCCATCACCTCGAGGCAGAGAGATCGCGTTGCCGAGTATATGGACGGACCTACAGCAGCATACAGGTGCATACATCATTTCGCCTAGCTTGACATGAGGATCGCCTCGCGGCATCACACCGTCCTTGCTGGAACGCTATCGCCTTAACAGGCGGATTTCTTGTATATGTGCGCGCTTAATATCACGAACCGTGGGGATTTTAGAAGGTAACAGCCGGTACCGAAACGTATAAATTCCAGCATCGGCACAGCTGTGATATCTGACTTGTCACAGCATCTCTTCTCTCCCTGTACCCGTATCCCTGTAAGCCGCTGCTCTCGTTCTTGTCTTATGTATCACACTTACCCCCAGTAAGGCACGCCAGACAATGGCCACTGTGCCCATTGTTCGCTCAGAAAGGCAATCTCAAATCGACAATTTCACCTCAAGTCAGATTTCCTTCCATCCTTTGACGAGGATCATGGCCCTCGATACGGCTTCGTGCTTTGCTCAGCGCGTGCCCAACGAATTACTCTCATACATCTTCCTCTCTGCCTTCCACCAAGCCAACGCGATACACCTCTCACATGTCTGCTCGCGTTGGCGAAATGTCGCGCTTTCTACAGGTAGTTTATGGACGGATATTACCATCACATTCCCCACATCCGTCGGGCAGCTTTCATGCGCTCTAACGTGTCTCCGCCGTTCCAAGGTCTATCCGCTTGATCTGTATCTGGATTTTCGTGACCCCGCTTGGGACTGGGATGAGCATTCACACGGGTTTGGGTCAGAGGACATGGAGACGGTGTTAGGCCTTCTCCTGCCGCACGCGAACCGATGGAAGTCCGTGAACCTCCTGACGGATACATGGGCGCCGATGTGGACATTTTTGAAAGAGACTCAGCGCGTAGAAATGCCGACCCTGAGATCGGTGAAATTGTCGCGGTGCAACGCGTATTTTGTGGGAAAAGGGGAAACCTTCGAGCCGGCAGGGTTGAGGGAGCCGCTGCGGCTTTTTGGGGGCCAGGAGATGGGAACGTTGAGGGAGGTGGGACTTGTGGGAGTGCATGTCGACTGGGCTGGATCGGGTCTTAGGAATTTGTTGGACTTGGAGCTCAAGTACCATGCGAGCGACGTTATGCCGACTTTCCAGGAGTTTAAAGCCATTATGGAAGGATGTCCAGACCTGAAATATCTCTCCATTGTGGGGTGGGGACCTAGGTTCGACAGTCCTCCGATACTGGATTCCAGCGCGACACTCATTCGCTTGCCTAACCTGATTCGGTTCTCTTTCGGTTTCGTGGACACGGAATATGCGATCCGGTTGCTGGAACATATGGTACTACCGGTTCTAATGGAACTGGCCCTGGAGGATGTGTCAAGGAGCTTGAGCTTCTACGACGCCGAGAGTCTGCCGGATGTCAAGGCTCTTCTGGAATGGTTTACGGGAGACCACGATGCTATTCCATGTAGTAGGCTCTTGACGCTGGAACTACATGGAATTCGTTGCTGCGACAGTGATACATTGCGAAGATTTTTCTGCAAGTTTCTGATGGTGGGGAGAATATCTCTATCCGATGCGGATGTGGTGTTGCTGGAAGCGCTGAAACCCGGTACATTGACACCCTGTCCGGCGCTTACAGAAATATCCTGCCGAAGGGTCGATTTTTCCAAGCTCTCAGAATTAGTAGGCGCGCGAGCTTCAAGTTCGGACGTCTCGTCATTCAAGAATGTCCACGTTGACCTGTTCGGGGATGAGTTTGTTGGAGAGCAGGAAAGCCTGACTATTCAAAGAGCCAATGCCGATCTTTCCGTTAGCACCATCGCTGCCTCTGATTAATTACCTTTTGCTCCCTTTTATTGCTCTTAATTTTCTCTACTTCGAATTCGCCTTTTCCTACTGTTCTGTACCTATATTCGTGTTTCATCCATGTCCTGTATGCGTGTGATATCATTGGGACCGTTGAGTGTCTGTCCCCTTTTTGTCTCCATCCCCTTTACCCTTCGGCGATGCCAAACTTTCCGCCAATGAATTCCTTGAAAGTGATACGAATGTTATCGAGTTAGGTGTTCACTGCTCGGGCCCAGAAATGACTCAAACTTCGCGCGTGTCGTCTATCTTGTTGAATGGACGCTACGTAACAATCCATTATCATGTAACGTTATATTATATAGTCTGGTAGCAATAAGAAGCAAAGAGGAAGAACGGGTAGGCCGAGGTCAAAACCTAAAGCGAGAAGACCGAGAGCGGGCTTACGTTGACTCGTGGAAGATGTGATATTCAGAGGGTACAACTCTAAACAAAGTAATCCCAGAGAAATTCTCCTGTCGGCGTCGTACTGTGACTCCCAGCAGTGGTAAATCTCGGTACAGTTATTTACCGGTCATTGCAACACCATGGTTCAATGAAACACTTAGCCTCTTGCTCTCCCTCCCTTCATCCTTCATCATCAACTTGTATTACATTGCTGATGTGTATTGTATCTTCATGTTCTGCAGTGATTCTTCATATGTGACATGAATAATATTCCCGAGAAATTGAGGCTTCTGTTCTAAAAATATCTATTTTCTCATGAACTCAAAATCTGACCTGGAAATGTGTGTCCTCCATCTGAATGTAATCACCCACAAAGGCCTCAATAATGTTAATGACCTTCTGAAGAACCTGTGTGACAGGTTTGAGACCAAGCGGCCATTATCTGAGGAGTCTAGGGCATAAATAAAAGTGCGGTTCTGCCAAGCCATCACCTTTGATGGACAGTCTGACAGTCCAATGCGTCCATTATTGCCCTGCTGCCTCCGAACTTTATTTCTCCTCTTGTTCAATTTTTTACTATGCCTGGACATGCCAAATCAAACTCGAAAAAGTGTCAGATTGCTCACAAATGCCATGACCAGCTAATGGAAAAGGCAGTCATTGCAAATGATTGCATACAAGAATGAGCTTGTCAAACTACCTGGTGCTCCTCGGAAAGGTGCAAGAAAAATCTGCAAAGATTTTGAGGCTGTATATCAGAGAGAGACTGGAAAGGAGATCTCACTTTTCTATAGCACTCGAGCGATTCCGAGTAGCTGACTAATGAGGTTTGGGTATATGGGCCGGACTGTTTCAATGACTCAAAATAGCCTAGAATACCCACGCCACGATAATGCTGTGAAAACGGACTTGTACTCGCACCTTTGAGCATCTTTTTTTTACTGTATCTTATTGTTGTATAGTATTACACATTCTTACATTCAAACCTAGTCAAAATTCCCAACCAATTGGAACCTACAGTAAATATCCAGTTTTGCTGTTTCATTGACCGGTAAATAACTGTAAGTCCAAACAATTTTTGTCGCAATCGTTACCTAGCTGTATAAAATGTGTAAAGTAATCTGATTCAAGAAATCATTTAACTGTATATGTTAGTGTTCCTGTTCCTTGATGAACGTCATCGAACCTAATCACCGCGCACCTACAAATCTTGACCTTGAAGGAGAGAAATTGCGTATTTATTGCCTCACCCACGCATAGTGTACCGTTAAATAGTCGTTTGAGTTGCTCGGTGACAGTTGGTCAGTGACTTTGGCTTATTTCAACGTCCCGGTACCGCGCTTTACGTTTAAAGCGAAGATCAATGTCACGGAATTCATTAAGCTACGCTTGAACGTGAAATTTGAATACGTTTTCAAATTGAGAATCGGACTTTTTTCGGAATATAGTATTCCCCTTGGATTTGCAAGCACTGCGAATTACCTTGACGTACAACTGGGCTATTTCCTCCGAATTACCATCAAGCTTGATATCACCACCCGTTTGTTGTGATCCTCATGAATCCGCTAATCTGGTCTGTCAAATCCCAAATCAGCGGTATTTTCTTCATCACTGCAGGCTCCATTGCATGACTTGATGACACCAAAACATTGTGTACTGCTTCGGGAATCAATCTAAACCATTTATTCTATCATTACTGTTGCTCTTGGTGTTGAGTCGCTGTTGAAAGAAAGCCGGTACCTATGAATTACTATATTGGGCAGCCGAAAAAAGTTCGATCGATTCTCATTATTTTGTAGAAACCCGGTAAGAAAATATCTAAAATATAACGTTACAGTCACCCTCACGTGATCGAAGTTCAACAACCCGTCTTCCTGGACCTTCGCTGCCTTCTCCTTCGACCATCACTCGACGACTAACAGCCAAATTTCCTGGTGTTGACTCTCTCTTAGTACTGCCGTTACTCGTATGTGCTGACCATGTCTATAGAGATTCAAAGGGACGGGCGTTTTCGCCATCAATTCGCGACTCAGAGGACTGGCGCCCAACATTGAGGCATTGGTGTCCAAAAAGCGTCGAGAATTGGTACGCTATTGTATTTGTGCGCGCCGTCACTATCTGACCTTCGAATTGGTTCGCGTTATCAGATTTCCAAAGGCAAATATCCTTCCTGGGATACGTATAGCCAAGGTGCGTGACGAATAGGTATGTGCTTCCTCGATGTCATGTATCGCTGGCTTACGTAGCCCTTCTAGACTCGTACAATATTGCAAAACTCACAAACAATTAACGCGTTTATTGAACTGACGGCCTTTTTACGGCGACAACTCATACAACACGACTCATTTAACGATTGATATTTCGGCTTACGACATTTATTTTTTTGCTTGATCTTTTTAACGAAATTCTTCCCGATTTTTGGCGATTTTCGATTCTGTATAACTATCATGACGACGCTGCGCCATCCACTGCGTCAACAGTCACAAGCGGAAGCAACACCAACACTCCCGTCTTCCTATGTCCCTAGTATTCGGCTTATCGCCGCCACACCTTCTGCGGCGGGCTTGTCATCTGAGCCGAGCACATCTGCCAATCGCTCTCTCGAATCATCTTGGGCTTCAGTACCTGCCGCTGATTGGGATAGTCCGTCTGCCCTCGCCCCACGTCTAAAGGAGCCAACTCCCAGGAAACGTCTCGTCCCCAAGAAGTCTAAGCTCAGCATGCTGGGCGTTGGGGGAGGGGGTATCAAGGAGCGGGAGAAGACGCGGGACTTTTCTGACGTTGTTCGGCGTGTCGGTGGTGACACTGCTTCTGCGACAAGAGGCTTCGAAATCTACGTGGATCCTACTGAGGATCCGGACATCGGAGAGATTGTCTTAGTGAAGAAGAAGAAATCTCGGGCGGCATTGGACGGTATGAGATGGGGAGGTGGACCTATGGCAGAGGTCACGAATGTGCCCTCTACTAAGATGAAGAAGGAGAAGGAAGAGGGGGGAAAGGAAAAGTGGTGGGCGATTGGTAGAGGACGGAAGGATTCGAGGGAGAAGGGCAAAGGGAAGGAAAGGAGCAAGGACTCCCAACGACCTAACCTCATTCCTCGGTCAAAGAGTAAGTTTTCCTACTGGTCTTGATTGAATAATCTCTCACAGCCATATTTTCAGCACCTGAGCCTTTCAAGCCTCCTCTGCAAGAGGTCAGAACGCGCTCTAACTCGCTTGATCCTGGGGCGCTACTCTCTGCCCCGAACACGTTCAGTCCTACGTATCAGGCCAACAATTTCTCTTCGCCTCAAATCGCTCCTCAGCCCCAGCCACGTTCGCGAACATCGACACTTGGCGGACTTCTTGCACCGCCCACTCTACCTAATGATCAGAATCAAAATCCGCGACAGGGTTCCATCGCGCTTCGAGCCATGCGCTCCCTAGCTCGCATCGGGAGCTGGGCTCAGCTGAGAAATCCAGGCAATGAGAACGAGTCCAAGAAGTACAAGGACGTGCCTAAGAAGAAAACTGTGAAGAAGGATGCGGAGAAGAAGCCAAAGAAAACGAAGGACCACCAACGTACCTCGACTAGCAGCTTTGAAGCAGGCGCATTGACCGCCAGTCCTGAAGTTACCCGGACTTTTGGATACAATAAGAAACGAAGTATTCTTGGGCTCGGGCTCCCCTCGTCTATGACAATGAAGTTGCCTGCAGGACGAGATGGGTCGACGGCTTCTTCTACGATGTCACAGGCTCCTCCTCCGGTGGTCGATAATAACCGACTTTCAGTTGAGTCTGCGGCGGTCATGGGGAGGCCAAGCTCGGCAATGTCGACGGCGTCTTCACTTCGTCCGATGTCGACAACTTCAGGTACCTCTCGGGCTTCATCAGGCTCTGGTGCCTCGGTGAAGTGGGATGAAGCGGGCTTGGAAACGGTCAGGGATCGGAGGGACAGGGAAAGGGGTATCAAGAAGGGTATCAAGGAGGAGCAGAAGAGAAGGGATAGTAGGGAGAGCAGGAGGAGTTCGGAGGGGAGGAAGAGGACCCCATTGAGTGACATCTTCCCAGAGATTGGTACGAGTGGAGATGGCGAAGAAGCGAGGCATATAGGGGAAGGCTCGCCAGCTGTTAGTGGCAAAGAGTGCCCAGTTGTGAGAGTGGAGACTGCTACATGTGACGGACACGAGGATCCTGGTGCGGATAAGATGCTGGTGGCTACGCCCGTTCGTCGAGCTCGTCCAAGACCTGCATCTGAACAGCTCCTGGGCAAAGCCAGGCCTCGGGGGATCTACGAAGATTCCGAGAACGGTATGTCCATTTTTCTCGTATCTCTTTGGCTACCGTGAACATTGTTATTTCATAGGTGCTTTATCAGTCCTGGATGCAGTGACGAACGACCTCGCAAATCTGATCAATACGTTGGATCTGGAGGCTACACCCGGCGGGACACCTGATCCTTCGCCTATTGCTCGACGGAACACAAGGGAGCCAGAGGCGAGTCCTACGAAGATGAGGGCGAAGAAGCTGCGTCTGGAAAACCCTTCGGTCACTTCATTACGTCCGTACGCGCAAGCTACTGTGCGTGCATCTCCTTCCCAGGACATTCTATCTGGGAAGAACCCCGAGAAAGGATTTGTGAAGAAGCGTGCCAGTGAATTGGGGCTTGGAAAGCAAATTGCTCCTTTGCCAGTGTTTGACAGCCTTCCTCCAGTCAAGCTGCCCTCATCACCCCCGCCACCGACGGCCTTTGTACGGACACACAAACGGACCTTGACTCCCGGGCCTCTCCCAGATCCTTCACCTGTCCTGAGACCACTCAGACCTGCGAAGCCCAGAATTTCGAGGGCCGTTGCGAAAAGTCCCACAACAAGTGCCAAGAAGGCAGCACGACCCCCTCCGTCAACGTTCAGGTCGTCTATTGCGGGCTTTAGGAATTCGACATCCTCGCAGGAGTTCAATGAGCTGGAGAATCATCCAATTTTCATGCGCAAAAGGGCTTCGTTGGGCGCCGATAAGAGAGCATCTCGCACAAGTACCGACCACGATGATACAGCGTCCCGACGACCTCTCGCACCGGGTGCACGCAAGATGCTTGGTATGAGAGGAACTATGGGTGGTTCTGATGTCTCTGCATATGCCGAGGACGTTGACGTCTCTGATCCCGACTCGGATATCCCCGATGAGCTCCAATTCATCTTGCACGGGAAGAAAACGTCAGTAGTAGAGGCTGAGGAAGAGGAAGGGACCATGGATTACAGCGAGGCTGCCGAAAGCGGCAAGGGGAGTGGCATGGACGATACGATGGACTACCATCATGAAGGACTGTCGTTCATCAATGATCGTTTGCAGGGATTATCATTTGTCGACGAGGAGATGGAGGTTGACGTTCCGGCCCCCTCTCCGGTTTTCCGTGCCCAGGTGATCGACGAACAGGAACACCATATCGAACTAGAGCCCTCCGAGGAAGATACGAATAAGTCTTTCGATTTCACGGGCGAGCTGCAGAAGTTGAATGAATCTGGTGATTCTGATCGCCGTAGTTTTGTAGAGCAGCTGGAGAACGCGTTCCGAACTCCAGCAAAGATTGATTTGCGTTACGACTTTGCAGGTCCCGTCAAGGATGGCCTCTTGCAGTTTGATGTTCCCCCTGTTCCATCTCTGCCACCGCCTCCAGTTCCCGACGATAGCTTGCAGGAGTGGACCGACTCGGCGACTGGTCTCATGGATGTTCAGGAGCCCACTTTCTTGCATGGTTCCAGCGAGCAGGAAGAATTGTCGAAGAGCAGATCTTCTTTCGACATGTACACCACCTCACAGATCCGCGATATGGTGCAGCCTACTCTTCTTTCTATGACAGACAGCCTCGCCACTGAGGAGTCCGGTCCAGCTGAGGGCAGACAATTCTTGAAGAGGACCTCGTCTACCTTGCACTCATCGGACGGTGAACTGAACGAGTCATTCAAGTTCGGCGGTTCAAGATCTTCTCCTCCCAGTTCAGAGGATAAGGAGAAGCCTATGACATTATCTGACATCATACCGCCGCCTGCGCATGCTCGTTCGTTGTCCATGGGAAGTATCATGGCGGATGATTCTGTCCTCAAGTCGATCCTCGCGAAAGCCTCCGAGGTACCCCGCCCTCGGGTAAGCTCGGACTCATCGAAGAGACCTTCTCGAGCGCACTCAAGACAAGTTTCTGGATCTAGTTTCACTGGCCTCGAATCCTTCGACGAAGTGAGGAGGGGTTTCGAGTTCCCTGACAATCGACCTACGTTTTATCCTCCTTCTGCCGCGGCGTATAGCAAGCACAACAGGCAAGAATCGACAATGAGCTTCGCTTCTGTCTCTTCGTATGGACGCGTCGTAAATCCTGGAGTCGTCGATCCGTTTGATTACGGTGATTGCGGCCTTCCGAGTTTGCAAGAGATGCCTTCCTCTGAGAGTCTGTCCGCATCTATGTCGATGTCGATGGACGTGGAGGATACGTTCGAGTTCCTTCACCGAAGGCAGAGGAGGAGGGCTGAAAGTGATGCATCTAGTTTCTACTTCAAGCCTCCAGATCGCGGACACCGCCGAAACGAGTCGAACCTCTCTGTTTCCTCACAATTCCCGCCGAATAGCCGCTACAATCGCAGCTTCGGGATAGGCTTCGGCGGCGGGCATAGAAAGAACGACTCTATCAACAGTATGAGCTCGGTCGCAAATTCGTACGCGATGCATGGGGCAAACGCTGGGAGGGCAGCGTGGGCGAAGCATCACCGCTCGCAAGATTCAGCTGCAAGTGAATTTTCTACGGCAATGCACTTGGGGCGGCCAGGTATTGGAGACAAGATGTTTGATAACGCCCCTCCCGGCGTACTGACGTCTATTTCTGCTTCTCCTTCGGAGAGTGTGAAATCTTCATTTGACTCGATCATGGACATCGATGACCCCAGGTCTGGAGTTGTGGACTCGTTATTCGATCAAACCGGCGTAGGGTCGAGCGAAGATGAATCGATATTTGGACGTAGAAACCAGTACGAGTATCCAAGGGGACATCTTGCGCCACCGCTGTTCCGGCCGCTATCGGTGCTGAGTATGCATGGTAGCAGTGTACAGAGTCCCAGAGAGGATGATACCATGATCAGCGTATGTTTGATCTCATAAGTTGATTGATATAGATTGCTAATGAACATGTCTCTAGATGCTTGGAGGAGGCCGCCACGAACGAAGAGTGTCCATTGGGTCGATCATGGATATCGACAAGTCTCCCTGCGTACGTGTCGAGAAGCGCAAACACTCGGAGTTTCGAATGAAGGGCGAAGCGGAAGAGGGTGCAGTTAAAGCCCGAATCGTCGTGAAGCCATCAATTGCTTCTACCGCTGAGTCTACCAAATTTGGTGGAGAGCGAATGATACGTGCTCAGCACGGGCTTTTGGACAGACGTAGCTTGGAGGAAAGTTGTCTCGTTGCCGAGGGGGAGGATATGTCCTTTTCCTGTGAGTTTTTTCTGCTAAGATTACATTTGATATTGTGTCTGATGTTTGTGTACTCATAGTCGGTGCAACCGTCTTCACCAAACCTGATCCTTTATCTCGGTCTCGCTCCAGTACATGTACTTCGAATTCAGGAACATCTGGCGCTGATACCCCTCCTCTGTCGGCATCTGAAGGAACATCGATCTCGGAAGGATCGCAGTCAAGCATTGATCTCGAAGAAATCAACGTTGCTCTCACCAATACCACTCATCCTATGACCGGTGCCCAGCGCAGTAGAGTCCGTGCCCGAGCGCGAGGGCACGGTCACCGTCGACGCCATTCGCATACTCAAACATCTCGGTCGTCGATTTACGAAACGATCCAAGAAGAGGCGTCCCCAATGTCCTCTCCGGGCACGCATAAGAGCAGCAGTCCTACTGCTATCCAATCGGTCTTTGTTGTGGATGAAGACACTGCGTCTATTCACTCTGCTACCACTACGTGGGATGACGAGCGTGGCATCGTCGCTTTAAGGAGGTACTATGAGTTACGTGAGGAGGTGGAATCCACAGTGACAGAAAGCAAACGCGTATGGATTGATACGCCTTTTTCGTTGTTTGCTTTGCAATGTAAGCGTATCCCCATGACGAGTGTATAGTTTCTGATTTTTCGTAGGCTTTGATCCGCCAAGACATCCTGCCGGCATGCAAGCGCTGCTTGAGCATTCCGTTCAGAACTACGGGCCGCTGCCTTCGGAGCTCCGACCAAAGCGTGTCCGTTCCCGGACGTCTTCAAGGGCCTCGCCTTACCCGTCGACGAGAGCACTGAAAGCTGCTGCTGCATCCCCGGAGCTTATCACGAAGAAAGAAGATGATGTATATCGTAATGCCACGAGCTCTCCTCTCGGAGATATTCCTCATGCAAACATCATGACTGCTTCACTAGCTTCTAAACCGTTCAGTCCTTCGATCGAGGAGCTCAAACGAGAGACCGCGTGGGGCCCGGCGGCTATCCGTCCTCGGGTAGGGTCCACTGCCAGGCGCACTGCGCTTGGATGGGCAAAGAGAAGCAACGGGAAGACGCCCACTGATCTGAAGGAGAACACACCCAAGATGAACATGACGTACGTTTTTGTTCTCTTGTTTTTATTATTATTGGAGGGACTAATTTTCTGTGTAGGCGGGGTGAATCTCTCAGGCTCAGCCGACCTCGTCCGAAAGGTCGGCCGACACCCGTCCGACAAATTAGACTCTGATTGTTATGCTATATGCTTGCTTCACCACATACTTCTACTCGCTATTTCATTGCCCACGTGACATTACGCATGCCCAACGTACGAAATTGCTTCTTGAACACGAAGTACTGGATCCATCACCAGTTGGTGGTCTCCATGTCCCTCTATGACTCTTAATGTTGACCTTTTATGTTGCTCATACTGTTGTCCACGCTGTCGTTGATTTGTTTTCGAAGGCGGATTGCTGTGTGTAGAAGATTTGAAACTTGTTATCTGTAATTTTAAGATGTAAACTTGTTCGTCGATCGAATATATTGCATTCTTTTATTTGACGAGCGCCAACCACTGACCAGGTGGAGGGTAGAGGAAAGCGCATGTCTTACAGCCGTTTGCATTATGTTGACATCGATGGTGGCTTTGTGAATGAGAAAACATGTGTTGGACTTACTATGCGGAGACGTGACATCAGTTCGATGCCGTCCTTGGCCAATGCTGCCTTTCGATTGAGGGCGAAAGTCCCCACCCCTTCCCTAAACATCTGGGATATATGTGCAGTCGTGTCGACCTCTGATATACTATGATAGACTGGATAACACACTCTTGAAGGAATGAGGTGTACACGCCCGCGAATTGGTGGAGCGAGGCTGTGTGACCTGACAGACGAAGCAAAAGATGATGTATCAAATATCAATTTTCGACAGTATCCCACACGGTAGTCGTATGTTCCGTTAAGCGACACGCCACGGCAGTACTACGAGTAAAGAGCATTCATTACACGCGACCTATCACATGGCCAAGATCGAGGCGTTATAAGAATTGGGTACACCCGGTTCCCAGATAATTAATCCTCACTTTCTTTGTCCCCATTTTCTCACAAAACTATGCTTTCCAGTCACAAATACCATTCAGAGGACGAGTCGCGACCGCTGGCAATCACAGCTGTCCGACCAAGACCGATACCGAATTCCTACTGGGCCACACCATTCTTGGTCGCATGCGAATATCCATGGACGCCCCAAGCTCCGTTTAAACCCAAGCTCGACGCTTTACTTGCAGCGGGCGTTCGAACATTCATCGACCTCACCGAGTCCGGCGAATTGAAGCCTTACACACATATACTCTGTGCGCGTGCAACGCTACTGGGAATTGACCCCACGACTATTGAGTACCATCGATTCCCCATACGTGATAGGTCTCTGCCCGATAGCGTGGAATACATGCATCGCGTGATGGACGTGTTAAGGGATAACGAGGAGCGGGGTAGGATCTGCGCGGTTCATTGTCGGGGTGGTATCGGGAGAACAGGGATGGTTATTGGGTGCTGGTTGGTACAGAGCGGTGTAGCAAGAGATGGTGAAGAGGCTTTGATGATTATTGCAGAGGAGTGGCGAACCGTTGAAAAATACATGCGGTATCCGCATAGTCCGGAGACCGGACCGCAGTTTGAATTCGTGAAGACGTTTCATCGGATGGAGAGTTGAAGTGAGTTCGCTTTTTGTGGGAATTCTGTCGAACTAAACCTTTACTGCAAGATAGACAATGGACTGCACGTAGAAGTTTAAGTCAACACGCATTATCCTCCACGAACGAAGTTCATCAGGATAAGGGCTGGCGACGGTGCGGTGCACGCTCCTGCGATTAAGATTGATGAGGTGGAAGCAGTGCGGGGGATAATCGATAATCGATGAGCGTTAGAGGCATGATTATCATTGGATGTGATGTCAATATATGATAGTCACTTAGGAGGTCATCATTGGCTTGCAGACATTTTTTGATAGTCGGTGAGGTTCGCAATGCTATTTTTTTATATAAATCTCTCCACGATAAAGGGCCGATGGTGAATCCAGAAGTTGATTGCGCATATGATCAACGTGCAGTGCGGTCTTGCATACTGGCGCTCTAACGGTCAGGCTCCTCTGTGGAAAATGACCGTATATACGATTGAGAGGCCGCGGCGAGCACATTGCGGGGAATGTCTGGAAATGGCTGAAGGTAGGAAAAGAGTGAGGAATGAAGACATTTGCCCTGTTATGTTCGCGGGAAGGTTTGTACGTGAGGGCGACGCGTTCTTCGACGCGTCAAGAATGCGACATTACTTGAGGACAGATCATAGTGACGTAGTGCCGAATCGCGGCGCTGGTCAAACTGGTCAATTCTGAATGACTCATCGTTGATCACTCATCAGCCAAAGTTCCATTCTGCTCACTATGGCTTCGAAATGTGGACCGTTTCTCCAGCCCAAATTGAGCTATTTCGAGCTCGGTATGTCGTTATTGTAGGGATCCATTAGGCTTCGCAAGGCTTGATTTCATTGGAACGATGGCAAGCATGACCTGTATGAGATTTAGTTCAGGAGCCCAGAAATACACACACATATGGAACCCAAAGAGATGCCTAGGTGGCATATGAAGCCATTGTACACATTCCAGATATCGCAAAAAGACATACAAGAGCGCAATGAAGCTTACCTCAGAGGTATTCAGATATCCTGCCGCTCAAATGAGACTTTTGAGGACGTATTGCTACTGAGGGTATCCAAACGAGGTGCATATATCTACCTCGCGCGGCAGTTTCAATCCGTAGCATCATATCTGCAGGTCTTCACATCGGCCCAGCAGTAGAAGACTGCCGGTAAGAGGCTACGACAGCAACTACGAAGCCATATCCCGCGACAATACAGGATGTAGAGCGACAACAAGGACGGCGAATAGGCTGGAACAACGGGGATAGTGGTGGTAGAAAGGAGAGGCATTAATCACGGTCACTGATGCACGTGGTCGGATCCGTCGACTTGATCAGACTTGTTAGTAAACCTACTTTCTTCCTTCCTGTAACTATTTCCTATCATTTCGATCAATTGGAACACGACCCTCGAAATTTCGGTCCCAAAAAAATGGGAATAATCAAGAAAAATTGACTTCTGTTCTCAGACTTTTTCGCTGTGACACGTGACGTTCAAATTGAATAACAAGTTGACAGTGAACAAATGTTGTACTACACCGACAGGGTCTGTGGATGTGTACGATGCCTAAAGGAAGTATTATACCTAACAATTAAGTATACTTTTACGCGAAATAAAATATTGATAAGGGAAAAGCGGGGCAAACAACATTTCCTGTCCAGACGCCTCACTCGGCTTGAAATCGGCACACCCAACTTGCCGCCGGTAAGCACAATGCCGGCTCGCGGCCATCAACTTATGTTAGGCTTTGTCATAACACTGTTGGACGGCAACCAACACCCCCTCCCTCCCCGCGGCGGCATTAAAGAATAGACTGTCACGAACGTCGGCACATAACCAGCTCGACGCAATTTAGCTACGGCGCTTGGGATTTTTAGACTCGAGTGTCCACTGGAGCATCAATCCAACAATCATTGAGTCGGCTTGGACTGGGTCAGGCTTCAGCTTGTAAATTGTAATGCAGGTGCTATAGTCGACGTCAAGAAGAAATCTCCAGAAATCTACAGCAGAATGATTGAAAAGGTACTTGAATTCCCATCGCCGTGATTGTATTTTTCCTGGACAGTGATAGTGTTCCCGTTTTTTTAGACTTCTGTCCACTTATAGTAGTTTTCGGTCGCATATTCGACCAACCCGATGATAAACTGCGGTCTGATTCTGGCGTGCTATCGCCTGCTGTGACCTGACAAGGATGGTCCGGTTGCAATACTGACTGCCAAATGACCCGGGTGCCTTTAGTCTGAGGACCATATGATGATTAACGTTCGTGATAGCCATGTGCTTCCGAAGGCGAGGTCCGGAGGCAATAATTTCGAGGACTCTTACAGCGACCAGCTGTCACTCCTAATTGAAACGGCGAGTGGTCCACATGGATAGCTCCACTCGTGTTCATGGTCTATTTTTTTCACAAGCCGGACGAAGTTTATTTAAAGGTTACAATAATGGACAGTAATAGTATCGCCCTCATTTCCTGCCTGCTATGCTCCTCATACTAGCGCTCTTTCCCATTCTTTTTCTATGCGCTCTCGCCTTACCATCCCAGCGTCGGGCTCCTTCCGGAAACAATACAGTCATCGTCCAGATGTTCGAATGGACTTGGGACAGCATAGCTTCTGAATGTACTGATTTCATTGGACCTTCTGGCTATGGTTTTGTTCAAGGAAAGCCTTGTGCATTTCCCATTACGCGATTTCATTCTAAAGCTGAGCAGTTAGCCCACCGGAGGAACACATTACCGGCACCCAGTGGTGGACGGATTACCAGCCAGTTACATATACTTTAATCTCAAAGCGCGGTGACAGGGATGAATTTGCAAAGTACGTTTCTTTTACTCGATTATACAGGCTATTGAAATTTTCGATAGCATGATAACGACGTGTCACGCCGCCGGTGTTAGAGTAATTGCTGGTATGATTGTTCTATTATATTTCTCTAATAGCATCATCACCGGATGCCTGCAGACACCATCTTCAATCATATGACCGGCATGGACTCGGGTACCGGAGTTGCGGGTGATACCTTTACCCACTATGTTCGTTAACCATGTATCGCCTAGGCATCGACCTCTAAAACTTTCAAATAGGTATATCCTGGCATATATCAATACCAGGTGGGTTCCCCTACTAACTCTATCGCGCTTGTTTTGTACACATTCTCTGATAGGATTTCCATCATTGTAATCTCACCAGCACCGGTGATATTGAAGATTACTCCAGTCGTGCGCAGGTCCAAACTTGCCAGCTGGAAGGCCTCGCGGAGTACATTTCACGTCTCCGTGTCTGTGCCCAACAAGCTAACGGTTTCCAGCCTTGCGACGGAAACGGAATATGTTCGTGGGCGTCTGGCTGAATATGCGAACGACCTCCTTTCTCTGGGAGTTGACGGACTGCGTTTAGATGCTGCGAAACGCGAGTATCTTCTTCGCTTAGTGACGGAAGGCGTCCTAACTAAATGATCCAGACATTGCTGCTGACGATATCGCCAACATCACAAGCCGCTTTTCATCGGCGCCTTACATTACTCAGGAAGTCATCTGGGGAGCTGGTGAGGCTGTCCAGCCATCGGAATATGTTGGGATTGGTGATGTCCAAGAGTATGATTTAGGCGAAGTTACTCTTAAAATTCGGTCTTAACGTTTCTATAGATTCCGCTACACTACTGCTCTCCAGAACGCCTTCGGGGGTGGCAGCATATCTGGACTAGAGGACCTGGATAGCCAAGGTTAGCACTCTCGCCACGATCTTGGCACATCGTGATATTTGATGATGGCATAGGATGGATATCTGGGTCGCAAGCCAATGTCTTCGTAGCGAATCACGATACTGAAAGGGTATGCCATGATACAGACGTTCATGAAGGCTGACTTGACGATCTTTTCACTGGCAGAACGGTAATTCTCTCAACGTCAATTCGGCTAACAACGCCTACGTGGTTTGTATTTACTCTTCTCTCAGGTCGGGTGCTCCACTTGCGTGGCTGATTCTCGCCCCAGATTGCTACAATATTCTCGCTTGCTCATCCATACGGAACGCCTACTATTCTTTCCAGTTATCAATATTCGACGACTGACGATGGCGCTCCTAATAATGGTACGCGGTTACACCTTTTATACCCTTGGAAATTCTAATTATCCTTTGCCAGGTGTGGGAACTTGTTCAGGTACAGGAGGAGCGAACGGGTGGTACTGCCAGCATCGCTGGATAGCCTTTACCGGCATGGTTGGGTTCCGGAATAATGTAGGCTCTGCGGCATTAACGGACTGGGTGTCACCCCAATCCTCTCAAATCGCATTTGGACGAGGTAACGTTCATATTCCACCTCGTATTGTGGTTGAAGTCTAATATCTACTCAAGGTTCCGCTGGCTTCGTAGCCATCAATAACGCTGCCTCCGACTGGACTTCGAGCTTCACGTCCTCGTTAGCCGACGGATCGTACTGCGATGTTATTAGTGGAACAAGCTCTGATGGCACTTGCACAGGTTCTGGGTATGTTCGTCCTCCTGCAGAGCCTTCCTGTCCATTGCCTCTGATATCCTTTGTTCGCCAAGTTTCACTGTATCTGGCGGCTCGTTCACCGCAACAGTTCCGGCTTACAGCGCAGTAGCCATCCATACAGGCGCAACAGGTACTTCAGATTCTGCCATATGGAACTTGGCTTGAATGATTTTCTAGGTACAGGCTCTGGATCTGGTAGCTCGTCCGGTTCTGTCGCAGTAACATTTGCTGAAACCGCTACTACAACCTTCGGCGAGGTGAGCGTTTCCTCGGAGGAGCGTTTTGTACTTATATCCCTGTAGAATATCTTCGTGGTGGGCAGTATATCACAACTAGGGGACTGGGCGCCTGCGTCCTCTGTAAGCGCTACCTATTCATTCTCTTGTTCCGCTGCTCATCCATATGTTCCTTATTAGATCGCTCTTTCAGCGAGTAATTACCCTGTATGGGAGGTTACTATTAGTATCCCTGCAGGTACGACCTTTGAGTACAAGTTTATAAGGAAAGAAACGGATGGTTCGGTGAGCACAACTGCAAGCATACCGGGAGTGCTGGATGCTGACCAGATTTCTAGGTGGTATGGGAATCGGACCCGAATCGTGAAGCTACGGTTGTATCTTCGGGTGCGACTCAGACTTTGACGACGACGTGGCGTTGAAAAGCAATGAAGTCTCCCCCAATCAGTTGTTGAATTAGTAAAAGGAACTATGTACTGACTGCCCTCAGTGTAATAATGAATCTTTACATTGAACCGCGGATCGACACGGCAGACAGACTGGAGGCCCTGGTCCTGATCACTGCTCAAGGGTCGGCAGCTACAGAGGATGATAGATACAGTTCCGGAGTATTCGCCATCGGCTATTGCCGCCGGCCCTAAAATGAAAAGTTTATTTCAATTTCCCTTGATCGATCTATGGATTCGACCACCACCACAGGTAGTATCGAACGTCCTCCATTCATCATATTTGGATATGGATCTCTTATCTTCAAGGTACCTTTATCTCCGTCGTTTTTAGCTGCCTACTAACAAACATAGCCTCCCCCACATACTATTGCGAAAGGCAGGCCTTTGTCGTGTAATTAGACTACACGTGCTGACCTGTACAAGTGCCTGGTTTCTTGAAAGGATATGTTCGTAGATTCGCGCAGAAATCGCATGATCATAGAGGAACGCCGGAGGTGATATATTCTGTCTTCTGCCAGTGCCGAATACTATTTACGCGATGTTATAGAATCCAGGACGCGTTGTCACCCTGGTACACATAGAGGATTGGGACAAGTTTTCGAATTCTGTTGGTTTCCGTTCTCATTCACCGTAACTTTCTGACATGGCTTCCGCTGTTTAGGATCCATTTCCTTACGAGGACATTGTTTGGGGTAGGGTTCGCAGGAATATACTCTTAGTCGCGCGTTTACCTATTGTGAAATACAGGAATTGCATATAAGATTGACCCAGCTTACGAGTCTGAAGTCAGAGACTACCTAGGTATAGTATCCGTTGTCGACAACTTTCTTTCACTTACCTGCGAACCCAGACTGTCGAGAAAAGGTCCCAACGCCGCTTTCCCTCATGTCCAACGATTAACCTTTCGTTCTAGGATGGATATACCATGGAAACCATCGATATACACGGTCTTGATCCTTCCGACGGTAGAACAGAGAAGGTGATAATACATGGCGTAAGTCCATTTCTTATGTCACCGCATCATCGTGGCTTATTTTCGTCAATACTAACACCAGGCATACGTAAGTTGTTGCATCTTTGCCCTTCTGACGCCATAGTGAGCATTGTCTTGATGATAGTGCTACGTCGGCCGAAATGATAACCCATCGTTTAGTAAGTGTCATCCGTTCGTTATCCTTGAATCGTTCTCTTACAAGCACTTGCAGTCGGAGCCGAGCCCCTGCCCATCCTTGCGGAAACGATTTGGAAATCTATCGGTCCCTCCGGACCTAACAAGGCAGGGTTTTAAATATTGACTTGAGCCATCGCAAATGCTTAACAGATCTGGCTTGCAGGACTACCTCTACAATTTAGCCTCGGCTGTACGAGAGCTCTCACCAGCTTCTCACGATTCACACCTCTTTGCTCTGGAGGTACAAGACTGAATTTTTACCTCCATGTATTTATTCTGAAACGCCTGTTGGCAGGAAATTGTTCGCTCTTTGGATGCACATGAGATTTAGAGACCCGGGATTTCATGGGACACGCGGTGGTACTCTATGGCCAAGACCCAGGTAACACCATTGAAGTGAGCTCCCTAATATGACTTTTGTGCTCTTTTGTCACTCTCGTTGGTTAGTTTCAACGCATTTGCCTGGAATTCGAAATGCAAAGTTATTTACAGACATATTATTCGGCACTCTGCGATTGAATCTAAGTGAATAAATGGTCACTCAGGTTGCCGGTTACCATTTTCCGTTCACCGAACACATAACAAGCTCTGCCACCATCAATCTTCGAACAATGGACTTGGGGTCGGCGGCGAGTTGCTAGCCTTATACAGACAACAGAGGGGGTTGTTTGTTCTGGTGGGCTTTCATAAATGCCACAGCGGTGGTGTCGCCTCTCCGTTTTCTTCATCCTATCCTCGGAATAATAGGCTTGAATATTTGCCTCCACTGCCTCTATTGATAACTCAGTCAACTTGCGAGCGAAGCTACTCCGTAACTGAGTAGGTGAAATTACCTTCTGTCATGTTCCGCGAAGGCTAAAGTCTCACTTCGTAGGTGATGGAGCAGGAGATCAGTCCACCTGGCGTAGAGTGTTTGATCGATCGTCTTTGCGACCACGTTCTTCTGGATATTTTCGAATTCCTCACCACGCTCACGTTCTACGATGCTACCTCGTTAATGACAATAACCTGGGTCAACCGTCGATGGCGCTACCTCGTCATAACTTCACCTTTGTTTTGGACACAGATAGACGTCGACGAACATTCATTTAGCTCATCTCGCTACGCCAGATCTCGCGCTATAGCCTTCCCAATCGTAACCTTATATCTCGAGCGCTCACAGTCCTGCCCTATTGACATCATGATTAACTTTGATGTGACGGGGGACATTACTGCTCCTCCAGAAGGCGATGAACATCTTCCTTTCACGTTTGATCACGTCGATCTGTTGGGCTTGACACTCGCCGAGAACGCACAGCGAATTAGGACATTACAGATGGTATGTCCGAGCTGGATGGTCCAGCAGTACCTTTTGCAGCATTTTAGGAGCGTGCCAATGCCGATGCTCCAGGGTTTCAACCTGGAATACCGCTTCCATATTTTGCAGTCGATTGTACAGAGTTATCATCGCAAGACTGCTCTGTTCCCTTGCGATACCCTGTCCTTATTTTCCCTGGGTAGCACAGACCCTTCGGATGACAAAGGTGCCTTGCGATGTTCCGGTTCTTCACTGTATCCCAACATCCGCGATGTCGAACTCCATGGCGCTCATTATAAGTGGGGACGATTCTGTGCGACCAACCTCTCTTCCTTGTCAATCGGCTATATCCCTTGGGACCATAGACCGACTCATAGAGAGCTACGGGATATTCTCTCAGGGAGCCCAACGTTGTGCTCCCTATCATTTTCCGGTGCTTTGCCTTCCACCGGAGCACGGGTGGATCTGAACCTCCCTCAGCTGAGCTCACTTGACCTTGGTTTCAGTGACCCAGTAGAGGTGTCCATTTTTGTCGTCGGCTTGGATGTTCCTTCGTTGAAGAAACTGGAGTTGCATTACACCACCCCGACTCTTCCGAGGGAGGCATTTCCTGCCGACAGTGAGGCTGTCTTGTACGCGAGGACGGCAGATGCATTTAATCACTTGATAGATTATTTACCCCTGCAACAGCTCCTCGGCCTCTCCGTCCGAAATGTCAGATTTTCTCGGGAGGAGTCTATTGTTGTGACTACTTCACAGGTTGACAGGGGGTTAGTTAAAGACCACGAACTCCCCGCCGTGTTACGCTTCGTCCAAAGGCTCAAAATTCTTTCCTCCCTCCATCTCGTCAACCCAGACCCAGGCCTCCTCTTATCGCTAGTTTTCCCTCAATTATCCTCGTGTCCCAAAAGCGCAGAGGACACTGGGTACAACCCTCTCGTCGCCCCTCGACTCAAGCGACTGTCCATAACAACAAAAGAGGAGAAAGGTCATCAGAGCATCATTCGCTGCCTGCAGCGCTGTCGCGACCTGTATACCGAGTCGGAGTCGGGGTCTGATAGATATATTGGACGACTGTTGGAATCCCAGACGTTGATTTTTCCAATCATGGCGGAGAAGGATGTGCTGGCTGTAGAACGGACGTCGTTTGCCTTGGCACCAGAAGACCGTTGCAATATAGAATATAAGGAATTCGCACACAGGAAACTGACGGCATTGATAGAGCTATCAGTACAGCAATGAAGGGATGTATACATATCATACTGTAATTTGAGATACAAATTAAACCTATCTGAAGCTAATGGAAAAAGTGGAAAAGATCTGGATGCTGGTTTAGATAAAATTTTAGGTTCTTCCGCTGCCCGTGTCTGTGGAGGGGACATCTTACTCGAGTTGTGGCTTTGACTTGCCCATGGGAACATTTTAATTTGCCCGTTGTCACTTCAAAACGGGGCGTCTTTCTTTGACGGCCGAGGAGTTTCCGGGGCTTCTTTTTCCAACATCTATGATCTGAGCAACGGCATCGGGTTCGAGCTTGTTACCCATCAACAATTTGAGAAGATCAAGTTCTCGTTGCACACTACCGACGTGAGTATTCTAATATTGTTAAAAAACATCAATATACACATCCGCTCTGCCTCTAGGTCCCGAATGTCTACTCCATTAAGACGTACAAACGTTTTCGCATCCTAGTGCCTCCTACTGGGGTGACCAGCATCATGTCGTATTCAAAGACTGCAACAACTCTGATTCTCCCATTGCCTTGCCAAATCCGGCTTACCTTCGCTTGCATGCCGCCATTGCAGGTATTCTCCATATGAGTAAGGCCGCCGGCGTCATGGATCACTTTGAGGAGAAGTACAGAGACGGTTCTGGCGGTTCTGGACTATTCGCCAAGTGGGACCACAAGTTCGGGAATTCGATCCAATTTCTTGAGAAGTACTACCACAATTTCTGCTCGCAGTTGAGCGCTTTTTCACTTTATTGCGTCCCCCTCTCTGGTATCATGTCAACTGCCAGGATCCTGACTGCCTGGAGGTAATATCAAAGTTGTTTCAAAGTTCGCACGCATAGGAAGGTAAAAGTGAGGCAAGTCAATTCACCAGCTAAGACGTCGTGCACCCTAAAAGTAGGCACCACGGCCCGAGAACCGCACTGGGCCCGATGTGGCTGTGCCTTGTATCTCTGCAGACCCGGTGCCAAATAAACCCTTCCCTGCCACTATCCACGACGTCGAAATATTCCAACGGCACGGCGACGCGTGGTGGCCTCGTTTAAGCTGCGCTACGGACATATTATATCCATGTAAGCTCTTAACCACCAATACGACGGGAAAATGGATCCTGAACACGGGTTTTTTCAGCATTATTTCACCAGTTACCGTCGCACCTTACCTCGGCGAATTGCTGCAACTTCTCTCGGGCTTTGGTCCCGCTCGGTCTCGTCGAAAAGCGCGAGAAACTCGGCCAGATCCTCCTGTGAATCTCTTCCTGCTCGTGGTCGGATCAACATGGAGCCTCCATCGACGCCTCCGACAAATGGACATACAAATGAGCCGCCACCCGTCGAGTCGACCGTTTCATTCGACCCGGAATTGTTTCGCACCTATCTTCTGGCCTTGCTGCCACCAGTGATTGGCGCGGCACCGGCAGAGCTCGATTCTCTGTTCGACGACGAGTTCAATGATCGCGTTGCACGATTTAGCTCGGAAGGGGGAGGGGTCATATATGTTGTGAAAGCAAAAGATGAGGTTGAGGGTGCGTGTTTCGCTTAAATGGTCTTCAATTTCTAACTTGTTTCGTAGAGGATGCCGTGCAGACATATAGCTACCAGTTAACTCCGCAGTTAACGTATCACCCTTCTCATGTCACGACACTGGCGTTGATTAAACGCGGACCAACACTCGACCCTATGGTACCTCTAGCTACGCAGCTTCATTTTTTGAACCTCTTCGGCGGTGACGAGACGCCGTACGAGAGTCTGCACGCAGTGGTCAGCTGTGGTGTCAAGCCATGGTTTGATGCGTTTGTCGGCTCTCGTGGTGGAGGAAAGGACAGTGGCGAGGGCAAGATGGGTGAGCTACTATTTCTTGGTTATCCCTTTCCCTTGTCTAACTCTTGCAGGTATACCCATGACCAAGAAGAAATTTGCTGAACTCGAACTTTCCCTTCTCCATCTCCAACAAAATGTAGAAATACCGGAAACGAACCTAACAATACATCCTGTCATACAACGCGCCGTCGAGCAGGCACAAGCTGCCGGGACACGACCCAACATCTCCCACATACCCGCCAAGATTCTCAATGACAGTGGATTCCTCAATACGCTACATGGACACGTCAATTCGTGGATCAAAGCAATACAAGCAGTGACGAAACTGTCGAGAGACGTTAGCTCGGGGACTGCGTCACAAGAAATCAATTTCTGGCTCAGTCTCGAGCGAGCGTTGGAGGGCATTGAAGCACAGCTACGGAGCGAGGAAGTGAACATGGTCATGGAGTGTCTACGGAATGCTAAACGGTTCCGCGCCACTGTCAGTTTTGTTGCTGATACAGGATTGAAGGATGCCACGGATCTAGGTAGGTTTTTTTCAGCACATGAGGACGTTGGCTGATGACATCGTTAGTGCACAAATACAATCAGCTGATGAAAGATTTTCCCCTCAACGAACTGCTCTCCGCCACTGACCTTGACAAAGTGCAAGAATCCCTTATCCTTATTTTCGGACACATTAACCGCAAACTCCGACTCTCCCCCTACCCTATCCGACGGGCCCTCCCCCTCGTCGAGGCCATCTCTCGAGATTTCAATGACCAACTACTCCGTATTCTCACCTCACACCGTCTACCCTACACACCTTACGAAACCTTTGACCGTCTGCTTGCGCAGACCATGAACATCTTCCGGACGTGGGACGATTTGATGAAAGAGTTCACAAATGTCGCGCGTGAAGTGACGAGGAAGCGCTCAGAGCGGTTTATACCAATTAAGGTGATACCCGCACATGCGAAGCTACAGGAGAGAACGAGGTATCTGAGGGACTGGCGGAAGCAGCATGAACAGCTGGCGGTTATGACGGGCCCGACCAAAGGCCTTGGTATGGGCATGGAGATAGGAGGGATGGATATGGAAGAAGAGGTCAAGGAAGCATACGAAGTCGTCAAGCGGATCGACGTGTTGGATGTTTCTGTTGGTTAGTTTCTTTTTTTGCTTTCCTTTCGACTTGTGATAATTTATGGTCGTCTGCAGAGGGCACTGAAATCTGGGTAGCTGCCGAGAACGCGTACAATGAGCGTGTTTCGAGGGTGGAGAACCAGATAATCGCGCGGCTGCGAGATCGACTGGGGACGGCGAGGAATGCTAATGAGATGTTCCGGGTGTTCTCAAAGTTCAACGCATTGTTCGTGCGACCGAAGGTTATTTTCTTTTTTGTTACAGGTTGGTGTCCGTGCTCACCCATGATGGATTAGATCCGTGGCGCCATTCAGGAATACCAGACCCAGTTGATAGATTCAGTGAAAGAAGATATCAAGCACCTGCACGATAAGGTAGGCTGTTCCATTTCCTCCTTTTGATCTTTACTCATCGTTCTGTTGCAGTTCAAAACCCAGTACCGCTATTCCGAAGCCTACCATATGTCCCAGATGCGCGATCTACCGCCTATCGCTGGTGCTATCATATGGGCGCGCCAAATCGAACGACAACTTCTCACCTATATGAAGCGAGTAGAAGATGTGCTCGGTAAAGGCTGGGAGCTCTATGCCGAAGGACAGAAACTACAGTCTGAAAGCAGTGCCTTCCGCAAGAAACTGGACACTCGACCTGTGTACGAGGCGTGGCTGCACGATATCGGCCGGCGAAATATGGGCGTTGATGGTCGGCTGTTTGAGATTGTACGGTTGCGCGGGGCAGGTGCAGGTGGAGCGGTCGCGTACCAACTGGCAGTCAACTTCGATCCTCAAATCATCACGCTCTTCAAAGAGGTACGGAACCTGCTGTGGTTAGGCTTCCAAGTCCAGCATTCGATAACGAATATGGCGAAAGATGCGAAGAGAGTGTACCCGCATGCCGTGAGCTTGATGGAGACTGTGAGGACGTACGGTCAGACGCTCGATTTGGTGGAGCGGAATGGGGGAATCGAGTGGTTGGTTGCGGAGTATCGGAATGAAGCACAGCGAATGATCAACAAGGGTAGGTTCCTTTCTCTTTGATTGGTGGCTCGTCCTGACAAATGTATTAGGGATGAACATTCGATGGGACTACTTTGTGAATCAGTACGACACCGGGCGGTATGTCACTGGCAGTGACGGACGCGACAATCGGCATATGCAGTTCGTTCGAGAGTTCGCTAGTGTCATTTCGGTACTGCAGGTTGGTACTTGCATGGATGGTGGCGATATAGTACTAATCCAATCCTACTCTGCAGGACAAGACAAACAATGTCATCGACTTGTACAAAGATATTCTGCACGCTGTTGAAGACCTGGGTACTTGCTCATATACCCACGAGGCATTCTCTGAGCTACTGGGCCGGATACAGGCTGCTGTGCGTGCTTCATATGTTACTCTTCCCTGTGCTCATACCGTTGTGCAGATTGACAGACTAAACTTGGAAGGCTATGCAAATTTGGACCACTGGGTCGCAGAGCTAGACAAGTCGATCGAGAAGATTCTTCTGCAGCGGTTAACACAGGTCATACACGTATGGTGTCAAGAATTCGACCGGACGGACGATGGTGATACACGGAGGGATGTTCTGCCCCTGCGAGATATCACCAACAAACGGCGGGGGGATAAGCGCATGAAGGAAGAGAAGGTATGATACTCTCATTTGAATGTGTGCGGCCGTCGTTGACCATATGCCCAGTTTTTGGAGGCCAACATGACTGTAAAGCCTCTTGTGCATGAAATACGGATACAAAACCAAGTTATTTTCTTGGACCCGCCGATAGAGCATGCGCGCGCTTCATGGATCCATCAGTTACATAAATGGCTAGGTGAGAGCGATTCTGTTCCCTTTGGATCTTGATTCTTATCTATTGTGCCTAGGTGTTGTCTGCCGACTGCAGCGAATACAAAGCTCTCGATATGAGATTGGTCTGCAAATGCAAGGAGGCGCTGTTTCAGAAACAACATATACGTCTCTGGTAGGCTGTTTCATTCCTCGGCTATGATTCGTGCACTAATGCTACCTTCCCACAGCTCACCCAGCTACATAAAGATACCCTAGAACGACCATTTACGCTTATCGAAGCCAAGGTTCAACAACTGAAAGATTACGTGGCAAAGTGGCTTCAATTCCAGTCGCTATGGGATCTCGAAGCTGAATACGTGTTCAACCGCCTGGGAGACTCATTAGCGCACTGGCAACAGCTCTTGACGGAGATCAAGAAGGCACGCTCTACGTTCGATACCTCCGATACCCAGAAGAGCTTCGGCGTATGTGTCATTGATTACGAACAGGTGCAGGCACGGGTGAACGCCAAGTATGATTCATGGCAGAAAGATATCCTCAGTCGCTTTGGAGTGAAGTTGGGCAATGCGATGAAGGAGATGCATGCGTCAATCCTGAAAGCAAGGAATGATTTGGAGCATCATTCGATAGAGGGACTCGTTGGCGGGGGTGGGGCAAGAAGGTTCTGATCCGTTCACTCATTTGTTTGTTTCCCGTTTTGCATCTGCATCGGTTTTCACTGTCTGATCATTATGTGGTTTTTTCTGTTTGCACACTCCTTCACTATATTTTGGATTCTAATGACCTATAATGCTATTTTCTTTATAAACTCCTCCTTTCTCCGCTGGCTTTTTAGGTTTGTCGGGATGGCGTTATTGCACGTGATATGCCGCAATCCATTAAGGTCGGCCTCCTATTTTTGTCCTATTTGGGCGTCTTTCTGGCACGTCACTCTCACCGCTACCGCCATTAGACATACGGCTGGATTTTCCAAGTTGTGAGCTTTCTTTCAATGGAACAAACTGAACTAATATGAATACAGGATTTTTTCCTGAATGTCTATCAACTCAATCAATCTACCTCAAGAAATCATTGACAGTATCGTCGACACCCTCTATAATGATAGAATCGCACTTCTGTCACTTAACGGCACTTCCAGGGGCTTCAGCCATAGAGCATGCTCGTATCTTTTTCGCACCGTCTCTCTCCGAAGTGACCTACTTCCAAAATTCGTCGAGCTGTGGTCCCATTCCCCGAGAATTCTCCCCTATATCCAGAACCTCCACGTGTCAGATTATACCCATGAAATGGACGAATCACTCCGTTTGCTACCGAACATACACAGCATCTCAGTTATAGATGGTTTCGCGACCTTTGTCGCTGTCATTTTTCCTGCAATCACATCGCTGACTCTCCGAAACGTCACCTTCTCCAGCCACCTCCAGTTTGACGGATTTCTTCGGAAACTCCCAAAGCTGAAGCATCTATCACTGACAGACATATCTCTTCCCCGATATTGCAGCCCTCCTCCAATAGTTGAGAAGTACGATTTTGTGCTCGAATCTCTGGAAATACGTTGCCGAGCGTCTATGAACGTCCTTCGGGTAACGGCTGAGCGAGACATGTGTCCTCTCCCGAGCTCTCATGATCTAGACAAATTGACGGTGTCTATCAGCCTTGTTGATTTTCTACCGCTTATCCTGAAAAGGCTTTCAGAAAATGGCGGTCGGGTCAATTCTTTGCACATAGGCCCAAGTATCGCGAAGGACTTCCAGACAGGTACTGTATGCTTTCACAATATCTCATCTATCGTACTAATCAGTATTATAAGGACCAGCAGATTGGTCGTTCGTGCCTTGCCACGATTCTCTTTCCCAGTTACAGCATATCTCCCTTACGGTGATAGACATCCCCGGTATGAACCCCATCCCAGCCTTGCACTGGCTCATCAATTTCCTCTCCCACGCACCCGTACCTCACAGCCTCTCTTCCCTCACTATCACCATCGCGTTCTCCAAAACAAGCAACGGGTTTTACCTGGTCTACAACCAAGGCTCCATCTGGAATGACGTGGCTGCTGCGCTGCCTGCCCTCTCGCGGTGGGATATCCGTCTGACCAATTGGGACGCCATGAAGGATCTGGAGTTCAATACCCTCTCCCCGGCTTCTGAGGCTATGAAGCAGCACATCGAGAAGAGGCTGAAGAGTTCGGATTCAAGTGGGATAACGAAGGTGTGGGTGGATTATTTCCCGGACGGATACGAACAGTTCACCGGCGGCAGTTCGTGATCTTTTTTTTCTGCTGTGGTGCGATTTGGCTAAAAACCTATTTTTAGAGTTCATTCAAGCGTCTAGGACGTCGAGTATTTTTGCATCGGTGCTCAATAGGAATATCATTCCTTTTCGATTCATATAAATTATCATAAAATATTTTTTCGACGCTAGTATTGTGTCCATGATATATGGCTATTATTACGAGGTGGTTGATTGGGATCTTACTTTATATAAACTTATTATTTAATTCGGATACCAGATATAGAGTATTCCAGTAGAACTGTGAATACATTGTTTGCGCGTCATAACAGAGCGGGTCTATGTAAGTCAGCTGGATGACAGAGGTAGTAAGAGAAGGAAGCAAAGATGCGACGAGTACATTGAATGAAGAGGCGCTCCTTTATATTCGCCTTCATGACGGGAATGTATCATACGTCATCGATGACGGACATTTTCTCATCCGGGACCAATATAGGTTTACAGATTTCCTGATGTGGTAAAGCCGACATTGCCTGCTTGTCAGCCATTAGACGCCTACGCACGCGTCGCATACTTCCAACTTCTGAAGCATGAAAGAATACATCCTGACTACTTACAATTACCCTTCTTAACTCTATATCTTTTAACTAAGGAAGGTTTTCAACATAACACTGCGCTGGGAGCACAGTGAAAACTATCGAGCTTTAGTCGCTACCGTATAACATGTCAACCATCTAAACAATTTAAACTTTGAAGAGGGTACGATACAGAATACTAACCTCATCTTCTACCACTTTGTAATATCCACGACGTCTTCAGCCTCTCCAAATAGACTCGTTTTCTTCACCTCGAACCTTCCGTCTTGTTCTTCTTCCTCTTCTACCTCCCGTGCATACACTTCCGGGAACTCTCTCTTCAAAAAGGCTAACACGTGTCTGTTAATCGCCTCAAATTCCAGGAGAAACCCGTCATGCCCGTCCGGCGAGGGAATAATGACCAGCTCCGCCTCGGGAATATGTGCGGCAATCTCACGCTGCTCCGTCGTGGTGAACAGACCATCCGTTTCCACCCCAATCACCAGCGCGCGTGGCGGCAAGGTAGAAAGTACTCGCGCGAGCGTCTCCCTTCCCCGCGACAAATCATGCGTATCCATCTTGCGCGTGATGTGAATGTAACAGTTCGCATCGAAACGCGCGGTGAACTTGTCCCCTTGATATCGCAAGTAACTTTGTGCCGAAAAGATATTCGGAGGTGGTGACGGGGCTCCATTACGTGAATTTCGATGGCCATCGTTGTGCGCTGATACCGGGTCAGGCGATTGTGGGCGTGAATCGTGTGTCAGCTGGTATTTCCTCCCGAAACGGCTCTCGAAGGAGTCTCTCGAACGATAGGTGAGCAAGGCTGCCATGCGTGCTGCTGCGAGTCCGGAAGCTGGCTGAGAGGCGTAATAGCCGTCATCGTAGTGCGGGTCGCTGTAGATAGATTGACGCTGGGCTTCCCCCCAGCTGATGCACCAGGCAGAGTGACGGGCAGAGGTGGCCAGAGGGATAACATGACGGATATAATTCGGAGGGGTGCACAAGGGCCATTCGAGCACGGCCATGCCCCCCATGGATCCACCAATGACTACAGCGACAGAGGTTACGCCTAGGTGGTCTAAGACATGTTTATGTAGCCTATACGCATATTAGCGGAATATTTCTTCAGAAAAAGGATAATACGCACCGAACATCGTCCCGTATAGTCGATGCAGGGAATTCCGGTCCGTACGGCTTCCCCGTCTTGGGATTGGTCGATATAGGCGAAACCGTGCCATAAGGAGATCCTATGACATTGGCGCATAAAATAAAGAATCGTTTCGGATCGAAAGCTTTTCCCGAACCCATTAAGGGTCCCCACCTGTAAATCAATTGGTCATTTCTCAATTTCGGCAATCGAGAACCTTACCAGTCTTCTACATCTGCACTCCCGGTGAATGCATGGCAAATAATCATAACATTATCTTTTGCCTCATTCAGGCTTCCCCAAGTCTTGTACGCCACGGGCACATCCTGCAGCTCTGTACCACATTCGAACGTGAACGATGGAACGATCAAGTAGGATTGTGAAATAAGATCGTCAAACCGAGTCATGCTACGGATCTGAGGTAACCGTTTCGAAAAGAACCAGTGCCGGAGTCAAGGTGATGAGCATAAGGAAGATCAGATATGGATTTCGCCACCAAACGAATTTTTTGCGCACATCATCGTGATTCATCGTCGCCCGAATAGGCAATGGCCCGTGCGCTGACTCTTGATTGGGAAATGGTCTGTGCACGATTTCCGGTCATATATAAACCGGGCTCCGACAATCAGGATTCTTTATCTCTTGTGCTAGGGTTTACTGTCACCAATGAGGTCTTTACCGAGGTACAGTTATTTTGCTGATTGCAAATTATACATCCGAACCCGTCTATTAGCTTCGGCTTTTAGCAATTTTTGGAACTCCCCTACTCACTTGACTTTCCGTGAAGATGTGACTCTGCATCTGAGGAAGACAAGTGTTAGTTACTGTAGTAGTAGTACTGTTGAAATTTGCAATGTTTTGTTCCAAATATTCCCTGTTGCGTCGATACATCAGCAAGATGCCTTTTGAATGTTCGCTGAATGGAAGGGTGGTTTAACGGTGGAGGAATTTCGTTCGCAGAGGGATTGTTATAAATGATTGCTAATTGAGATGGAGGAGCTTCGTGTCGAGGTGGCGCGTTATTTGACATGACAAACAACTCCGGCTCGAGTCTTTCACCTTTACCACCATGACTAGTGACCTCTCGTTATCTTCTTCCTCTGTGCCGTGCCGCCAAATGGCTTTACCTATTGCAGATCTAACCGTTCTCTTCACGCCATCGGCAGCATTGGCTATGGCGTCGACGTTGATACCGGGACTAATATCGGATTCTCACCAGCTGGTACTAGTCGGCGATGACCATGACGTAACTTCGAATCTAATACATGGGAGGGCCGCCAATGTTGCCTATGTACCTGCCTTTTTCGGTTTCGCTCCTGCATAAGGGCTCACTGTGCGACCTGCAGGGCTCATCTCTGGACGGACGAAAACAACGCGTCTTGTTCGTCATTGGAAACATATACCGCCGGCGGAGGGATATTTCAGACGGTTATGGACAGAGTATCGCTGAGTCTGCTGGAGAAGAATGTTTGGTGCCTTTTCACGGTCTTTGGTCATTCTTGTCGCTAACATGACTTCAGACGGCGCATATATCCGCTTGTCTTGCAATGAGAAGGCTGGCGACCATCTCGCTGCCCGAATCAAGATGCTTCTAGGCGAGTGCTACCTGGATTGGCTGGATTTATGTCGCCTAGCAAGCAAAAAGGCATCTGTATCGAGGAGGCTGGATGTATGCGCGCCCATTCTACGCCATGTATCTCTATACTTACGTCCCACAGCCTGCTCACTTCCGAAGCCTAACTGAACGGGGGTTGTCGCCGTAGCGCCAGGTGCGACCATACCTTTGACTTTGTATTCACTTTCTAAGAATTCGTTTAAGATCGCCGGCATTCAAATATACATGTTGCTCTAGGCGCAAAGGCGCCGAAGCTAGGCCGAGCCGGGAACTAGGAAGAGCTACGATTAGCTCCCTAGTTGTGAATGTCGACGTTGTCATGCTCCCGGAACGCGGGCGGGTCTATCAACAAGGCTGGCCGTAGTTGCGCTCAAATAAGTGCCGGTTGCTTTCCGGCGTCTGCTTAGAGTCGTCCGTCTTGGTCCGCCCATGAACTGAAGATGCCACGCGGATGGAGCGGTCCCAGAGTCAACGAAGAGCCATATTAGGCCAAATAAGCCGTGTGCAGTGAGTAAATATGTTGATGACTGTCCTGGCCGCCTTCTGAAGTTATGCCCTTTCAATTCTTCACAGAGGTCTGGCGTGTTCTAGTGGGAATGCTACATCGCACGTCGAGCATAAAACGTCCCGTATACCGATTGGCATGGGAGATTCGTCCTGCTTGCTCCGATTCTACATTGTGGCGCAATCACCGACCTGCCCTCAGTGGGCCGTTCCCGGCCCGCGGAGAGCAGCACCAATGACATGGATTTTCCCTAGTGCCCTACCAGACCTTACCCCAATGACTTCCACACGTGGATGATTCGGCGCGTTATTTACTGGAGGGCTTAAAGTACTCCGAGTCCTTTCCATACTTTCCCTCATAGAGGACTTCGCTTATTATAATCTGAAACCAGCCGGATTTATACACCCGCCGAGGTTTACGCGAGACATGCTTACAGCAACCGACACTTTCAGCATCTCGTCCTTTGCTACCTTGTCTGCGGGTTCTGCTGCGCGACGAAGTAGCATAAACGTGCAATGGATGTCTACCAATACGAGTCTGATACAGTTCACGGAGTGTTTGCCTGGATAAGCGGAGGCTTTGACGCTTCAATCTCATCAGCTTCGGCCGTAGCACAGGAAGCGAGTCTGTGATATCGGTCTTCCTCTCAGGCTCGAGCCCCTTCAACGACGGCGCAAATTACCTGGCTTCTCTGCGCCTCACAAATATCCGATTTTTAGTTGTTTTTGAGTACATGTGCCCGGAAACCCCACAGGTTGTCCCGATAAAAGAGGTGCTTCCCATCTGCAATCCTTCACTTGGCTGCGAATCGCAGCCATAGTACTTAATTTGGAAGCGTGTTCTGCGACATTTACACAACGACCAAAGAACAATGATGTAAACGTCGAAAGGTTCATTCTCACTCCTCGGCTCACTTTGGGAGTTCTTCACCTGTAGCTTCTTGTGTTTTTGGCATTTCATGAAAGCTCTACAAGCCCAAAGAGGTGCTTAAGCCATGCGAAGACATTGTTGTTACACGCATCTATTGCGCCTTTGTCGGAGGTTATGTGTATTTCTCAGGGACCACAGACAATTCCGATGTACCGAGAAAAAGTTGGAATGTTCTGTGTTTCTTTATGCGAGACTCTCCGTCACATTCGGGACACTAACTTAGAGGCGTCGATGAGTTGAGCTCCTCGACTCGATATCGTTCAATAGCGAAACTACCTTTGCCTTGAGCTGTAGCAATAATGACTCGCTGTCAATTGTATCCAGACAATTATATTGTGCGATACCGAAATGTTGTTGTAATAAAAGCCCTCGGATAAGAGCAGTATGCGTCTTGATAGCAAAATTTGCTATCGATACATGGGTATATCGGCATTCGGATCGAATAGCGGCAAATCGTTGAGGCCCCTATTTTCCCCATCAACTTCCTTTTGCAACCCCGCGTCACCGCCAAGACCTGGACCTCACTTATACTCTTCCCCATTCACCTCAAAAGCTCACGTTCATTTCTTTCAATCGCCATCTCATGAAACATCGGCCCCTTCTGCTGCTGCTGTTTAATCGACTTGTTCATGCTCTGCCCTACCTCAGCCAGGGGTCTGTACGGATACTAGGGAAACATGTACACGGCGTTGAGCCTGGCTCGCCAGAATTCTGGTGGAAGATTATCATAAGCTCAATACTCGTACTTTTGGGGGGCGTATTTGCCGGGTGAGCTCGCTCTAACCTCTCACTTCTTTGCTCCTCCTGATGCACCCCCCCAGCTTGACTCTAGGTCTAATGGGCCTTGACGAGCTGCACCTGCGCGTGCTGGCGACATCTTCAGAGAATCCTGCAGAGAAGCGAAATGCCAAAAAAGTGTTGTCGCTTATGCGAAAAGGAAGACACTGGGTGCTGGTGGTGCGTTTGACACCTTTCATCATTGTGTATGTCTGACATTGTGCAGGTACTCCTTCTGGGTAATGTTGTACGTCTACTCCCCATATTCCGCGTACCCTGGGCTAGAATTCCTCGTGTTCACAGATAGTCAACGAAAGTCTTCCCATTTTCCTCGACAGTGTCGTACGTGATACCCACAGTTTCGCGTCCCTTGGCTTGGCTAATGACCGTAGATCGGCGGAGGCGTAGCCGCGGTAGCGCTTTCAACAACGGCCATCGGTAAGTCGTCATCCCACATCGCGTAACACTACCTGACGCTTCGTTAAAGTGATTTTTGGGTACGCGTCTTATAGGACCTTGACCGGGATCTTTTGCTAATATGCGCGTTTCATCCGATTTTAGAGAGTACGCCGTCATTCCTAACATTATCATGTCTGCCCTCCATTTATACACGCCACAGAATAATTCCACAATCACTGAGCGTACGCTATGGTCTTGCAATCGGGGCAGCGTGCACCCCGTTTGTCTTGTTGTTGATGTACATCTTCGGTAGGTGATTATGCGCTACCTAGCTCACTCCTCGGCTCACAACCCTTCGTAGCCCCTGTAGCTTGGCCCATAGCAAAACTCCTCGACCTCGTCCTTGGCGCGAACGAGACTCACACCTACAAAAAGGCCGAGCTTAAGTCGTTCTTACAGTTCCACCGCACGGGGGAAGAACCTCTGAGAGAAGACGAGATATCGATTCTCAATGGTGTTCTGGAGCTCAATTCGAAGAATGTCGAGACCATTATGACGCCAATGCAGGTGTGTACGGTCGCTCCCACCCGAAGGCTTGAATGTGCACTCATAGTGATATAACAGGACGTGGTCACACTGAGTAGGGATACGATACTTGACCACAAGATGATCGATACAATGTGAGTTCCATGTTGGGCTTTGTATTTCAGCCGCTGATGACTATCCCAGATTAACGAGCGGATACTCGCGGTTTCCGATACATGAACCAAGCAATCCGTTGGCCTTCACGGGTCTGCTGTTGGTCAAGAAGGTCAGTTGCACCGCTCGTACAGTTAGCTATACTCTGATATCTTTCTAGCTTCTTACCTACGACCCCGCAAAGGAGCTTCCAGTGTCAAGTTTTCCTCTATCTATCCTTCCCGAAGCGTACCCTTCGATCAACTGTTTTCAAGCATTGGATTACTTGTATGTGTTTGGGGCTTGATACAACGCAAAAACTAATTTTTCGATTCACAGTCAAACTGGCCGTGCACATCTAATTCTCATATCCCGCACCCCCGGTATCGCAGGTGGAGCCATCGGGGTGATTACGCTCGAAGGTATGCGTGCCTTCCGTACCTTATAAAAACCGACTATGTGACGAATCATCTCTAGATATAATTGAGGAAATCATATCAGAGGAAATTGTCGATGAGACAGACCGCTACGATGATAACGTGCACAAGAGAAGGCAAAGCGGATGACGACAGCCGCTATCATGAGGGGGTAATGGCTTTCTATTCTTTCCAGTGACTTTCAATACTCACTGCCTTTGTTATAGGATTGTCGAGCGTGAACGGGGAAGGGTCTCGGCAGTTGGCACACCCACTGAGCGAACGCCGCTGCTTGGACGCGATCGGAGTGTTGTGATAGACGTGGACTATGGAATTGGAGCAATCAGTGAATCTCCGAGAGGGGAATAACATTACGTGAATCAGGGTGATTAGTGGCGTGCGTTGTAGAGGGACACCTTTTTGCTTTTCATATTTCTTGTATCAACTTATTCCTCGGTTTCTGTAACTGCAGACCCTATATTTTATATTCTGGAATGGGGCGCATCGTTGAATAAGACGTTCGTGAGATACATTCAATTTGTGTTGGAAAATTTGACATTATAGCAGAAGCAGTAACACTTCAGAATCAAAGAGCGTGGTCCATAAAGCGAAACCGCACACCGAACAGCTTGAACAACGGCTGGCTGACATCGTTGAGATGACACTTAGCAGGAACTTCCAGAACTGTCGAACATTGGTACAAGAATACAGCTGACAGTACTGCACGCCCATTAATAATCTTCTGATTTTTTGGAAGGCGCCACAGATTTCACTTGAAACTGCCATGACAGAGATTCCCACCAGGCGTGCACCCCTCTCAAGTATTTGCAGAATTTCAATCGCGTCTCATCCTCAAGCATATTGTCGTATTAACACTCCTACCTAGTAAGTCATTCAACATTACGGGACCCGGCGGATTTGCTTGGCGTTGCCAAATTTTTTCTTATCTAAACTATAAACTTACGGATGTGAATGGAATACTTTTATCCACGTCTTGAACTTCCTTAGCACCGACTAGTCGTGAGCTGAGTGATGCCATCACTTTCACATATGCCGGTGCGTTCTGGTGCTTGTAGATATGGAATAATACGTACAACTGTTCCGAAATTGGGCAGCTGTCATTGACCAAAATATAGGGCTTACATTGGAGATCGCTGTAACGATATGAACATCGAGCATAATAAATGTTCTACTTGAAAAAGAGGAAATAGAGGCAACGAATGAGCAATATCCCGACACCTATCTGCAATAGCCTCGCATACACTGGAATTTCCTGCTCTTCATCCTCCTCTTCATTGTACGCGCCAAAGGATTGCATGCCTGAGAAGACTGAATCACGGGGAACATATCCACCGTAATTAATGCTTTGATAATGAGAAGCAAAGGAATCTGTTGGAAGGTGCTCAGATTTATGGAAGTAACCAGAGCTCAATGAACTCACCGCGAGCTATGCCCGTATTATTACCGAAACCCAAACTTCTTACGAACCAACGTGCAATGATAATCGGAAGGCGAATCAACATGTAACAGGCCTCGAATGGCCATGTAAGGGCCACTGGTTTCGAGAGCAGGAACACGCAAGTGCCGATATAGATATAGGGATGACCCATCGCTATTATCTGATATTAGCGCCGTTTGGTCAAAAGGTAAACCGACTTGAACTTCTTACCCAGCTGGTCATTTAGAATGAGAGCATTCTTGAGAATCGCTAGGACACCATTCCCGTCAGGGATTTGGATGCAAACTGTGGAGACTTTGTGAAAAACGGCCATCGATAGTGGTGGTTGTTATGCAAGCCTGATCAGTCCGTGCAGGCGCCTATCAAACGAGTCACGCTTCAAAAACAGCTTCTGACGTACTTTACATTTTACTCAGCACGTGTCAGTGCAACCAGCCTTTGATGGACTTAGTACGCAAACTCTGTCTGAGCGTGGCTCTCTTGAACATTTAATGGAGCGAGCGCCGTCCCATCCTGCGGGAAGTGTCGTTTAGGAGCGCGGGAAACTCATTGGCCGTCAAAGCTGCAATAGAAACACCCCGCCTTCAAGTGACAATGCACAAAATGCATCCGAGACTAAGTCAGAACTGTCAAGTAAGGAGCTCTCTCCATCGATGCGCCGAGCGGAAAGAGCCTATAAGCTCTCTTGACCAGGCACTGACATATCCCTCCCTCAGTAGGTGATCGTTGGTCTGCCTAGGAGAGGCTAGCATTGATAGGTATTATTTGTACCTCTGATGGCAATATGACAGAGTGTACGTCCCTTCATGGCTGTGTAGTGATGGCTCCGCCATTGCCATCAATTTTCTGGCACCAAGGCAAATGACGTTCGTTCAGCAGTCAGCACATCCTTCTTCACCAAGATTGGCGAAAATCAACATCTAGGATTCCATCAGCCGCCCGACATACCTATCAGACTCCGACCCCGACTCGGTATACAGGTCACGACGGTGCTGCAGGCGGCTAATGGCGCTCTAATGACCTTTCTCCTCTTTTATCGTTATAGACAGTCGTTTAAGTCAAAGAACAACGAAAGGGTTGTACGAATTCAAAGACAGCGTTGGCTGCCAGAAAGTTAATGGCAGTACAAATCGAGGTGTTGGTCAACGCGCGCGCGCGAACAAGTGCACGTGAGGGTGCTAAGCCAGCGGCAGATTAACTGCCGGCAATCTCCGAAACAACCCCCTCCTATAATTCGCTTACATCACTCTCCCATTTGGCAGAGATTTCATTCTCCGCTTTTGGGCGCTTGCAACTTTCACAGGAACTGTTCGACGCGAGCGCGCCGGCGCCTCTTTTCTTCTTTTGCAGGCGCATCGCGCGATGCACCAGGAACTAACGCACATGGACCGTATAACGCAACTGCAAGATGAAATCCAACAGGTGCATGCTGCTCTTCCTTCCCTGTAATCCAGCCTGACTGACTGTTGGCAAGCTCCTTACCATCATGTCGAACAGCATCGCCTACCTCACTACGCGCGCCAATTTTCTGCAAGTCAGCACGCTGGTTCCCGTCACGAAATCGAGAAACCCGGAAAAGTATGATCCTGAGGACGTATTTGAGGGTGCGTACTGCCTGTACGACCTCCTGTGTTCGTGCTGACGATACCATGTTTTATAGCGAACAAGAAAGAATTGGTGACGGACCTGATGGCCAAGGCGAAACAAGTGGAATATCTTATACAATCCCTGCCGCAACCAGAGGAGGAAGAGGAGCAGGTACGCGGTGCTGCGATGTCACTTTTCCTTACTCACGTCGTCTAGGCCAAGCGGCTACAACAGCTCGAGGAAGAAATGACCGTGGCAAATACAGAATACATTGCGGCGTTAAAGAGGACCAGTGCGTGTCCTATCCATTGCCCATTGCCGACATCCTTCACTGACGATGTACTGGTCCATAGAGAACCTTCACGCTCAAGTGGCAGACCTTCTAAGGACAATGCTTTCCGAGCACGACATCGACGCAGGATGAATTAGGCGGGCATTTCGTCGCTGAGACTCCCGTTTCATAGGGATCATTATCATCACGAGAGCGGAACCTGCAAAAGCGAGCTGAGATCGCTTAGGTGGTGAGATGACGGCACTTGTTGCTCTGCGGTAGCGTCGTGTCGTTCCTGCAATGTCTGTACTCTGGTCTCACTATATCTGTTTGGACCGCCATATAGCGCTGAATTCGGCCTTCACATCACGGCAAATCAACAGCAACAGAAATAGTACAATTGAGTGTTGACAGTGAGATTGCTGCTCAACAGGGTTAAGCGCCGATCAACAAACAGCTTTACTAAATCCTCAGTGTTAGATGATTGATCCCGACGTCGACTGAAAGATCTTCTGTCAACGGGTGGCGTGTATTTCTATGGCAGTTTTGTTTTTCGCCTCACATCCTTGTCTGGTGTGGGCCAACGTGCCCGTCGACAGTTATAAAATCAGCATATAATTTGGCTCTGATGGCGCGCTTCCAATAGCACTCGGGACTTGTCCGCTGTTTCAAACGGCGGTGAATTTAGTTACCTACCTTTACCGCGCTTCGGAAGAAATCGGTATCGAACCCGCCATGAAAACATCTTACGAACTTCGTTGTCTTGCCAATTAGCGGGATAGGTTTACATCCATTTGTATACGACTGTTTGCATATAGCTCGCGTTTCTTTTACAGGAAGAGAGAGAGATCAATATATTGTTGTGAAAGGGGTTCATGAGGGGTATTCCGGAATCTCAGAATGCCTTCAACGCCTTGCAAGTCCCGAAACCTCGGCATATGATCATGTTTCTCATTTACAGAACCCACCACAGCATGTAAACAGCTGTAAAAGTCTGTTTTTGTGGACTAGAGTACGAGAAGCATTGAATGACATCCATAACCTTCCTTAGTTCCTATGCAGGTTATGCGGACGGCTGCCGAAGTGCCGATGCTAGGCCTCAACCCGATCCGCTCCGATCCATCCCCAAGGTGGTTGAGTGTGCGCGTCATAACCCATAACCGATCGTCCAATGATCACTTAAGACTAACCAATCCTATCGAATCTTGTGAATGTCCTTCGATCGAGAAGCAAGTACGAAATTCCCAAGTATTTGTTATATCTTTATCTTTAATAATACAAAATTTCGCTGAGGGCACGCTTTGACCTGTCAGGCTTTCTTTCTTCCTCCCACTACGCTTCTGTAGCGGTTCAAGTTCAAGTTTCTCAGAACACATCAGTGCAAGTACTTCCCTTCATCATTAGACACTGTTCGCGCGTCCGGAACGCCTCTGAGGAGCGGCCAAGTTCCAACGTCATCAGATATTACGAATTGGGTATAATACTGACCTATGTAAGCACGAGCGGACTCCACCAAACAACTTCCTCTTGTTGACTCGGTCTGCCAGGAAGTATCGCGTAGCTTTCGGGAAGCGCTTTCGATTTGCGGCATACCTGACATGAAGCACCGCGGCTGTCAAATCACATGCGTAAGAACGGCTGAATTCATAGTAAGGTTGTCGGAACTCACGTATTCCTCTGACTACAAGTCACGATGTTGCTTGCAAGCGCACGGCGGCCTTAGCTTGTAGCAAACGGGATGCTGATCAGCGTCGTATAGTTCCCCCGAACTTCATGGTTCTCCCGACCGACGGGTTCCTGATATTCTGATGCGTTTACGAGGTCTAGGTTGTCGGCGCGCCGCGGCATTTTATCGCCTTGCGATGGCCGTCGCCGCAGACATTGCATGGCAACATTCGGGCGTACGACGCACAGCTTTGCACCGTCACCAACCTTGAATGACTCATTTATAAGTTCAACGCGTTTATATGATTACAAGGGAGAGCGTACATAACCACGGCGCCGTCCGCTGCAATTATATCACAGGCCGAGATTCAGTTTCGCTTGAGTATTATCCAGTAATACTTGCGCCACATTCGAGGAAGAAGAATCACCTGCTGCGGAATAATTTAGAGGGCGTGAGTAGTGCTCAAATTGGCAGAATGGACCATACGTAAGTAGTAGCTTGGCAACGAACTTGATTGCTCGTGGAAGTATTGGTCCCGGGTCAGGGACCGTGAAGAGTCGGAGGTAAGCCCTCTGGACCTGATTTTCGTCAGGTTGTTCCGATAAACGGAAGAATGCTAGGATCGGCACGCCAATTTGGGTTGGGGTTGAGAGGCGGAAGTTGGGGAGAGCATTGTTTGTAGGTTAAAACATAGTAATCTGGCAGCGGAGCGATCAGTACGCTCTGTTTGATGGTAGAGGTAAAGTGAACTATTTCTTACCACCGCAAACATCGCCAGTATGAAACGACAGTCAACAATCACAGGTACGGGGCCTGAAACGCTTGAGCTAGATGAGCTACTTGGAGCAATGAAGATTTGGCTGCGCCACACTTGTAGATTTGAGAATCACATGCCTATGGTGATGGAAAGCTGGCAGTGGCAGGGACGGGTTTAGCAAGCGAGATGTAGCACCGTGACTTATTTCGGGACGTGCCATGGCAATACAGGCACTGTTAAGCGACGCTCGAGTCCCATACATCTTCACGTGCACCTTAGTGGAAACAGGACTTCGTACATTGAACTATACTTATACCGCCAGAAGACCACGATCTAGCACAGGCTGATCTCAATCTCGATGGAACCTAGAACGGTAATCGAGAGGCATCATTGTATTCGAAGAAAGGAATGATATTTGAACGCCTATGCAAATAAATTCCCTGACCAAGGTAAGCCTTGCGATACAAATAAAAGCAAAGAAAATACCTAAAATGTCATTGAGGGAAGACCCAAGCGTCGGTTGGCTGCTTGGACAATGGTGTGATACTCAAGTCGAGGTACCTTTCCGAGGTCAAGACCGACCGAGAGGTACAGGACTTTTCAGGGTTGCTATCCGAATCGCAGAAATGAAGGATTATACTAGTCAGCTAAGCAGGACCCGAATCGCAGACAGTCCCTCATGATATTAAGGGTCCGGAGAGTCGGAGCGAAAACATGAAGTGATGAGCGTGGCGAAACGACGAAAAGGGATATAGAGTTTGGTAATCCCGATAGCCTTGAGGGGGGGCAGAGGCCCTTGAATTGAAACTCCGCCAGTTGACTAAAATCCACGGGTATGTTTTCCGAGGTGATCCACAGAGCATTTCGTTGTGCTCGCAATCCCGTTTTGTCTTTTGGCTCCATTTCCATCTTAGAATCCCGACAGCGCAATGGCTTGTTCTCGTTCCAACAACCAAAAATACGCCAAATATATATATTCCCCTTGTTTGGACGCCCAATCTAAATCTACACTGGGTGTCGGCTAAGTTGTCATCTCGCGTATCATGGAATTGGTTCTCGATGGTTTCCCCCGAAGGTGATGTCCTTGGATCCACGGACATATAACTATGGCTGCGTCCGCTTGAGACTGCGTTGGCTCACTCACTTCCCCTCGGATTCACCGCAATGACCCTGGCCCTACCTCTCAGCGACCTCTCCCGTAACCAAGTGTTACTCAAAGTATCCCTTCCGGATGGCACTGTCGTTTTCGATATGAAGCCCTGCGAGTCCGGGCTTGGAACGCCTTTGCTACCCTCTGATTTAGAACTGCACTTCAGTACTACCAAGGGCGAAAACGGACTGGAGCTCACGATGTGGGCTTCAAGTCGCGCTTCCGTCGCAACGACTTCGCAGAACATCGGTTCCACCTGGGATTGGCAAGAGGACTTCAAAGAGGGTGTGTATCTCTTCGTTGTTGGACATGAAGCAGGACTGACGCGATACAACAGAGTCGCTCATGGAGCAGCCTCCTCCCAGTGCAACTATATCTCCCCTTGAGACATCATTCAGGGCTTGCACAGACACGCTCCTCAATGCCAGTTCGAGTTTTCTTGATCCAGTACAACTACCTACGCCGCCAGGCGAGACGTCATGCATCCCAATGAACCAGCAGGAATGCCAGATGCCAGACGCGTTCTCGCCGATGGATATATTTTCGTTGAATGGAATGATCTGGTCAGACTTCAGCCCAGGTTTGTCATTTCAACTGATACCCCTGCGGTACGTCCCTGACGTAAAGATCGTTATAAACAGTGTTCCCAGATACATCAGAGCCTTTACCAGAGTTCCCCCTTCCCACATCGACTTCATATCTTCCTCCTTCTCCAGGCTCTGACGTTACTTCAACGTCAACGCATTCTTCTTATCTTCCTCTTGCATCACCAGCAGTTTCGTCTACACCATCAACGTTTCCTTCTCCCAAGGAAGAAACACGAGCACCCCAGCTCGGTTCTCCTCCCACTCCCGCCACCGCCCCAGCGCCTACCGAAGGCAACGCACTACGCCCCCATCCATGTCTCTTCCCAGAATGTGGACGCTGGTTCACCCGAAGCTACACTCGTAACGTACACATGCTAACCCATCGTCGGTCTAACGATCCCAAGCCGTTCGTCTGTACTATTCCCGGATGCTCCGAGGGCTTCTCACGGAAGCACGACCGATTGAGGCACGAGGTACGGCAGCACGGACGTGGGAGTAACTGGCGATGTCCATTATGTCCCCTCAGCAAGTTTTATTCGTCGCAGAGCACGCTTGAGCGGCATCTCAGCGAGAAGCACAGTGAAGGGGGGTAGTGCATAGCTTACAATCTACTCTCTATGATAGGGTACAACAACAACAAAGGAACGAACTCTCTTGTATTCGATTCCAGACCCCCCTATTTACCCCGGGCCCGTCGCTGGTCATTGGGGACTTGGGTAGAAAAGTAGCCTACCCCACATTCATACTATCTCCGCGGGCGTAACAAGTAGCTGTATTTTTTTCACATGCACTGTATATTATCATATGATCTTTATTACAATCCACGTTGCATTTCTCTCGAAACAAGCTCTTAGTTCGATTCTTGTACGCGGGGCGCTTGATTGGTCCCCGGTAAGAATGTGATTGGCTGGACCACGGTCTATACGCCTTCAGCGCTAGGCTGAATCGGCATGAAGTCCCGAACACGGAGACAACGATTTCCCGGGTTAATGTTTAAGCTCTGAAATCATACGCGCTCCCATAAGTGTCTACAATTTTCTCCCGGCGCTTGAGTCCCGCATCGGTGAGATGGAAAACATTGCTAAGAGGATGCTATGCTTATTTGTTGCGAATGGACGGAGACTCGCTCTGGGTCCGGTGGTTTTATCGCGTACGCATCAAACCAAATGAGAGGAAACCTTGTTTTTTTTCTCTCTCCTTAAGATGGATAGAGAAATCAAGCTAGGCTCGATAGTATTTACATATCACGAACGGTGGTGTTTGCCGGATGAGGCTCGGGCTCGGATTATCCTACTTGCGACTTTCTCATACATTGTAAGCGAAGATGACCTACTCTTGCTGCCCTGTGCGTTGGTTATTTTCCGGTACCGGAAAACCAGAAAGATTTGCTCGCAGATATTATGGAGAGCCGGAAATACTGAGAACAATAAGCTTGCAGCTCAGAAGTAACGATTACTGGCCTTCTCCAAAGAAACATGTGCGAAAGAGCAGAGCTGATGAGCAAATCGTGGTACAGACCTCGCTTACCACAAAGGACTTCACTCTTGAAGGTGGGGCATTATCCTTAAGCATCCTATGAGAGTAATATTAAGGATCCAATGGATGTTTGTATGTTTGAGTGTTTGAGAGAAGGCATCTTACCGCGATAAATGTCTAATGGATAGCCATCTGGATATCAATATTTAGCAGAAAAAGCAGTAAATGTATAAATAAAGACATCTTTCACACACAGAGTGAAAGTGTAGTCAAACTTAGCATAAGACTGGATCCTGATTGTAAAGTAAGCATTTATTTGAGCACCAGAAAAGAATTGAGGCTTACGGACGCCTGGGATAAAGAACAATAGAGAATATTGTATGCTTTTAATGTCACTCTCATCAGGAGAAAATAAAATTGTGCGTATATCACGAAAAGATTCACAAAACACGCCAGCGACCCAACGAAAATCACCGGGCTGAAGGACCGAAACAAAGCGCAGTCACATGATGCCGCCCAGCACTTAAAAGGATACTAGTCGGTAGTCGGGATAATGTAATCTTCTTGGCTTGAGATTCCGAATTGGAAATTCCCTCATCAAAAAAGTTCTTCTGGGCCGCCATGATGTCCTTCGAATTCGTAACATCATCCATATCATTTCAGCCGGTTGTGGCTCTGACAAAGGCAAGGACTCGAGACAGTATCTGTACTGCTGACCTGTTCGTTTTTCTCGTAAGGCTGCCACGTTACATACTTTCTTCTATACGCGTGCACATACGTCTGCTGCCCATTCCATAAAGAATCTCGTAAACGATAAGACCCACGCACATACATCCTTGAATATCCAAGCACGCATTGCAAAATCCTGGGAATCTTTACTCCAGGAGCCGACAGCGAATGTTGAACGTAAGTGTCGTTCGCCGTGTATTGAATGATTCTGAAGCGATTGACGCACACATTTAAATATCTTGTCAGGATAGTCCATCAGCCGAATCTGTTTTTCTTCTCGCGGCAGTAGCTCAGTCCCACGGTGACGCCGCTCTTCACACATTTCCGGCACGAGGTCTTGGCGAGAAGTAGGATGAATTGAAATGCATCCATCTTTTATCGATAGAATAACGTCTGATAGCAACTTTTAACAGTGCTGAATCCTCCCGCGACGATGTCCTCTTGTCCCTGTCGGCGGTATCATTCAATCCGGCGTCTAAAAGCAGCGACACTGGACTCGACAACCAATCATCTGGGCAATTTTGTCCTCGGAAGACAGTGCTCGACAGCTAATCATTCCGTAAATAGTAACACAACTGCGTCATTCTCTCTCCGAGTCGGAGGAATCGTCACAATTGTGCCACATAAGGCGACAAGCGCTACCCGGCTCTTCCGCTTTCGATTACAAAGTCCTTCTCAAAGGGAAGGATTGGAGTTCTTGAGGGTAGCAAGCATCATGTGTCGTCATCTCTCCGAGTCGGAACCATTAGCGCTGGCATAATGATTGTTTGTTGACTTTTCCTGAAGAAGCTCCTATGTTCACACACGTATGTCGCCTCCGTTTCTTGTACAGTGTGCTTACCATTAAAATAGGGACGCCTAGCAAGATCCCTTCGCCCCGGGCGGTGTTACAAGGGCTATCTTTCGGCCCCTCCTTGGAAACTAAATTAATTTTGCCCAGACTGAAGCGTAGTGACGGGTAGCTGACCCTACTTCCGAGTCGGAATTCGTCGCCACGCGAGCAAATGTAACGTTTAAATAGTCAGATGGCCCTTTGTTAGATTGCCAATTATGTCCATCATCATCCTCCTACTTGCCCTATGTGCCTCCGTGCTAGTCTACTACACGACAGTAGTATCGCGGAAGCGCAACAGACTTCCACTACCCCCTGGTCCTGAAGGAAATTGGGATTTTGGGAGATCGACTTCCTCTTTTGCGTAGGTTGGTATTCTCAGAAGAGAATAAGAGGCTAATCAGCATCCTTTTAGGTCATTTCAGGAATTAGAAACGTTGTTTCAAGAACATGGCCCCGTCGTCACACTGAAGTCGGGATCGCAGACGGTTGTTGTCATTGGCCGACAACAAGCAGCGATTGATATCATGGAGAAAGAAGGTGCATCACTCGCTGACCGTCCACAGTGGGTAGCAGCGAGTGAAATGGTCTCCGGAGGCATGAGGATCCTGCTTCTGAATTCTGGCAAGAGGTTCAGAAAGCTTCGGAGGTTAGTTTCTAATCGGATTTAGAACACGTTTTACTGACTCTTCTTTCTTTCACTTTAGAGCACTGCATAGACATCTGCAGATGAAAGCAGTGGTCGATTACGAGCCACTCCAGATGCGCTACGCAAAGAATGTCATCTTGGACCTTATGGAGGATCCAGATAACCATGCGTGCCATGCCAGACGGTAAGCGGAAATTTTGAACTCGTGTTTATGATGACCCAACAATTTCCATTTGTCCGCCGTAGGTACGCTGGATCACTCATTTTAGCCTTGACATACGGAAGGACGGCTCCCGGTCGGTCTGATGATCCGGAGATCGTCGCTGTAGCGCGCAGCCTGCAGAGGGTCGGACTCGCGGTTCGGCCGGGTGAGTACAAAGTGGACGAATATCCATTTTTGAGGTCAGTATGGTTACACCGAGTCGGATAATTGTGGGAGATTGAACTCGTCAATAGGTACTTGCCTTTCTATGGCAAGGAGCTCAGGACATGGCACGCGGAAGAACTAGCGCTGTTTAGAAGCCAAATGGATACCGTTGTGAACAACATAGTGATTTTTCCCTCCTACGTTCAGTGCCCTAGATCCGTCTCTGACCAAATTTTCAGGATACCGTCCAGCCGTGCTTCGCCAAATACCTTATCGAGCACCAAGCAGAGCTCGAGTTGAAGCACGACGAGTTAGTCTACCTCGCAGGTACTATGTTTGGTGCCGGGTCTGCTACCACAGCAAACGCGATTAGCCTGGTAATCATGGCTGCGGCGTGTTTCCCTGGCGCCCAACGTGCGGTCCAGCAACAAATTGATGAAGTAATTGGAAGCGATCGCCGTACGCACTAGTCCCATTGTCTGTCCTATTTTTCTCTTATGGGGAACCAAAGCACCGAACTTCGAGGATTATGCGGCCCTTCCTCGAGTAAAGGCTTTCATATTAGAAACCTACCGCTGGCGACCGGTTGGAGGTAGCGGTAAGCGATCCTATTACGCCTTCACCTCGGAGAGATTTTGAGTATATTTTTTACAGGCTTTTCTCATCGAGCGTCAGGAGATGTTTTTTGGGTAAGTCATTGTTAGGTCGAGCGACTTCACTGTCTTCATTGTTCCTTTCAGAAAAACTACTGTATACCAAAGGGGACTGTGGTCATTGGCAATCACTGGTACGCGTCTCTTGCTCACGTTCTGTTACCGTTCCTCATATTATTGTCGTAAGGTCCATTTGTAGAGATCCAGCTCTATTTGAAGATCCCGATAATTTCAACCCAGATCGTTGGCTGGATGATCTTGGACGAGTCAAAGACGATGTCCCTTTCTTTAATTTTGGTTTTGGAAGAAGGTATGCCGTTACTTTATGAAGCATTGTCATGTTTACAATTCCATCAGGGTTTGTCCCGGACAACATGTGGCTGACAAGTGCGTACAACCTTTTTTTCTCTCGATGTGGTCACTTATTGATTATAGATCTGTATTTATAAACACGGCGCTGATTTTATGGGCATTCAACATAACGCAGATGGCATCTGAACCCATCGATCCCAACGGTTTCGTTAACGTCGGTGTCAGCATTGCACCTCAGCCATTCAAAGCGTGCTTCAACAAGAGAGTCGACAGCATACATAGACTGTTAGAAGGTTACGGCACCCCACATTAATTATTACATTTGTACGAAGCTGGTATTTATCTTTATCTGATCGGATCTCATCGATAAGATCACCACCGAGCCATTGCTCGTCGATTAGTATGCTCCAGGTGCCACATGTGCGCTCGAGTCGGCCATCGAGGGGGAAACATACCAACGACATCCTGCTTTTTGAGTACCTGAACGTTGGGAATATGTTCCTTCAGGATGGTGACATCCTCTTCCCCAGCTGGTAGGTCATCGGAATCTGAATCGGATGAAGTGGATATAGAGCTGTGAGCGGACGGGGACGAAGAGCGCGAGGAAGGAGGAGGAGGTTGGGGATGAAGACGGCGAGGGTCGAAAGATGATATCTTCAAGTCCACTATGGAGCTACCCTCTTCCCTGCGAGCCGCCACTAACAAAGCGATATAAGCTGCAGGGACAGCGTCATCGCCACCTTCAATTTGCACAGAGGTGAGTAAAGGACAGAGGATGTCGCTCGTGTGGCCCAGATTCTGTGCTGGATACAACGCAGAAAGAATGTTTCGTGTAGGAGACGGCAGACAGTACGGTCGCAACCGGAGATGCGTGAGATTGGGGAAATAACCAAACACGTCTCTCCACATGGCGGTCGTGATATTACTAAACGAACTGAGGAGGCGTTCCTCGATTACCAATGTTTCGACATCGTTTAGGGGATAGTGTGATATCATACCTACCACTTCCGGAGGGGAGAAAAGGCCACAGATGTAGATCACGGAATCTACTACCGCAACAAGCTGGTATGAGCTCCCCACTGAGAGCAAGGAACGAATGAGCCGGCATTCCTTGATATTACGTAGATTTTGGAGATGCGAGCGATTATCGGGTATTAGCTGAGAAAGTTCCTCCGTCGGTAGCTGCAGGGGAGCACCCCAAAAATACATGGCTGTCGATGCAGGAAGGGCAAGATGAGATAACAATCGGGTGATAGGAAGGGCGTATCCCAAACTTCCGCAGTTCAACTCGCGTAGATGATCTAGCGGAACAACGCGGTGGGAAAGGACGGCCGGAACGTCACCAGCTGTCGACCTTGTCGGTCCCGCGTCAATTAACGCGAGTTCTTCCAACAAGGGGCAACCCTCCAAGAAGTCGAGAAAGTCGTTCGTGCAGGGTCTGAATTCACGGTCTTGTCGATAGAGACAAACGTGAGTGAGATTTTTGAAATGGTTTTTAGGCCATGAGGATATGTGCTCTAAGCAGAGCTGCCTTAGCCTGGGCATTCTCCCGTTAAAGAGGGCCGGCAAGTCATGAGGGGTAGAGTTACGATCACCATCGATCAAGATCGTCAGACTAACAAGACTTTTTGCCGGTCGATTGAGAAGCTCATACAGAGGTGTCGCAGAGATCTGCCATTTGAACGCATCAATGTGAAGTTCCCGGATACGACGTGTCTGGCGAAGAATAATCTCGAGATCAGGTTGATTTATTTTCCCGTTTCTGATACCAACATAGACGGTGAGTGGCGCCGTAGAAGAACGACGTATGAAAGTGGAAGGATCCAGATCGTTGTCTACTGTTGCCCACAGCCTTGCGCATGTGGCGGTTATAGCTCGCCAATGTCGGCAGACATGCAAAACTTTCAGCCAATCTCGGTGGTGTCTCTGCTTGTAAACACCTACACTAGGAATGGGCAAAAAGCTGGGGAGATGCTGTTGTCTCAGTAGAAATATTATGGCGAGCAGCTCTGGGGGAAGTCGGTTGATTGGCTGAAGAGAATTACGAGCGCCTCTGATCATTGCCGCAGCAATCTGGAGGCGCCTTTCGATTGTGTCAAGCTGATGACCACAGTGAGCCCGGTGTACCTGCAGGTATAATTGAGAATTAAAAATAATTACCTTATCCGTAGTCCATTTCCTCGCTCTGGAATGACGTTCAGTGCCTTAGGAAAGCTCAATGAAATAAGAGAGCCTACGTTTTATCAACCCGATCAATCACAGCGTCCAGTAAATCCTCAAAGGTGAACTTATCAAAGGTGGACGAATCTCGCATCGCGATGAAGAGTTCGTGACCAGTGTGCTTACAGCTGCTCGTGGTCGCGAGTAGAGCGTGGTTGTACACGTGGAAACGGGCCGAGTGTACCGCCTCATCGAAAATGGAAATTGTATTCCACGTTCGGAAATCAACCGACAGGGTCCAATCTCTTGTCCGGGTCCGAATCTTTTGACAAGATCTTTCTTGGTAACGTCTAGCGCGATCATTTTCTTTTCCGTGTATTTGTAGCTAGTAATTCTTCATACTACTTTGCCCTCCCTAGAAACAAGGTGTGTACCCTATACCATGGATGGATTTTCTCTCTCTGATTTGTACTTGAGCATGAGGCCCAGGGGAGGAAAACCAATAACCAGGACCTTCACTGCCAGGGCGCTATCAGCCGCCCCCTAACCGAACGTAATTTCTAAATCAAATCCGCAGATACGCGCCCCCTACGGAAGCCCGAAAACCAATTGCAGTCGCGTTGAGGGCGGGATGTGGGGTCAGCTGAGGCCCCGTGGGGTAGGCGACCATGAGATACCCCAATAATTATTCCGTATAGGAGTCAGGAGTATCTGAACCTTTTTTGCTTAAAAGCTGCCAATCTCAGACCAGGCGAAACAAGAACCTTCTCCAGTTCTACCCACAGTTCTCCCTTCTCCTCCCTCACTCAGCTCTTTGTCGCCATGTCTTACCAGATCCCCAAAGTCCAGAAGGTCGCCATTGTGCAAAAGACCGGTGGTAGCATCGAGATTAAGAATGACTACCCCGTGAAGCAGCCGAATGAGCTGGCGCCAGGAGAGTGTCTGATCAAGATAGAGGCTTCTGGTGAGCCCGTTTCTTTCGTCACCATTTGCTTTTGTTGATTTCATTCCTCTTTTCAGGCTGTTGCCACACCGATTTGCACGCGGCTATCGGTGACTGGCCCGTCCCACCTAAGACCCCTCTCATCGGTGGACACGAGGGTGTTGGTATTGTCGTTGCTGTCGGTAACAATACAAACGCTTCGTACGTATTATCTCGTTCAATTCTTTTGAGTATTGACGCATCCGTTCTCTTTATCTAGGCCAGTGAAGCTCGGTGACCGCGTTGGTATCAAATGGCTCGCTGACTCTTGCTTGAACTGCGAGGATTGCCGCAAGGGTCGTGAACAAAGTGCGTACTCTTCTAAATGTATTTTCGCTACTAACTCTATCAACTTTTCAGACTGCGCTCAGTGCAAGCTCAGTGGCTACACCGTCGACGGTACCTTTGCCGAATACGTTGTCTCATATGTGAACCACGTTACCCCCATCCCCGAAGGATTCCCCTCCGACGCCGCTGCCTCCATCCTCTGCGCTGGTGTCACCGTCTACCGCGCAATCAAGTACAGCCAAACCAGCGCAGGCGACTGGATCGTCCTCCCCGGTGCTGGAGGAGGTCTCGGCCATCTTGCCGTGCAGTACGCCCGTGCTCGTGGTCTCCGAGTCATCGCCATCGACTCTGGTGCCGAGAAGAAGAAGCTCTGTGAGTCCCTTGGTGCTGAGGTCTGGATCGACTTCAAGGAGTCGAAGAACATCGTTGAGGATGTCAAGGCTGCCACCGGTGGATTCGGAGCTCACTCTGCTGTTGTTACCGCTGCACATGTGAGTATTCTTGCCTGTGGTAAATTATATGTGCTGACTTGTGCGATTACAGAGCTCTGGCTACACGCAAGCCATTGACTACCTCCGCCCTGGTGCCACCCTCATGGCTGTCGGTCTTCCAGGAGATGCGACCTTGAACGCCTCTATCTTCTTCACCGTCTTCAAGGTAGGCGTTTCATATGTAATTTCTAATGGCTGCATATCTGACAATTCCGTAGAGCATCAGCATCCTCGGTTCCTACGTTGGTAACCGTCAAGATGCTCGGGAAGCTTTGGACATCGCCGCTCGCGGGCAAGTGACGGTCCACTTCGTTTCCAAGGACCTCAAGGAACTCCAGAAGTAAGTCTACATTTGTTCTTGAAGAAATTGTTTCTAATTTTATACTACCTTTAGTGTCTACGAAGGAATGAGCGCCGGAAAGGTTGCTGGACGTGTTGTCTTTGACTTCACGAAGTCTTCTTAAGCGGTGGTGGTAAAGAAATAGAAAATGTATCTGTAACTCAGGAGCTTTTGTAATGCTTATTTATTTTCAATCCATCAAGTGTTCTGCTGCAAACGATATGATTACCTTTCCCTTTCAATTTCGACATCAGCAACAGGTTTATCCATCTCCTATAGTTTCTACGGAGGCTCGATGGTTCACATATTCCAGCGAAGGTGATTTCTCGGCGTCCAACTAATTACGGCTATTTGACATCTCACCCAGACCCAAATTACCGCTCCCCGTAAGGCAGGCTCCTCGCGTAGTTCAAAACCTGGGGAAAGTTACGACCAATTATGATGCAATAATTAATGATCAACCCTTAGTTGACTGTATATTTATGACAAGTTCGTCATATATTGCTAAGTGTAATAAAATCAACCTGAGCGCAGCATATTCATAATCTTGTGGGACGAGGAAAACAGTCTTATCGTAAGTACGTACGGCTCTCATGACCTTCTTTCGGAACACCGAAGGCATAGACGTCAAGCTACCATGTTCCTCTTCTTACCCTACACTCTTCATCCCACAGGTAGGCTTGTGTAGGCCATCCCGCTGGGGTCCAGTTAGCGTACGTTCCTGTCCTCTTCCGCTGTTTTACATCTTTAACACGCCTTTTCAATGCTGTGATACCATCCGACCGCAGTGGCGAGTCATCATTATCAAAGTCGTCTTCAACATCTTCGCCGTCCCCCTCTCCATAATCAGAGTCTAAGTCGCTTCCATAATATGGCGCGGGCCAGGCATCTGCTGGGTTACCCCAGCCATTATGAGGAGGAGGCCCGGAGTTCCTTTCGAGAGAAACGATTTCAACAGACTCAATGCCTCGGCGTTCTTCTGCTAAGACCGCAATGAAGAATGCTAGAAAATCCGACGTGTCTGCGGCGTACTTCTCCAGTCTCAGAGACCTGAGATGGGGACATGGGACGTCAGAGTTTCCTTCGCTGCGGGGATAGAGACCTTCTAAGATACGTCTGATTTTGTCCATATTATTGGAACGGATAGTGAATCTTTCAATGGATGACATGTGGTCGAATGTGTCTCGCCACATCCGAGAGATAGTGTCAAATTGAAGACCGCCGGCGTTGTGTGGAGTAGGTAATGGATTGGCTTCGAAGAGTAACGTTCTGACATTACTCAAAGGGAATCGAAGGGGGATCGTGGAGAGCTGTGGGGTAGAGATACGCCCCCGGATGAACAATACGCCATCGACAACACTGAGTATATCGTTCGAAAAACTGTCACTGTTGGACTCCATCAGGCGGTACTCCGTGATATTTTGCAGATTTTCGAGGTGAGAGATGTCCGAAGGAAAGAGTGAGGAAAGCTCTTCTTCATTATTAGTGAGTGGCGATCCCCAGAAAAACATATTCGCATGTTTGGGGAGGGATAGATGTGATAGCAACCGGGTGATGGCAAAAGTGCCATTACAAGGATTCATACTGAATTCACGAAGGTGATCAAGGGCAACCAAGCGATCGAGGGGTACTAATGGGAGGTCATCGGAAATATAGCGAGTTGGCCCGACATCAATTAACGCAAGCGTCTCCAGTTGAGGTGACGATTCCAGGATATCGAGGAAGTTGGAGGTGGAAGGACGAGATGATCGATCCTGGTCGTACAAACAGAGGTGTGTTAGGTTCGTGAAATAACCCTTTGGCCACGACGTAAAATATCCGAGACAAAGTTGCTTCAGTCTTGGCATCTCGTCGTTGAAGAGCTTGTGAAGGGCAGGTTGCAATCCGATGAAACGAGGCTCCTTGTTCATTAATAGTGATAAGCGCACTAGATTGGGTGCACTAGTATCGGTGAGGAAGATCGAGGACCCGAGAAGGGATCCAGTCTCTCAAAAGTCGGCGTGAAGCTCACGGATACGAGGTAACGACTCCATGATAGCTGTTAAATACTGCTGGTCAAAGTATGGCTTTGTCAAACCAGCGACAACTGTGATGAGCGAGTCTCCGGAACGTTTTAAGAATGTGTGAGGGCTGCGTTCGTTGTCGATGGTTGTCCAAAACGAATGGAAAGTTGTAGCTACCCCACGCCAATGGCGACAGACCCGGAGCACGCACAGCCAGTTTGTAGCTTGGGTGTAGCCACTCCGCGCACCAAAGAGAGGAAGAAAGCCAGGAAGATGATGCTGCGCCATACTGAAGATGACAGAGAGGAGCTCTGGTGGGATACGATTGATGGGCTGGAGAGAATTACGAGCGCCTCTGATAACCGCAACAGCCGTCTGCAAACGTTTCTCCATCTTATCAAGCTGAGTAATGATTTAGATTTCAAAGAACAGACAAAGGTAGCCACACCGTACTTTTCTAGTATCCCACTTGACCGCACTGTGAATAGAAAATGAATGAAATGTCCTTGTCAACAGTTGTAACACGCACTTTCTCTGTATCCTATATATTAAAGCATCCATGAGCTCTTCAGATGTCATTGTATACGCACTCGCAGCCATGATGCAGGATAAGGACCAAAAGGCGCTGTACTGGCGCCTGAATGAGAGTTGGCGTGATCTGTGATCACGCTGGCATGAGATCGATATCAACCAAAAGCAGAACTAGACATACTTAGCCGAAAGAGACGGGCATGAGGCAACAGGCACCCTCATTGTTCACAGACGGCTGTGTAGAGTGTGCTTTAATCCCGTAATCATGTTCGACAGCATAGAAAGTATCCTACTTGAATCAATGGGACCAAAAAGGTGCGTTCAAGGCTGATTAGATATTTCACGTGTCAAGGGGAAAATTTACATGTAAATGAGCATTCCCGAATCTCTATGGTATCATCGTTATACTGAAGCACATGCATCGTTCTTTCCAGGCGAAGCGCATGTAAACAGAAATGTTGATTGTCCGGAACTGTATCTGAAAAGGGAAATTTATCAGCAAGCAATTAAGAGGTAGAAAGGATTCATGACCTAAACAAACTAGAGAATTTGCCAGTCGAAGTGTGTGATGGCGTCGGAACAGGTATTCTTCGTGGATTCTAACTCAGTGAGCGCAGTTTACTATTTCATAAGAGTACTTGAAAGCGGCATTGACTGTCGACACTCGTATATCCAAGGATAAGAAACTGTAGTAATTATCAGCTCTGAGCTGGCGCCTAAATGATCGGAGATCAGCTAAGCATAAACGCACGATAAAACGAACCACCTGATACTGATTTCGCAATTGCGATTCAGTATTTGACAGCATAAATGAATGATGAATGCAACGACAAGGATAGGCATTTAGCCCTGCATGAGAGAAGATCAGTTTTCCATGGCGTTCTAGGTCAGCACCAGAATGACAGGAGAGCATCATAGAAGGAAGCAAAGATTTCAACTCGGAGGACTGGACCGGACATCGTCCAACAGTCGGGACAGATTTCATCTTCGGCGTTTATCTTAGGACATGACCTTCAACCGACGAGTAAATTTCAAACTCTGCACTATTGTCGCACCTTGGAAATTATCACCTTAGTATCTAATCCGATGTGGCATATTCATTATCCTTGGTCGGACGTTATCTCATTAAATTCGTAAGTACTCAGCCAACAACAATGGAGGAAAAGTCCACGCCGAAAACGGAAAATCTCAATCCAAAAGTCATAAAAGAATCGATAGAAGCTACCACCCAAGGCTAGAGATTCTTCTCGTATCGTATTCCTTCTTCCAAAGATAAGTTTGCGTAGGCCATTCCTTTGGGGTCCAATGGGTATACGAGTTCGTCCTCTTCATTTGATTAACATTCTTAACACGTCTTCTCAAGGCTTCTAGACCGTCTGATTGCAGCATAGTTTCTCCCGTCTCATCCTGATCATCTTCACAGCCGTCCACTTCAGACTCATCATCAGAATCACTTCCATAAGGCGGAACCCAACTTGAGCCAGACCATGTGTCCCTCCAGCGCTTGGGTGGCCTATTTAAAGAGACAATCTCGACAGATTCAATGCTCCGACGTTCTTCCGCCAGCACCGCAATATAGAAGGCGAGGAAGGTTGATATATCCGCTGCGTATTTCTCTATCCGCAGAGACGTGAGAAGAGGACATGGAGCTAATTTTTCAGGACCTCGAGGATAGAGACCTTCCAAGATCACTTTAGCCTTGTGCATGTCGTCCGAGCGGATAGTGATGACCTCAACAGAAGGCATGTGTTCGAACGCAACTCTCCACATCCGGGATATAGTATCGAAGTTACCATGTGCATGGCGGGGGGAACAGCGATTGGTGTTGAAGAGCAATCTTTTTACGTTATTTAGTGGGAATTTAAGGGGTATAGTGGCGAGTTGAGCCAATGCGAAGTTTCCACGGATAAATAGGACACCATTGATCACGGCGACAATGTCAGGGGAGGGGCGTCGGTCGTTCCCGGACTCTATCAACCGATATTCCTGGATGTTTTGCATGTTTTGGAGGTGGGAGATATCAGAAGGGAGGAGGGAGGAAAGCTCTTCTTGCTGTTGAACTAGCGGCTGGCCCCAGAAGAACATGTTCGTTTGTTCGGGTAGGGCTAGGTGCGATAGTAATCGTGTGATGTAAGCGATACCGTTGCTGGCATTCATGTTGATCTCATTGAGATGATCGAGAGCCACAACGCGGTCGATAGGAACCAGGGGTAGGTCATCGGAGATGTAACGTGTTGGCCCAGCGTCAACCAATGCAAGCTTCTCCAGACGTGGCGACGACTCCAAAAAGTCGAGAAAATCAGACGTCGAAGGGCGTGTAAATGTGTCCTGCTCATACAGGCAAAGGTGCGTTAGGTCCTTGAAGTATTCTTGTGGCCATGATGTGAAATATCCGAGACAGAGCTGCTTCAGTTTCGGCATTTCTCCCATAAACAGCTTCGAAAGCTTGGAGGAAACCCCGACAGCCGTATGTGGATGATGATTTGGTAGCAGTGACAGGCTCACTAAATTTGGTGCACCATTTGTGAGGGTAATGCTGGACTCAAGATGCGATCCACTGTGACAAAAATCGATGTGAAGCTCGCGAATGCGAGGCAGTGCCTCCATCATCTTTGCCAGATAATGTTGGTCAAAATGTGCCTTCTTCAAACCGATAACAACCGTAAGCAATGATTCGGATGAACGTTTCAGAAAGGTGAGGGGCATATGATCGTTATCGATGGTGGCCCAAAGGGAATGAAAGGTGGCGGCTACACCGCGCCAATGACGACAGACCTCGAGAAGGCGCAACCAATCCCGTCCTTTGGTATAGTCACTGCCTTTCCCGACGAGAGGAAGGAAGCCGGGAAGGTGGTGCTGTGTCATACTGAAGATCACCGCGAGTAGTTCTGGCGGAATACGGTTGATAGGCTGATGGGAATTACGGGCACCTCTGACAACAGCTGCTGCCGTCTGAAGACGCTTCTCCATGGCATCAATCTGAGAAATCGCTGAGATTTGAATCATAGTGAAAGAACGCCACATACCTTGGCGGTGTCCCACTTAGAGGCGCTTTGTGAGATTCAAATCAGTGGGAAACGGGTTCCGGATAGAAGTTACACGTACTGTTTCTGTATCCTTTGCATCAAGGCATCCATAAGCTCTTCCGAGCTCAAATGGACCATGCTGGGAGTCATGGCGGAAGGCAAGATATAAAGACGCCGTGTGGTGTTTGACGGAGCAAGAGCTGTTGACATCACTCGGACCGGATAAAGCCGAGCAGAAACGGAGGGCAGATTCGACTTCGACACTGGACGTCGGACGCTGGTGATGGCTCCTCGAACAATATCAGAATTTCGAGGGCTGATTACATTTTTAGAAGCGACTTGAGATTGCCGTCGCCATGATCCCACCACGACACAGACTATTCATTAGGCCAAAAATATGTATAACAGCCCAGACTGAAGGATAATTATGCAGGTTTTTATCCTGTGACACGATAAATGGTGCATGTCTTGCTGGAAGTACGTAGGAAGTACGCCAGCACCAGAACAAAATGCCACTGCTAGCTGGGACTCAGCTCATCTTGAGCTCATCGCCCAGGGGCGCATTGATGATATTAGTCGATAATTTAATTATGAGATTTTTTTGCGGCAAAATAAGAATCAGCAGGACGATAGTCAATGATCTCGAGTCGCACGAAATAGCAGTACAAGTTGGGCGTAAGCAGTCTGAAGCATGGAATTGCTGGAAGCAAATTTAGGCCGGCTTACATAAGAATCACGTGGACGAAATCAACAGTCGCGTTCTTATGATATCAACTTGCATTTGCGCGACTGCTAGGTCTGGATAAATCTCGTCAAGCAAGATAACCTGCGCACATTATGTCAGTGTCAGATTCTGTCAAAGAGAAGATGAACTCTGGTTTCCTGGTTGTGCTTCATGGCCAAACTAGGCTTCTGTTACCGAAGTCGATGTTTAGTACCTCATTTGATGTGCGTGTCTTTCCCTGATTGATTTTATCCAATACAGACTGCGATATAGCAAGCAATAAATATACTAGCGTGCCATTTCCCCGAAATACCTCCACACCGAATGAGGCTGAGTACGGACAATCCTGTTGAATGCGAAGGGCAACAGGTTGCTCTGTCAGCCGCGTCGTGGGTTGATATTTTACCAGAATTGACTTCCGTTCGGGTGTATGATGTTGGATCTGTATCTCAGACAAGTTTCGTCGTCATCTTGTTTTCTTCGCTGTCAGCTGATTATATATTTTATGGAAGGTTTGTGTCTTCAAGCGCAAGCATCTGACTCCCATTACTGGAGTGATGATGAAGAAAAGGTGGTTGTGTCTGCTCAAGAAAACGAAGATAAAGATGACGCGAACTCCAAGGTCCTCGTATCCTTTCGCGACGCATATGGGGGCACTCTTGCATTTCGAACGCTTCCAGAGAATCTTATAGCAACCCATCTAGCAGCATATACATCCGAGTTTGGCAAAGAACAGTCAATGCTGTGCGTCTTTTGGCGGGGAGTGATCCTGGATGTTGACACAACATTTGCCGATAACAATATAAAGCACTCTGCCGTGTTTTATGTTGTCGATGATGTTATTTCCCCAACATCTGTTGTCAGATTCTCAGCTTGTTCATCGATGGCTCTTTCCAACCGCTCGCATCCGTTCAGGAACTCATCCGATGGCAGAAAATTCAAGTTCTTGACCATCAAAAGCCTTGATAAACGGATATTATTTCCTCGGTCGATGCTAGGAACGTACGACGTAAGTTTATACTGCCTGTGGTCCTTGAAATTCCTTTAAATCACAATAGGAAGCAATAGATGCCATTTCAGCACATTTTCCAAAGCTCAAGAAAGAAACATTATCTCTGCGAACAAATGCTTTTCCGGAATGCGAGGGCGAATACGTTGAGATCCCACCGACTACGTGGACACATGCGCTTCCAGAACTGAAATCAGTAGACGTCGAAATCGAGACCGAGACCGATGTGATCAAGCAATACCCAACAATCCAAATCTTATCCCCCGCTGGAGCGCAGTTTGAGGTAACTGTCAAACTGGACTTGGAGCAAGAATGGATGTTCGATGTTGTGATGAAACGACGTTGGAGGACAGTGGCAAGGAAAAGTGGGCCTCGATATTACCGATACCAGACCGAATGGTGTGCACAAGTCGGAGTGCAGAGGGACATTCTCCCTGCGATTCCTGGCCCTCGCGATCCAAGACCGCGCTTAGAGCGGCAGAGTGTAAGATTGCATACAAGCCTTGTCTTCATGCTAATCATTTCTTCCTTTGCCAGGGCTCTGGAAACCTAGACGACCACCACGCAGTTGTTCTGTCCAGAGACTCGGTTACTTTCTATCTCAATAGAGTTTTGCGGACTATAGGTCTGGGAGCAGAAGCTCGGGCTCATTTCATATCGTATGATCGTCTCGTTTTGGAGGGGTTCGTTTATCTGATATATCATGCCAGAAACAACCTATCTGGCCTTATGGCAAAGCCGTATGTTGCCTTGGTATTCGTTCCTCAATCCGTTTACGAAGATCAGGCGCCAATGGAAATAACGCCATATCCAGATGTCGTAACACGGATCCTTATGCTGTACAAGAGTGTACCTGCCGCACACATTGAACGATGGAGTAATGCTGTCAAACGAGCTGAGGAAAGCACGCAGCGTTGGATAGACATCATTGGTCTAGATGCTAGGCGACACGATGAGACATTGTGTCGGGTTTGGCAATGGGCCTCACTTAATTACTTACCTGACGAATGCTGAATTGATATTCGACTTGATAGGCTATTCTGTACGGATGTCAACAATGCAATAAAAGATTCGTTAGGTGTATACAAGTCGTAAAAGATCATGAGATATACAAGGCGATCGAACGCTCTAGCAATGATAACAGTCAAGGATCCCCGTTCTACATTCGTATCGGAATAATCTCAGTATTCATAATCCTCATACTCCTCCGCCTCCGCATTTTCTGCGGCCTTCTCTTTCGCCTCCCTAGCCACCTCCTCCTTCGCCTGCTCCATACAAAACAAAAGCTCGTCGGTAATGTCCCGCTTCATTGTGACTGTGACGCGCCAGGTTTTATTGTCCGGAGTCCAGAAGGACGAGATACCGAAATCATCGAGGTTCTTGTCCTCAGTTATGGCCCAGTTCGGATCGGTGCACATTCCTTTGAGTGAGCCTTCGATGCATTCCTATAGTGAATATGTCAATAGGGAAGTGACGAAATGCAAGGCAGAGAACGTACTATCATGAAATCTTTGACATGACTAGCCAAAAAGAACGCAAGGTCTCCATGTGTAAGAATGCCGGCGTCTTCGGGAGAAAAGGTAATGGTCCTTCTAGTATTGTATCCCGGCCACTAGATAATAGGTATAAATTCAGCATCTACCATTATCAGAGCAGACTCTACTCACAAATAAGTGCCAGACGAATTCGGCCCTGCCTTGGAATTTCTTTTCCCAAAAGGCCGGTACGTTGGGGCTAGTGAGGTTCCTTCTCGAAAGTGCGTCCGTCAACGAGCAGCCAAAGATTACACCATCCGAGACGGTGGAAGTGGTGAACAGAGTAGTACATTCGTCCAGTGGATGTATGGCTGGGAGATTCACTTGCGGAACAGGGACATTGCATAGCAACTTTGCTCTATCTGTTCGTGGCACTTTGAGGCGGGTATCTGACTGAATAAGGAAGACGCGTTGTCGGTTGGAACGTTCACGCCCGTCCGAGAGAACGCCGCTGGACTCGGAAAGGGAGAGTCTCGGATATGCAGGGTTGGATGTGGGCGGGGGCACGTAAGATGACTAGGTCACAGTTAGTTTAAGTCGCCGAGGAGGGAATAAACGAACGTAAGGTCGCGGTTTTTTGGGACCGTCCTAGAATATGATCAGCTACAAGGCCAAGTAACAAACGAAGAGGAACAAACCTCTTGTTTCATCTTCGATGTGGCTTTCCTTCGAGGTTTCGATGAACTGGTCTTCTTCTTGGAGACCGGCATAACAGAATAGAGAAGTATCGAATTCAGCAGAAGATGGTAGGACCAAAAAGAGAGTGAAGGGTCTGTATTGTCTGCCGCTGGTCCAAGTGGCGTGTAACTGACTTCCGAGGCCCGGTTCGGAGTACTGTCAAAGGCAAACGGTTGCGATGTCTTAAATGGACTTGGTACGAACAAAGAAAAGGTAATTGATCGTGCGTTTCATCCGATCTTCTTCCTTTTGGAATGAATGGCACAGTGAACAGACCCTGAAGGTAATAGTCAATCATTAAAAGCAGATTAAAAGAGTTAGAATTGATAGCGCCCACCTTTAGAGAAAGAAAAGTCGTCGGAGTATATAGGAGGGTCAAAGCGCAGATTAGGCACTCGCCAACACTTTCAAAAGTCGGAGTCTTCCATTAATAAATTGAATGATCAAATTATCAAAGCCCCAGCCATGATAACAAAGAACTGTGAGCACGAGAATGGGTCTGCTAAGATCACAGATATGAACCAGCAAACGTTGCACATTGTCCATTCTTCAGGGTATGGCAGCCGGCCAACTATTTGGCATTTGCTAGATACTCAACAAACGCGACAGGGCATAATAAGCATGAAGTGAGTGGGACATTATACGATGATTCCGCGAGCCCATTGGCTGAAGATGGTCCCAGTTCAGCTGGGAGGGCTGATCACAGTTAGTAAAGAACGAAGGGTCTGACAGTGATGGGCTCTCGACTGGCATTTCGGGCGAGCGAATGATGTGGAATGGTGATTTGGGTGGGTTCGGGAAGGAAGCAACAACTTGTTCTCGTTCGGCCATCTTCGGCCGGCTTGGTACCATGCCGCCGGATTTTCGGGTCCTGCCGCTCGCCGATTTGCTGTCATGAAGATTGCTTGAAGATCGCATGTACTTGGCGTGTACTTTCTCATTCTGGTGAATTTTATCTCTAACATTTCTTTCACGGTTGTTGATTGTACTTAGGTGGAATTATCCTCCAACCTGCCAACAGATCAACAGTTCTGCCGTCGACTGGGGTTGACACTTTCACCTAACTTCAAATTCGAACGATATGGTGGTCCCACGCTGCCCGCAGCCCGTAACTATCTATTCTGATATCATTCTCGTATCCACTGCGGCTCTATCCTTTTTGGAGTGAACTTCTATCACTGAAGATATCTTTTACAGCCAATCCCGACGTAGTTAAGCACCAAACGCCGTAGCGCCGCTCAAGTCTACGACAGTACTTTTCCAAGACACTAATTGGCACCAGAATGCACCTCGGATGATTGTCTCCTTTCTGTCTGTGGCCTCGTGCGACGCAATCTCAATCTAACTCCTGGGAAACTCATAATATGCGCTTGATAGACTGACAAAAAAGGGTATGACAATCTGTCCGAACTTATGCTCATAAACCTTGGCTTGAGCAACTGAGAAGGCTTTATTGGGAAAAGCTCATACGGAGTCGACAAAGGTGCGCACTTGAAGATTAAATGGATTAGACCCTTCATGATATGATTCTGGCCAGCAGGCTCCACCGTGTACGGCATGAAACCTTGTTTTTATGCTCGTCTTGTCTTTGTGAATATCAAACTGTACGTCACTCGCAGGCTCTATTTGAGTAAGACCTATCACACCTATCTGAAATTATCTCATTCTCTAACTGTCATGACCAATTTTGCTCCGGCCCATATAGCATGGGCCTATCACGCGTAACCTCATGATTTCTCGGAAGTTTCTGTGTCAATCAATGAAAGTAAATACCTATCCTTGTCTTGATTCCTGGGATTATTCTGACCTAGGCCTGTATGTTGTCTCCTGCCGTTAACAATCTACTAGGAAAAAATCAAGTTGATCATATACTTATTCCCGTATCATTCTAACGTAATATCTCTTTCCTGTGCCTGTGAAATCCAGGGCCCTATTGACCACGTACGAGGAACGGCACTATTGATACTGCCAAGAACTGGTACATCTGAAGCCGCTAAGAAAAGAATGCTCTCACATGCGTGGGCTATGAATCCGCCACGACTTCCTCATCTTGGCTCTACGAACACCATTACTCCTGGTCATCAGTCGGCTCCTATGAAGGCATTGATGCGAACTGCAGTGCTATCGCGACTCATGTTTCGATCTATTGTACTTAGTCAAAGATAACGCTTCATTTTGCGCTCTTCAGGGCTAGATTTGCCACCGTCAGACATCCGGGGGAATCATCATGTGAGGGTGTGTGTATCTTGAACCTCCGCTCGATCTTCGTGTAATTTTTAGGACACCAATGGAAGGACAAAAGTCGCGTTACGCTTCCGTGTTATCTATAGTAAGTGAATTCTTAGGTACCACCTACCAAATATCCTTTCCCACTCTCTTATGTCTTTGTTCAAGATTCCTCTCTTGTTCTCTGATGCAATCTGCATGCGCCTTACAGGAAAACCTCCCAATGATCCACTTCCTTTAGTCGAGCATATTGTTCCCGACTGGAGAGAGAGATTTCTCAAGAGCCTCGCATGGCCATGCGCATTTCTACGGGTAAGTCGCCGGTAACACTTTGCTTATCGTCTGGTTCATATCTTTTTTGGCCAGGTTATATCTTGGTCTATCTGTATCATTGAAGCGATCGTCATATTGGCCTACCACTTTCCGTCACTTTCAGCATCTCATTTCGTCCTGTCAACCTTGGATTTTAACGGCCATACACATGGAATTGTCATTACCCCTCTCTTCCTCTTGGGGAACGTCCTCACGATTGCGGGAACCCTTATTCGCCTGTGCTGTTATCGCGTGCTCGGGCGCCTTTTCACTTTCGAGCTCAGTATACACCAGGATCATTGTCTCATCGTGCGGGGACCCTATGCCATCGTTAGACACCCTAGCTATACGGGGATGATCTTGACCATTCTTGGCGCAATATGCAGCCAATCAACCGGATCGTGGGTAATGGAATGCGGATTAATCGACATGTGGTTTGGGAAGGGTTTGGTCATGTATTGGTTACTCGTTGCTGCAGCAGTTGTGGCAAGTCTTTTGTTCAGGATCTCCGTTGAGGATCGATTACTCCACAGAAAATTCGGTCGCGAATGGACAGAGTGGAACCAAAAAGTGCCATATGTTCTGATACCCGGGGTGTATTAGGGATTCGAAAATCTAGAAATGGTGAGTGATATGGCGTCCGTCATCGATTATTATCACCTGATCCCAGCCTTTAAGGACTTGCACTGTCGATTTCGGCGCTGTTGTGTCTGGGAAGGGGGAATTGCGCTTTGGACGAAGAATGTAGAGTATTTTGCTGAAGAAGGGATCTATTGAATCGTCTACATGAATTCTTATATAAATAGCCAAAAAATCCTAGTAGCTGTAAGGCGCTGGAGCCTGGAATCGCCATTTTCCTAATCCCGTCTGTCCGTTGTTTAAGCCGGAAGGCATTCTGTAGCCCGAAGTATGCGCCTCGAGGATTATGATGGGAGATTCGTTGAATAATGCAGACAATAAGAGCACAAAACAAGACAGGTTACCTAGATCCTTTTCATAGCATAGAGGATGGCTATGCGACCATTTCCAAAGAGAATAAGACTTGATACGTATCCGTCGAGCTCATATATGGGGACTACGTGTTATTCGTTCCGCTGTGGAATTCAGGATCCTCAGTGTTTCATCGTGATACATGATGTGATGAGGTGACAGGGGATCTCTTCAGCAAGAACGATGTTTATTGATCCGTTCCTGCCGATATTCGGAGACAAATGACGTCACCATGAACTGATATCGTATGACGTTGATTTCGGAAGGAAACCTGCAAGAAGTTGTATGGTTGGCGTAGAAGCGTGAAAAAAGCAAGGATCATTCGGTAATCGCCAGAAAATTATGGAATGAAAACGCCACGTGAAAGGAACGATTTCATAAGTCCGTAACCGCAGTGTCTTGCGGAAAATACAGAAGTGTGAAAAGTTGGGGAAAAGATTGGATGCCAGGACGGCGACGCGTGGCTTAGTCAAGAATTAGTAACGTGTCTTTGTTGAAGGTAACGGCACGTGATGTGACTGAGTCGTGTCAACAACGGCCGGCCCGTTGAGACTGACAGCGACGAAAATTTCGATGAGTCGTCGTTTTCATTTGTTTCCCTCCCATTTGTACAAGCCAACCGCGCTTTCAAAACTTTACATCTTTTGTAAATCGAAAAAATTCGTCACCTTAGGATCTTCGGGACACGATGGACTCAGACAAAATCAAAGTCAGTCTCAGTCTAGGAATCCATGACATGAAGACCCTTTATTAACCCACATTTAGCAGAAAGAAGCGCTCTCAGATTCCTCGAAATTCCTCCTGAAGCTTGGAGAGATGGCGGCCGAGAATCCCTCTTTGTTTCAGCCCGTAGTCGAAATTGTGCGCGTAGGACTGTCCATTTTAGAAAAACCTTGCGAAAGCTACAACTCGGCCGATCCTGCTCGTCATCACAAAATGTTCGAGACAGCTGCCAATTTATTTACAGGACTCAATTCTGCCCTTTCATCTCGAAGTTTCCGGAGTATACCTGAAGATATCGCGTCACTCCAGTCCTTGGCTGGAGCTATATATGAATGGGCACTGGTTTTCTACGAGAACCATTTCATTAATACTGGTGAAGTTATGAAGGACAAACATATCCTCCTTGAAGTGTGTCTCCAGCTCGCCAAGTTATTTCAATCGTTCTCCCTCGTACAGGAACTCGCTGATATCATGGCGACTACGCCGGGGTTCATTACCCGTATCACAATGTTATGGATTCACTCTATTTGGAATGGATTAGGAATTCATATTTACTACCAGCCGACCGTGATATCCCTCTCCTCGCATCGTCACCGCATTCAGCAATGCCTCGATTGCAACATCCCGGATGACATTATAAAGACGTGCTGCTCCATCATATTGACTCAGAAGTGGACCTTTTCATCTTCTGAGTTATATCCCATGGACGGGCCCATTGGCTTTGTCGTCTCCATCGCGGGATTCTCTGACAAATTCCGCCACGCCCTTGTCGCCAAGCATGCGGCATCTTGGTTGTGCAGACAGCTTTCTATCGTTATCTCTAAGAAGAAGGATAATATCGACCGGGATCCCCTTCGCTCGGTTGAGCTTATTCTCACTGGACTTTCGAGGTTCGGTCTCGAGGGTCCCCATTGCATTGTCGATATGATTGACAGTGATATCATATCACTTCTGTTGGATTGTGCTTTGATTCCGGGGCCGAGATGCAAGAAAGAGTCAGTGCGTCTCTTGGAACTGATAGCAAAATTTCTCTTATACCGCCCTATTATCCCCCGAGTGGTGAGGTGCCTGCGTGGCTTGGACATTGAAAGTCAGGCTCCGGACCTTGTACGAGATGCACTCGTAGCTCTTAAGGAAGTGGCGTTATTGCGAGAAAAGGTACTTGAGAGCTACGTCCAATCGAAGGAGTTTACTAGATGCTCATTGTTCAAGGTAAAGTTAAATCCGGCTTTTTATTCGACTCGTTGTCCTGATCTCTCGGCTATTAGTGTAAAATCTCACAAAAACGTTGACTTATAATGGCGCATCAGATCCCGGAAATAATGATAGGCCCCGACCAAATTTGAGGCACTGTGCGAAATGTCATTCCGTATTCTATTGCTCTGCGGAATGCCAGAAAATCGATTGGAAGAACGGGCACAAATTATTCTGCAAAATGATTTCGCGTAGACTTCTAGGTTAGTCAGTGTAATTGTTCTTATCGAATAGCTATCTGAACTAAACCTTCATTTTAGATGGATTTCCTCCCCTCCTTAATGAACGCGACCGCCATTTTATATATTACATCGTGGAACAGGACGTCCGCGATAACGAAGAAATGATTGAAATGCTCAAAGCTGAATACAAAGGTCCGGGCGTGCCATTTGTCGAAATCGATTACGATGTTGTTCCCCGTACGATCGTAATCAAGACATCAGAAGAGTTTCGAGACAGAGAATTGCCGGAGGATCATATAGAGCATGTTAATGACGCCCAAAGTGGAAAGATTGTGGTTGGTTTCCAAGCTTATCATACAACAGAGGAATTATTCCATGCGATCGTGACCTATCCATTCAATTGGCTCACAATCTTTTAGATGTTTTATTTAGACCAGCTCATCCTGTCCATTCCAAATTCGCCTTTTATTCAATTGAAGAGTACTATACAAGTGGGACTGTTCTTTGCAGCAGGCAGATTAATCCGATATTTGCGCCCTACTCTATGCAAGACACCTTCCATGTCCGTGGCATTAGTGCTTCGAGGTCCCGGATCTCATTCCTTATGCCCCTCGACAACCGAAGATCTACTTTCGTTATATCAGGTCCTTTGTACACTCCGTCCACAATCCAGCACTCCAGGCGCTTACGAAGGAATGTCCCTACGTTCTTCCCAGGCCGAACGCAAAGTGCTTTGCTTGACACGGAGAGACACCACGTCTCAAGATCGGACATGTTCAGAGCACGACCAACATGGACTCTATCAGTCAAGTCATTGAGATTTATGGGGTAGTTAAAGTACTCCATGAATACGCCGCAAGGAGAATACAGGTATAGGTGCCTGAGCGCGGTGAGTCGACGAATAAACCTCAGGTTGACAGGAAGCTTGTCTTCGTCATAGATCCTTTCGTTGTTCGTGGAGTCGGTATGAACAGTCGACGTCGTATGGGTGTTCGCGCGGTGATCTCCATGACAAACACGGTCGAGCGTGAGCGTGTCAATCTGGCACAAGGGGAAGTGCTCGATGATGCTCTCAATAACGTCGGTGGAATCTGTACACCAAACAGCCTCGAGGTTATTGATTGTCAGGTTGCGGACGGCAGGGAGGTCAAGATATCGGAGCAGAAGTCCAACTTCTTGCGGGGTGGTGTACCCGAGAGTAAATTTATGGACACGGGGAAGAGTGAGCCGCTTGTTAGTAAGGCCAAACACATTCGGAGACGTGTCGGTGGAGATGACACCGTTGAGCTCCAGAATCTCCATGGTATCTACACTCCCTGCCAGGATATCGCGCAAAATGGAGGCCGACGGCCGTTCCTCAAATGGCTGAAATCGGAGACATAGTCTGGTAAGATTCCGGGGGCAGAAGAGATGCCAACGGAAGGGAACGCCGGACAAATCCAACACTTTGAGGGATGGGTACATGTATTGGTTCCACACAATCTGGTCAGCGGTGGATGAAATTGAAGGATGCTGAAGGACGTCGATCTCTCCAGCCTGCAGATCGTCTTCGAAGTCTTCTTCAAAAGCAACGTGGCTCGACGACCGGTGGCAGATCTCGAAATTTTGCAGGCGGGACATGGGTACGTTACGGAAAGCAGATAAGGCGTTGACATGGGAGCTCCAAAATCCTGTATCCATGGAGAAGTGTTTGATGCGACGTGCATGTTGAACGAGGCAGGTGAGAGAGGCTGAGAAAGTGCTTGTCGGTGAAGACCGTATGTGATGGCTGAAGACTCGTAGCATCGTAGAACGGTGCCGATCCTATGCGAATGATTACTTCGATGTCAAGCTCCGACGAACGTTCAAGAAATGAAGCCACTCGAGGGAAGATCACTTGAGGTCCCAAGTCGAGGTCGAGGATGGACGCTGTGGCAGCCGGGCTGTAATCTGGCGAGCATTCGGTAATGTAGAGGCGCGTCCATAGAGGTGGATAGTTGATCATTATAGAACGCCAGCGTTTACAAATAACAGAGAGGACGAAAGGATAGTCAACCCGACCACTGGTCGACACTGCCATAGTAAAAATTTCGACCAAAAGCTCGTTCGGGAGCTTCGCAGTGTAGTCCTTTGACGTTGCTTCGATGATACGAGCGCTATGATGTTTGTCAGAAAGGCAAGAACGTGACGAAGATGTAGACATACTTCAGCATGGCGCGACCAGGCGATCAATAATGTCAGGGGAAATGAAGGGAGAGGAGACGTGTAATTGCCCTCAAGTGAAGCATCTTCAAATAGCGACCCTTGTTCGAAAATAAACAATAAACATTGTGATGTGTTGCCACTAGAACCAAAGTCAAATTCATTGTATGGCCTTGTTGTAAAATAAAGGCCAGCTTCGATCCAGTCGACTTGCACACTGAGGTCTGCTGGGGTTTGCCGAGGGTCTAAGTGGCGTTCGTGATGAAACAAAAACGGTCTTGGCCTGCCGCCTTTGGTTATTGGTTTCGGCAGGTCAAAGCTTCGACCGACGGTATTCACCGCGAGTCGAACGAAGCTATCACAAAGGCAGGAGATTACGGCCATAATGTAATACTTTGCTGGTCCTTGCGCGACGAGAAATTGCGTCGACAATTTATGAACTGGGCTTAGCGGTATGGCGGGCTGTTCACTTCGTCGATGCATTTCTCATCGAAAGCGGGCTGCGACCAGGGATTGTTTTTTTTTTAATAAAGTAGGAGCAGCAACGCCACGCTAATATCGATGTACTAGCTGAGGCGTCTCAATTGAGAAATTCCGATCGATCAATTTCACGAGTTTTCAGGAGACCCAAAATTAGCATGCATCTGTGCGACTTGCTTGGTGGCACTTTTCTCGGAAAACAGCGGAACGGAAGCAACTTACAGCTTGACCTTTTGGGAGAAGAAATCCTGACCCCTGAACTTCGTCTGAAAGAGATATAACCCATCCAGCTCAACACTGTCACCTTGTCGGAACCAGTATGTTACAGCTCCCGACAATGACTCGGACTGACGAAATCGGAAGGCTCTTATCACCAGAAGAGACGACTTGGAAGGTAATGAGCGTCAAGATTGGCAAAAGATAGTTGTTAGACCCTGACGACCACTGATGACTCTGGAGCCTATAGAATTTAACACGCTGCGTCAAAATATTCTCGAAGAGTTGTTCTAATTGCTTCATGGCAAGAACTACACAAGCTGGTTTTACGCCTCGTCCTCCATCAGATCTTCAAGGCACAAGCCGAAGCCAACGTCGCCACCTTCCTCCAAATCATCGTCATCAAGCATCCATTCCAAGTCGAAATGTCTAGCAAGCTGAGTATATTTGTTTTCGATGACTTCTTCCAAAGGCGGATGCATATACTGTGACATCTCCGAGAGCTTGTAGGGCAATATGATGTTTAACGTATCCATTACCACCCCGTGGTAAACCCCGTCTTGTGCAGACGGCCATTGAAACCGGTTATGCAGGAACGTCAAGGCCGGGTCCCAATCCCGGATCTCCCAGTTATCTGCTTCGATGTTCATTGTCTCGACGGTGCTCAAATTGATCAACCGAGCAAGGTCGTCGAGCTTGACCTCATCGTCCCCGGTAACTCTACTGAGCGTCCGTGGATACGTCGCAAAGTACATGAACATGGGGCAAGGAGAGTTCAAGGAGAGTTGCTTGATGGCCGTGAGCTTGCGAATGAACCTCAACGGGACAGGCAGGTCCTCCTCGGCATTGAAGTTTCCTTCAAGCACATCTTGCGACGTGAGGCAGTCTTCTTGGACCTCGAAACGAACATTTGATAGTTTTAGAGAGACGATTTGGTGCAACGGAAGGCGCTTCACGACATGTATAAACGCACGGTCGGAGGCAGGCAACGGTGCTATGTGGCAGTCTTTGATGTTCAGGTGACGAACAGCGGGTAGGTCGAGGAATTGTAGTATGAGTCCGACTTCGTTGATTGTTCTGCCGTAACCAATAGAGAACGTATTGACGTGAGGAAGGATTAGGTGTTCCTGCGGGCCTGCCCCCTCGACATCACGTACGGCGCATACGAGTGACAGAATTTCAAGGGTGTCGATAAGATTTGACAGAGCAAGGCGCAGCTCAGATGTGGTAGGGGAGGTTATCCAACGGCAGACCGACTAGCTGCAGGTCACGGATACCACCACCGAAAGAGAAGCAGCCAAGTGGTATTTCTTGTACAGAGAAGCTGTGAAGAGAGGGGATACATCGCACTGTGCCACTGTTCCAGGGAAAGACATGAATGACCTGGGTATTTCATCAGCGTCAGTCCCTTCGTTCGTAATGTCGAGATTCTCGTGGCCGAAGTCGCAAATCTTGCAAACATGGCATGGGCCTGTTTATGAATGCAGAAAACAGGTTGACCTGGGTAGTCCAATCCCTCGTAATGACATTGAGAGTCCGGATGCGATGGGCATGCGCGCTGAGGAGTAAGGAAAGACACCGGGAGTGCTCGCTGCTGAAGGAGAATGGCTGGTGTCCTTTACAGTCAGTTGGAGCAGTGTACCACGACATCTTGAAAATCTGGCGGGACTTCGGGTGGAGCCCAGATATCGATCTTGACGTCTATATCGCACCCTGCAGAACGTTCCAGGATACGCATGAGTTTTGGGAATGTGGCTTGGGGATTGCCGACTGTAGCCGAGTAACACATGGAATGGTCGGGTGAGAAATCCGTGATGGTGACGCTCGTCCACAAAGTTGGACACGCTTCGATAAGATCCCACCATTCCTTGCATACTAAAGATAGCCTGAATCGGCCGATGCGTTTCCTAGGATCCTCCTCCTCCTCCTCCTCTTCATTCAACACAACAACGGCAAATATCTCTTGAAGGAGCTCGCAAGGAAGGCCGTTTATGAGGTCTTTTTGTAAGTCTGCCACCTCAGGGAACTGTTCCTGAGGGCGAGAGACTTCTTTCGAGGATGCATTCATCCTGAGAGTATGTAAGAAAAGTACTGCATGTCAAGTATGAAAGGCGTACTTACATAGAATCAGATTTCGAGAAGGTGCTTGGAATTTGAAATTGATTATGGGGCAGTGTAGTGGATTCATGGCCATGAATGCGCGATTATAAGTAAGGTGGGAGAGCTTCGCGTCGGGTGGCATGGAATATATCTGCAACAAACCCTTTGTTCAGAACAATGGAAACGATGCACATGGCGATTCCTTTGTTCAAACATGCGTTGCTATGCCCCGATAGGTACCAATATTGTTTACTATTCGTAGGTTCTGTAAGAAGGATAGGTTCTTAGGCTCTAGTCGTTAAACCAAGAGTTTATGTACGTACCTGTAACGGTTGCTATATAGGATGATACGTGCCACTGGTCAAGACTGTCTCATGTAACTATGAAACTGACGCGACGCTTCTGAACCCTGTCCTTCGGTTAACCTCGCTTCAAGACTGCCAGTCGATGATTAGTATCCACACTTAATTCCTCGTATGGATTGAGTCGCCCAATCGTCGCATCCCTGAGCCTCCCGCAAGCTCTACGTGTCTCGACCATATCCATGAGCGCCTTTTCTAGCTTGCGTCCGGTATCCTCTCGTTGCCAAATGAATTCCACCGCCTCGAGGTCTGGAAGGAATGCGGGATTAGCCTCAATATAGTTGGCTAACGCCTGGGAAACTGGGGCAATACGGTATAAAGCTGCCGAGGACTGGATCGCGGAGCTCGAGACGCGTTAAACCAGGAACGACCGAGAGAATGTCAATCAAACTTGAAGCCCGAATGGGAACTTTCTCCAACGTGAATGAACGAAGAGACTGGGAGCACGTGCCGAGGACATCGCTCACGATTTTCGCTACGAGGGGGTACTGGATGATGTTGTTGACGTATTTTAGGGTGAAAGAACGCAGGCATGGTAAAGAGAGGTCGGATAAATAGTACTTCACTTTGCTCTGGCAGGTGTAGTCAACCCAGAGAGTCAAGGAAGTTAGAAGGGATAAAGAAAGTGCCGGTAAGAAGCCGTATTCGTGGAGATCGCCGCGCGGAACTGAGAGTATAACGTCCCGGACATACGGGAAACGCTGAAGAGCGCGTCGTATCGCGACAATGCTGCCGTGACCACCTTCGATATCGCCTCGAGTGGGAGAACCATTAAAGGTCAATGAGCGAATTTTGTCGAAAGGGAAATCAGGGGATGGTGACCCATTCTCGAGGCCATAACAGCATTCATAACCGTGGAGATAGAGGTTGCGAAAGTTAGGAAGCTAGTGCAAAAGCAGGTGTCCCGTAGAGCTCTGTGTGTCCTGGGAATGCTATGGTATCCACCGCCTTCAGACACCGAGCTCCTGTTTCCAACAAACAGCGCAGACTTTGCTCTTGCCCAAACCACCAAACATCCCTACTTAACACATGAATCTCCTTCCAGCCGGCAGCTTGACAGAGCAGGTCAATCTGCCTATCACTCATTGGGAACACCCAATCAGAGGGAGGAGGACCTTTCAACGGCAAAGGTATCGTGGTCTTGCATACGAAAATGCTGATTAACAAGCCCTGCGAACGCTGTATATAGAGATTCGTGATCTCTTCCTGTATCGTGGCATGTTGAGCACGCTCGACGGGTCCTGGTGCGCCGTTCCTCAGCGCTTTAGTTGACGAAAGGATAGTGATATTCGTCCACAGGCGACGGGAGTACAGCGACACCGCACGCCAACATGAGCAGACGAGGGACAGTCGCAATGCGGGATACGCATTTTTAGGATACGCATTGAGGGGCTTTTCTCCACAAACATGGAGAAATATTTCTAACAGAACGTCATCGTTCAGTCGCGAAATGAAGTTCTCGTTGGGCATTGAACAAAGGGCAAAATCTTCCAAATAAAAAAGTCAGCACGGGAGGAAGGTGAAAGGAAAGAATAACGCAGACAGTAAATAGTTCAGAAATGGGGGACCAGGGGTACTAGAAAGGGACAGACTAAGAAAATTTGCGTCACCGGTCCAAACGGGAACTCAAATACTGTGATGCTTAGTCATATGTGACTGCCCTACCAGAACGGGTGATCCGGGCCGCTCCCTACGTTTCAACAATACTTCTGTGCCAGTAGCCATCGATTCACCGTCCTTTTTATCTCTCTTGACCGTTTCCCTTGATACGTGTAGCTTTACTTACAATGAGCTACCGAGGTAGATTATTTTGCGCTTATTTACCTGAGGTGTATAGTTTTCTGGTAAGTATGGTCTTGCCCCTTGCCTGAGACCTGGTCATGATTCTCTAGCTGTCTTTTCCCCCCTTTTAATTAGAATATAGGACTATCACTTGCTGCGGAACTCTAGCAGCACCGAATCGATGTGCTATACTCTGAATCATCTTCAAGCAAGTTACGGTGCGGCGTAACTGCGGTGAACAAAGCTTCCAAGAGCAATTGTGGCAAAGGTACTGACGTCTGCTATTGATTTTCATTTTCAGATCCACTCTATAATTATTCTCCATGTCCGTTCAAACATAGCAGTCTCGATGGGGTATGGGCACCCACTTGAAGTTCGTTCAGATACCACATATTTGCCGTCAACATTAAATTACTGCGTGAGGCGACGATACTTTTTACCAAGAGCGCTTATCGATAAAACCTCTCAATCTTCCATTCCGCTAAGACCTTTATACAGCCCCCTTCCTTCATCTTCCCCGCGGTATGCCACATTTCCTGGAACCAGCGTCTTGTCCGCTTTCGCTCATCGGATCTTTGAAATACGCGCATCACCTCCAATTAGATCGGTGGCGTCGCTAGCACCAAAATTATTCACTACAGTTATTGACAGGTCATTGCAACACCATCAGTCACTGAAACAGTTGATTTAGCCTCCTTCTCCCCAGTTCCGCTGCCTGACAGTGTTGCATAATCGGAGACATAGATATTATGGATTTTTAGTGATTTTTTGGGAATTTTAGCGCTACTGCTGACCCCGTGAAAAATCGAACAGTGATGCAAATTTGGCAGGGGTTTGCCACGTGGTCATTTACCAGTCAATGAAACACCGTAAATTACGGATATCTCAATACTAGATGCTTTGATCCAGTTCATACTTTGTATGGACATCACTGAGTAATATTAAAAATTTTGTGGCTACTTTATTTGAGGAAAAAGACAATGTGTGGTGGATGGGACAAAAAATATTTTTCGGCATTCCAATGACCGGTAAATAACTGTACGCCATCTTCGGAAGCTAAAATATTTCTGTTTTTGTGGTTCTAGCGGAAATACGCTTCTAATTCTATGTTTTGGTGAAACATACTTTCGTTTAAATATCACGTTGCACTGAGATTGGTCGTCATTCCTTCCGCCACCCATGGCTCAGCCTACGGTTTTCGACTTGCGCACCTCAGGTGGTAGGCGGTCTAAATCCCTTTCTTCACCGCCCTCCCGTGTCTCTTTTGCGCGTCCACAAAAACCACGTTCATTTCTTTCTGTTCTCAATCATATTCGTCGGAGGGTAGTCAGCAGCTTCCTCTCCCATCCTAGTCCGTCCCGAATCCCGGTACCAGCACCAACCATCGAACCTAAGATTCAAACTGAAGTGATGGTTATATCGCGACCTATGAATGCCAAAGTCCGGACCCTGGTGCCAAGGAAGGTGCACTACGAGACGGTCCGGCGACGGCAACATCGCGAAGAGCCCGTCCTTCATACTTTCCAGCCTACCCTTACCCGTTCCCGGCGATCCAAGCGCCCTTCTACAGCACCACAGTTGCAGAATTACAGTTCTGCAAAACACTTTGATGGATTCGTTCGAAGGAAGGAGCGGAAGCAAGCGTGGAGCGGTGAATGGAATAGGACGGACATACGGGACGTTATCAATGACCTGAGAAGTTTGAGATGATTTCCGCTGTTTGTTGTGTTTAGTGTGGATGGTGTTAGTGTCGTGTTCTCTGTTGATAGTCGTTTATCCCTTCAGTTGATTTTGCATTGTTGTACTTTTACAGTCTATCCTTTTATTCTCGCCCTTTCTTACTCTTTACTTCATTGCTGCTGTTGATACAGGAAATGTATTGATGCACGCACTGTAACATATGTATATTCGACTTGCACCCGCCGCGACATCTTCCATTCATCATTTGGCAGATTTATATTTCGACCGGTTCATAATCCCGGAGCGATGTCATCTTTTAGTACCAAATGACGGCATATCGCGCTAAAAAAACATCGACCACTATGATGTGACTGATCCTGTCTTATCCTCTTCTATCGGGGTGTCCCCTTCCACATGGTTCTGCGCCTGATACTGAAAGAAGACTAGTCTTATTATAGAACGTTTGGATAAGAAATGGGAGAAACAACCGTCATGCATTCAAACAGAAAGGAAACCCATCGTAAGTATGAACAGGTGGAAGCTACTCCAACGGGCGCTTGCGTCAGAACTACCAATAAGTATACGTACGGAATCCCGAGAAAAGAAGACATACTAGCCCACACAACCACTCAGACATCCGCAGAGAAGGAACGATAACCCTTGCGGCCGCCACGACTCATGGCCTTGATCACCGCTATAAAACATTCACAGCGAGACCACAGCACAACCATGAGTGTTGTGGCGTTCGAAGAGAATACCGTTGGAACCCTAGGATGGTGAGCAGTGAGTGAGAGCAAGGTGCAGATAAAGATAACGCTTACCACCATTCCCTTTTATATCCCGTTCTGAGGCCCATCACGCAACGGAACGCGATAATGTCGATCGGTGTGAATTTCCGGTGCCGAGATTGATTTATTCGGCTACAATTCACATCGGGACATCGGTCCCGCTCAAACTGCGAGTGCGCCATGCCTGCGAGATAAGGACGATGAAAGTCGTGATAGTGAATAGTCAGTAAGGATTCAGTTGCGTGCTGGTTAGTTATCAGATTGGGAGCGTGTTCCATAGCTGGCGACATAGTCATCTGATACATTGCGAGTATCGACAATAGATTTCCAAGGAAACTATCGTAAATCCTACAGGGCCAAATCGAATGTGGCACTTTTTGAGGGATCCATCGTCCATAGTTCACGTCGGTCTCGATCCTGACGTATTAAGGGCCGTGCCGTACAGGATAGGAAAAGAAAAATGGTCGTGTAGCCGAAAAATAGGCAACGAAATGAAGGAAGAAGCATCAAATGAGTAGAAAGAACAGAAGAACATCTGTACACAATGTGGAGGCGGAGCAAGGGTCGTGTCAAAGCGGAACGGAGCATGCTTACTCGTAATCTCTCCGACAGTTCTCAAGGACACTGTCAACAAAACGCCCCGATGGTGCCTCCAGCACCAAGAGAGTGTGCTGTCACCGCTTTTAAGTTGCGATGTCGCTTTAGGGGAAACCGGTCGAAGTACATGGATCCGGGATGAGGTGCGGACGTCCTGAACGTAGCAAAAGCCATTGTTCTGCGCCAGTAAGGGAAATCCTTAAGGATTTCTCTGGGGTCAACATCTTACCTCTATTTTGATTGCATGTTGATTGGTGCCGGCGTGGCTTCGCGACCTGCCGGGAATGCGGGCCAGTACGTGAACATAAAGAGAGCTTCAACGAGTCGGTCCAACAGCATCGCAGAAAGTGCAAGGCGTCGCATCGCGTGTGTGATTTTTCTTTTCTACGTCATCAAAAATCGCAGAACCGTGAAAGAACTAAGGTTTACGAGTGCAAGTCTGGGTAATAAAGAGAACGAAGACAGTCCTAGCATCCTAGGACCTAGAGCTATCAGAGCAGTCGTACATAGCGGAGATTGGGTAGAGAAGGTATTTGCATAGGAAGAAAGAGACCTGGCGGAAACCCGTGGTCCCTGATTTATCCAGGAAAGGGTAGGTCAATTCAATCTCCGCTCGGAGGGTTCTGCCACCTATAAGCTCCGATTGAATGAGCCGGACTTCGGCATCTTATTTTGGTTAAAACTGCCACGACCCCGGCACTAGACCACTCTCCACTATATACAGATACGAATTTCGTGAGTATATAATAAAGCCGGACTTGCCAGGCTATCCACTATACCTACAATTCTCAGATCACGCACCCTCATGCACTCCATAATTTCTCTACAGGTAATTTTTTTTTCGACACAGTACAAATCCCTTTCTCATCGGGAATCGGGGATTCTCTGCTTACTACAAAGCCCCCCGATGCCGTAAAAGAACAACCAGTCGATGGCATATATAAGGCTTACTTCTCGGGCAATAGTCGAACATCAGTATAATGTCTCCCATTCCCTTTGTCGACCTTAATAATGGTACGAAGATCCCAATCATAGGTTAGTACGTCCGTGCACGATTAATATTGCAATGTGTAACACTGATACGTCTAGGTATTGGTGGCGGTCCTAGCGCACTCACAGCCGAGGCATGCGATGCAGCTAAGAAATGGATATTGACGGCGATTAAAGTGAGGGACACCAGCATTTTGCGTCCGATTCATCAATTGAGTGTTACCGAGGCGGGATATAGACACATTGATACAGCCCTTCTTTATGGTCTAGGATGACCTCCTCTTCAACGGTTTTACAGAAACTAAACGATGCTCGTAGGTACGGAGAAAGTCATTGGTGAGGCTATCAAAGAGTCTGGTATTCCTCGCGAAGAATTCTTCATTACGACCAAACTGCCGTACGCTCTGGTGTCCTTTTTCTAGTCCACTACTCACATACTGTGATCCTTAGCTTCAACCGCCAGGATCGCGTCACCGAGTCGTTCGAATTGAGTCTCAAAAATCTCGGGGTGGAGTATGTGGACCTCGTACGTTTTGTTTCCTCGGAGGGAATATAGATCTGAATTATTGGACAACAGTATCTGATGCATTGGCCTATGGCCATACCTTACAAGGGTAGGCCAATGTCGCCTTCATTTAATTCTTGCCTTATCTCGTCTATTAAAGGCCCCTGGTTGGATTTACCTTACGGTGCTGATGGTTCCGTAATCACTGTCGATTCGCCGACTTTCAACGAGTCCTACGCAGAAATGGAGAAAATATATGCCAGTGGGAGGGCTAAGGCCATTGGAGTGAGTAATTTCTCCATCAAGACGTAAGTGTCTCCATCTGCGGCCCATCTTTTCGTCTTGATTTGGAGTTACGCAGGCTTGAAGAGCTCCTCAAAACGGCTACAGTCGTTCCGGCAGTAAACCAGATAGAGTATGTAAACCGTTGATTATCGTCTCCGCAGTTTTAAAAAGTGCACTGTCAGGCGCCATCCCTACCTTGCAGAGCACGATCTTATTGCGTATCACAAGAAAAAGGGTATCACTTACCGAGGCGTATTCTCCTGGAGGTGAGCGCGCCTATTCCGTTTTCATTGACTCAGGCTCATCACATCCATCCACGCAGGTCATAAAAATGCTATCCGGGAAGATCCAGTCATGAACGAAATCGCTGCAAAGCACGGTGTCTCGCCCACGCAAGTCATCCTCGCATGGCACATTGCTGGAGGTGTAATTATCCTGCCCAAGAGCGAAAATGAACAGCGGCAGAAGGATAATATCAATGTAAGCAGTCGCGCTTCACTTTCGCGAAGTGGTTTTGACTGAAACCCTCTTCAGCTTCCCACCTTGGATGAAGATGATTTGAAGAGGATAGATGGATTGGATCGTGGTGAGAGACTCTGTAATAAGATTGATAAGAATGGGAAGGTTTTTGGATGGACGAGAGAGCAGCTTGGGTGGTAGTCACGGTGAAATCACACTGCCTCTTTGAGATAAAGAACTAGAAACGATATATACTAACTCATGGAATTGACTGCTTTGGTCTATGATCATATATCTGAGACATCAAAATACTAAATTTTCGTCTGTCAACGATATGTTTGAAAGCCCGAAAGCCCAAACATTATTCAAATCGGTATGTTACCGAGGATTAGTGCCATACATCTGCTGCATTTAGTCTTACAATTGTCGTGTCCCACGCAGCATTGTGAGAATGATGATGACGAATATTCTTGTCCGTACGGTCTGTCGGGCTTTTTACTCCTTGGTTGACTTCGCATTTGGCTGGGAATATGGTGCGTGAGACTGTTAAATTGAAAGTCTCTTGTAAAGAGCTCAATAGTCAGGTCTTGCAGTCTGGCTACTGAGATTCAAATTTTCAATATTTGAGGCCTCAACTTTTGTCATTTACTGAAGTGAAATGAAAGCTGAAGCTCAAGAGTCAAAGGACTTGAGACTTAACTATGACCAACCTCACCGGAGATCTACTGTCAAATACGAGCTGTATTTACATTTTTTCGAGGTTTTAGAAAGTATTTCAGGAGATATATTGCGATCTAAGGTCAGGAAACGCGTCAAAGACGGTAAATGAACGGGAAATACGTGGACGCGATGTGATCACGTGTAGTTTAACTAACGCGTAATAAATTATTTAAATAAATGATCGTTAACAGTCAGGGGTGTTTTGACTTCTGGGTTAGGGGCTAGGACGCCAGGATTTTTGGGACTTCGCGCACATAAAAGACGCTCAGAGATTGTCGAAAATAGCCATAACTAGCAAAACGTTAGATCCATGACAGTAGCTCTCTTCGCTCGCATGAAATATGCATCACTATGCAAAAACCTCTACTAGATAACGAAGTACATATGAACCGTCCCGACTCCCCATCCATCATTAAGTTGATATTTATCGTTGTCTGTCTAAGTAGTAGAGACCAAGTCACTAAGACTCTCTTTAGAAATAGAAAACAGCGAAAATCTAAAGCCAGAACTGCCCACAAATGCGTATGCATGATGCACAGACCAGATTCGTTTATTTTCAATCCGACGTTCCAGGTGGCAGTATTAAAGGTTACACTCGAATTGCCATCATGATAGTATTAGTCAGTAGTGGACCAGCGGGAAAAAGTTGTTCCCTCAGCTCTTACGTCATATGTCCGCCTGTACTTATTATGCTCACTAAGCACTTGCCCTTTCTTCTTGACCACCATCGTCGCCATCATAATGCCCGTCATCCAAGCAAACTCTGCAGCTAAAGTCCTTGTGTCTGGAGCCAATGGATACATCGCCATCTGGGTTGTTCGTACTCTTCTGGAGCGCGGATACTCAGTGAGAGGCACCGTTCGCTCGACGGAAAAGGGGAAGCATCTTCTTGAGACGTTCAAGGGATACGGTGACAAAATAGAGGTGGTCGTCGTAGAAGATATCACCAAAGTACGTCTTAGCGGGATATATGCTAGGGCAGACTGCTCATTGCGGCCATTTCGTAGGATGGCGCGTTCGATGAGGCTGTCAAGGGCGTCGACGCAATTGCTCATACAGCATCTCCTTTCCACATGAATGCTGTTGATCCTCAAGGTATGTAATACTAGGTATTTACGCGATATCTGACCTACAGCGCCTGGATAGAGCTCATCGGACCAGCGGTGAAGGGCACTGTAGGAATGCTGGCCAGCGCACTTAAGAATGGGTAGGATTCCCTTCATACATACGTTGATCAAGTTCTGACACAAAATCACATTGTAGCTCTTCTGTCCAGCGTATTGTTGTAACCTCGTCGTGCGCGTCTGTTCTGCACGTATCGCCCGAGCCCAAGACTTTCTCTGAAGTCGACTGGAACGAGCAGTCTATCAAGGAAGTCGAGGAGCAAGGAAAGAATGCCCCTGGTATTGTAAAATACCGTGCGTCGAAGACCTTGGCTGAGAAAGGTAAACCTAGCTCTCCGCTCAGTGCTGTAGTTGTTGTTCTGAATTTGGATTTGTGCGGCGTCGTTAGCGGCCTGGGAATTCTACAAGAAGCACAAATCTGAGATTAAGTGGGATCTTTCTATTGTTAACCCTCCCTTCGTACGTCTTATCTCGGCTCACGTTCCCCCATTTGTTCTAATACTTTGGTTCTTCAGGTCTTTGGCGTAAGTACTCATTGGACTCTAGGCAAAACGCCCTGACCTTTTGTAGCCTTTCATTCATGATGCGTCGAGTGTAGACTCCCTCAACGAGTCAGCTCGAGTGTGGTACACCTTCGTTGCCACGGAAAACTCAGGCGGGAAGTCTCCCGAATTCCTCGCGACCCAAGGATCCTGCTGGATAGATGTCCGGGATCTCGCAGAAGGTCATGTGCGCGCCTTGGAGACACCCGCTGCAGGTGATGAGCGCATTATCATATCCGCAGGACCATTCGTATGGCAAGATTGGAGTACATCTTTTCTCTGATGTTCTTTTACGTCTTTCCTGATGATATTACAGTTGATACAGTGAACGAGTTATCTCCCAGCCCCATCCCGTCGCACACGCTCCCCAAGGGTGTTCCCGGAGCGGGGAAGAAAGCCAAGTATGCGGTGGATTACGATACTGCGAAGGAGAAGAAGATTTTTGGACTTGAAGCTGAGGACGAAGGAGGAGACGGCAAAGGACACATTGGCTGATTTCGAAAGGAGAGGATGGTAAGGAGTGCAAAGAAGAATTGACCATGAAAGATTTGTATGTTTTCCTTGTACTAGAAATGCTGTTTAAATGAGTTTAAAGCTTGCTTTACGCAAGTCTAATTGCGGCAAGGGCAGAACGGAGATTGGCACCGAGATACCGAATCAACTGATCCAGAGGACCGGGATCCTCGCACCGTTCGAAGACCGAGATCCTCACGGTGATTTCGACCCGACACTTGCTCGAAGACCGGGTTCTCGCAAGTGGCTTTCGATCAGTTCCTGATAAGACAGTGCAGTGCGGAGAGGAGCCACATCGCTCTCTCACTCATCCTCTCATTGTCCTACCAGGTAAGATTGAACTCTCGCTCTCTAATATATTTTCTCAATGCTGTACCAGACTCGGCGTTGTAGTTTTTCGGTTACCCTCCCTCCCTTCCCTAGTTACTGTGGACTGTTCATTGGACCTTTCATATTCTCCGGACTTTCCATTGAACCTTTCATATTCGGACACATTTCTATCTACTACACAACGTCTAACACATTTTCTTTCATTTTTCCGCTCATGTACTGTATTTACCGGCTCAGACACACGACACGCCGAAATCGATGCTTCAGGGCCCCCTGGAGGCGTTTTACGGGGGGCTGCTTTTGGCTAATGTAGGAGTCCTAAGTGAGCGATGCAATTAGACTTTTTTGAACGACCGCAGACTTCGTGAATCAGTGGTGCACGTTGACTGAGATACGGCTAGCGAAACTATCATGATTTTCGGTCCGAGTATTATGTGAGACGACCGAAATAACGACATTACAATTTTGTTAATCCTGATAAGATGCGCCCGCAATTGATCATTTATACATACTGGCAATGGCCCTGGCTCCTGTTTCTTCGTAATTGCTTCTTCGACTATGACTACCATCCCATGCGCTCCCTCGTCCATCCAAAAACCTTCCCATTCTCATCAATCTTATTACACAGTCTCTCACCATGATCCAATCCATCTATCCTCCTCAGATCTTCTTCATCCAAAGTGGGGAGCTAAGAAGAACGTCAGTTCGAATCAATTCGCGAATGAGAAGCGTGACTGCGTACATTGATATTTTCCTTCTGCCGTTTCTCGTTTTCGCTCTTGGGCAGGATAATCACGCCTCCCGCAATGTGCCATGCGAGGATGACTTGCGTGGGGGAGACACCGTGCTTTGCAGCGATTTCGTTGATCACTGGGTCTTCTCGGATGGCGTTTTTATTACCTGCGTGGGGATGTGGTGAGCTACTTCAATACAATGTAATGTCACTCTCACCTCCAGGAGAATACGCCTCGGTAGCAATGCCTTTCTTCTTGTGGTACGCAATGAGCTCGCGCCCTGCGAGGTAGGGATGTCGCCTAAAGTTGTAATTCTTAAGTTAGAACTGGCTAGACGATGATCGGCCCGTTTATACATACTCTATCTGGTTTACTGCCGGAACGACTGTAGCCGTTTTGAGAAGCTCTTCAAGCCTGTGTAGCGTCACATCAAGACGAGAAGACATGCCGTTGCCAGAGAGATACATACGTCTTGATGGAGAAGTTGCTCACTCCTATGGCCTTGGCCCTCCCGCTAGCGTATATTTTCTCGATTTCTGCGTAGGACTCATTGAAGGTGGGGGAATCGACTGTGAGGAGAGAACCGTCGGAATCTAGCGGGAAATCCATCCAGGTTTCTTGAGGAGAGAGACGTTAGTAAAAGATGATGAAGGAGAGCCATATTGGCTTGCCTCGGTAAGGGACGGTCATGGGCCAATGCATCAGGTACTAGCAGAATGAGAGTAAGACTAGTGTTTTATCGGAGGAAATGAAGCGTACCAGGTCGACGTAGTCCATCCCGAGATTCTCAAGACTCAAGTCGAACGATTCGGCGACACGATCTTGGCAGTTGAACCTAGAAAGCAGTATTCAAGAGTGATATATTTCGAGTCTTTTAACGGGGCGTACGGCAGTTTGGTCGTGATGAAGAATTCTTCACGAGGGATACCAGACTCTCTGATAGCCTCGCCGATGACTTTCTCCGTCCCTGCGGTCATGGTTCAGCATTCATTGGAGAACTACGGAAAAGTATACCCGGACCATAAACCATGGCTGTATCGATGTGCCTATACCCCGCCTCGAGGGTGCTCAGTCGACGGATCGGACGCGATAGCTCGGCGTGCCTCACCTTAATTGCCGTCAAGATCCATTTCTTAGCAGCAACACAACCTTCAGTTGTGAAGGCGCTAGGAGCACCACCAGCACCTAAGCATATAAGCGTTACATTGCACAGTATTGTCGCAAAGAGTCGGACATACTTACCTATAATCGGAATCTTTGTGCCATTATTCAGCTCGACCAGGGAGATTGGAGACATCAGTGTCTGCTGGGAGGTTGTCTGTTTTCTGGGAAGTCTGCCATATATATGGTTGACCTGCGTGGCCAAATCGACATCTTGTTCACAGCATCAGCGTCCTTCGTGGTCAGCAGCCTAAAACCTCCGATTCCCGATGATAAAGGGATTTGTTTTTGTTGAACGTGTATTTATACTTAGCAACCCGGAATTAACGAAGTTAATCCAGAATGCTCGTTTGGGTAAGGGGCACACCCTTGAGAAGGGATAAAACTAAACAATTTGGTCGAACCGGGGGTACTACGCGAGGAAATGCATTTAAGCATTACTATTCAAGTTCGTGTGGGACTCGGTGCCTCCCTCGTGGCCGTTTCCGGCCCGGCACAATACCCACTAAAACCCCGCCCTAATCTATCCAGTCCTCCGGTAAGGCTCTCTCGTCGAGCAGCGCTCCTTTCAACCGGGTCGATAGAACTATCACTTTTTTCAGTGCCTTAGCACCATACCGATACTTATTCACCAGCATACGGTCTATGGTCAATCGTCGATTCATCGCCGCGATCCAAAGATTGCGTACTTCGTCTCTCGTGTGCCAGCTCTCTGGGCTGTCATCTCCTCGTTGAATCCTCCGCTGGCACCTGATCTGGAAGATCAGGTGTACCGTCTCAGTTAGAATTAAATTTCAAGTTGTGATATGTACAAGTATCTCTCGTAACTTCTAAGCTGTTGTACAGTTCAAATAAGTGTTATACACTGTTTGCATCCTCAAGGAATGGACAGGTTGAATTCATAAATGATGATGATTATTGTTACACCCATAATAAGTACTACACTTATGGAGTTCTTTTACCTACTGTATTAATGATGTCCTGGAACAGCTTTGCACCGGCGCTACATCCTCCTGAAGATTTCTTACGTTGACTAGAAGAATCAATTTAAGCTGCTAGTTATACACATGCAGGCAACATACTATCATTCCCAGAGGGACCAAAGTCAGGGAGGACGAGGAAGTCGGACTCCGCAGTGTTGTCCTGTCAGCGACGCAAAGTCCGTCCATACGTACGGTACAACTTCAGGACATCAGTCGGCCGAAGTGGACTCCGGCCCGCAAACGGCCGAAATTGCGCAATCGATCATCCACGTGTTTGTTCGTCGATAGAGACTCGGGTCCGTTTGCTGCTTTCTGTCTCTTCCTATCATCCCTTCTACGCTGTCCGCGCTACCTCTTCACTCACATTTCCACTGTCGGGATCAAGAGTCACTCAAACCATCTCAAAGAGGATTAGAGCTATACCCTAGGACGAGAATGATCTGACCCGGGACTTGGCCGCACATTTTCGAGGATGCAACGACCAACGAGGGACTTTTACACCACTGCTAAACTAGGGCTACTGGTTACGGGAGATCTTCGTGGCTTTGCTGACTACTGTCCATCGCTGTCTTGGCTTGTCTTGTGCTGACCGACTTCATGCAGTTTTTTTCAGATAACATTATCGGGATATCGAGTACGTGGTTTCCCCTCCTTAGTGTCCATCACTGTCACTGACCGTACCCATGTAGTTGTCGTATCGCCTTCAGTGATCAAATATGCTATCTCATACGAGCCGCAAAGGGCCCTCATGCAGTCACGGACAGATTTGATTCAGTATTTATATACTTGGAACATGTACTGTACAGTTAGCCTAGATAATATATTGCTTTGCATACTCTTTCGATGTGTGAATGGTCTAATATGAAAAGAAATACGGAGGATGCTCCTGCTCATTGATATGGGGTTGTAAGCTATCATCAATCCTTATAATCTATATAATAGTTCTGGCGGGTTATACGGATTATCAAAGTTGACATGGCCCCATAATATAATATGAGGAAAGCTGTAATATTATTCCAAATTGTACCGCTGGACCTTATGAGTACCTTATGCCGATGACATTCGGATATAAATCCTTACGTGTTTTTCCCGGATTTAGCGATTCTTATCAGCTGATATCTGGTCCGATCTCCGAAGCTGAGATTGAATCTCACTTTTCTTCCTGCCGAAAGCGATCGGGACATCACTGAGCTAGGCTGCAATGCAATAGGCATCCGGAGGCCCCTTCAAAGTTTTCCATCTTCCCTAAATGACCCATATGACCCAGATTCTTCGATTCTACAGCTCATCGCTGCTGACTAGCTACCAAGAGCCCTCCAATACTTGTTTAAGTACCATCGAAACTTTAATTCGAACTTCACTGGTCGCTGCTGTGCGTTAAATGCTCCTTGGAACTTTTTCACTCGGGAGTAGGCCTTCACATCGAATTCCTTCCAATATTAGCTGTCTATGCTGATTTCCAGTCAAACGTTTTTGCCGTACTATCTTTTCACGTTTTTCCCGCCCGTAGGTGCAATGTTCCGTACGGGTTTACCGGAGCGAGGTACTCGGCATGGAAGGACACGCGTCCTTTTCTATTTTTCAGGGTATATTATCCTCTTCTCTCTTTTCCTCACTCGTGTCATGCCTGCTCTCCAACAACACTCCAACGCGAGAATACTGGTGACTGGAGTAAATGGATACATCGGCTCATGGATTGCTCGCACCTTGCTTGAACAGGGAGCGACTGTAAAGGGCACAGTACGAAGCGAAAAGAAGGGTAAGTATATAAAACAGCTTTTTGCTTCTTATGGGGACAGGTTTCAGCTTGTTGAGGTGCCTGATATCATGGCGGTGCGAACTCGATTGTGATTGTTCATATATGCTTTCCGTGAACTAATAATTGATTTCGCAGGACGGTGCATTTGATAAAGCCGTTCTGGACGTAGATGGTGTTATTCACACAGCGTCGCCCGTCGTCTTGGCCGCGGTGGATCCGGAAGGTGAGATGTTCCGAGCCTTTTGGTTTACTCAGGATAGACATTCAGATTAGAGGTTATCGGGCCGGCTGTCAAGGGAACGCTCGGCTTACTGACCAGCGTTGCCAAGTTTGGGTGAAGGTCCCACAATCTTCCTCCGAAGCAATATAACTTACCAACTTGAACAGAGGACAAGTTCAGCGTGTGGTTGTTACGTCTTCATGCACAGCCGTATTCCATTTCCCCTCCGAACCCAAGGTCTTCTCGGAGGCAGACTGGAATGAGCAAGCAGTCAAGGAGATAGAGGAGAAAGGAAGTAATGCCTCTTTCGCTGCGAAATACTGCGCCTCTAAGACTTTGGCAGAAAAGGGTTAGTGAAAGTTCTTACGCTTGGTATTCCGATCACTGACCGTGTGGATAATAGCTGCCTGGGACTTTTTTGATAAACACAAAACCACGCTGCCTTGGGATCTTTCGGTCATTATCCCACCCAACGTAAGTTACTGAGGAAGGCTATAATTTATATCATTTCACTAACTTTTTATCCAGGTCCACGGGGTGAGTTTTGGGGTAACATTTGTCGATTATCTTCCAGGCTGATCAGCGAGCAGCCTTTTATCAATGAAGTAGCAAATCCTCAATCACTTGGGTATGCTACGAACGAATGGTACAATATTGTCGTTTGCGGGAGCATGAGCCCCGAAGACATGGCAACCCAAGGACACTGTTGGGTTGACGTCCGTGATTTGGCGGAGGCACACATACGGATTCTATTTACCGAAGCCGCGGGAGGTGAGAGGATTATCGTGTCGGCAGGTCCATACGTATGGCAGGACTGGCGTAAGCGCTTTATCTTTTCTACACATTAATGTCTTACATCCACGACAGTCGACGCTGCCAACTCGCTTTCCCCTTCGCCTATCCCGTCGCATCATCTGCCTATGGGCGTTCCGGGCGCAGGAGTTGGGGCTAGTTATTTGATGAGTTACCGCACTGAGAAGCAGGCAACGATATTGGGGATAAATTTCAGAACCAAAGCAGAAACTGCGCGCGACGTCTTGACCGATTTCGAGCGGCTTGGGTGGTGAATCTCTTCTATTTTTGACGGATGACGCAGGTCAGGGTAGTTCATACAGATATTCGTGAGCCGTCATAGCTCTCAGCTCCACGGAATAAAGTAATAATCGCGCGCATCTCACTTGTGAATGTAAATCTGAATTCAGGATGCTATCGTTTGACAACTAATTCGAAGGAAGTCAACGATCAGATTCAGAAATCGTCCCCGCGCAGCCACCTCTGTACCATTTCCAAGGACTCTTTCGGTTTATCGTAAGGGACCTGATGAAGATGAGCTCATCTCGCTTCCTGTAACGCCGAAGAAACCAAACTAACCATGTGGCCTGCTCCATGAATGGTAGCAAACGAAAATCCCTTTGCACTTCGTGTCTTCCCAGCAGGCTTTCCATCAACATACCAATCTCTCAGCTCCTTTGTCGCAAATTCCGTCTGACCACTCCATTCCAACGCAAGTGTCCATCTCTCATTACCGACCCAGTTACATATCCAATCGTACGAGCCTACATATATGAGGACTTTGACGCCGCGCTCGAGAAGAGCAGCAACGTAGTCCTTAGTGGGATGCAGCCTATCCTGGGTGGCACGGAAGTCGTCGCCGACATCAGGATTACATGAAGTGAAGTTGGTGGTCAGTGAAGGATCGACACCGAGTAGAGTGCGAACGTTGGGATCGTCGAGGTATTGACGGATGTATCTAACAGGAAATTAGAAAATGGGAAGGCAGAACCAAAAAGTCACGAACTTTGTCACAGGGTAGCAAGAGGGTCTCAGAGATGTCTCCATCACACTTGCGACTCATGTCGTATGGGTTCATACCTAGGGACTATCAGGAAAGCACTAAGAACGTGGGGAGTGATTATACTGCGTACCAGGTCTGTCCGATAAGGGAGCACTGAGAACGGAGCTACAAAAGGAGTATGCAGCACCGCAGTTAATGGAATCGAAATTGGTCGATACAGGACCCAGTCATCCACTTTTCGCATCTTTGTAGCTGCCAAGACGGTAAGAGGATATGACGAAGGATAGTTGCCTGCGCACCGTGGACTTCATGTACACGCAGGCTTTGATATCTAGAATCGGGGGAACAGAGGCTGGTGTGCACTGCATGTCGAAATAAGATAGAAGCGTTGTTATACTATCCGTTATCCCGTTACCTTGGTTGGGGGATCAACGTTTCTGATGTAGATATGGATGGCATATATGCACACCTATCATTACGGAAGTGAGGTTGATAGGTGTCTCGCCAGCATCCACCAGCTTAGCGTTATTGTCGTATACAGCGGAGGCAAAAAGAGGAAGGTATCTTCCCTAGACATAATAAGCGACGACCAATAGGCATAAAATCCGAAAGCTTACCCCATACGATTCGCCTGACATATGAAACGCCCTTCCTTTGAACTGGTCGAAGTTGCTGAAGAAGATGGTGACAAAGGTAGCTATATCTTGCGCAGCTTCTTCAGACGTACTCTATACAGGAAAATATCTTAGACCATAGACCAAACAAAGAACTGCACCTACAACAGTCTCGCCATACTCAGCATAGGAGAATCCGACTCCGATGGGCTGATCAATGAAGAATATGTTGGCATTGGTATTCCAGGACTCCGGATGGTACTTGGCTCCGCCAGAATCGAGAACACGACAAGGCCCTGCCGGTGTGATGAATTAACCTTATTTCATGACATAAGTCAGTTTACCTAGTTCCATGAATAAACCCAGTGACGACGAGCAACCGGGGCCGCCGTTGGTCCAGAAGATCACATCGTCTTTGTCCGGGTCACTCCTACTTTCGAAAAAGTAGAAGAATAAATGTCGTGCTTCGATATCAATGTATCCGGTGTATGCGCTGGGGTATTCCTCAAATGTATCGGCTATATCATGCAGTGGGGCTCGTACCTTACAGTTTCATCGCAAAAGTCAGTTTTCTTGATCCTCACCGAATGTTCGGGATACAGAGGATGTTCGAGAGTTGTAAATTGATCGTAAGAAAGAAGGGACAGAGATTGTGATTGTGTGGCATGGCCGTAATCTTCATAGTTCTGATACGTAGCAGCTGTTTTGTTCGCTACCAGAAAGGTCTGTAAGGCGAAACTTGAGCAGAACAGCGAAAGGAGGGGCAGGCGATACAACATCATAGATAGCTAAGTAGGCCAACGATAAGGAGATAACATTTGTGAGAATTGCAAGCTTCTGTATTTGATGCCAATATCGCAGGGCTGAGAATCAAAACACAAATATGTCATGAGTTCTGGTCATGACGCGTGCTGCGATAAGAAAATTCCCAGTCAACGAAGTTAACCCAAACCAGTGAGGATACGATATTGCGGCCATGACATAACAGACGAATATTTTGAGAGCGATTCTCCCGAAGCGTCCACTGTAGTGTTCTTGATAAGTAGTAGGCCTGCCGCCTAATGCGTCAGAGGGCCGGAAGGTCCGGGCCGAATATCGTGTCCAACGGAAGCACGTGCACGTGCGAAGCCGGAACGTTGAATTTCAACCGCTTCCACATCTTACGTTCGACTTCAGTCTGGGAAGAGGCAAGAAGAGATGTCTTCAAATATTCTCAAAAGGAAGGCATCTCATAGTCCTCCCAATTCACCAAAAAATTTGGCTGATACAAACGGAAATGTCAGTGAGCAAATAATGCTGGATGCAGAAGAAGAGACTTCAGATGCCCTTCATCCCGAAGTTGGAAAAGGTTCTCCGAGGGTGTCCATAGGTATGTTGTAGCTTACATTACATCTCTTACTGCTCTGAAATTGTCCGAAGCCTCAAGTGTTGGGGGATTTCTTTCTCCACCGAGGGATACTGCGCCTTCTCAACTTGCACTTGATCAGGAAGTTTCGCTTAGACAACGGTGTGGGCAACCGTCCGCAATCTCCTCAAACAGAGTATTCGCTACCGTCACCTTTAAGCGATGCGTCAGGTCGTCGAAGGTAAATTCTCAGTGGCCCTTTTGTTCCCGTACATATGGTTTAATGTCCAAAAATCAGCTCAGCCGGCTACTCCCAAAATGAAGGTCCTGAGATGCTCTGGGAGCGCAAGATCTCTATACTTCTCGTCATGGGACCCAAACCCGAAAAGGGACCTCATAATTCATGGCATGCCCACGAAAATCGTCTCGGAGTTGAGTGGGAGGACATGCGCTGCTCTCCTCAACTTTCGGCGGACCTTCTCAGTGACGAGAATTGTCGTGGTTTCATTTATCCGCTCAGATTGGCCCCCGGGGAACCACCGGTTTTGGCAACTGGGCAGAAATGGGGCCAATGGTACGCGCATTACATGGTAAGCGAATATCGCTATCAGAATCGCATCCTGTTAATTACTTTGAACAGACGCTACTGGTTACTCGCTTCCCAGATACACCCTTCGTCTCTGTTACGAGATGTAGTATCGAATCGTTCATCGACAAAGTCTGCTCTCCATCTGAACTTGAGAAACTCGACCACTATACTTGCATTATAGCGCGTCTAACCGATCCCTCAAGCGATGATCTGTAAGCATACATTTCTTGTCCTGAAATAATCACTGACGTATGAGTCTAGGTCATCTATCCCTTACCTCGCTTCTCCTACCCGTCTCACGACATTTGTCTCAGGAATGCGCCAGCTTTGCAAAAAGACTGCCGTCTTCCCTGATATTGATGAGATGGAATACGCCGCCCAAAAATTACGCGTCATCGAGTGCCTCGACTCTATCGCGCAATCTGTGACCTCGACGCCACGTCCTAAGACTTCCGTAGCAGGAGGGAAAGTCCCGGGACAGATATACAAACGAGAAGGTTCGCACTGCGAACGGCATGTTTTGCTACCGAAACAGATACAGTCATCAAATTACCGTTCGGTAATGAGGGAAGGCCAGCACCCTACGTACCGCTGGCTCCAGCAGGATTTTGTTCCATACAACATCGAATGGCGGGTATTCCTTGTCGGTGGAGAGGTGGTGAAAGGTGAGAGTGTCCAAGAGGAAGGAGCTAGATAACAGTTGGGTTGCCGAAACGCAATACAGTCGGTGTCCTCTTTTTGAACTCGAGTCTGTTTTCATCTTCCGTTCTTCGATCTATTCTATACTGACCATAGTTGAAGGGAGCGACTAAGAGCGCAACCAGAGGATGAGGATGAGTTTCCAGACTTGACCGCTCACGACGAAGAGTCCCGGATCCGCTCTGATGAAGAGCTTATTGGATTTGCCGAGCGTAGCCCTGGCGGCGCTCGTCCAGCGAGAGACCGAGATTCTAGGACACGTTCCGTCTATCTCAATGCTCTGTCGTCTCGATATCTCGGTAATGCGACAACCGACGACCGGCAAATTGCAATACTGGATTGTCAGTGTTGCTAGGGGTGCTAACGTCCCTATCCACGGTATCGATGACAGCTTTGATACTCTTGGGGTCATCGCCGATGAGTTGGTGGATGCGCTTAGGAAGAAATCTGGACCTTGTAAGTTCCTTTTCACTTTCGATTTGAAGAAAAGTATGAACTAGTTCTTTTCACAGCGGACGCCTCCTTTCCCTACTTCCCAAGGAGAGAAATCCCCCCCGCCTGCGGTACGATCTCCACCAGTAGCCCAGAGGGTTAAGTACATCCTGGTGGTACCAGGCCCACCCAACCCGTTCTCTCTAAATGCTAAAGTCTGGGGTAACACGCATACCATCGTCAATTCGAATTCCTTATGGGTGAAGGTCGATTTACCTCGTACGGATGTCCAGCTTCTAGTAACGCATAAAGCCATCAAAGGTTTCATCCATGAGATTCCATTAAGGGACCTCAAAGATGGCGTTAAACCCAGAAGAGGGTATTCGGGCGTCTGGATACACCAGTTGGTAGGTGCTCTCGACCCATTTCTGGCCCGTCGTTCTCATGGTATCCTGCTATAGGTGCTTTTAGGGTACTACTGGTCTCATAGAAGCTCTACAGATGTGACATTCATGTCGTGGACCGACTTTATAGACAGAGTCATCGCAGGGACCATCAAAGCGGATATAATTTGGGGCGGTGTAGATCTGAGCAGTGCACTGTAGGCTATCCACTTTCTCCTTTAGCGCCGTACTCATTGTCTGCACTCAGTGATACGGTCCCTGGAATCAAAGAACCCAGTGTGCGCCAGCGCTTCCTCGACTCTTTGAATAAAATCCCAGCAACCTTTGGTACTGTTGAATGAGCTTCTTCATGCCGGACGAAAATTTGACGTTATCGGGGACCTCGATAACATCGCTCGGTACAACATGGGAACTCCCCGACCAGAGACAGATGTCCTTTCGCTGGATGGTCACGACGACGACATAGATATCAGATCTTGGATCTTCAAACGCGAAGGCAGTCATAACTTTGCTCACGTCCAAGCGTGTGTAACACCTAGCCAGCTACCTGCACACCCCAATTATCGATGGTTGAAGCAGCAGTATGTCCGCTCACTGGATCGCCATGTCGAGTGGCATGTCTTTATGATCAAAGGGAAGGTAAAATGCGTGTTTTATGTGATGCCGATGGACAAAGTCGGGTTGAGGGAGGTGCATGGGATCTCTCGAGATGAAAATTCATACCGTTCTGTGTGGTTGAGAACGAAAGGCTGGGATCTGGCAACGATGAAGTAGGTGCAATCATATCTCCCTATTTCGTATTTCACAAATTCGCTTGCAGCACCTTCGCGCACAGAGGCAAACGCCAGCTTGTACATAGGTCAGGCGGAACCCGAGCTTCACTAGAGCAAGCTGATGCCGAGATGAGGTTATTTGCCGAAGGTACCCTAGCCGAACTGATTCAGGTGGAGAAGCGGAGGTTCGAGGGGCAAACACTCTCGATAGAGAAGTTTTGCCGGATGGACTTGGGAATCATGAAGGATGACAGCGGGCAGTTGCAATACTTTGTGCATGGGATCAGGAGGGGCCCGTTTATTGAGATGTTTCCCTCGGAAGTCGAGGACGGGGTCTTTCGGTACCTCAGTAACGAGATTTTGAAAGTGTTAAGGGAATAAGTAGGAGGAACTGGTTTGAAAAGCAATATCTCAGTTTATGTTTATCTGTCTTGGGATGCCTGATTCTCATTAACAGGTGTGAAAAGCTTTGGAGGATGGGAGAGGACAAGAGCATAGACGTGTCAGTCTCACAAAGTAATCTAAGCCTATAACTGGCGTTGGCCGTGTAGCGTAATGGTTAACGCGCTAGTTTCCGGTATTGTGGACATACATCCAAGCTAGAGATTCCGAGTTCGAGTCTCGGCATGGTCGAGTACACTTTTCTTATTTTCCTTGCAAATGAGTATTGCTTGTGGGGTACGTGTCACATAAGTTCCGTGGGTTTTTCCGCGCTACTGTGCAAGTTCAAATTTTTTTCCGCTTAATTTGCATACATTTGATTATAATCCAGGGTGTTCATTGAGTCCGGCGTCAGCCTGAGCAAAGTTTCTTCATATCTACGCTCCGCACATCTACAATAAATAATTTCCTCGATCTCGTTGAAGCCAGACTCTTATTTTATCTGTCATTCTGGTTACCGATATTTATGTTTCGTTCGGATCGATCCTCAATCGTTTTTTATTGTGACAGATACAGCACGTTCACTCTGGATCCCCAGATTCATGCTGAACATCAAAGTAACAGGCAGTGTCAGCTAATTCTTACTTTGTGGTCCCGCAAATGGCCTAACCCTCCGTAGAATCACATCGTGAGGCATTGGATTCTGCTTTTGCTACTTCAGATTCTTGTCAGATTCAATCCATCAAATTTTCATGAAAATATACTGTCATCTTCGAGCGTATTCAAGATTAAAATTTGGGCTTGAATTGAAGAGCAGAAGCATGACTCATGTGAGTGGCTCGAGCGCTTGCACCTTGAACGCACGGACAATACTCAGAGAACAGGATTTTGCTGATAGAGCGAATCGACGATTTATTCCCAGTATATGAGGATGCCAGCGACCTGCCGAACCTTGCGCTGCCTATCTGAAGTTGTCCAAAGCATTCTCGAAGATGATCATGAGAGCAAAGAGAGATGGACATTTCTCAGCTGTTTTCTGATGTCTGAGACTGTATAAGCAAATCAGATTTAAGAATCGTGTCCCATATCAATATGGGCCAAGAGGGCTCCTCCTTTATTTGAGTCCGAGCAGAAGAATAAGTATGTCGCCATGCTATGAAATCACGACGGTGACTTCCATTTCAGGAAGGTCGCAAGTTCTCTTTCACCGTCAGTCATCGTTCAGACTCAGCCTAGTGTCACCGTGTACCGCGGCATATTTCCGTCCACCTCATTCGAAAGCAGCAAATTTCAAGTCATTGCTGTTCGGCCTTCTTACATCTCACACCAAGCTCACACGGTAAGCCTGAGAACCTTACGGTTACGATCTCTATAGCTTCTCAATCTCATACGTTTGCTACCAGTGAATATAAAACACTGGTACGGATCCTCGAGGAATCTTCCAGCTTCCCTTCACGTCCTGTCCATCGCACCCGCCAGAAAATAGCGCGGAATTATACATCAGATCCTGTTATTGCTATCAAGACCACCGTAAAAAAGGAAGAGCCCTCTGACAGAGATGAGATCTCCCCTCTCCTGTACCCCACCTCTCAAATTTATGATATAAGTGACTGGCAACACCCCGCCGAACTCGAATACTTGGACGCCGTTGATTGGTCCAAAGCTGAAGTCGTCAAATTCCTCATTACACATTCGTTCTCCGTTCCGGGTAGACCGCCCCACCGGGGCCGGTGGACTACCATCACATTGGGAGACTGAATCAACGACGGTCATTCCTACCTCATACCGTATCCCTCTCATGTTCGTTGCCAACTTTCAGTTGACGTCTCTCCAGCTCGTTCTCTCCGTTGACACAGATATTCGGAAAACAGAATTGAACAAGTTCAAGGGAGGGATACTTCACATCTCCAGGCTATGTGACACGCTGTTGGGTGCATCTCAGAGAGCCATGGATGTAGGAATGAAGCAGTACCTGGCGGTGCAAGACGTTCGATAGGGCACTGGTGAGGTATCGCATGGAGTGGCTTCTTTCCGATCCGGGAAAGGTCCAGGAGTTCTGGGATTTGTATGGGAAAGAGGAATATGAGAAAGACCCCGTGAAACTTGGTATGTCCTGAGATCTTCTATCTAATTTTGACATGACGCTCATATGATTACTATCTAGACTGGAAGAGATGCGTTTTGAAAGGATATAACGGATTCAAGCTTGATGAAGAACAAATAGAAGGTGGTATCACGTTGAGCCAGTGGTTTCATGGGCTGAAAGACCATCAAGGTGATTAGGTGTGGGATACTGCCAACGAGTTTCCATCATCTCTCACTGCCCTACAATATCTTGAACGTTGGAACAAAACAGGAATTTGGGACCAGGCGTTGGAAGCATCGGCATCAACAGGTGGGAATCCATCATCCACCTATGTCAATCAGCATTCAAATATGATGGATGTTGATCCAGTGTCGCCGGAGATATCCGTCTCCGTTTCCCCTTCACACAACACTCTTGAAACATTCATCTCTCCCGAGCAGAAACATATTCCAACACCTGCCGAATTCCTCGAAATTCTCAGTCGCTTCAAGACACAAGAACAAAGCATCTTCCAACTCGAGATAGAGATTAGCAACTTGAAACGCGGTGAGATGGACGTCGCATCCCCACAGGGATCATCTCCTCTGCTCACAGAATTCGTTCCTGCCCAAATTTTCCTCATGACTATGTGACCAGGATTGTATAGCAAGCTACTGAAACCATCCGCTCGGACGGTTCTTGGATCCGAAGCGTTTGGAGTATCTAGAACTTGTGGTCATTTCGAGTTCGAAGGCAAAAGAGGCTGCGGACGAAACATCTTTACCTGAAACGATAAGGTCATTGCGAAAGCTCCAGAAAACCGGCAGTTAAAACTCTCAATTCTGAAATGATGTGTTTCAGGCCTTCAAATCAGGACGTCCCTATTTTCTATTGGCACTCGTGAGCTATTATGTGTTTCTCATTTCCCTATCGGCATCGTTACAATTCATGGTCGTACCATCTTCCCAAATAGCTCCTTCATGGGGCCTTCTAAATTTGCAAGTGCTGTTTCCGCTTTCCCGGCTATTTTTTTCATCATCGAAAAGCTCTCCTCCATTTTTCGACAGTCGTTCCTGGCATTTGCCTCTAATTTCCTGGTTTCCTCAAGCTCTCGCTCAATATATCTGTTTTTCTCCTTCAAATTTGAGCATTCTCTTTTTATCGTCGTGACCTCTGCGGTGAGCCTTGTACATTCTGCTTGCATCTCGTCGGCAAGGGTATGGTACGCCGCCCTGATTTTATCGAGTGACTCGTCCAGCATTGCGACAGAGGATGGAATTTGGCTAGAGCGTAGAAGAGTGCTTTCTTGTGAAAGAGAAGGCGTTGCTGATACCATTTGTTCATTAGAACTATCGTCACGCGAGAACCCTTGGGCGTGCATTCTCTGAGCGCTGCGTATCTCTTCCTCTCCTTCCTCTTCTCTCCCACGTTTCTGCTTCCTCAGAGGCGTTTCCGGTGTCATCAGCAGTGGCACGCGTTTCGACGGGGTATAATTCCAACAATCCATCCCTGCAGTCACAATCTGTACCAGATCGAGAAGCTATGCAATACTTGCAGCCAAGTCCCTTGTATTTCTTGCGTCCTTCTGGGGAACAGATTGGCACCCCAATCGCTTTGGCTTCACAGCGTAGTCCGTTTATCTGGCATTTGAAACACTACGGATGCTTAGCACCGAAAGTAGTACAAGGATGTAAATGAAGACTTACGCCTTTGTCAAACGCGGGGGCCTTGAGAGACCAATCACTGATGTTCACAGGTCCATCACGACGCGCTGTTTTCACTCTTTTTTCTAAAGAGCGTAGCCATGGATGCTCCAGATATAGCAGTCGATGAAATTCTCCATATTTCATGGCCCGCGCTGAATAGATGACCTCGTTGCTCTCCTTCAACAGTGCCTCTTTGAGAGGAACCAAGACTTTGTCTGAATAGTCATCCCAGGTTTCCTCGCCATCCCATGGTCGATATCCAAGCCTCTTCTTATTTTCATTCCAAATCCTCTTCAATCACACGCGTTCATTTAGTTGAGTACATGGCAAAATCAGGTAGTATAAACTTACAGTGCATTCATCTTTGTACAGATATACTTCTGCTTTCTTCCTCGACTGAAATAGATGGCGGAAGTCCTGACTCTACCTCGAGTTTTACATTTTGGTTAACGGTTGGGCTGGAGCGAAGCTGAGTATGCAACTGAGTGAGTACGGAGGTTCAGAGTGAGAGGGAGTACTCACTTCGTCGATATCGTCGCCTTCCGAGATCACAGAATTCAATCGAGGCATCGTGAAGCTATGCTCTCTATCAGGAGCTTTCACAGATTGTCGGTCGTCCTCAGTCGTTGTGCAAAACGGTTGCGAGTTGTAGGTGACAAAGAAGGGTGGTTCGTGATAGAAGAAAGCAGGAGAAGTCGTCCATGGCTCGATCAATACAAAACAAATTCTGGAACATTAGAGTGAGCGCTTCGAGTCCCACACAACTTGTTTTAAATGAATTTGATAGCAGACACGCTACCTCGGGTAGATAATATTCAAGAATAAACGGGATCTTCAGACTTCCACGCGGCGGGAATTTGCTCTGCAGCCCTCAGAGGGTCGACGTTAAGGTAACACTGGCACGCAAGTAGTACAAAGAGAGTGGTGGCTCGTGGCCATATGATCCACAACGGTAAATAGCCCTAACGCGTGAGGTTAGAAACATACCACAACGTAATGTCTCTCGTTGTCATGACCACCTTGCCTTGGCGACGGAGCATGGAACGGAAGATTTAGACTTATATTAGGTGGCGATTGAACGTGCGGCGCGTCTCGTATTCCTACCGTGGGATTAGATGAATTATCTTCTCTAGTTTAATAGAAGTGCATAAACCTGAAACCGTTACATCGCGGGATAACTCCTTTCTCTCTGTACAGTGGAGCACAAAGCATGTACAATGGTCCGCTCCCAGATTCCGAGGATGTCGGATCAAAAAACGATGTCCAGCCATCCTGATACAAGTGAGAGCGAATGATCTTCTCAAAACCTCCATGTGACGGGGGGACATAGGTTCCCACCAAGGGCAACTTTTCTACTGACGGGGAAAAGATGTAGGCTGGTAGCGGGTGTTCGGCTGCTATATGCTTCCAGGGAGGTGGGCTTGGAGCTCCCAATCATATCTTGAAACATCCATAAATTAATGGGTTCATGCCATGCATGAGCATGATAGCTCGGATCTTCAGGATAGAATCCCATGCAGTGTCGTACCTGAATTGATATGACATTTACTACCACCAAAACAAATGCCATATGACAAACATATGCTCCGCACGGGTAGAATCTCGGGGAAGTGATTTTCACAGCTCATCGAAGATGGTAAGGTAAATCCGATATCAAACATCAATCATTCTATAAATTCAGAGCCGCATGATGCTATGCATCTCAACGATACTCAGCCCCACAATCGCCAATGGTAGTGATCATTCGACGTACCATTTGAGCGCTCCAGAACTGTCTCGATGGCAGCGCGATCCTCGTCAGTCAAAGTGAACTCGAAGACGCGGCTGTTGTCCGCGGGATGCTCGGAAAGACCCAAGCGCGCTCCTGGAATGTGGAACTGAGACGGAATGAAATCGCAATTCAATATCACTTACCGATGATCACAGCTCCAATGAAGTGATGATCCAATACCCATCGAGTAGCCACATTGGCAATACTCAGACCTCCATGGCGATCACCGATGATACGAAGGACGGAAAGGAGCGATTGGAATAGAGGCCAGTCACCCCATGCCTTCACGATCATGTCGAGGTACTAAATTTCAATGTCCGCGATGAGCCAGGGGTGGAAACACGAAGACAGAACATACTTTTCGTTGAGAGGGCGTAAGGTTACCAGGTGTAGGAATCAGGCTCTGGTTGATTCAGCCACTTATCCGCGAGGAAACCGCCGCACTGAATGTAACCACGCCATCATTACAATAAATTTATATGAAGAACATCACACTTACCACAGTTCCATAAGTCAACAGCTTCAGACCGTGTCTGTCACAGACATCTGACATACCATGAAGCGGGCGCGTATCAATCAACGAGAACTGCAAAGAGTGACAATTAGAAATAGCTAGAAAGTGCGGGGAGGAAGGGTATCACCTGAACCTGATTGGACACAATGACGCCTCGTCCCAGTTGAGTACAAATCTCATCCGTATGGATAGCGTCGAAATTGCAAAGTCCGATCGCCGATATCACACCATTATTTCGAAGGTCTTCAAGGATTTTAAGCGTAGGAAGGTACCCCTTATTCCCGTAATCTTGCCAATGGAACTGTAGAAGGAGAAGTTGGGTAACAAACTGAAACACAGAGGGTCAAACTATACCTGAAGGAGGTCGACATGATCTGTTTGCATCCGTTGTAGGCGCTCTTGCACAGCAGCCTCGATGACATCTCTGGTAGGCGTGATGGTCTTGAACACGCACCATTTGGTCGCTCCAATTATTTCTGACGGGTAACACTGCTTCTGTCGGAATTGACCCTGTCCGAGGGATATTAGCGAGACATGAATCCATCGTGCAGAAGACTTCCTTACAAATATGATCTCCGCACTTCCGTAGTGGTCAGCTATCAAATTATGTGGTTCAATTCAATAATGAAGGGTCGTAGAGAACAGTCGCACCCTATGATATTCGGGGAAAGGGAGGGCGGTGTGAGAGATCAATAAAAGATCAGATGAAGTTATATACCATGTCTACAAACTCAGATCACTGTCGGGTATCAAGAACAGATGCGAAGAAATTACCAAAAGCGGTGTACCCTGATTCGACGTGACGAGCCATCGCTTGTCGGATCTTGGTGACAGAAGCACTTCCCCAGGCGTTACTCGATAGCTGCCATAGTCCGGTCCATATTCGAGGAACCTGGAAGGGACCGAGACGAAATGTTTCGAAGGAAGCCATGGCTGAGAAGAATGAAGAAGCCGTCGATGTTATAAGTAGAGGCGAGGTTCCGCGACGACCGAGAATTCCGGGTCTTTGCAAGACAAGTATTTATATGAAAGCGCTAGGGTGGTCTACCCCGGAGATATCTATTGCGATGTCAAGAACAGGTAGGAAAGGGGTGATAGTCCCGATTCCAAGACAGCTGTTATCAGAATGTCGAGCAGACTTTTGGTTCTGAGATGCATCGCAGTAATCAACGGCGATCATAGATTTGACCGGGTTGGCCTCAATTGCGCCGCGGGATCATGAGCCCATTTGGGGACCGAGATGATAGTACTTCCGGAGGAAGAGCTCCGACACATCACATTGGTCGAACCTATAAGATGATTTAACCCATGAGTGGAATGACATCGATTTTGCAGCATCTTCAAACGATATATCATGCCTGCTCCAGATGCATCTTTGACCGTCCGACCAGCGCTGGGACATGTGTAAGGATCGTTCTCGATGATAACAGTGCTGTAGCTGATATCGATGGTGCTCTCCTAGAAACCTGATGGTAGACACCTTTATCGCAAACGCGCAGGTCGACGAGTCAGTACGAGTCACTTCGACTTGCAGTTAATGGCGCTGATCTGCCATACAGCCTGCGTACAATCGTCCGAAATCTCGTCGGATCCGGACTGCCGAACATTGGCTCTACGTTCTCCGCGGCCGCGCGCGTCCGGTTGCAACAATCTGGTGCCAGTAGCGGGAGTGTCCGAGGGCCTCTTTTCAAGAGAGACGCCCATGACGAAAATATACACCCTTCTGAGAACCTTCAGGACACGTTGCGCCGTGCACGTTGCCTCTTCGGAGCCGGTCTGGGCTTCGCGAGCTTGGTAGTACTCGCTGTAGTTGTCCGTGCGACCATCGGACTTCGATGGGACAAGGAGACCGAGATGGCAGATATTCTCGCCGAAGTCGATGCGGATATTTGTCAAGCTATCCAAGTAGGTACTTCGGCCGGAAGGATATGTTGATGAACACGCTGATATCACGAGCTTATAGAGTTCGAAGGAAGAGCTTGAAGGCGGACGTGTCGATGACCACACAAAGGCTCGTGAAGCTGTGAGAGAGCTCCGGAATGCAGTCAAGGAAAGTTTGTTGGACGTTGAATCCTGGGGAGGAGAATACCCTTTCGAGCGAGCGTCGGCGAGTTTCGAATACTGGAAAGTGTAGATGGCTGGGTAACAGGATACAATATCAGTAACTTTTGATGTTCGCGGCAAGAAGCCAGTGTGGTATAATTCCCAAGCAGGATAAGAGCGCCACAAATAGGGAGCATTTCTATGTGCAAAAGCTCATCAGAAAATAGCCGCAGTTGTAGAGTAGTGGAGGATTCTAACTGAGGTAAAAAGCTGATTCACTAGAGGAACGAGGTAACACGTACGCGCACCCCCAGAAAGATGGTCACTCTTGTCGACGGTCGACAGGAGGATGATATGTCACAAGGTGTGGATGCAATGGATGAAATCAAGCAATGACCAAACAATGTTTGATCTGAAGCAGTGCAAATGCATTTGTCGGGATTCCTCAGTAGTTAGAGCTTCGTCACTAGTGATAATACTTTCCTTCCCGACGAGGAGGGGAATTAGTAACCTCTCCTCCGTTCATACTTCGTGCGTGTTTGAGCATCGGTCATAACCCGAGCTTTCGGCTGTTGATCGGAGATACACACTTTTTGTCTTGGTAAACCTCATTACTCACTGTGAACTGATAATCAGATAAACATACCATTGTAGCGACGGGACGGAACAGGTTCACCTGATAGCGCTAGCTTTGGACCTGAATGGCTTTGACAATCCGGCGAAGGAGGGGCTGAGCGGGCAAAGCGTGCTGGGTGCCATAAGCGAAGCAAAGCCACGACGGTAGCTAAGCAATGATTTACGTCTTCTGTGTTATTGGAGACATCAGTCCTATAGATTCCCAGCAAAGAGCGCGGGGAGTCACACCTTCCGGCGAGATTGTGCTATTCTCTAACATGATTAGCGGCAAATGAAAATTTGACCGAAACATTGATTTACATGGATAATCAAAACCCTAGATTTGAATGAAATAGTCAGCCAATATCATTCGGGCGCGAAGTGGGACCCACGAAAACAGCGTGGCTGAAGCGCCACAATCATGAGAAGATACGGGTGTTGCACGTATTGACGAGTTACCAATAGATTCGCTGCTGAATGTTCTGTGCTCAAGCACGAACATCACGGTAATTACGTACGGATAGCACCTATGACTCTTGACAGAAAGAAATCAGTGCAACATTGTTGGAAACAGAAGAGAAAAACCCACCAGCACCCATCACATCCAGCGTTCCAAGTATTCGATATGGAGATAAGTTTTTAAAAGCCGTTACGGACAGGTAACATGAACAATGAGAAAGTCTGCCGAGCAGAGAAGTTAGCGGGGTTTGCTGTTGTTACCGGCTTGAGGTCAGAAGTAACAGCGTATGAATTTCAAATCGGATGGTATCACGTGTTAAGGCCCGCAACTGCCGTCGGCACTCACCCTTGGTTCAACGTTGTCAACCTTCAACCACATTGCCTCAGAGCGTCCATGCTACGCTTTCCAACGAACGTGAATATCAAAGGGTGGCATGAGAATTCTACTCCGTGAATTGCTTAGACGACAGAGGAGGTGCGGCTGCGAGCAGTGCAAGTTATTTTACACCCTTGATGATGTTGTCTGAGCGCTTATATTCATTAAGATAGAAAGTTGCCGCTGATATTACTCAATAATAGAGATTCGTAACACATCGTGCGGACATAATCATCGACAATGATCAAGGGTTTTCTCCCTCAAGTCCATTCACTAATAATGCGCTATTTTTTTAAGCCGTACGGTTGGTTACACATTCTATGGGTACTGAAGCAAGGTGAGCTGGATCACATTAAATGCGCCGATGGACTACGAAAGAACAATCATAAATGGTGCAATTTGTCAAGAGATGGCTGCACATTTACCTTTGTGAATTAAGCTGGACCGCTGACATCGATGTTCTAGATGGACGTTGACTAGTGCGGAGTACTTCGTATTTAGAACGGTCGGACATCATCTACCCTATACACCTAGATGGAGTAAAGCACCACATAAGCACCTGATTTTTTGGGAACAATCCGAGATTTTGGATATCTTGGGAACGAAATAGGCGTGCCCGATAGCAAAATCTGTGTCCCAGTATAGCCATCGGGTAGATATCCAGAGATCTCCCCGCTGGCAGCGCACACCGATCAAAAGGGATCTTTACGACGGGCGCTTAGAAGAACCTAATACCGCCATGGTCCGGCTGAGATGGATCGATGTGAAGACAACTGCATCTTAGCAGCGATGCAACACACATCTGCATCGTTTGGTCCTCCTCACGGTATACTACACCGATGATACTCTTGACAGGAACGCTTATCGCACCGCCTGCGTGAAGGTTTGATCAGGCAGTGTTCATTAATACCGCGTCTATTGACATAAATTTCAGCCGACCGTTGCACCAAAATCTGATCGATAAAAGAAACAGATGGATGCTGTATGAGTCTCATTCTAACAGTCTAAATTGCACCTCATCTCATGCCGTTTTAAATAAGACCTTCCGTGGGCGCGAATCAGCAGCGTGAAGACCACAAAGTGTAGCGTATCAGATCACACTTCCGGCGCACTGTAAGATTCTTGTTTGTTGATATGCCTCTCATTCACCATCGTTTTATTTTAGGAAAGCGAGATGCGAGCGGCAAGAGAAAGACTACTCTACCTTCTGAGGATAAACATAGAGATGGATGCGTGAGCCAGAATACGGATTACTATTTATTAAGCACAAACCTTTTCCAATATGTAGTTATTATGAAGACAATAGATACACTCGGCAGAAAATAGTTGGAACTTAGCGGTCGCTACCAAAGCAGCCGGACGTCTTACTATTGTCACTCACGCCAATGCAGGGGTAATAAGACAGGTCACCACAACTATACACACTCGCTGTGATATGTATAAGGAAAGGAGGGCTGACGTACTCCAACATACAACGAGGGAAACATTTCGGAGATCGAAGCATTGTCGTTTTTGCGAATGCAAAATGTAATTTGACCAACGTCCGTGTATTCGCAGGGATTTGAATGCATCAGACATATTACTGAGGCGTAGCCGGCAGCGGGCGATAATGCTATATACGCATCACCAAGTGAGAAATGCGAGATGATGTATCACCTACCCGATAAATAAGCTGGGGCGGGAGGGCGGCGCCTTGCTGCTCTAGGACGGCTACATCTCAAACAGTCCAAGTCTATTCTCCACAGAACGTTGCTGCTCATCCTAACCGCGACTGTCGCGTTTATCTGGCACCTTGGGTGCGGCTCATACAGTGATTAGCAAAGGATTCAGTTCTTTCATTTGGGGGGCAAATGAACGGGCGATCAAGTAATTGAAATCCAGGGATTAGTGCCGGTCAGAACGCGACAAACTGCCTTTTTGGGGAGATCCATCTTGCCATCACTACGTGCTTCGCTTGCGAATATTAATGCATTATGTAGGGAGTCGGTCCGCATTTTGTACTCTTATTACGTGCTTACCTGTCAGCGCATCATATTTCGTAAGGACGTAACTTCTCGTGAGTCGCTACCAGATTTAAATAGCTCGCTATTTACTACCTTTATCTTGTTGTTATCAGTATCACGGGGCTTACACTGAAACTTGTCTAGGAGATCACTGCCGAACTTCCCTGCTGAATACATTTTGATTTCCCATATCCATCCCTTCACCGATGCATATTTCCAAGTCCGCGCTACGTAGGATTTCATCAGATATTCACCCACGTTGCTTTACATATTGGATTCTATATATTCTCTCACGGAACTACTAACAGAGCGCGGCAGTTGGTCATCGGTAGATTCCATTCAGAGAAATCATAATTCTCTCCAAGAATTGTTTCTTTTATTCGACGACTTAAGAAACAGTCATGCACAGAGTATTACCATTCGCCGGGATAATATAACACTATTGCAATAGAGTAGTATCCTCGTGATATGAGGTGGATGAGCCCCTGTAGCTGGACCTCCTGATAGAAAACGAGACCCTTGGCTGGAAATCGCCACAGCTCTGGTCGTTGTATGATGGTATGATGGCCCACTGCATCAAGGACGAAACAGAAAGGCATCTGTACAGAAGCTAGAATTATGTAAATGCCTCATCAGAGGACGAGACTGAAGTATAAAGGATGTTTTATGCAGGCAGAGGCGAGTCCACAATAAAAACACCGAATTGCAGCATAAAGGGAATAAGTCTTCACTACGAGATTATTACGCTCCAGGTCTCATCGTTGATTGTGGCGCTAGGCCCTCAATTGAAATGCACCACTGAACATTGAAAGAATAACGCCACAAATCAAAGAACTATTTATCCACAATTGCAAGGCTATTGCGAAATGTAAACGTGCTGGAGTTGAGAGTGAATATACAAGCCGGATCTCAAGCGGATATGAAAGAAACGTACCAGGCCATTTTTACACCTGCTAAAAACGAACTTATTGAAAGGAAAACATTGCCGAAGGTATGATGATGATGATGATGATGATGAAATCCATTATAGTGTCTCGGACCCCTTTATGGGGTCCATGCTACACTGCGTATGTCGTATCGCTACTGTGGGTCGCTAAGAAGTGGGTCACTAGGCTAAACTATTGTGATATCGTAATTGTATGAACTTTTGCGTGGTTATAAGTATTCGTCGTGGGGGAGGTGTTTCTTGTAATCTAGGTGTCTGAGGAACGAGATAAAGGTCCGCTTTGGGTTCGTCTGAGCCCTGCGGTGTGAAAAAAAAGGGGTTTGGTCCTGGGTTTGGGCGGTCGGGCTGTATGGCTGTTGTTGGCGCTTCGTGTATGGAGAGTTGTGGGGCCTGCCAGGACCGGGTTGCGCAATTATTGATAGTAGCTCTTGGTCGTAATAGGTAACGTTTGTTCGCTTCTGCTATTTATAAAGGAAATGAAATCTACTGTCCTCGTAGTCGAGGGTGGGAGAAGTAGTCGCCGAAGGTATCGAGTGTAGTCACATCAACAATTCAATTGAAAACCTACGCCTTATAAACAACGAGTCGACGAACAGACAGGTGGAGCATGTGTGGGAATATATGGAATACTACCCTGATGAGCGCTAGTCCGGGTGCTGAAAAGTGAACACAGCCTCATTGAATCATCAATGGTTGCTGGAAATGTTGTACCGGAAGGAAATTGATAAGTTCGTGATGTCGACCATCATATTTTCACCTCGGGGATAATATTGGGCCTTGGGTTTGTTCCACATCTTGGAGTAGATATAGATACGCCATCTGACTGTAGGAATTGGATAATCGTGATGGTTAGAGCAACGGAAAGACGAGATAAGAACGGTAGCATATGGAGACGGGACCGCAGAACAGATATGCGGAAGGTTGTATGCATACAGGGATCATGCTGCCAAAAATGAGGAAATCAACGAAATACCATAACGTGGAATCGAACTAGGTTCTGGTAAGTAAGCAACCTTGAATCCTACGACCCTTCTCTTCTAATGATCGGAGACTCATTTTCATCTTTCTCGTCACATCGGGATACCTTCCAGGTCTTCGTCAGGACGCGGACCAAATTTAGCCACCGTCTTTCGCGGACAACAGGCCCTCTCGATCCCATGCCAGGTGTCGTAGGCGCGCCGCATACGCCTTCATGCGCTGGAAGAGAAGATACTGGAATAGAAGACATGCGAGATCTTTCGCCATGGATGATGAGAGTAATATCACAAGTCCGCTCATTGTGGGGGTGTATTATCACGGTTGTTGACCCCACTCGATATCGAAAATCTGGAGTCGATCTCCGATAAAATCTACGCCAATGACAATATGGATCATGGCACAAATCCATTTATTATTTATGGGTACTACTTTTACTTGGAAAACTTGTGTAGAGTACGAGCGGTGAACGCCAGGAATAGCCCGAAAGTCGATTACTTTCTATATGAGTGTCTGAGAAGTAAGGTACCGTGAGATGAGGATATCGGAGTCTGACCGTTAGGAGCGTTTCGCTAACGTGTCGATCTACTGCTACTGTCGCCCTGTACACCAGATAAATATTTCGGCTTCCGCATCCAGCAGATCTCCTATTCCGCTGGAACCTTCTATTAGCCCATCTTAAATTGGAGTTCATGGCGTAGTTTATTTTTCAGTTTATTTGATGGAGTGATGGCGGCAGTCCTCCGGCATATAGCGTAGGAAAGCATAACCAAAAATGGATGTTTCGGAAAGTGAAACCTCGCAAGAGGTGCCGAAGCAGCCGACTAAGCACAAAAATTTGAAGTCACCATTTTAGCGCCCATGTATGGATGAGCTGGAGCAATGCCGGACATTGCTACACTCTGGTCAAGCATACGTGAGCCCCTCGTCCTCCAGTATACGCACCCGAGACCTAGCTTAGTTTTTCTCACCACACCAACACGCAGTGTCACCCACTCAACACCATAGTCCTCAAATTTTGTACTGAGAAGTTTATCACGGGCATCAACAAGGTATATGTATTGCAGATTGTGTAAGTAGGTCTTAGCAGAGAATACGTGCAACAACGCCACAGTCGCTGGGCCTCGCCGTCGCGAGTCACAGTAGCTGCCGACGTATCTGAATGCAGGCTTCTCGATTTGGATACCTCTATTCAAGCTCCGCAAAGGCCTTGCCGACGGAGATTGCCTTGACAGCCATCACTCCATCAAATAAACTGAAAAATAAACTGCCGCCCGCAGATGGTCGAAAGATCCCCAAACCCAAAGCAGGAGCGCCTGGTATGAGACAGGACATTTCTATCCCTTATTTGATGATTTTGATCTGAATTTCGACCAGAAAATCTGGAATGCGCACAAGGACTAGTTGGGGTACGACGTTCGCGGTGTCAATGAGAGCATCAGAGATTTTTCTTCACGCGTCCTTGCTCAAGTCAAAGATGGTGTTACCCAGTATAATGGGAACAATAGGTTATAAGTCATCTACAGCTTGAGGGAGATGCCTCTAGAAGAATACAAGCATCTCTTGAAACTCTATTATGACTGGATCAACCCCGATCGCACGACCAAGTTCTATCAGTGGACGATTGATGCTCCAAAGTTTGACAACGCGGTGCGCTGCAACTTTCTATACCTCGTTAAGAAGCATCTCATCCTTGTCCTTCGCGACAGTGCAAGAACTGCGAGAGTAACTCTAAAGTTCGCTACTGCGAGTTCAGAGAGAGCACTCGGGCACAGCGGTGCAAATACTGCTCGTATCATGATATGAATGCTCTGTATCAATGAATTCTACAGAACCTCGTCTAATGGGCCAGAAGACTGTTGTATCGTCGCAGGGCGGTATTGCCAGGGGCAGCGGAAGTGCATCCCACGGCGTGAACACCCTATCCAGCGTGACTGCGGGAGGTGCGAGCCGTGACACAAGCCCAGGCCTTTCTCAGTTGCACACGAAGAAGCCAAGTCAATAGTCAAAAAAACCAAATGTGTGTTTATGGCGATTCGCTCGCGATCTACATGCAGGAAAGACCGTGGAAGTATCAAAAACATTAGAGCTACTAGAGCATGTTTCGTCTTTGCTGAATGTGAACACACAATATCTGTGGTCCCGATTCCGGAGCGATGGTCAACTCGCACATACCTCAAACTGCCTGTTGAATCGATAAAGAGTGAGAGGCGTCTGGAACTTTCTTCAACTCAGACCATAGGGTCGGCAAGGTCGTATCCTTCTTGGTTTCAGGTCCAGAAACGAGACGGATCGACAAAGCCTCGTTTTCGTGGTTGCCTAACCGCGCCACTATGAATCAATGGTAACAGTATAACAAAACAAGCGGTTCGACTCCGTATCGTAGCGCTAGATCCTGAGATATGTTCTTTTGTCTCTCTACTTGAAGAGTATGACCAGTCTGCGGCGGCGAATTCTTCAAGCAATAGCAAGCAAGCAGGACCTCAATGAAGACAAATATCATAATATCAACTCCACGAAATGGGCTGGTATCAACAAATACTTTACGCAGTACTGGATCGTTGATTGCTTAGCCACGAGTGAACGTATACCTGTAATATGGTAGATTAGTATTATTTCTTGATTGGCGCATACACTCACAGAAAGGTGTGGACACTCGGAACGGAATCATGAACAAGAGTCCCATCAGCGGAAGCGAAATTTCCGGTAAACGCTCCAGGGATTTAGACCCATTGGAAGAAGATTTGCGTCGGAGCTGCTACAAAAGGAACATACAATGCTTCGGCGCTTTGATGGAAGCGAGCACACTCCCATCTGTTTCGGACACGCAGCAGTGTTGAATATTATGGGCGCGTAACGCGTAACGGCGGTTGATCCGCATGAGGTTACGGAACTTTGAGAAGGCGAAAGGCAGTGCACTAAGAAGATCAATAAGAATCAACGATGCCAAAATTACTGTTAGCGCAATCATAAGAAGGCCGTAGAGCCGGCGTAAGGCAAATTGGAGATTGAGAAGATGCTATATCAGTTTCGGAGAAACAATCAAGAGAAAGAACAGTGCGTGATCATCTTTTCCGCGCCAAACCGAAATTAGAACAAACCAGCGTCCCGTACGGAATTCGGCAGATGTAGAACCGCATATAAGGAGCAATTGCGGATGTTGAGTGAGCGTTCTTGGGACCAAGGGCATACCGCAGAGTATTGATGGCCGGAAGCGAGATGGGCGCTGAAACGCTGAACATGGCTGCTGCAACATCAAAAAAAGATACGAGAGACGACCCGATGATTTACTAGTATGTCTAGCGAATCAGTGAGACGTCAGACCTTCAGACTTGGAAAAGCAACGTCATTTCCCCCTGCGCGGGTATATGCTGGTTCTCCATTGACGATTCCGTGAGCTAGCGTTCGGAGGAAGCAAGACAAAGCCAGAAGGGTAGCAGATTTGAACGGAATGGCAGGCACGCAACAGATACATCAGAACGTGGTCATACGATGGAATGGCTGTACAAAGACGCGAAATTAGTAAGAAGAAAACCAATGGTGACTGACGATGCGCCGGTATTCTTTCATTGGCACAACTGTCAAACAAGCCATCACTCTGGGTAGTGAAAAGGATCTCCAGGGCCGAGCGGTTGGATCTTGATGGGTAGGCCAGCTGAAGAGCAATGTCAACGGGAATGAGTGCAATAAAGTGAACAACGGCTCACAAATTACGGCATAAGAGAGCACCACCAAGATGACGTCATGTACAGTTATTTACCGGTCATTGGAATGCCGAAAAATATTTTTTGTCCCATCCACCACACATTGTCTTTTTCCTCAAATAAAGTAGCCACAAAATTTTTAATATTACTCAGTGATGTCCATACAAAGTATGAACTGGATCAAAGCATCTAGTATTGAGATATCCGTAATTTACGGTGTTTCATTGACTGGTAAATGACCACGTGGCAAACCCCTGCCAAATTTGCATCACTGTTCGATTTTTCACGGGGTCAGCAGTAGCGCTAAAATTCCCAAAAAATCACTAAAAATCCATAATATCTATGTCTCCGATTATGCAACACTGTCAGGCAGCGGAACTGGGGAGAAGGAGGCTAAATCAACTGTTTCAGTGACTGATGGTGTTGCAATGACCTGTCAATAACTGTAAGACGGAGGGTCGGCGGACTACAAGGTCTTTAGAGAGGGAGAAACTAGAGGGAAAAAAGTGACTCACTACTATCTTCCTTCATAGCTGCTGCATCCTCAGTATCTAACACTCTTTCCAGCCAAGACTTTTCGGGAATAGAGCTAGCGCCATGACTAAGATCATATCGGACTCGGAGGTTTACCGCCGCAGACAATCGACAGGACATATTGTTGAGAGCGGAGAGTAGGTCGACCACAAAACACATCGTTGTATCTCTCGTGGACTGAATAGTAGAATTTGTTCTCGAAAGAGGCTATGACTTCTTCAGACAAAGAAGTGGGGTAGAACATATGACTCACTAGCGTCGTGCGTGCGCTCTGGCACAGAAAGAAAATGGGATTGTGTCGAGCGTATGGATCAAATATATGCGCCATTTCTCATGGAAGCAGCGTCATCTAAGAATGGCTAAGTAAGAATGAGATCAAATGGAAATACCGAGGCGTACCGGTATTCTTTCCGCTTTGCCCGTAAAACGTCACTTTCTTTCACGTCTTGGTGTCGATATGGGCATATAACGGGATAACTCTCCAGAAAATGGGCGAATCGTAGGTGCGAGGGTCGAAGCAGGCTAGAAATAAAATACACGAGACATTCTGAGATCCATGGATATGTGGCATGTATGGCAGTTGCCCTAATAGTAACATGTAGGCATCAGTTAGGAGAAACACAATAGTGACCGACGACTCACGATTATTTGCTCTCCATTGTCTTTCGCGACATTGGGAGAGAAATCATAGGCCCACGTCCGTTTCAATGATTCTCAAAGTCGAGGGCTGGCAGATGCTACGCCCATTTCAGAGTGAGAGAAAAAACAGCAAGGCGATAGATACTCACCAGCGTTACTCAATGTAGATCCTTCTCTCTGACACCCTCGAGCACCATTCTTGCGATAAGGCAAGCCTCGATATGAGTTTGATGACCAGAAAGCAGATTTCGCGATGCGAGCAAGGTTGTGGCCGGAGGGAAAGAAGAGTTTCCCAAAATGGACGGGCAACGCGTACCACGTGATCGACTGGCAGACGCGTCTTGGACGCGTGCAGCGTCGATCGATTTCGGTAGTCGACGACTTCACTCTACAATGTAATTGGGCTGTGTTTACATATAATATAAAACGACACTACGTTCAGAAAATAGAAACGTTCCAATAGTCTACATATGCGCCTTGAAGCTTGCAGGAGTCCCAGTCCAATTCAAAGCCGACAAAGTTTCAAAAAAGGATATGGGAGACGGAATACCATCATGCATGCTTTCGACAGAGGCTGGTGCTGGAGGTAAACCTTGATTTGACATCGAAGAAAAGTATAAGATATCTTGGTCGAGTTCCTTGGATCGGACAACAGACGGGGTCGAACCGTGGCTGCTCCTAGCTCGTCAACAGATTCGCAATTTGGGAACGGACGGGTCACAGTGATAGATGTTCTGTGGACTACTATACAACCCTACAAGGAAAAACCTTATTAGAGAACAGTGCTTATCTCGAGTGCCAGACCTCAGTGGTGATATCAGAGAAGACAGCTGGATGGCATTTATTCTATAAGGATCCCAAGAAAGGCTGAGTGCATCTTATTAGCTACCATATCACTCCTCATATGCCCTAGTGGGATCAACGGTATATCGGCCACAAGTCATCACAAAAAAAAAGTCACCGACGAGACCATCACGGTTCGACTCCGTGCCATGGCAATTCCCAATAGATGCATTCTGATATCACTTTTTTCAAAGTTAATCGAAGACATGAAGAATTGAATTGACCATAGTACGTAGCTCTGCTGTCCCAATTTTCCTCGATCAATTTGGTGATGAGACCGCAGATGTTCTACACGCTGCACCCAAGAAACAGAGGAGCGCACTGGCCGGGTCCACATTGGCATCTTCCTCTCAGTTGTTGCTAGAGCACATCATCATGCTACGATAGATCAACGGTAGATCGTCTCCAACTTATTCATAAGAAACCTTACAAGTTAGGAGGAAATTGCGGTTCGACTCCGTATTGTAGCACTGTGACGTCGGAACTCGGATAATTTTTGTCCCCTTCTCCGTTCAAATAACATTTCACACGCATTCCATTCGATTATTGGACCATTAAGGCTTGTTATAGATGCAACACAAATTTCGAAACGAGAAAAGAGAGAAACAAAACGGTGATACTCACCAGCACCACATCCTACTCGAGTATCTCTCTATTGCCTTCGAGCACTAGTAATAGTCCTAAGAGACGATGCAAATCATCAAGCCTTGCTATAAATTGGATGACCCGAAAACAAATTTCACGATCAGCTAGGTTCTGACGGACGGATAGGTCGCGTTCCTTCTGTGCTCTTTCGATTTGCAAGATGAAGCAGGCTGACTTATCGCGTGTTAGGATCTTGGATACGTTTAACTTGGAATACCACCACCGCCTATGCGTGTACACTTACTTTCATAAATGGGTGCAGGATTCGACCTGAGCCCAAGTGAATATCTTATATGTGAGGTAACTATTGCCGTCAATCATACACGACCTGCGGGAGACCACCGAGGATTGTTCGTAACTATGCCGTCCAGCCCACCTCATACACGCCGTCCACACTCAACTGCAGGTCAGGGGCAATAGTTGCATTAGCCTCCATTGCCCACAGTGCAACAGCGACGGTGCTATGGGTCCGGTTGTCAGATGTCATTCTGCCTTCCGTTTTAAGAAATCGGGCAGGCTCACTTGGTTCCGCTGTAATCCAGAATGCCTTGATGAACCGGGAATTTAGCTTGCGGCCTGGAACGTGGATTGTCAGCTCTGCGGCCAGTGAATGACGTGACGTCCAGTTTACCCTAGGTTTCCCGATGCGCTTGCTCATCATCCATCCATTCACAAACAGGTACGCCCGGTAGGTTTGACCGAGCGGCTCATTGAAGTTGAAAAGACATAGGCACGTCAAAACCTTCTGGAATGTGCAGATCGAATGTCCTCACGAAAGAAGCCAACGCCCTGCTGCAGATTGTGGTAGACCATTATGTAGATCCCCTCGACTCCCATGACGACGTGTCGAACCCAGGCAAGTGCCAGCCTTTACGCTCGCCGTAAAGACCTCCTTCGTTGAACACGCCACGGGTCTTGTCGGGGAAAACTGGTGGAAACATAGCTATGGGCGATATATGTTTTTCACATAGGCGGTGGCACTCACTCAGTATATCCCCCGATTTTCCCCTGAACCCGCCACTGCGTGAACTTGCTGGAGTTGAGCTGGAATCCGCGAATGCCACGAGGACTTTTAGAAGAATCGGGATTTGCTATGCATCACCACAAAGGTTAGACGTTGACAGCTCCTAAGAACAAGGCACGCACTTCCGGAAGTCTCATTCAGGCCCATGTTATCCTGCCAAGAGATACGTTTAAAGCAAATTGTGTAAGAAGTATAGGCGCATACCTGGACTATTGTGATGACATTATCGCCATGTAAAACAGCGCCTTCTGGGAAAGTGAATACGGCATCCGTCTCCTCGAGAATATTTATGTTATTGGTAGAACTTGCAAGTGAACATAAAACATCAGTACCGCAGTACGCATAGATTTACTGAATATCTCACTTTCCATAAGATGTTTTCAAAAAGACATTATTGAGCCAAACACTTGCGGCAAAGGCTAGACCAGGCCGGTATCAGTCTTGCCATCGGGGAAATCGATGAAATCCAACTCTCACCCGAGCCACCGTTTATAGAGAGATTCAGACTCTGCTCTGTTCCCGTCCCATTAAAATTGTCCCCTCCAAAGAACAACATTTTCACAGCTACACGTTGGAGGCATTTCAATGAATAAATCAATTATGACAAGAAAATGATACGTACAACCCGTAGTCACATCCGTACAAAATTGTCCCGTCGGAATAATATGGTTTACGAGGGATATTGGTCGTGGTATGGTTCGCAACGACAAACGAACCATCGTCGAATCTCAGGTAAGCTGTCTCGGAACTTCCATCCCTCTAATGTCGGAGCCACTGCGATGTCCACGGATGCCGACGACAATGAGAGTTCCCCTACTAGGCCTCCGATTGCAGTCAAGGATGAGGACACATTCACCGATAACGCAGCACCATTCCATGTCACAGAGCTAACCACAGCAGGAGCTATGATTGTCAACGGGGTACTGGCATTGAGGTCGCCTTTCAACGCAAGCTCCGTTCCTGATATGCTAGCCAAGTGCACGAGATACGGTCCGCCCACGATGATGGACTGATTGGTCCCCAGACCCCAAAAGTTGCGCAGTGAATCACCTCGCGTCTCCAGCGATGACAGGTGCCCAGAAGGTGGCAACCGTGTCAGAGTCGGCAAATAACACCAACTGCGAGTCCGAGTCGTAGACCTTCAGTCACAGTAGGGAAAGAGAAGATTGTAATGACGCAACTCGGTGTGAGCATGGCTCGGAATGAGGAGATATCATAATTCTTTCTGAAAGCACGACCTGTGAGTAGTAAGGCGATTTCATGTTCCTGGGAAGTATCGCCATAGATGAAGAGGATATCTCTGCCATCGATGACACCAGCGAAAATATTGGTGCTGTGGAATACAACAATTGTGAGGAGCCAAACGCGTAGTTGGTCACGATCACTTTAGACTGTCGTCCACCAAGGATAACCGCTGAAGCGACAATGGGTATCTGAAGGTCACCCTCTGCTGTAGCAACGTTAATCTTGAAGTCGGTGATATCACTATCCGCAAGCGGTGAGCGAGTGGACGGAAAATATTTCAAATTTGAATGAAACCCTTACGTCGAGGTGGAATCGTTATGCCTTACAATGTAGAATCCAGATTGTGTATCAGGGTTGAGGAGGTAAGTCGCAAAGACCGTATCAGACGACAGTATTGAAAGACCCGTGGAGCTGTCAGCAATCCAATCTGTCTTGTAGAATTCCGGCGAGCTTCGGACGAATAGGCCTTGTCTCTTCAGCTCGTCGTATTTTGTCGTCATTGCCGAGATTCATCAATCTGAACCAGTTTGAGTTGTAGTGCACCGGGTTGAAAAAACCTGACTTACGGAGGCGCCGTAGTCGTATGAGGTGTAAACCTTTGCCGAAGTTAGTAGTTTGATTTAAAAAGGCCATCAAGAATTACCCCACTGGTTTAAGAAGTCAATAAGATATGGTAGGAGTAGTTTAGCATAGACAGCTTACTGGAATGGTATTGCTCCCCAAGATGTACCGCTCCAGCATGGCATTAGCCACACACAGTAAAACAATCAATATATTGACAAACCCGTAAAGCATATAGTAACTGAACAACTTCGCATTGCTAGCCCATAGCTGAAGGTAGAAAACAGACATGAAGTCGGTGCCCGTTAGGACGGCGCAAGAAGAATAGCCCAAGATGGCTAGTAAGAAGCCGCTAGTAGAGTACTGCCTTAGCACGTTACCTGGTGCAGCTGGTCCCCAACCATCGACCGCACCTCCCTGGAACTCTGCCCAGTTTAGATTAGCTTAGAGTACGCAGACAAAGAAGCCGTGCGCACCGGGGAAATACCAGGGTTGAGATGGATTGACTTCTTCGTGATATTGATGGTAGTCCAAGGGCACCGCCTGCCAGTCCAAGGGATGAGAGCAATCGAAGCCTTGAGGATAAGAATCGAGTCTAACAAGACAACAATAATAAGTAGAAGATAGTGCTTAAGAAGAAGACAAACTCGTAAAGATCGACAGCACTCTGATTAGAAGCAATTTTGTTAGGATCCACATTTCGAACCTAATCGATGATCACACAAACTCACAGTCCCATTGACGAAGTTGCGACCCTGTCCTGGGTCATTGTAGGTAAGGGGCAATACGATACTTGAATTCTGATAAACTTCTTCAAGCTCAGCAAAATACTCTCCTCCGACACTTTGAGTGAATTCGTTATCTGAAATAGCAGTTCAGCGTCAGTCCTCTTCGAGCTGCAAAAAGAAGCCGACCAATCTGTATAGCTGACAGACGGTGTGATCAGGATAAGGCACATCGAAACACTAACGCACTCACCAATAACTGGCCCTCCTTCGGTAATTTGATACGGCGTTGTTTCTTTGATGATCCCGAGAATATAATCCATCCATGCTTCTCTCCAGTCGGGAGTACTTGTTCGCAGCATTCCAGCTACCTCTGACGTGGCCCAATGTGCTATATCGCCTGCAGAAGTCTCTGCATTGATGTACTAAAAAAAAGGGTAAGCACTTCTCCACACATGAAATTGGAACAATTGACTGGGCCTAGTGATCTCAGTTGAGTGCCCTACAACGACAGAAGAGAACTAGAACGTACCAGGACATAGAGCGATCCATATACCCGCTTCCAAAGCGGCCTCGTATAGCGGCTTCAGCACTCGAAAGCCGTCAAAGTCCACCACACCGCGCGATGGGTTGAGGAGACCCATGTGAACGTAGACACTGACTGCGTTCAGACCCGATGCCTTGACCTTTTGCAAGATGTCGGGCCATAAGGACGGGACAGGTAACCGAAATGTGTGGAATTCCCCGGAGCTACATAATCATCATCAGTACCAGGCACTTCAACTGAATAGAGGATACTCACTGTAAGAAGATCCTTTGACCACGTAGCGACAAACTGTAGTTGTCAAACGAGACTTGGTCGGTGAAAGAAGCCCCAGGACGGTACAAGGTATCGTCATTCTCATGATGAATGGTAGACTTGGCGAGCGCCCCAATATTGCTCCCGTCAAAGAGAACGGAAAGCCACGACCAAAAGAGTAGGGCAATTGTCCATCGTCGAAAGAGATCAGTTGGCATTCTGCGAAAGTCAGAAGAGATGTACATTTTGAGAGATATCTGGTATTATTTTCCACCAAATCATCATCGACGCTTTTTAAGGTGAGTCATGTGCGACCTGTGTTTACACTGGACGGGTCTCGGACTGTCATAGCAACGCGTGTCGAAGCATACAGAATAACATTCGGGCCGCTTATATCTGCCGGGTAGTCTAGAGACCGATGCTGGGTGAACTGGCTTCTATGCGTACCGAGGATTCTCCGCAAAGTATCGAATTCCTGCTACGTTAGTAGTAGGTCTTGGTTGAGTTTTGAGTCTAATTGCCTTTGCTCGTCTGCGTGAATGCAGAGTCTCAGTTCACACAAAGTTAGCCGAGACGCGACCCTGTCCTGAAATTAGCGGCGGGACCTGAGTGTGAGTGGTTATTGCGTGAGTACCGTGCTGAGACACGAAAGAACATGAAACATGAATACAGGAATTACAATAAGAAATGGCCTGAGCAGGGAGACGTTAAAACCAAGCTCGGCCTTGGAAAGTTGCCACTGCATCGGAATAGAAGCTGAATGTTCTAAGTTAAAAATGGATAAGTGTCCGAAGAACCTCGCTAAGTCCGAATCGAAGATAGACGAATGCGGCTATGTAGAGGTAGATTCATCGGAGTTGTGAAAATGCAAGAAAATACACCGGTTCGACGTAGCCGTAGGGGGCACAGACGAGCTCCACTTCAAAGTCGAAACTGTAGCAACCAGTTAATCCTCAGACATTGACAGATCCAAGGACCACGCGAGAAGTGATACCTCACTGGCTAATAAACGGGCTCAATCAGAATGAACGGTTCACCATCCAGAGCAAACGAGGCTCGGCGTTTGTTGAAGGTCCTCAAAACTCGGGGAGGATCAGCAGAGAAATGGAGGTGAGAGAAAGAAGGCGACTCACTGGTATTGCTGTATCAACGAGTATGTGCCCAAGTGCTTCGTCCTAGAGGAAGGGCTTCATAGCTAGAGCGATGGCTCAGTTTTTGAGAGATCGTGGGTCTGCCGGATGCAAACGGGAGCAGGCGGCGAGTTTAATCATCGGACATGCCATTATCTGGTATGGCGGATCTGGTAGCTGATGGAGGCCGTGAAGACTTGACTTATGTAAGACGAGGAAGTGAGAGAAAAACAGACGGCATACTAGCAGGCTCTCTGGAAAGTAGAAGCCGGATGAGGGATAGGGGTACAGTTCACCGGACAGTCGACAGATATTCTTTTCGTCTTGCTTATCAACGTATTACGCATCGTTTTCTCCGCAATGTGTGGGCATACGATCATGATGCGGCATCTACGGCCGGAGTAGGGCGGAAGGAGAACATGACAGACGTTATGAGTACGCGGCGCATGAAGCAGATAGTGTGATACGACACTAGGAGCCCAGTGGGAAGGAAAAAGATAATAGTTGACGCGGACGACTCACCGCTAATCCTGTACGCTGATGCCATCGAACACGTTGTTGTTTCCTAGGGAAGCAGGACAAAAAATGCATCAGTCCCAGAGCACAATAGCAATCCTCAAATTCGAGAGCTGGTCGATACGATGCCAGTTTCAGAGCAATAGAAAAAAAGAAAAAGAGCAATACTCACCAGCACACGGCCACTTCTTGCATCTTACTCACACATCTCTCTACCTCCTTTCATCCTCTGTTTTTCCAAAAATCACTTGGCAGTAGGTCTCTCCATAATTCCAATGGCGCAAAATCAAGTTTCGTAGGTAAAGCAACATGGGCGAACAGAGAGAACGATGACGTTTCCCAAAACGGAAGTCTGATGCATACCACGTGATTATACGGCAGACCCGTCGACTTGATGAGTCGATTCCATGTCCGACGCTCGTCTAGATCCTAAAGGTCGAAGCTAATTCTAGCATATATTCTTTCAATCCATACAAATATGGATGGAATAAATCAAGCTTGAATGAAGAATGGACCTCCCTGTCGCAAAAATATGTACACAAGGACCACTGATATTACATATAGCAACAGACGGAGTCGAACCGCGACTGCTACCAGCTCTCAATCGACAGGTTCACCATTTGGGAACGACGTAATTCTTGTCATAGTACAGAAGGAAAGACGCTAACTTCTAATTGGAGATTACTAGGAGAAATGAGTATGAGAGTCAAAATACAGCTATTCAGCATAGGGAGACATTGGGGAGACGAGGGCTTGAATGGGCACAGATCAGCACCCCATTCAAGCCAAGGAGCCACATTCAAGAAAAGAAGAAAGTTATGATGGTTATAAATCAGAAAGAATGCTAGCCCAACCCGACAACAAGACAGTACGGCATGTGCATCACTAAGCCTTCGATGTATCCTTTCACTTACCCCATATACCACTATCTTCCATGCTACGGTAGATCAATGGTAGATCACATCTAGCACGTATCCGCTCAGAGAGAACGTACACAATGAGACCATGGTTCGAATCCATGTCATGGCAGTAGAATCGTTTTGGTTTGTCGATCTAAATAGCAAGTCACGGTTGGCTTGAGCCTGAATTTGGTTCTGATTTCTAACTCTTTAACTGGGCTTATTCCTTTCAAACCTCGCCTACATTTTTATATCTCAATCTTTTCTTCATAAATCATAATGACTGCGGATTCTCCATACACCCACCAAGCTGCAGGGAAAATATGCCGGATGTGTATCCCTGCCTTTCTCTTCTATGTGGTCCCCTCCCATGGCCGAGTTCGCTTAAAACTCAACCGTCATTGATGCCTCAAATTCAAAACTGAAAGTCGCATAGCCATAAACCACGAAAACATGCATCCCCTCGCACTTGTCATTATACAGATCCAGAACATGTCACAACTCCTAAGATAGCGAATTAATAATGATAACAAGTGCGGTAGCAGTGAACTATAGCTTACAATATCAAAGAGTAATTCACGCAGAAAGCGAGGGAATCGGACCTAGTACGTCTACAAGCATATTAGCGCCCCGTAGTTTCATGAAACCAAAACCACCCTCATATGAATCAAAATTCCGGCTATCCAATAAACGTCGCAGCAATGATAACGAGATATGGAATCACGCACACAGAGTTGTGGACTTAGGTTACAAGATGTATCGAAATTTCCTAAGGATCTCTGATAGGCTCGTCCCCATGGCCATGCGCGTTCGTGGTATAGATCCTGTCGAAATATGCATAACACCTCATCAATGGTCCAAATGCATGGATGGAACGACCACAGAAGCCGCTCCCGGAAACGGCTTGGCATCCAGGCATGGCTACCACAGAAAAGGACGCGACAGAAAGATTTAGCAACTCACTTCGTCATCTTCATTTCGACATATCCTGGACATGCAGAGAATCTTTCGTGGCGGGAATTCTTCGTGAGCACATCGTAGAAAATGACTTAAGAGAAAGGAGTGGAAGAGAACAGGATGACTCACTAGCATACGCTCTAGACAGAAAGGCGGAGAGCTGCTTGCTTGCCTCAAAATTCCAGAGTATACGCGCCAGACACCAGGGTTGTAAACGCAATAGCATACACCTGGTCACCGTGTCATGGATGGGAAAACACGGGCGTCTAAGATGTTCTCTATGAGAAGGCCAGGAAAAGCAGGAACGACGCCTACAGTTGTTCCTATCTTTCCCCCTTGATTTTCAAGTGACATTCTCGTCCACATACGAGCTGAGATAGAGAGCTAGAGAGTCCTGGTCGCCAGAGCAGACTGAAGTGGCGCAAGACAAGTTATGGATGTTGACAGGAACGCGGAAACTGTCTGTAGGCACAGGATCCCAGTGTACAGTGTTATTGTGCAGCGACTGTAGAAAGAGGAGATCTTAACAAGCAGGAAAGCAGTAGAATGACAGATTGCTTACCCACTTACACTACTATTGACACCTCGATGCTGTGTTAATTTCAGAGCATTAAAAAGAGAGAAAAGACGTGTTATTACCTCGCAAAGTATGCTGATTCGGTTCGAGAATCCTCCTTCAAGCATTTCATCTTGAAAATTGCATGCAACTGTAGGCCGTTCGAAGATTTGAACGTGGACGTAAGCGCTGAAAGACAAACAGTGTGGTGGGTGGAGGGAAAGATGAGCTTCCGACAACGGAAGTCTTATCAAGGTCCCGTGCTCCACGTGACTGAGATGCGATGCATCGATCCCTCTCACCTAGGACTTATTAACATTAAACGCTCTGCTTGATAAAAATTTGTCCTAAGGTATAACTCCGATGGAAAATACCCTGGAGATCAACGTGTCGCTTTCCATGGACTATTGCGTGTCGAGGTTCAAATTTGAGAACGACGCGTGGCTGGAATTGATTAGAAGCAGATTTAAGACAGTGGTAGGACATGTCCGACTGAGGTGCGTGCTCTAAGGAAGAAAAAAAAGATTTATTTCCTCCATGAATGGCAACAGGCAAGGTCGAACTGTGAGTATGACTCCTGCAGCCATTGGCAGGTTCACAAATGGGGAACAGAATATTTGGGAGCACAGATATACGACCTCTGATTTATTATCATGGACCTTCTGAGGAACTATCCCTCTGGTAACTTTGATTCTCAGATCACAGGCTGATATCTGTAGATGGCAGTGAGGGACACTGAGATAAATGAGTTATAGTGGTTGTTGCCAGAGAAATGTGAATAATTCCAACATGTGCAAGTTGATAACACAGCAAGGTGTTGGCAGTCGTTAGTCATTTCCTTTCACTAGCCACATCTTACATGGTCTCCATGCCATGATGGATCAACGGTACATCATATGTAATGAATTCCATATGTACAGCAAAAATTGACGGTTTGAGTCCCTCTTATGGCAATGTACGAATGAATACAATATCTTTTTTTTTTCATTTATTGGTCCAGAGTCCGGGCCGACAATGGAATCAGGCATTCTGAGGTGTGATTCTTCTCTGCTTGTTCCCCAGGTTTCTGGTAGCTTTAGCAACAATACGTGCTACATTTCGAAACTCTGTCCTCACAATAGTTCAGTCTTTTCCCCTCAAAGCTTCAGTTCGAAAGATGTCATGCAATGGCAACAATCCCTCCCCCCCTTCGACTTTCTACCATTATATCTATTCAAGAGTTGGTGCAAACATCCTACGTGGATCAGTATGGTGTCATTTATCTGATTCCGAGAGGACTTTAGAAATCTTTCATGTCTATTGCCTGATAGAGTTTTTGGAGACCAGATGACGCTTATGAATAAGAGCCTGACATCATTAAGAAATCCGGATTTTGAGTACTCGACAAGGTCATGATATATCACATGCTGTATTGTCTTTATTTTATGTGATTGAAGCTCAAAGTTTGAGCATCGTGGGTGTGGATTAGTAGTTGGACATTCCACCACTCTTTGGTTCGAGCCCATGTGCTCATACTATATCTGATGGTTCGATTTTTGAACGAGGGATTGCGGGTCGCCGAGTTTCCGCCTGAATCTTATCCTCACTGCTGACAGAAGAAGTGTCTGAGCCAGAATTAATAAAGGAGAAAATGAAGCCCTTCTTAACATGATAATGATGCATGTCTTCCATTCGATGACAGCTCTAACTTCCATGTATTTTCATGATTGATATAGTCCTCTGGAACCGTGGATCAGATTATATCAAGAAATAGATCTTCATGAACCATTGATCAGTAACTGAAATGAAGAATCAATTACATTGTGACCCGAGCATTTTATACATGCTGAGGATCATTGCATTACCCAATTCCTGACCCTCAGGCTATCGCCCCATTAAGACGCAAGCCTTCAAGCTCCGAGCATGCAAAAGATGAACTTAGTCATACTGAAAATGTATCATCATTGCCCTTCTTTCTACTTCATTCCATGAGATGGAAATAGGATGAATGCCCTGAGGACTTGCCATATATGTGCTCGACGCTATTTTGACACCGACACCACCTGTTAGCGACCGATACAACAAACAAGATCAAACAACTAAGCGTGACTCGCACTTCGGTCAGGCGCTTTATGTTGTCCGCAGGTTTGCGTTAAGGGAGCTATCGCTTAGTGGAGCGAGAGTGAGTTCAGACTAAGTTATCGGGTGAATAAACTTTAGTTCGAGACTGAGGTTTAAGACCTGCAGTCGAGCTACTTAAATACAGTTTGGATCGTGCTAAATATAATACAAGTGTCCGCAACGGTACGGTAAACGTACTGGATCCTCATGGTAGAATGCGATCAAGTCCGGAGAATTAGTATAGCGAGATTACGAGAGAGTCGATAAGATAAGATAAGGCGCGAAATCGTAATATTACCCCCCTGTTAAGGCAGTCGTCCCGACTGCAGTATAACTTGGCTTTGGAAGATATGCTCCTACGAGTGACGGTTCGTTTGGTTTTATCAGGTATTCTTGAATTGCCTGAACCAATGGGTGATCTGTTTCCGACTCTGTTACTGATTCGTGTTCGGACCAGGAATCAGACTCGTCCTCATTTTCCCACCAATCCGCTGGGGGTCGAGTGATGAATGAGACTTGCTCAAAGTCTTCAACTGCGTCCCTGGCATTGTCCAGATCTTGTTCGTCGACCCAGGAATTTTCTTCTCGTGGGTACCCCTTCCATTTTACGAGGTATTCGATTCCAGTCCCTCTCCTTCTTCCTCCTCTTCGTGGTGCTCTTTCCCTTCGGTCCACTATTTCTTCTACTTCATACTGTTCTTGTCCGTCTATGAGGTCTGGTGGAGGCGGCGAGGGCTGTATTTGAATTGGGAACTCCGGCGGGTGATACGGGGTAAGAAGCCTTTCATTGAAACGGTCGTGGATTTTCCACGCGGGGGGAAGTCGTAATTTGTATGCGGATGCGCCGTGTTTGGAAATTACCTCAAAGGGTCCGACGCGCTTGTCTCCCAGCTTCTTCATTGGACGAGGAAGGGACAGATTGGTAGAGTCCAACCATACTTGATCTCCTGGTTGGTACTCTATTGCCGCCTGTTGATGTTTGTCATACTGACGCTTCATGGCTTCCGCCGCTTTTTCTAGTGCCTTGGCCGTTTGTTCATGGACCTTTTGTATGTCCGCCACAAACTCCCTGGCGGCCGGGTTGGTTCCCTCCTTGATCGTAAGTGGGGCGAGATGTGGTTTTTGTCCGTGATTAACTTCAAACGGGGAGTATCCGGTCGCGGAATGCTTTCGGTTATTGTGCTGGAAAGCCGCGAGCGGTAACCATTCACTCCAATCATTTTGTCTATGATTGATGAAGATTCTGAGATACTTTTCGATCTCTTGGTTTGCCCTCTCCGTTTGTCCATCGGTTTGGGGGTGATACGCTGTGGACGGGTTCCCTTGTATGTGTAGCATCTCATACAGCTCCTTCATGAATTTGGACACGAACTGTGGTCCTCGATCGGAGATCACCTTTTGTGGCATTCCATGTTTGGCCCAGACGTGGTCTCTAAGGATTTTTGCCCATCCTTTTGAGGTTAGTTCGGTGGAACATGGTATCGGAATGACTTCTTTCGAGAATCGATCGACTATCA